CTATTTATTAGGGACTCGGTTGACAGACTATTCAAGCTAATGCACAACTCTGCGATTTCTCTCAGCAGAACAGCGTTTTTAATGGATTATGAAGCTTCAAGAAGCGTGTGCTTGCTGTCCAGAGGTGAGGGAGATGTCGCGTATATTCATATGACGTAACCCTACACCGACCCGCTCGAAAATTACAAAAGACGGATTAGAAGAGCCAAGGCTGCGAAGCGGCTGTAGTAGTAGCCTAGAGATCATTATCATAGTATCCACCTCAGCCGAGCATTAACATCCGCTCGAGCCCTTTTCGAGTAGTAGCTGAAAAATCTCAAGGTGTCCTTCTAGAGGAGCAGTCTGAAGAGCATTACCACTACCCTGAGCATTGACATTCGCGAGCGAGGTCAGTGCAAAAGCCAGTTTGGAGAAGAGCCGGTCAGTGTCCTGAAATTCTCAGACTTCTATCTATTGCTATTGGTTGGTTTTCTACAGTAGTTAGGTGCTAGGCATCTCTCTTTGGAGTACTTTCAAACAGTCCTTGATTAAGATCATTTTCAAATTCTATTTGGAAATCAGTGCATCGTTAATGAGAAAGAGCACCCCCCTTGTCAATGATTCTGTATTGGTCGTTTCAAAGTAAACGCTCCGCTCGGCTTCGACATGCCGATCCAACTACATCAGCGTAAAGTTCAAATTATTGACAAAGGTGATCGGAGTGGGGCCGACATAGATGTCTCAGTGATACCAAAATGTCCGTTCCTGGCTACCTGCTAGTTGTTTGTCAGAAGTATGATTGTAAGGAGAGAGAATATGAACGTGTGACAGGGAAGCGGTCTTTTGGGCTTAAGAGACCTTAGTATTAAGAGGAGGGAGGATGATGCATGAAGATACTTGATAATGATATTGATGGTGTGATTGACGAATGAAACTAAGATGAAGCTTAGGCATCTAACTTTGACAATGTTTTTTCACATGGCTGGTAGTACATGATTTAGGGATTTTCTATCATGGTTATATCACATCTGCCATCCCACCACCGTCCATTCCTAGATAGGAGATGACTTGCAACGAGCTATCAAGCTGAACTATGTGGTTGGCCTTGGGAATTATCTTCCCAGAATAGCTAGCGTAGTATAAGGTAATAGTACCAGGTTGGAACGTGAGCAGCTTTGCGGTGATGAGTCTGCCGTTCTTCCATTCCAGATCTACTTGGATGCTGCGTCTTGCGCGCAGACCTTTCACAAACCCGGTAGGCTATGTGGAGGGAAGGGCAGGAAGCAGATCAATTTCATGCATGCTGCTGCGTAAAAGCATTTGGCCATCACCGCTATAACCCCAAAGTTGCCATCAATTACGAAGATATTTGTCTCTGCACCGGCAAGGCCCGGCTTCGAGTAAGATAGTAAATTTTCGAAGCATAGCCTCCTATCAGGTGGCCAACTTGTTTGAAAGACCTTTCTGAGTCATTGATGACGGGCGAAGTTTAGTCCGAATAACGCCGCAGTGAACTCTAGAGGTGCCTATGAGAAAGGATCATAGATGTTGCATTCCAGCAGGACTGCTGGGAGGAGAGGTCAAGTACAACCGCTATGTAGTTCACGTCCTGGAATCGAGGTGTTAAGAGACCAATAACCTCCCGGACATTTGAAAATGTCTGGCTAGCCAAGACCAGGTTCATTGGCGAGTGTGAGCTGATGATTTCAGCCAGGGAGCCACCAAGACCTTTCGAGCTAATGCCGGTGATAATAATGGTCTTTCATTTGATTGAGGAGGAGAGGACCTGCGCTACGGAAGATCCTAAAGTATTCTTGCTGAATACCTGTTCCATTGTAGACATTGGATTTCCTGGGCTCCCTGCGGCGAATGATGTGGAGCAAAGGGTAGTGCACTAATGAATATGCTTCGTGTGAAGAAGAAATACGCAGAGTGTTAGAGAGAAGATTCAAAATTCAGCTTTTCTGGGATCGAAAGAGCGGCCTGATTACTGATCTCTTTCGAAGGCGTTAGCTGTACGGCAGTATCTCAGGCTTTATAGGCAACCTTCCCCACTTCGCTGTTTAGCTAACACGCAGAATTTCGGCATCAAGGGGTAGTTCCGGATCCTGTGCCAAATACCATTCATTGCTCAGCTCCGGTGCAACATTCCGTATGGAGTTAGGAGTTACCGGATTTATCTGAAGTCTGGCGGCGCATACATCCTATTCTCCGCTCCTATTACATTTTACATCGCTATGAATAGTCTCAGACTCTGGGACCCTAGCTCGTCAAAGTAAACTGTCTTCCGAGGTATTTATTCTCCACTTAGAGCGCTCTCCAGTCGGTGGTGGATCCGTATGCGGCAATATCATACTTTAAGCTGACACGTTAGGTTGGCCTGAGTACCAAGATTCGCAACTTTCAGAAATGCGGGCACCGGGGTTCGCAAACTAAACTTAACTTGGCTTCAATCAAGGAATATATGGCCATGGCTAGAGCATCTTGCGGAGCGAGGTGGATGAGCTCCACTGCTAGGCTAAGTACACTTGCATTCTACTCATAATCTAGAGAGGCAAGCTAAGGAGTAGGTGACGGCGTAGCGGATGGGTGGACGTAGGGCTATGGACGTTGCGCCAGTTTCCCGATTAAGGCGTCGCATGACCTAAACACGTGATCTATAGTATTGATATTGAGCGAGCGTGTCTCCTCATGTTTTGTTTTCTTCTGTCAGATGATCCCTATATCTAGAAGCAGTCAAATAGGGCAGTCAATCAGACTCTCTACTTTACAGCCCTCAAGTTTACCCTTCAACACAGGTCACAAATAATGTCAACCATAAATGCCAGAGGCCTGGAAGCCAGCTCGCCAAAATGTTTATGTAAAACCCGGCTTTGGAACATGTATTCAAACAGACAGAGAAGACATACGTACAATATTGTTAGGCAATTCTTCTTTTACTGTTCTTGTATATGTATAGCTTAGGGTTGGCTGATAGTAAACCCACCAATCCGGCAGGTGGCTTACCGATTACGCTGTGATAAGTAACAGAAGTAACTAACTCTCCCAAAAACATCTACTAGTAATATCTTTTTTCTTTGATCTGTAAGCCTTCAACACAGTACAGCTCCTAAATGGCAGAGTCGAAAATATTAGCAGTTGCGATATATATCAGCCGACGAGCCTGCAGACACAAGCTCTTAATGATTTCTATATTCTTCGCGATTTTTGTAATCCCCATGTTCTTATACCCTTTTATTAGGCATCATTCTTGCTAATTATCGACGACTAGTTCTATATGCAATTTGCAATGCTCGCGATATTTTATTGACCACCGCTCATCTAGTTAATAGTGAGCCGGCAGATGTGGTTTAATAATTTGAAGAGAATATAAACTAATGTTTTTATTATCTCAGTTCTTAAAGAGAAATAAAATTCATTTACTACATTAAATAAATATAATATAAAGAAGGCCTTGTTCCCGGATGACTAGTTACTGGCTTCCCCAATGAAATGACCACTGATGCATAAAGATGACAATTAATACACGTGTAGATGAAAACAGAACCAAAATGGAAGACCGGCTTTGCGTCCTTGATGCAAGATAGACCACCCTCCGAATTGAAAATATCGACCATTGTCTTATTCTATTTTAAAGTGTATCGTTTTCGTCGTGAATATATAAAGTAATGGAATATTAATATGATAAAGCTATAAAAGACAGGTAAATAAGAACTAATCCTCTCTGTAGGTGACTAACCCAGTTTATAGGAGCAGCGTTAAAATTATGCCAGGACGACAACTTTAGTTAGTTAGTTAGACTTAGTATACCCGCTGTAGCTAGCTGCTATCTAAAGGGCCGCTATTTAGATATGTACCTGAGCCAAGCAGGCACTAATATAAATCATAGTATAGCGGCGCACTATATGATAAGCTATAGAGAATATAAATATGTAAATAAGATAAATAATAAATATAAAATGATGAAATATGTTAAAATAATTAAATAATATAAAAATATAGCTCTAGTGTCCTTATATATAACTCTTATTTTTCTATAACTCTTACTAATTCTAACTTGTTATGTATTCTATCTACATTTATTCTTCATACTAATTCGTTAATTTATATCAATTTATATTAGGCATAGCATAACCCTACCCGAACCCACACCTATTAGGTTGGGTTGGGTTATAAAAGGTTACCTACTAAGTATGACTATTCGTCACACCCCACAATATCCGCTAAATTAGCAGTGCCCATTGAATGAGTACCAAAGTAAATTACTGGTGATAGCTTGGTTAAAAACCTAAAGTGTCGGGGCTTGTCCGATCCCTGTTAGGGCCAGGAATCCTGTCATTGAAATTTAATTTGTCACGGCAACTCAGGCTTGGCAGGAATCAAACATATGAAGTAACCAAATTGGCATTCGTATCTAGGTACCTATCGACAAGGATACCAAGACGAGGAGAGGAAACAAACAGGGGGAGGTATTGTCAAAGTCGCAATCTCCTAGCTTAGGGGTTGTCAAATTTTCCCACAGATCCTATCGTTCATAATCGTCGTCTACTTGCGCTGATTAGGTCGATTTCGCATTGCGCAGACTAGTATGCAGAGCTTTTCAAACAAGATTGGATTCTAATTGCCGTTATTTGAATTTTACATCTAAATAGTCCTAGGAATCCCTGCCCTTATGTCAGAAAAAGTAAGGAAATATATACGCTTGTTATCCTTCACTCTGATTGGCCAATATTAGGCCTAGCCCACCTCATGCACGATCTCCGACAGCGGGTCAAAATCAAGTCCCTTTGAATGATGGCCAGTAGCTTTCTTCTCTGGACCCACTACGGATTCGTCTGTGCACTCATCAGCATAAGCATCTTTTGTCATATTTACTGAAACTTCCGTCTAAAGTCCGAAGTCCGCGGCATTGAGGGATATAAAGCGTACAACCGTCTACCAACCCTTATTACATTAGTACCAGCTTCATAACTCAATAAGCCCTTTCGTTCTCCTCTTTTGACACCAAAAGCCCGGATAAAATGGCATTCGACAAGTCAACATTGGGGTCGACAGTTGCTGAAGTATTTTCTTCACGCATTCGAGGCCAAACGATCCTCATTACTGGTGTCGGTCTAAAAGGCATTGGAGGTAAAACGGCAGAAATATTGAGTACTCATGCACCTCGGACTTTGATCTTAGCAGGCCGAAGCAGATCCAAAGTCCAAGAAGTGATTGAAGACATCGCATCCAAATCCGCAGGTGTGAACTGCATTGCTCTGGAACTGGATCTTTCATCTCAAAAGTCTTGCCGTGAAGCAGCAGCAGCCGTTCTGGCAAACCCACAAATTAAACGGATTGACCTCGTCATTAATAATGCGGGTACCATGAACCCCCCAACGCGTCAGCTCAGTCCAGACGGGATTGAACTGCAACTTGCAACCAATCATGTTGGGCATTTCCTCTTCACAAATCTCATTATGCCTAAGATTCTGGCCGCAGCAAAGGTCAATGAAAGAGGCGCAACTAGAATTGTTAATCTCTCGTCTCGTGGGATTGTCTATAGCCCAATCCGGTTCTCCGACCTAAATTTTGAGAAATCACACGGCGATCTACCGCAAAGTGAACAGCCCGATTATTCTGCTGTGGCACTCACGGGCTATTCTATCGATTCGAAGGACAAATACACGCCTGCAGTGGCATACGGACAATCAAAAACAGCCAATGTGCTTTATTCTCTTAGTTTAACAAGGAGATTGTATCAGAAGCATGGTATTCTGAGTTTTGCTGTGCATCCTGGCGCCGTACTGACGGAGTTGATTCGTCATACTGATCCCGTGAAATTAAAAGAGATACTTGAAAAGTTTCGAAGCGCTTTCAAGAGCTTGGACGAGGGAACCAGCACTTCACTCGTGGCAGCGTTGGATGATCGCCTTACCCCAGCATCTGAAGACGGGCATGGTATCTATATTGCCGATTGTCAAATTGCAGAAGCTCCTGCCTATGCGAGGGATCAAAAAGCTGCGGAGCAACTATGGCTTATCAGTGAGAAATTGGTCGGTGAGAAATTTAGTTTCTAGATGATAGCGATTGTTCTTGTATGTACCTGTTGCTAGATATGACTGTGAAAACCGAATCGGCCTGACCAATCAGAATCGTCGATATGCATTAATCAATAACTTCGAGATATTGCTTCAGATCGACTAGATTGCTGTCACAGGCCCACTGCGGAGGATACATATCTCGGAACATATCCAAGTGGCGATCCATCCTGTTAGGCCTTAGCAATAATCTCTAGAAGATATACTAGTTAATAACTTTAACCCAAAGGCTTTAGATCTCCGCAAATTGAATAATACAATTTTTAGCCTTGTCCGCGAAGTACGATTTATGTCCTAGGTAGCCTCGCCCTATTGAATTTCATCATGACATGTACGTGTGATCACCCCTGTCGAGTGCTGTGTGTGACCAGCATTTACCCCCTCCCTTACGAAGTGAGGCACCGTGTTCCGCTAGGCTCAAACGGGAGGCGAGCAACTGTGCAGTTGGAAGGTGCGCGCATATGCAAGTTGCTTTCATGATTCAGTCGTTCCTTCGATAGGGTCATACACTGAGCTCGTGGATCATGCATCACGGTGGTTGCCATCACTTTCTCAGTGGAGACGGGTTATTCGACTTTGATAAACGCGTTCCAGTTATGGTGGATGGTGGATACAACCGATTTGAAAACACTCTTTTACTTCTAATTGAAATGGGCGTATGGTTCATCGCGATACGCGGACGGAGTTTTCGGCGCTCTTGACGGTCGGCGCGGTCGGCTTCATATAGTGATCCCAGGCTGGATGAGGTCAGACCAGGGAAGTGCGACGGTAGATGATAACGTGACGATGAGTTAGAGGAGGACGCTCAATAATTTTAGTGACTGGTTCGTCATCATCATCGCTCATAGCAGCAGAATGGGCAATATCAGGTCATTATGCGCTATGGGTATATAGCATTGTCGCTAACAATAGACTGCTTACAACGTAACCTTCACCCTTCCCTAATAGCTAGCAACAACTGATGGCAAGCTCTATATTTATAAGGAGTGCGTACAAGCATTTCTTTGCTATGCTTATTGTTGACTACTGAGCATACTCTTCTAGATTTTATAAATATATAGTTTATAATGTTATGGGCATAGACAAGTCCATAGTTATATAGTAAATAACTTTCATAAAAAGCGTCTAGCGCATCGTCGCAGCGAGTGTATTTATAGGTGTGGTGTCGTACTCAGTATGAAAATTCGTCGGCTTTGAGGTTGTGAGCTTTAGTCACGGGGGTGATATCGTAATGATTACTACTGCTGGCAGTAGTAATGAAAGGCATGGTGGGTGATTGTGAAGGGAATGGGTAATAATAGAATGTGTCACTGCGAGGTCGTCTTCGACCCCGCAGGAAGTTGTCTAGAGATAGGATAGTAGCGACAGCCGGACGGTTGGAGGATGCAAAAGTAGAACTTCATAAAAAATGGAATTTGTCCTGACTTTGTAGACAACAGGTGTATCTCATGAATGACCATGACAATGAATATTAGTCTGAAGGACGGACGAAGTGACTCTTTGAAAACAAAGATGTCAATTTTATTTGATACAGATAATTAGAATTACTACGTCTTTATTTAACTCCTTTTAATCCCAGTTTAAAAGATAAATAGCTTAAAGTACCTCTTAGTAAGATACTATTGTTAAAGCTGTAAAGATTAAATTCTGACCCATACTAGAGAAAGATCACTTTCAAGTTGCTATACAAAAAATCTATAATATCTTACTTCTAGTAAATATTACGTCATTAATAAAGCCTTTCTAGCAACAGACTGGAATGAGCATATTTATTACTAGTGCTCTTAAAAAATTTAAAGCCGTCAAGGATATGACTGGTATCGACGGCTGGATAGAATTTTTAGAGCTAAGATCGTAACGTACAATTCTCGACATCGGGAGCTGTGGGGAAAGCGGGTTTTTCTCCAAGCAATAGTTGTCACTCAAGAAGTATGTTCCACATGATTCTCCGGACCCTCGACGTATAACGGTTCGAGTACAATTGGAAGACATCGGCCAGTCTGCTTGAGTGATCAGTGTGAAAGAAATACATTATTGCCAAAGCTGATTGTTAGCGATATAGACTTAAGGTGTGCTTCTATTCTATCCCCTACAGTGGGACTGGATTGTGCGAGATCATGTCAAATAGTGAAACTTTTTTCAAGTCTATCTGTACCCAACAAAGCGTGATCCTCCTTGTTTGGACAGTAAAGCTGAAAAGAAGAGAAAGAAAGAGAACCCCACAGTACATAGAACTCGCGTTATGGATTATATGCATGGTAGGGAGCAAAACGCCTAAGGTCCAGACCCAAGATCAAGATCCTGTAACAGATTTTCCAGAGGAGGCTCTTCGATATACCTGTAATTCATCTCCGAGAAAGGCTGAACTCCTGCTTTAACTCTGTTTGCGTTCACGGCACGTTGTAGATTACCCAGCGCGGATATATCATCCCAATTGCCAGTCTCAATACTGGGCGGATTATCTGGCGCTGGGAGGAATCGTAGAGCCAAATGAGAGCTTGACCGTGTTGATGATTACCCACTGGAATCAATCTGAAAATCTATAAGCCTTGGCAGTTCGATTATTTCCAGTAAAACATACTGCCATGTTTTGGTGTTCAATTTGACCAGTCCAAGTTCGATAAATCTTAGCGATTCTCTGGATTGGATCACAAGTGAGAGAAGATTGTGCGCAGATATTGACATGGAGGACAAAGATAAAAAGCGAAGACGTAAAGATGAAGAGTATCTAAAGGGGTCAAGGTTTAGAATATCCAAACTGCGTATTGAAAGGGATTTTAGGTGGGTAGCAGATTCAATCATCTTAAACAGAGATGACGCATAAGTCTCATTTGGTAGAGCAGCATTTTCTGGCAAAATAGGTGTAGCCCAATATCTTTGATGATGGCGATCTGTGTACGCACACACAAATAATTCAAGACTTCGAAGTCGTTGAAGAACATCTACGATAGGTATCTGTACCGCACTGGTTTTCAGAGGGAAGAATTGTCCAAATTGGTGGGTGATCGGAAAGTGGATCTCAAATACTTCGAGATTCACAAGGGGCACATAGCGAAAAGCCATAATAACAGTATGGGTGTACGCTCTTACTTCCCTTTGGAAAAGATAGGAGGGTGGTCCATGGAATATGAGCGCTTTTAGGTTGGTGAATTGAACTAAACATGATGAAAGGATTCCGACGAGGTCCTCCACATCAGGCCTATCAACAGAGCTCGAGCGATAGGTATCAAAATCGAAATTAATTTGACGGATATAGTTGGCATGTCGGCTTCTAGATATCTTAATGAGCCGAACTAAAGGTGAACTAGTAGAAGAGGAATAGAGTTTCACAATAACATGTCGGAACAGCTGTGGTGATGCGCTATGACAGAAAGCTTTGGAGACCAATCTTAAGCTGGCTAGCCTTTTCTGAGTTTCTTTGCCATAAATGTTGTAATGCTGGGCATCGTCTCGCCCAAAATGACATCCAGTATTCTCGATATTCTCAACATAGAATGTAATCTGCCATCGAGTTGAGAATCAAGCACTGCAATGTCCCTAGGGACTTACAAGATCATAGATTTCAGTGGGGAATTGCATGTCTAGGTTTGGGAATTTTTGAGCTGGAACTACTAGATACCACCAATCTAAGATCCAGTTTCGCTGGTGATGGGAGACGAGCGGATTCTGATGCGGGGTATGGGGTACTGGATAGGATGGATGTTTTATCACGTCCGGAGGTGCCACCGTCCTTCACCGCCTGGTGCATAGACCCACCTGATACCTAATTTGTTTACATATCGCGAAAAAACGCGTTATATTGAAATCTTAATAACTCAGTTAATATAGCCTTATATAAGCTTGCAGTTGAAATATTACGCTCCTTAATACTGGAAGAGAAGCCCTATTATTAGTGTAAGAGTTACAAGGACGTAGTAGTACGGGTGCTCAATAGGGTAAGAAACGTAGGGTTATATAGCGTTCGCAGCTATTTGCTGCTCTCTAGGAATTATAGCATCTACGGCCTCACTATAAAGTTTTTTACTAAGTAATATATAACTAAACTTAGCTAAGATTATATATATCATATACCTAGAATATAAAAAGCTTATTACAATACTATTTAATCTATAGCCTTATAGCTATTCTTCTTTTTATAAGATTATAGCTTTAGAATTAAATTAGAATTATTCTATAAGGGCATTTCTAAGATGTCCACCTCTAGCATTGTCAAGGTCTAAAAATATATAAAAGAAGAAAAATAGAAAAAAATAAACTATAAGATTATTTTTTTCTAAGCTATAAATAGAGCTAGCTAAATCAATCTTAGCTCCTCCGAATTTTGTTAGTTGTAGTCCTGAGCTATCCTTTGGCTCAACGTAATCTATGGATAGGGACTGCCCGGACTGGACTGTAAAGACCGGTGCGTCCAGCCGGTGGTGATGGTCGCTATACCGCAGAAGTCGATAGGGAATTCATCGATGCAGCTCAAAGTATTGGAGAACCAGGACGATACTGCAACCACTTCCGTGAGCCTAATTGCAAGCTCGAGAGGTGGACGGTAGGAACACAGTCTCGCTTAGCCATCGTGTGCACGAGGGATATCCAGAAGATGGAAGAAATCACGTTTGACTATCAGACGATACCGGTTGGAAAGCCCCAACGGTGCTTTCGCGGTGCTCAGCTATGCTGGGGTGTCAGTGCGAGTGCGAGCTGGGTCCAAAAAAAACGGCGCCGTATTCTCATCCTGACAATTAGTCGCGAGAAGCTTGAAGAGTTCGTCCTTCGAGATCAACTTCACCGCGATTTATATGCATCCATCCGTACCACAAATAAGGCTGGCGCTGCCATATCTGCCCAACCGATCTACTCCTGCAGTTTCCGTGCCTACGGCTGCCCGAACACGTTTTGGGTCAAGAACCAGTGGAAGCGTCATGTCTCCACGATCCACATGAAACTGGACCTGCATCGCTGCGATCTGAGGGGTTGCCGTTCCACTACAAATGCGTGCCACGAGTTCAGCCGTAAGGACCTCTTCAGCAGTCATCTCCGTCGAATGCATAAGTCTAAACGACCAGCTCGACATCATAGGCGATGCCGGCACATGCGGAATCCTCCATCGTTGAGTAGGATATGGACTGCAAGAAAACGTTTGACGTCTGGGATGATCGGATGAAACACATGGCTCGACATTATGAACAAAGCCCCGGTTTCCAGGAGTCCGAAGACCCCACTCTGATGGGCTCTTCAAGAAGGACTCCTCCGCCAGGACCGTTCCTCAAATGAGCTCATCTCTACATGGACCGCGCGGGGCGGTCTCGAGTCGAGACATAAACCCACATATGAGGCCGCCGATCAATAATGGGCTTTCCTAGGCATGGGTAGTACGACCAGTTTATCCCACGGTCGCTGTGAAGGAAATATTGTTGAGCGGATGAGCGTGTAGATCCTCCAGTAACAGGAAGTTGGCTACGTTATATTCCGGAGAAATCATTGGCTCATTCTACTGTATACTAATCGTAGCATGACCACAGCGTTTACTCAGGTACATACTCTTCATTCGCAAGGTCTATCGAGCAACACAACCTTGGAAATTTAGGATTGAGCCCTAGTTTCCCAGCAAAAATCCCCCCCAGAACCCCGATACTAAACCACCTCGACGCCAAAGAAAGCTTCGTAACCGAAATCTGCAACATCATCGGCAGTGTGGTCGTCGAGGATTTTATCTCAAAAGGTCACGCCAAACAAGCCCAATGATCGAGCACCGGAAGATCATACGCTACTGCCGTCGGAACTGGGGTAAGACCCATGCAGCTTATACCGCCAATCCCCGCAAGAAGCAACGGCAAATTCCCACCCCCGCAGTACTGGAGAAACAGTACCGAATCATGAGACCCTAATTTCCTATATATTCGTTATTCAAGACTGGATCTTTCGTATACAGCTCAAGTAAATACTTGACCATCCAAACTTTCAGTGAGCGAAATCGTCATGGCATCGGAATCGCTGAAATTCAAACCACTGGCTCTGCCACCAAATGTGACAGAATTAGACTTCAATCACTTTATCGGAAAGATCATCAACCTCGTTAGAAGTGATAATGTCGAAGTCATAACTTCGAAGGATCAGATTGACGATGCTTCGTACATGGATCCTCCACACACGCACGACCCGCATCATGTCTTGGAGCAGGACTATTTCCTCGCTTCTGCGGTTGTGGCTCCTCGCAGTGTCGCGGACGTACAGTAAGTTGCAATGCATAATCTTCTATAGAAATGGCCTGTCTGGAAATACTCAAGATACGTAGGGCTATTGTCCGATTAGCAAATGAGATATCCTGCCCTTTATGGCCGATCTCTATTGGAAGGAACTCCGGCTATGGTGGTGCCGCACCACGCGTCAGTGGTAGTATTGTTCTCAATATGGGGAAGAATTTGAACAAGATCCTGGATGTCAACGTTGAAGGGGCATACTGCCTCGTTGAGCCGGGTGAGAAGTCCTGAATAACCCTTGAGGCATGCATCGTGAGGGCTAATCGATGGATGCTTGAATCCAAATATGATGTAGGGGTAACATTTCTTGACATGCATGAGTATCTTATAGCCCACAACCTTCGCGACAAGCTGTGGATTGACGTCCCAGATCTTGGAGGTGGTTCTATCCTCGGCAACACTGTCGAGAGAGGTGTGGGTTATACCCCCTATGGTGGTGTGTGATATACAACCCTCCATGGCATTACAATGAAAGCAATTAACTTATTTTGAACCAGATCACTGGATGATGCACAGCGGTATGGAAATAGTCTTACCCAACGGCGAACTCATGCGTACCGGGATGGGCGCGTTGCCAGACCCAAGTTGCCTGAAATCCACGGGGTTAAAGCCCGAGGACCAGCCTTGGAACAAGACTGCCCAGCTTTTCAACTATGGATTCGGCCCTTACGTTGATGGCCTCTTCAGCCAGTCCAATCTGGGCATCGTGACAAAGATGGGCATGTGGCTAATGCCAAACCCCAGCGGGTACCAATCCTATCTTGTCACGCTGCCCAAGGAAGAGGACCTAAGACAGGCAGTCGATATTATACGGCCTCTTCGATTAGGTATGGCTCTTCAAAATGTGCCCACAATTCGCCATGTTCTTCTTGATGCGGCAGTCATGGGCTCGAAAGATAAGTATACCGATAAAACGACGCCGCTCTCGGACAAGGAGCTGGATGCTATCGCAAAACAGCTCAATCTTGGCCGTTGGAATTTCTACGGTGCTCTTTACGTAAGTCTAGCCTTCCAATCATGTTACATAGATAGGTATCGATTGGGAGCTAAGGATATGAAAGGGACCAAAACCAATCCGAGATGTTCTCTGGGAAACGATTAAAGCAGCTTTTTCAACAATCCCAGGTGCTCAATTCTATTTCCCCGAGGATACACCTGAGAACTCGGTCCTTCGCATCCGTGACAAAACAATGCAGGGTATTCCAACTTATGACGAGTTAAAATGGATTGATTGGCTTCCAAATGGGGCCCACCTGTTCTTTTCGCCAATCGCGAAAGTTGCCGGAGAGGATGCCATGCATCAGTACGCTATTACCAAGAAGAGATGTCTTGAAGTTGGGTTAGACTTTCTTGGGACATTTACCGTTGGCATGAGAGAAATGCGTAAGACCTTCTTTCTTTATTTTGAACGGGAGTAAAGCGGAAGCAGTCCTTTTCTCTTCATCTTGGACAAGTCAAATATACAATATACACTGCTAACTAAAGCTCTCTATCAGATCATATTGTTTGTATTGTCTTCAACAAGAAAGACCCCGAGCAGAAAAGGAAAGCTCACTGGCTTATCAAGACGCTGATCGATGAGTGCGCGGCTAATGGATGGGGAGAATATCGAACCCATCTTGCGGTCATGGACCAGATCATGGGCACCTATAATTGGAATAACGATGCTTTTTTGAAGTTCAACGAGCTCATCAAAAATGCAGTAGATCCTAATGGAATCATAGCTCCCGGAAAGTCGGGAGTTTGGCCGCAGCAATACAGTAAAGCAACCTGGAATCTGTTGGGCAACGTATGAAAGCAACTAGGCTATTGTCTACCAATGTATTTGGTGGGAGAGATAAGTTTAGATTATCAAGGACTGTTTCAGTGTACCGAAGTATGGATTTACGTCTTGATAGGCGAGCACCGAATTTTTAATTGAGAGAATCATTATTCTAGAATCTATTAACTCTCTCATATGAGGCTAAACTCTGTCGCGAATATGAAGCATCCCGAAACGAACACACAAAGACGAGCTCTTGGCTTATGTCTGGTCTGTTTGTCATATTCATACTATTGTTTATTGCGCTAGTACACGTAGAAAGACAAATTTATATATAGGTACAACCAGCTCTTCAGGTTCCTAGGTAAGCCAGGCAATGTTGGGCACTTGAAGCGAAAGGCTGTGATGAAGGCAACGCATCTTCATAATCTGTTGCCTTGACTTTACCATAAGCTCACCACTAGCTTGGCATTGATCTAAGACAAAGTCAGTTTGACTCAAAGGAATAAACATCATCAATTGGAAGTTCCATAACAAACCTTATTCAAAGCCTGAAGCTTTGCGACATCTGTAACTTCTGCTAGGGATACCATTTGCACAGAGGGAAATACCTGGCCCCTTCTCACGAATTCGACGGCCTCCAGTACGTCTCCCCTCGTGCCAACCATGGACCCAACAATCCGGATCCCATTGTCGATCAATGTTAGTGGGTGGAACTGGATTTGTTGAGACACGGGAGTGATTCCAACGCAAACCAGCGTGCCGAACGGAGCTACCATCTGTAATGCATCTTGATATGCGCTGCTAGAACCTGCACAGACAATGGCAGCTCTTGCCCCTTGTTTATCGGTCAGTTTTCTAACTACAGCAGGAACATCCCCCTCTTGTTCTATATCCACGTAAGCGTTTGCCCCGAGGCTCAAGCAAAACTCCTTTCTATTGCTGCCCGCATCAACAGCAATAACCCTATAACCCATTTCCCGCGCGTATTGGATACCTAGAGATCCAACTCCCCCTCCTGCCCCCACCAGCACTACCCAGCTTCCGGGTGTGGCATTGCATATTTTCAATGCCTTGTACGCTGTGACACCGGCACACATGATAGGCGCAAGAATCTGATCGGAAGGCCCCTCGGGAAGTTTGATAATATATGTGCTCGGAACAACCGTGAAGCCGGCAAGGGTGCCATCTACCTTGCGGCCAGAGTGAATCTGCTTGACACAATGAGCCTCCCCGCCGTCATGCAGACAGAATGCACAGCTCCCGCAGACGTCTCGAACCCACGACACCCCTACTCGTTGGCCTATCTTCGCTTGTGATTCATCAAGCAAAGAGCCGAGCTTCACGATGCGACCAATTCCCTCGTGGCCCAGTATGCGACGTGTTTCTCCTAGTGCACCGGAAGCTAGTGCGAAATCGGTGCCGCATAGCCCCGTTACGGACCGTTTGATAAGGACGTCAGCCGGACCAAGCTCTGGGAGAGGCAGCTCGATGACTTCAAACTGTATGCCATTCCCTCGCTCCTGATGCGCAACTGTTAGATGAAGAATTTTGGGAAGAAAAGGACTCTAGAGTATACTTTAAGAACAACGGCTTGATGAAACTGTGGCAAATCCATGGTCACGGTATATTTTGGTTGTACGTTGGGGACTAGATTCGTAAGGAGCTGGTGCCCAGAATATGAGTGTTAAATCGAAGCGGCCTTTAGGAGATTAAATTCCCCCTCGGTATTTCATGTTTCGATGGTTTGCCGTTGTCACTTGGGCCGATACCTCGGTGCTCCACTACTCCTCACGACGGCGAGTATGTGGTGGTGGGGATACCCCGACAATGAGCGTATATATTGAAAGTTGAAATCATAAACCGCTGTCAAAGAAATTTAGACTTTTATCTGATCATTAATTTTACCTTGACATGTATCATGGATCTGCAAGCAAACGCAATCTCTTTCTGGAATATCGTCGACGGGCACAATCGAGGAAGCCAGCATACCCATCATGGCATAGATGCCAGGACCGACGCACCCCTGTGGCCTTGTCCAGTTGCTTCACTGGAGGATCTCGATGATGCAGTGAAAGCTGCCCGCACATCACTCGTGAGCTGGGCCGCGACGGATATAAAAGATCGCCAACAAGCATTACTCGCGCTTGCAGAAAGATTATTGGTTGAAAAGGAACTGGTCTCGGGGATTATCTCCAGAGAGACAGGAAAGTCTGTAAGCAAGTCCACGACGGTTGACGTCCATCATTTGCGATAAAATTGATGCTAACTTGGAATCAGAAATTCCTTGGTGATCTAGAGATAGAACACTCTATCAATTACTTAAGGTTCAACGGTAGGTGATGAAGTGTTGGGGGATTGTTGGATAGAAATGTGGAACTAACTCATGAAACGCAAAAGCCGCTCAGTCTTTGTCCGATGAGGTCCTGCATGAGGATAATGAGGTGAAGATCGTCAGCACACACTCCCCTATAGGGGTTGTGGCAGCCATCTGCCCTTGGAATTTCCCACTCGTTCTGGCAACGGCTAAGATAGCAGCGGCGCTCATTATGGGGAACTGTATCATTGTGAAACCATCTCCATTTACACCATACAGTACGCTCAAGTTTGCGGAGATGGCTGCTACCATTCTTCCCTCTGGCGTCTTTCAGGCGCTCAATGGTGATGCCAAACTGGGTGAGTCTATCACTCTGCATCCAGGTATCGACAAAATCAGCTTTACCGGATCAACAACGACAGGGAAGAAGATCATGGCGAATGCAGCTACGACACTGAAATCACTCACTCTTGAGCTCGGTGGAAATGATGCCACTGTGGTCTTCCCTGATGTCTTGATAGATGAAGTTGCTCCCCAGGTTGCTGTTGCCTGCTTCTTCAATGCGGGTCAGATGTGTGTTGCCACAAAACGGGTATACGTCCACGAGAGTATCTACGAGCAGTTTAGGGAGAGCTTTGTGCAAGCTGTACGAAATCTAAGACAAGCCCCCAGCTCTTTGAATGTGTTCGGCCCGTTGCAGAATAAATTGCAATACGAAGTGATACGAAACTTGATTGCGGACAGCCGCGAACAACGCCATCAATTTGCACTTGGAGAAGATCAAATTTCTCAGTCTGGACTCTTCATCGACCCTGTAATTATTGAAAGACCGCCGGATTCAGCGGCATTGGTTCAGAAGGAACAATTTGGTAACAAGCCCGTTCCTTTTCGTGCTTAATAAAGAATAATTCTGACTCCTTTGCAGGACCAATAATCCCGCTTCTATCATGGAAAACCGAAGAGGAAGTTCTCAGAAGGGTCAATGATACAGATAGCGGATTGGGGGCGTGTGTTTGGTCCAAAGACGTGGCGAAAGCAGAGCGATTTGGTCGGAAAATCGAGGTTGGGTCTTTCTGGGTTAATAGTTTTGAAAAGCCTCATCCAGCTGGCTATATCTCAGGTCACAAGCAAAGTGGCATTGGCGGAGAATGGGGGAGGCAGGGATTACTTTCCTACTGCAATTCGCAGACCATTCATGTTTATAAATGATGACAATGAAATTGCTTTACTGTTTGTTGTCTCTAGAGGTTGTGATCAAGTTGTATATGACAGTATTGGATTTAGATATTATACATCACTAAGGTGAGAGCGCAACACGTAGCAACTATTTTGCTACCGGTTACTTAGATTACCTCCGATGTGGCACGTCGATACTCCATGATAACGATATTCAAATGGTGCATTCCGGCATCATAAGCGCAGTCTAAATCCCCCCGTCCAAGGCCCGCAGAATCTGCATTTGACTCATCATCCTGAGAGCCACGGAATCTCTCAAGCAAAATGTTTGCAAGAAGCCAATACTCCTCAGCGTGGCGCATAAACCCTACACCCTTCCATAAGTCCATAGAAATGTTACTACCTTCATCCCTTCGCAGGAGTTCTTGCACTTCCCATAGGCTCTTCCAGTTTGCGAGACCGCTCTCAAGCGTGTGGGAAGTTGGATTGATAGTGTCGCTTTGCATGTGGAAAACAAGGACATGCAATGCTAAATTCCGAGACGGAGACAATTTAAATGTCAGAACGTACACAATGGACAGATAACAACGCACCTGATATAATGCTGAACATATCTAATGTACTCATCTCGGAAAAAGTGGTCTGTAATTCTAGCGACATCTCCTGGCGGCAAATCTTGCGAATGGCGGTTCGAAGAGACATTCTGCTACCCTCCCAAAGCATAGCGGATGTCCATTTCCCAAACAGATTTAGACATGCATCTGCAGAACATGTTTGGAAACACTCTTCAGAGCAGGTTAAATCCATCTGTAGCTCAGAAATAATCATTCGCGGCGGAGAGTTATAAAAGATCGCAAATGCGACGTCGAGAAGGAATACATACGTCAACGTCCTGGTAGCCAAGCTCATGTTATTGTTTTGAAAACAGATAAACAATAGCTAGGAATGTTACGTATTTCACATACCGTATGATTTGCTCTTTAAGGATGAATTGACGCCACCATACTTCCGAGATTTCGACAAAGCGATGATCCTCATGGGTTGCGCTGCTGATTCCGAAGCTTCTGGCGAACTTAAATACTCTAATGTTAGACTTTTCAGATGAGGAAGTGCAGATAGCATAATTCTCACCATGAGCACCGATGCGAAGCGGGACTGGCGTATCCGTATTTTGGCATCTTCCGATCCCTCCCAGGTTTGTATGAGGCAGACGAAGTATATTGCCTGGAGACATTCGAGTTTCTTGGATAAATCCAAATTTTGCTGATTCCACAATGCATTTGTGAAGGCGGTCTCCTCCACTATGTCGAACCATATTTTGGCAGACTCATTGTCCTGGGGGTGAGGTGAGACACAGGCACCAATAACGACCACCGTAGCGAGAAGGACAGGGGAGGCTTTCTCTGCTTGAAACGTAGGTTTATGTAGAATAGGACAGTGGCGGTACCATAACAACCAGAACAATCTGAGAAAGCGTCGAATATTCATCGGACTGAAAAACTGCGTACAGAGGTTTTCCATCAAATTTGACCAACCAGACGCCACCTGGCGGTACCTAGAGGCGTTTGAAACATTTTGCTTGAGAAGCTCTACTATGGCAAGGGACTGAGGAAGTAGAGTGTCCCCAATCCAGTCCATCAAGACAAAGCTGCTATTTGGCTTATCTAGCGATGTATCGCAGCGAGAATAATCGTCTCGTCGATTATCAACGACGCACTTATTCCAGGGAATAATTTGATCCGTTATTTGATATTTTTGCCAGTAATTCTGGCATTCAAATGAATCACTTAGACCGGTGACAGTGGTAATCCGCGAGAGGAAGATCAGCGATCCTGCGCCTGCAGTGGACGAGAAGCTCAGCGAAGGCGGAGATAGTTGGAATGGGTCATTGTAGATATCCCAGTCATATAGGCTAAGCTCAGGGTTATCGGTCGGCAAGTTTGCCGAGCTTGAACTGACATCTTCCAAGTTGCTTGATATCTGGGTAAAGGACTGTTCATGGACGATCCATGACATGCCGGGACCTATAACCCTCTCTAGAGAGCCAAGTCTCTCATAAGAGCAGGTCTCCCTCTTCGTCCGACAAGGTGTACAGGGCGAATCAAACGTACAAGCCTTCTTGAGACGAGCGCAACGGTCGCATGCTCTTGGCCTCCTGCCTTTGCGGCTATCGAGTGCGTTTGAGATGCTGACTCCTGTGTCCACGTAGAAACTGCATGACCTCAAGTGGCGTTTGAGGACGTCCCTTCGATTGAAAGAGCGTGCACAAAAGGTACACTCATACAGTCGCTTATCATCGTCTAGGTATGCGGTATACTTAGATCCATGCTAAAGCTAGGAAACTCAAGAGAATGGGGAAACTTACGCGAGGCTTAAGTGACGGAGAAGGTGCTCATTTCGACGAAAGGCAGCGGGGCATATGGTGCAGCGGAGCTGGGGAGCCGTATCCATTGTTCATAGGAAGATAGTAATGGTGGACTCAGAACAGATGCTGTGAAGGTTTGCCGGAAATCGACTGCTTATACGGGCTTTTCCCGCCTCCGCAACTTCACCCCGCATCACCGCATCACTGGTAATGGAGGCGAAGTTCACCAGTATGTTGTTTTAGTCTGAACCCCACCCAGTGGTGATATGGGGGTCAGATGAGATCCATGCGTTATGTGGAACTCACCGTGATTGGATATGTGGACGAGGTCGGCAATCATAACACAAGCAATTGCCGGTAGATGTATACGTCGACGGCAAAGAGGATCAAGAATACAGTCTCAACCGATATGATATCTGAGTGGAACTTTTGCAAATCTTGCATATTAAGTCAAGGCGAAATAGCCTAAAAGATCATTTATGCTAGTTTATCTCTGGTTGTGACATGTGGCTAGCCAGCCGTAAGGCTTTTGCGTCACATACGTTAGGATTCTAGTGATCTTGGGATATCTTATCCTAGTAGCTCTAGTACTAGTATATAATTTGTATATCAAATGTGCCTTTATGTGTAGGAGCTACTAAAATGTGTTCCCCCTATGATTATATAACTAGTACCAGGAACTACTGGCTGACAGTCTATTAATTACATATACTAAATCTACTAGTAATATTAAGTATAAAAAAAGAAAAAAGAAAAAAGAAAAAATTAAATATCTTTTACTAGAAGGCTCTTTCATGTATATATTTCTTTTATTCTTTTATTTTCTAATATAATACTACTAAGAGCATTCATGTTATAGCATCGCCTAGTGTCCTTGCCCTAAGTATGGATTGCTCCGGTCAACCCCAACAGCGCTCTATCAAGTCCTTGAGGCTCAGAGAATTTTCACATTTAGCTTGTCGTGACTCTGATCACTTATCTATTAGCTATAACATTCTTAATCTTCTGATATTAATATAATAATAGATTATAATAGCTATATATATATATATACTAGATACTAATAGTATTAAAGAATACTTAGAAACTAATAAAAAATTCCTTCTCCCAGCCCTAACTTTGGGTCAGCTTTTTACTTGATTTACTTTACTATTTTCAAAGAGTAGCCCTACTTGATTGTAAAATAAGACATATCGACATACGCATGAACTTTTAATTCATTCCGCGGCTATTGACCGCATGACGATTTGACGATGCTGCATATTGAGCAGTTATTGTTTAGTGGTACTTGTCCTACTCACTATATTTCTTAACAATATCTAGAATCGCTTCATTGACCTCCCGTGGACTAGTTGCATTCAGGTAATGACCACCACCTTGCACCATCGTCAATCTAGCTTCCTTGGACGAGGTAAAAAGTTTGATCTGCTCGGCGGGGAGAGTTGTGCCGAAAGGGGCGTCCTCGGTACCCTATTGCATAGGAATGATTAGTCAATAGTATGCGCATGTTACGGGAGGACAAATTAACCTGCAACCAATACACAGGACACTTAATATCTTGCAGCCTTAATAACAACCCATCCCTGGAGAGGAGGTTGATTGAAGCCATTCGAACCTTTTTGCGGCCCTCTTCTCCAATATAAGTGGATTTCAATGTTTCCTTCCAGAAAGCTAGGGTTTCTGCAGAGACAGTACCGCTAAAACCCAGACTAGCCACCATGCCGCACCAAACATCATCAATGATGAATTCCGGAGTTTCTGTCTTGCTCGTCCATTTCTCTACGAAGGGTCCGATAATGGCATTGGGCTCCCAGGCTCCTTGTTCGCGTGATTTCGCCGATTCATAATCCATGGATGTACCTAGGGGTAGAAGACCCAAGATCTTTCAGCCAGTCAGAATGAATTTCACAATCAGAGTGATAAACTCATTCATTTATAGACCAGAAAACATACCTTCTCGGGCATCAACAACGCCATACGAACAACAACCCAGCCGCCTTGGCTAGTACCGAGCGCAAAGGCTCTCTTAATACCAAGCTTTTCCATCACTTGCAAAGCCATTATCGCCGAGTCCCAATACGTAAAATGCTCGTTTGGTGAGCTCGTCGAGCCATGGCCAAGAGGCTCAATGGCTAAGAGGTTTACCGCATCGGTTAAATTCTTATCTTCAAATTGCTGTTGATAAAGCGCAACTGTAGTGCACATTGAATTTATCATAACCACTGTTGGATTTGAAGAATCATATCCGTTGCCTGACAAGAAATAGCCGGCTTTGATACCACCCAAATGGGGGACATCAATTGTCGAACTGGAAATCATTGTTTTATTCCTCGTCGCGCTGAATCTATCCAAAGACCAATGCAAGACAAGGAATAGATTCCCTATGCTGGAAGTATTGACGAAAAAGTTGTGTATATGACATCCGAAGACGTTCACGAGATTTCAGGTTGATATTAAGTTTTCGGCCCCTTAGAAATTACTGTTGTCCCTCGCCATCCCACTCCATACATCAGTGCCTTCGTTTAATCTCTATAGTACGCATGATTGGTTGATTAATGCGATGAAAGAGACGCTAAACGTTGTAGTTATCTGTATCTGATTTCGAAACGAGGCCCCTGGTGTCAAGTCGTCAAGCAAACTTTCTAGAACTTCCCTTTAGGGTTAAGTCCCCGTCAAAGTCGGCTTGAGTAGCGTGTACCAGGAAATCCCCATTTTTCCTCGTCAACACGAGGGGATCTGAGCGCTGAGGGTCTAATAATGAATGACACCGCAGCTCCATCGTGTGGATTATTCAAATTGTACACCAACCTTTTGTTAAAAAACCGACGATTCGGCAGCCACTCCTCTCCTCTATACTAGTAGTATACACGGCCGTCAGCGCAGTCAAGCCGGATAACTCGGGGTGCTAAGCAGTCAATGAGCTCGGCTAAGTTAGGAGCTAGTGAAGGGCTCAAGAGTACACTAAAACTTCTAAGACGTCCTTTCTACTAGCTGTTAGACTCATTCTTAACGCTGATCGGACCAAAAAGAGGATTTATACCCAATTGCCAATATTCATATGGCCAATCAAAGGTTTAAGGCTCCAACTGGAATCGTCCTAAAATCCTTAGTGAACACTAGCGGTACGCACAGTGGCTCCCGAGGGCTTAATGCTGATGAGCATATTAATACAGACGTATCACACATATTACAGTAAAACCTGGATATGAGAAACCAAATTTATAACACCACGCTAATTGTGTCAATAATGGATACATGATAGGGATCACTAGCCAATTAAAATTGTAATTTTTAAGCACATCCCTGAATATAGACACAATTTTACCTAAGTGTCTCCTATATAAATGTGCTTCTAGCCAGTTTGATCACGTGTAGATCATGTGTAATGAATATTATTGGCTTAAAATGACGCTAGTAAAAGCACACCTGAGTTATAGCACCAAAAGATTTCTGCCTGATTAGGGTGCTTATATCCAGGGTTTACTGTACTACGGGGACCAGGGTCCAATCTAGATACATAGTGAGTCGAGTAGGCGATTGACAGGCTAGCGCCTCTATCCGCTCCTGCACGGTCCAATAATTTGGACTATGAGAAAAATTGCATACCTCGACACCCACTCAATTGATTCTTTTCTGTTATTGAAATATGACGGACAGACAGACCATGACTTTTGCTTCCCCTGGAAGTTGTCATCGTCTCGTCGCATATCTGTTTGCTTTTTGGCTGTCTTTCATTCATGAATTTGAACGTATCATTACTATGAGTAGTCACGCTCCAGATGACCTACAGCCATGGTCAATCGCAGTGACCGCCAGCATGACTTCTCTGGCATTCTTTTGTGTCTGCTTGCGTCTCTTGTCTCGGTATGAGCGGAAACAGGCTCTCTGGTGGGACGATTATATGATTGTCTTTTCCATGGTATGTGTGCCGCACATACTCTGTCAAATACAAGAGTCAACCACTGACAAGTGTGAAAGGCGTGGAATTTGATAGTGGTCGCATTTATTTCTCTGATGATTCATGCTGGTATGGGTCTCCATGTTACAGTGGTCGGTGTTGAGGGTGCCGTATTGATGGCCAAGTATCTCGTTGTGGCCGAGGTTCTCTACGTGTACAATCTAGTCTGGACCAAGCTGTCCTTTTTGTTGATGTACTACCGAATTTTCCACTTCGATTACTTCAAGCGATGGGCCTACGCCATTGGCGGCTTTGTCATTATTTGGGTTATCATCGTCACTTTTCTTTTTGTTTTCATCTGTGTGCCAGTTCAGAAGTTATGGTATCCTGAACTGCCTGGTCATTGCATCAATCAAGTGGGAACTTGGATCGCCAACGCTTCATCGACGATTGCCACCGACTTGGTGATTCTAATTTTACCTATGCCCCAGATTTGGAAACTGCAATTGGGTAAAGTGGAAAAGGTGGCTTTAACTCTGACATTTTGTCTCGGGTTTTTGTAAGTCTGCTTTCTCAAAAGAATGAATCTTTTTTTTCTTCAAATTAACGCGAAGACCATGCATAACGTCGTGTTCGCTTCTGTCTACCGCTTTACAGTCCTGTTTACCTACAGTTCCGAAGATCCGACTTACACGCTCACTCGCACAGTCGGCTGGACAGTAATTGAAATGTCCGCAGGAATAATGTCAGCATGTCTCCCGACGATGCGACCTGCGTTTATTTTCTTGACTCGCTCTATTGGGATTAGGCGTGCCCCAACACCCTGGAGTTCTCGCATCACCGCGTCCAGACTCACGAAGAGCCAGGGCAATAGACCACTCGACAACAGCAATAACACCCTACGGAAGGATAGCCCACACGCCTTCTCACAAATTCCCGACAATAAGCTGGGCTCTAGGGATGATTGGGACCCAAACTCCAACGATACGTCGCTAAGACCTGACAAGTGTGCGGAAATGATTACCAGGGTGATGGGCTCGAGGGGCGATGAGGATAGCTTGGAGGGCGATGAAGTTCCGTTGCACAATATTAGAATACAGACCGACTTTGAGCGGATGGTTAAATAGATGGCTGCTGTCCATGCTGACTGTATTTAAGAAACTATGAATTATAATATCTCTTTAATTAATAATCCTAACAGTAGATTCCAGTGCAATAACTGTTACCTCACTTTTTTGGAACAGGCCAAGGCACATCCCGATGCAACTGCAATCACCACGTCCGATGGGAAGCAAGTCTCTTATATTGACACGCTTAGTCAAGCCCGAAGCATTGGTTATATTCTGCGGAAATCTGGGATCCGACCTAAACACCACGTCGGCATTCTAGCCCGCCCTGGAATTGATACACTCATTGCGGGAATTGCCATTTTGATGATAGGCGCGGCCTACGTTTCCCTGGACCCAGATCACGCACCGGACCGCCTTAGTTTCATGGCGTCAGACGCCAGTTTGAAAGTGCTTCTGTTTGATACCTCTGTTAGCTTCGTAGCAGAGAGTGTGATCTCTAATATTGAGCCAACAAAAAGACAACAGCTGCTGGAAATAAGCGTCGCTGCCGTCTCGCAAGATGAATTAAAAGTTCAGCCTTCCTCTCCTCACAATCCTTCTTACATAATATACACCTCAGTAAGTATAACCATTGAAGCTAGTTGAGGCATGTCCACCTATATATATTGATTCGTCACAGGGTAGCACAGGGTATCCAAGGGGCATTGTGGTAAATCATGCCGAGATGCAACAGATGTTGGCAAGTACAAGCGCCAAATTCCGGTTCTCTCCGCAAGATTGTTTTCTCCAGCAATCTTCGCTATACTTCGATATCTCTGTAGTTCAAGTATTTTCAGCTTTAACTGCTGGCAGTCAAATCTGCGTACCTGTTGGCAATATTCGAAAGGACCCTTGTTTGTTGGCCGAATTCATGCGGAAATCGTCCACATCAGTGACATTCTTTAAACCCACTGAGCTAAATTTTTTGGTTGAATGTGCCAGTGATATTCTCACAAGGTGCACTCAACTACGGATTATCCTTATGGGTGGGGAGGTGTTGCTACCTCGACTAGCAAAACGTTTCTATGATCTCGGAGGACCTGCAAAGTTGTACAATACCTGGGTTCCTAGTGAGCTGGTAGTACAAGCTGTGATTGGCGGGGTTACTTATCCCCACCAACGATGCTACTCATGTTCCATTGGGTCGTCCAATGCCTAACTGTCGCGCGTATGTTCTCGGTCCTCGTGATGAGCTCTTGCCCATTGGGTTCATTGGTGAGCTCTATATGGGTGAAAGCCAAGTAACGGCAGGATATTTGAATCGGCCGATGGAGAATCGACGAGCTTTCCGAAATGACCCGTTTGGTACAAGCGATGATCGAGCCAGAGGCTGGTCTAGACTGCACAGATCAGGTGATCTAGGCCGATTCCTTCTCGATGACCAGTTGGAATTTCATGGTCGGTTTTTGGGAGACAAGTAGGTAAAGCTGAGAGGCTTTCGCATTGATCTAAGAGAAATTGAAAGCCAGCTGTATCAAGCCACGTCTATTAAGATATCAGTGACCAAGAACAAAGAATACCCGAGGTCTGTGTTGTTGTACGGGAAGCTACGTCGGGCTCAGCTTCAATTTCTCCTCTTCATGATGAGAAAACAATCGTTGCGTTTGTGGTAACCAAGGTACCCATGAAAGATATTTGTCAAAGGAATGAATATGCGATCGAGTTAGAGGCTCGAATTCAAAATCACTTAAACTCCTACATGTTACCTACTGGGTACGTCTTTTTTAAACGCCTTCCAGTAACAGTCGGTGGTAAAATCGACCGTCCCAACCTCCAACATCGCAATATCAGCGATGACATCGTTTTACCTATTGAAGAAAATCTCTCGACAAATAAGGCAAATGGCAGTACTATGGATCTGGAGACTCCTCCAGATGATGATTACGTGAATGACGTCCTTGCTGACTTCCGCCAGGTGTTAAAAAGGGAGCAGATCTACCCTCATGCCAACTTTTTTGAGATTGGTGGAAACAGCCTTCTGGTACTCAGGCTTCGATCCAAATTTCAGCGCAGATTTGATTTTTCTCTGAATTTACCAGATTTGATCAACCTCAAGACTGCGCAGGGGATTGTTGAGTTTATTTGCGCCCTCAAGAACCCTTGGGGAACTGTTGCTGTTCCTGATATCACGATTGATTGGATTCAGGAAACCGCTCTCCCATCCGGTCTTGAATCAAAACTATTTTCAGTTGCCTTGAAGAAATATAGCAGAAAGGCCGAACTACTGGCGCAGACACTTTCGTTGGCGCTCATCTTGTAGCTCGCATTCTAGTTACAAACCCCGTTGTCAAGATTTATGCCATTGGCGGCACAAGCGAACTAGGTATTCAGACCTTGTTCAAAAAGATAGACGATTACCATCTATTTAGCGGCGGATGTACTGTCGACGATTTCCTCAAACGCACCACCTGCATTTCTGGCGGTGCCTTGGTCTCACAACAACTAGACCTCACTGGCACTGCTTTAACGAGCTAGCAAGCACCATAGACACTATCTATTACCTCGCTGTCGAAGTTTCGCTTCTAACGACCTATCTACAACCGAAACCATTCAATGTTATGACCTTACATATCATTCTAGAATTAGCAAGCGAGGCCGAATGTACACCTGAGATCTATTACCTCTCAACGACCAACGTGCCGCATATCCAGTCGTGGACGGATACCACGCATACGTACCTAACGGTCAGCTCTAAGGAAGAGACAGTCCAACATTTTGCACTTCCTCCGACTACGGACAAGAGCTATTTCAAGTCTCGATGGGTTGCGGAAATGCTGCTCACAACTGCTGCAGAACAAGGGTTCCCAATCAAGATCTACCGTTCTTCAGCGATAACTGGGAATACAGAAACTGGTGTAAAAAACCCAGAGGACAGCTTCGTTTGAAAAATGGTGATGAGCATGATTAAGCACGGTGCAGTGCCTGAAATTCAAGATTCTGTTATCGACTTTATCCCGGTTCATTACCTTGTGGCAACAATGTTGGATTTATCCGGGAGCCAACAAGACGTTGCCGGGATACGATTTCCTTCTATTTACCATCTGTGTAATACGAAGCCATTGCCCCTATCAATCTTCCTGAACTTGTAACAGGTATCAATACGGGAAGCAAAATAAGCGGTCAATCCATCTCTATTCAAGACTGGTTGGAGATTGGCGGCGAGCAGCCGGATAAACAAGAGCAGCTCCGAAGAGTCGCGATCCAGGAGTATACGATTGGTGGGTATTGCACTTTTGCGTTGGATTACAGTGAACAGATGCTGCATTGAAAAGTGTGACCGGAGCGGTTGCATGCCTTCCGGTGGATTTGGAATACTTGAGGAGGCTGTAACCTGAATGTCGAAATTGAAACGTATTTAGATTTAGGTATCGGCGTTAGGACAGAAAAAACAAACAATTGTTGAGTGAAATTGGATCACCTTTGGCACAGTTTATGATCAAAAAAAGTGTAAACGTGCCGCGCCATACATTCAAAATCATTGTTAGAGCACTAAGTGACTATCTAGTATCCAGGAATGCCGTTGAAATTCAGTACAAAGATGAACATACTCGTAAAACGTTTTGGGTATTATTTTATTACACGATCCTTATAATAAGGAAGGCTCATGAACAATGTACAATGAAAAAAAGGACAATCAACCTCCCACTACGTAATCCATTTCCCAATAGTCTCACCAAACCAACTCTTAGCCTTCCCCTGCCTCTTCTCCAGAAACTCTTGCCGCTCCTTGATCAACGGCGCTACTTCTTCGGAATACTTCTTCTTCTGCTCAATATCAGCTTTGATAGACTGGATTTCGAGTTCTCGTTGATGCGGTGTAAGCTTCTCTAATGATTGGGGCAGCTCATAGCCTTCGGGGAGTTGTTGTCCACCGGGAATTATGGTATTATTATTATCATTACTCGGCGATACGGGTTTGGCATTTGGATTGAAGAGAGACGTGATTGGGGGCGTGGCTCTTGTCCGACGGCGCGTGCTTCGGCAACTCGGTTCTCATAGTCGAGCATTTGGTGATATAGTTTGTCGGCGTGTACTTGCATGCGTTCCTCTTTTTCTTCGTCTCAGTTGAAGGAGGCGGCGTAGCCGAGGGCTTGGAGGAATTTCTTTTTAGTTGCTAGTATACAACATTGCCCATCGAACAGAAAAAGACAAATGGCTGGGAATGAGAGAGACAAACGGCTTGTGTGATATAGCATTTCGAGAACTTCCTATTCTCATCTGAACACACGATGTTTTGCCAGGGCATTTCTATCGTCTTTCTGCATATTATTATATCTTCAATAGCATATGTCGGTTCTGATCACCATGTTCACGATCATCATAGAGTGCTTTCTAAGCGATCAATCTCTGATACTATCCCTGGCATTACAATTGGCATGCCAGATCCACATACCTTGACAAATTTTACGGTTCCTGTTACGTTTGGGGAAGAAGGGTATGCTACACCCCGAAGCTTAGAAGCTATTTGAAAGTCGGCTTTAACACCAGCAGGCTCATTGGCCCGATTCATGTAGGCACTCCCGGGCAACTCATTTACGCTCAATTCGATACTGCATTCAATGGGATGATGGTTGAATCTACTGATTGGAAAGGTTCTACTCTTGTGTATAATCATCTAGATTCAACATCATGGTAGATTATTGCCCTCCCTATAATCAGATATTTGAGGACGGCACTACAGCGATGGCAAATTTCACGGTGGAGACATTGAACATTGGGGGCTTCCTCTATTCCGATGTCTAATTTGGCCTGATGTATCAATATAGCAGTGAACTGATTATGCCCTTTAGCGGGGCTAGTGGTATTATAGGTCTTACTCCTTCCCAACAGCAGCACTTAGGATTCCTTAATTTTATGTATGCTGTTCAGGATCAGCTAATAGGTATGTGTTTATAAGCGCAATGTGACTAGATTTTAACAGCGTGTTTAGAATGGACCTGTTCTCTTGACTTGTCTCGCACGTGGAAAAATGGAACATGGAGCTTTGGAAGTCTAAGCAGCGTAGACGCTTTGTCGTAGTCTGATCAAGGCTATTGGCCATCCTATGCTGAATGGGCATAAAATGCCCTACGATATTGATGACGACGCTATACTACCTAGTACGTGCTTGCAGCCTTCCAAAAAAAGCGAAATAAACGTTTCGCCGTACGTATCACATCGACACTGTTCCTGTATAATGTACTCTATCTGCGTGCAGAGGATCAAGGAAGAGTAGCTTGCGGTTATATCTTCAGGCCCGACTGCTAGGAATTCTGCAGCGCTCTTTCACCCTAGCCGTAGAATCCACGAGACTCGGCGACTGTGGAGGTTGGCGGGGTGTAGCCATCGAAAAACATTCCATAATGCGGTCGACTAAGGTGGGAAAGACTATGGCATCGTATTTATACTCTTCCTGGTCCCGAGCGGTGCGCAGGATGCTTTCTACGATCATCATATCCGGGGAATGTCTGATGAGCTTCTTAATAGCTGGGGACTGAAAGCCCAACTTATATGCGAACATTACTATCTTATAGATTACTAATGCGTCTAGCGTTTTATTTTGGGATTTCGCCGAGTTGGGTGTGGTCAATGATCGTATTGCTCTGGGGTACACACGCATTGCATATAGTATATGAAATCAATTGTCTTACTTACCTGATCGTTGACTAGCTGGTGCCCTTCACTAAGAGAGCAGGTAGACACTTATTTCGGATAGCTAGGCTCAATTTCCCGGTCATGCCAAAAGGATTAATTACTTTTCACAGGGCCAAACAGACACTTCTGTTCAAGCCTTCGACGTACAGGGTCTTTGATTGGCTACGAGTGGCTATAGAGGATGGCTGCGTTGCTAAATACCCATCCATAGCGATCAGATCCTATATCAAGGTTTCCTTCTAATGAATGCCACCGCTGCTAGCCTACCTATCTAGTTTAGAAATATAAAAGTAGGTAATTTAATTATATTCAAAGGATTACTCTATATTTTTAGTGTATTATTCTGCTGGGATGGCGTAGCGAATAGGAGTTGTCCTTAAACTTCCACCAAATGTGATGGAAGATGTATCACTTTATACAGGTTCTTACAGAATGGATGTTAAAATTTGATTCATCTAGTGAATTAACTGTATAATTTACAGTATTTTATAGCATATGCAACACCTATGCGAGGGATATACGTAGTAGGTTGGTTTCGTAACAATCAGCGCACTAGTGCCATATAGGGTTAGTCCCTCCGGGCGTAATGAATTCAATTCAATTCAAAATGATGATAATTATGACAGGATTACTTTATACGCATTACCACTCAATTTCTCAAATTATCATCCTCACCGTCGTCGTCACCATCATCACACTCTTTCGCCTCTGTCTTCTAAAATAATCTCGATGACTCCACAGCAACCACTGTTCCATTGTCACTTCCCCGGATGTGGCCTTAGCTATCGACGCAAGGAACACCTTACTCGCCATGCCAAAAGCCACTTCCAAGCGCAGTCTTATGGATGCCCTTTTTGTAGTCGAGTTTTTGCAAGGAATGATACGCTCCGTCAACATGTCCGCACGAACCATAAAAACAAGGAGTTGCAGTCATGCCGGGCAGTCCAAGCCTGCGAGTTCTGTCGCCTGCGAAGGTCAAAATGTAACGGACAGCGTCCCTGTGATGCCTGTTCCCAGCGAGGGATTCAATGCTCCTATTCCCAGAATCCGCGACGCCGCGCATTGGAACAGAGATTGCGTAGTCCTGATAGCCACATGAACTCAACGGCATCTAAAGAGGCGGGTTGTACCTATTCCATGTATTCTTCTGTGGCGGGATCAAGTTTTCTCCAGCGGACGGAAGCGATTGAGAATAGCCCATGTGAAATTGTACCATACGTTGAGGCTTACTTCGAGAAATTCCACCCAAAATGGCCATTTTTACACCCTGCTACGTTTGATGCAGACCATGAGCCAGCATTTTTCCTACAGTCAGTGGTTATGGTGGGACTTTGGGTTACTGGGGAAAGCAATATGCAACAAACGGCAAAATATCTACATCAGAAACTCACCTCATCAATCTATGAACAAAAAGTAAGTTACATATTCTCATTTCATTTTTGTCTGTTCTATAATATATTTATACCTAGTGCTACAGGAGAAATGGGCCATATCGAATCACCACAATGAGTCACTGGAACCAAATGATACACCCTCGTCTGCGCTTACCCCTTGGCCTATGGCAACCTATCAAGGGATATTGTTACAGCTAATTTTCTCCCTTCTTCTGTGTTCTGACCAAATGGATCTGCAATTGACTCACACACTGCCTGAAAAACAATCTCAGCTTCTCGTCGCTCTTGTCCGCACCTGTCGAAAGCAGAATATGTTCTTTTACCCCTCGATACTCAATCAATTCGCGGCAGGCGTGGCTCCCCATGTATTCATATGGCTTGGTGTCGAAGAGGTCAAACGATTCTGCTTGTCATTGTACAAGGTTTGCCGGCAATCCCGAGTACATGACCCAAAGCTTTTGAAGGACGCGCGCAGTTTCAGTCCCCATTGTGGACCACGACTGTCCTGGGAGAACCTTCTGTCTCTATCAGATTTGCAATTTGCTTTGCCAGATAGCGATGAGCTCTGGCATGCTACTTCAGGCTTGGCTGCGCGGCTCGCGAAAAATCAGGCCGCGTATGACAATGGAAACATTGAGGAAAATTGGATTTCTCAAACTGCTCGGCTTTTGCAGCCTCGGAATATACAGTTTCAGTGGATATGACACTTTTTAAAGTTGAGCTCCATACAGTGTACATAAGTCTCTTTTGCGGAGGGATAATTGCATGGAAAGGTGAAAACATAGCATAAAAAATATATTAGCTAATACGCAACATGAAAAACTCCCTGTGAGTTGGGATGCCGTATCGGTTACAAAGCACGATACTCTGTCCACATGCCGAGGCTACTGAAATAGACTATACTATAGCTAACAAGCCGGAGTCACTCTTTTCTGTTATCTAAGCAGTACAATATAATAAGACTACAAGTATGAAGCAGTCATGTAGGTTTTTCAGGTCTCCCAGATAATAATTACTAAAAGCCTAAGCTATGAACTTATGCCAATGCCACCTTATCTCCTAAATACGCAATGAACACATCGCCCGTCCTAAGAGGTGCTGCCACCGATTTCAAACGCTTGTGTGCCTCGCAGTCAGAATAGTAGAAGTTCATATCATCCACATTGCGGAAGGTTGTCTCAACAGCTAGTGTATAGTCCTTGGTCCGTACATCGGGCAAAGTGCGACCAGCTTAAACGGAGAGTATATAAGGTTTCGAGTCCTGTATTTCGGCCATGGACGGACCAATAAGTACTGTCAGAAGATCTGGTACGACACACCCTGTCAATGCCGATAAGTGGTCATAAGCATACCCTCTTTGCTTCCTGAGCAAAGTTACGATATTCATCCAAGAGAATGAAAATATTCTCCGGCTTAGAGATGTTGAACATGGAAATACTGGCGGAAGCTCGCTTTCTTCTCAGACGGTAGATATATATTTTCGCTGAGATCGTAGACAAATTTTCAAAAAGGGTTTGTGTGAAACTCATCGTATATTTAAGGCGACTTCCACGTCAACCTCCATCGAGCTTCGACTGTAGTTGGTAGGATGCTACCTAGGTCTCCGGAGTCGGTATCAATGCGAGATGCCGTGGGGACGTTATCCCAGCGGTAACCCATTGTGGCTTCATGTTCCACTTTAAGTCAGTAATGGCAAAACTAATTACTAACTAAAGGCGGAAAGGGCCCGATTATCGCTATCCCAGCGGGATCCCGTAGTCTCCTTTGTTCGGTATCCCATCGTAATCCCACATTGCAAATTAAGAGCCCTCAAACCCAGATTGCTAACACAATCTGGGTAATCATGGTTACGGTGGACAGCTCATTGTTTTTTGTATTAAGATGTTCGTATAAATATCCAACCGTATCCCGAAATTAAATGAGGGAGGCCGATTAAATCACTGGCAATTCAACCTTTAGCAAGGAGCCTAAATAATCTGCAGATATTGCCTGAATAGTTGAAATGACTGAGCTTCTGAAAGCAGACGGGGGCGAGTCGGCTCTCCCCTTCACTCTTGCAGAGTCTCAGACACCCGGCTCGAGCTCCCAGCTCAGTGAGAAGTATGACAGCTCCTCGGAGGAAGAGCAAGAAGGGTTCAGGACTATCACCGGGTTCAGGGTTAGTTTTATCACCGGTTCGTTGGGTATGCTGCTAAATTTATGAACTATAGTGGATTCTGGTCGTGACTGCTATCTTATCAAGTCATATGCTTTTTGCTCTAGACAATACCATTGTGGCTAACATCCAACCGGTTAGTTCTCTTACCTGCCTCCACTAAGCAGATATTAGGTCTAATCATGTCTGATCTTCAAAAGGCCATTCTTTCGCATTTCGAGGAGGCTGATCAAATTTCGTGGCTCTCCGTTGGGTAAGACTCCCACTTTCTTTCCCACGAATCAACTATCCATTGACCGCCAATTTCCCGGCTAGATTTACTCTCTGCTCATCTGCTTTATGTCTTCCTTGGTCTAAGGCCTACGGAAGCTACAATGCAAAGTGGCTGTACATTGGGGTAGGTGAAAACTATTCTTACGAAAAGGTTATGCAAAATGGACCGTTTCTGATCATTTTCAAATAGTGTGTCGTTCTATTCATGGGAGGTTCCGCTCTCTGTGGAGCTGCCCCAAACATGAATGCTATGATTGTTGGTAGAGCCATGGCCGGCGCCGGAGTAAGTCAATGAAATTTTGCAATGAAAAAGCCTTACAGTTACAATCACTAACATTGCTTCAGGGAAGTGGTATGTATCTTGGTGTCTTAACGCAATTATCGGTCAATACGACCGTGTCCGAGCGTCCGTTTTATATTGGATTGACGTAAGTCAACTTAGAACAGTAAAATTCGTGCTCATACTGATAATGCATAATAGCGCGGTCTCATGGGGTGTCGGAACGGTCACTGGGCCGGCCATTGGTGGTGCATTTGCCGAGAGCTCTGCCACATGGCGTTGGGTATGTTTCAAATTATTTTGGAATTTTTATTTCACGGAAAAATGACCAAATATAGGCATTTTACATCAATATTGTCATTGGTGCAGTGTTCTCTCCAGTCTACGCCCTCCTACTGCCTTCAGTCGACCCTATTCCAAATGCCACATCCAAGGAGAGAGCCAGGAATATTGACTGGGTCGGAATCGTTCTCTTCATCGGTGCCCTAGGAAGTTTGATCATGGGAATTGACTTTGGAGGCGTAGAATGGTCATGGGTTAGTGGCAGATCGATTGCTCTCTTTGTAGTGTCCGGTGTGCTCTTCGTCTTTTTTGGGATACAGCAGACCTTCTATATTTTCTGCAATGAGCAGAATAGACTCTTCCCTATCCACTTTCTCAAGAGACGTTCTTTGCTGTTGCTATTTATTCTCAATAGTGAGTTCAACCCTGCCACAATATGCCTTTTTCCTTCGCCACTAGTTACTAATATTCTTTCACTAGCGTGTGCCAGCAGTGGACTGTTTATCTCGGTATACTATATTCCCTTATACTTCCAATTTACTCGGGTAAGATTCGGCAATTTTAAATTGATACTGAAAATATGATTGATTGGATTTTAGGGTGATACCGCCGTCCACGCATCTTTGCGTATTTTACCTTTCGTATTAGTTCTGATCTTCATCATCATTGCCAATGGCCACATGATGTCTAGATTTGGTTACTATTCACCGTGGTATCTTCTCGGCTCAGCTTGTGAGCTTGTCGCTGCCGTCTTAATGTGTAGGTTTTACCATGTAGGCTCTGCGAAATTCCCAAATTATTTTAGAAGCTAATTAAGCCTGCACATTTAGATCTCGTCAAGGCGGACACTTCCGCTAGTGCAATCTACGGTTACACATCCCTCATGGCATTAGGGGTTGGTACCTTCAACCAGGCAGGCTACAGTGTAGTGCAGGCCAAGGTGAAGAAGACCGAGATACCTTGGGCTCTGGGTTTTATGATGGTTTGTAGGTGATACCTTTGGAAGTTTGCCTTTTCTACTTGCCATCAAAATTAACCTGAACCAACAGCGCAATTGGGAGGCATTGTTCTGGCCTTGGGCATGGCAGGTGCTATATTCGTTAACAAGGCAACGAATGAGCTTCTGGCGTTGCTTCCGAATGCCAATTCAGCCGATGTTAAGAATGCTATCGCGGGAACGACTAGTGGATTCTTTAAGACCCTGACAAAGGCTCAGCAGACGGCAGCTCTTAATATTATCGTACAGGCTATCGACGATGTGTAAGTGTTCATTCCTGATCAACTATTTTTCCGGAGTCCTAGGTTTACTGACTTCTACTCTAAGCTATATCCTTCTAATCGTTGCTGGCGCAGTTGCTATTCTTCTCTCTATCTTCTTGAAAGTGAGCCTCTTTTCTCTATGACGGCCTCGTTTCCAGATGTCCGCTAACGTGTTAACAATTTCCAGCGTGAAAAGTTGTTCATAGAAGCAGCAGCCGGTGGTGCCTAGATTGGACATGATAATTGACGATGAATGTGACAAGAGAAATTAGAACGTACCTAGAAAAGCATATAGCAGCATAGAAAATTATCATACTGAAACTAGAAACCTAGATTGTTACCGAGTTTCTTTGATTTCTGGTATTCTACCTTTTATATTCACTTCCCTTTTCCGTATATTTCTCTTCGCCAGATAATTCTCATCTACGAAAATTTCACTTCTACCCAAATTTCGGTTTAACGAAATTCACAATTTCCCGAAAGTACTCTTTCCTACGCCGCCTTTGTGCCCTGTCTGTGACCCGACAATTTCGGGAGTGTGATATTTCCGGAAAAGCGAAAATCTCTCTTCTACGAGGATCTCATTCAATCCTTTGCGACCTACGAATGGCCAGAACGCCTCACGATCTGCAGACGAGATACTACGTTGCCGACCATGTCCGTAGTTTCCAAGCCTCATTCAACAAGTTCAGTGCCCCTGACAAGATCCCGTATTATAGTATGACATACTACGGAGGCGTCGCCCAGGCCACCTATAAGTTTGTTCTATTTTTCTCGTTATCACAGTCGTGGTTTTTGTGTCTACACTTAATTAGTACGGAAGCAAACATAATACAAAGCATATTACTGCCAACACAGTCGCAAGAGAGCCGACAAATCATCGTGACGGGGAAGCGAGAGTGTGAGAATTGAAGGTCATGCCTGCGTCCAATCCACGAGTCACGATCAAGGGCTTTACGTTGACCATGAACCCCGGCGAGAGCATCGAGAAGGAAAAGAATCGGTCTAAGAGACATTGGAGAGCCTTGGTTGCGTCCAGACGAGACCGGCACGGGTGAGGTACGATTGAGATTCGTATGTGAAGCGAAGTGAAGGGGTATGGTTCTACGTATATTATTTCACTATTGAGTCTTAGGATTGAACCAGTCTCCTGAATATTAATGTGTTTCAATCTATATCATTCTATACTTATTGTTATACGAGATAAACATAAAATCTGTAATCCAAGCTCTAGCTCACCACAGCTCTTGTATCTTCAAATAGATTTATTATTATTATAAATTAATAATTCTTTGTTATTCTACTACATTTATTTCTAAATCAAATCTATTATAGTATTCTATAAATCAATATTATAAGCTAGATTATTATTAGATTAAAAAAAGTTATTCAATAGATCTATAACTATTACTAGATTCTTACTTCATAAAAGATTCCGCCCAGAGACAGTGAAGTGCAACCTAAGGGATAGGTTATTGCTTATATAAGCTAAGTATACTGAGATTTCACTATATAGAAACTAAGCTCTCAAGACAACTGGTGTTAGACATTCAAAAATTAAAAAAAAAAAAAAAAAAAAAAAAGTCTTTCTCAGCAGTCCTTGACTATGAGTACAAGGTACACCCAATTCCAGCTCCAGATGTCGCAGCTCTGGGATGATATCCTGCTTCCTGGTGCAATGATGCTTGATCTGAGTTTATTATTGGGTTTGCTGGCAACATATACCTCAATCTTTGGTTGTTAGTTCTACCTTTGTTCGGTTGCGTTCTGTTCATATTCGCTCGGAGACAAACTCTGCCGAGAAGAAGAATGTGGTAAGCTTGGCAGCGGTTTGGACTCCCACGAGGGTCTAGGGTTAATGATAGTATTGGTAACTGTAGACTGTCTTCGAGGCGTCGAGACATTCCAGTTGATCTTGATATCCATCAGCTTCTCCTCGGTGCAATCATTTCCCGCCTGCTCTTCAATGCCCCCAGTTTTGAATACGTGCACTATAGGTATGCTCTCTTGCTGCGAATTTGATTCCAAGGAGAGCACTTTGACGCCTGCGAATCTTACCCTCCCACTTCCCGACTGGTTGCGGGACGATTGCGAGCCTCCAATGGTCCTGATTTCCTTCTTAACCCTTGATGTAACTGAGCGAACTGCCGGTGCAGCCGCGCAGATATTTACAGTAATCAATTCGGAACAAGTCCAAAGATAAGCGGGGACATTATTGTATGTTGGATCATCCATGGTTGCGATGTGAGACAGAGTAGGAATGCGAGCAGAAGCAATACCTATAACTCTATTACGGGTTAGTCACCTGGAGATCAGGGGTGTCATTTTCAGGATGACGCACAACAAACCGGCACCAATTAGTGCGTAGAGTGCCACCTTCTTTCTCCCTGCAATACGCAAGGTATGCAGCATGGGCAATGGCAGGACTAAAATAACTGCTTCAGTGGCGATATTGACGGCAGCGTTAGCGTACGCCACATCTGAAATACTCAGACACTGAGCGTTCTTTAAGTCCAGTTGCCAGGCTGCGAAAACAGGATTGCACTGCCAGATTACCATTGGAAGAAGAATGATGATTGAAATGCTCAGGAATGCGATCGCCGCGTAAGTGGCTATACGGAATCTCTTACTGGGAAAGATACGCAGATACAAACACAATATCGAGATTTTGACGGAGTAGATCGCAAGGGCCCAAAATATTTGACAGAGGTAATCTAAAGAAGCACTCTGTCAGCACTAACATAGACGAACCGAGCATGTTATTGACTGACACCAGAATAGCAAATTATAAGCTTCAAAGACAGAAGTAAAAGTGATATCGTAAAGGTGATACCCAAACCCGTGGTTCGCGCCTAAAAACTTCCGTTAGACCTGATTCGCAAAGGTATAAATTTACAGACTTCTGAACCCACAAAGGTTGGCGAAAACACTCAAGGGCACGATAAAACCCTATCAATCAGAGGTCAGACTCTTGTGAAGGATGTACTACCCGATCAAGTAAATCTGAAGAGAAGAACCCAAGGTAAAGTGACATACCCCTCCCACAATGTGAAAATAGTCATCCCACCAGAGGTTGCCAATTGTATACAATCTGCCGACACTTCGCAACAAGATGGCCAGGTATACAATTATCGGTGTTCCCACTGCCAATGCTTTAATTGCCGCATGGTGATTGTTATGAGGTCGATTGCATTGAAGTGAGTCAACTTTCACTAACTCTGTTACAATAGATTTCAGTATGCAATGACCATGGTAGCTATCAGGGTCATATGGCTGTACCTAGTGACTCTTCTAGTGTACAATTGGCTAGCATGCAATTTGTAACTATTCCAGTGAAATTCGTTCGCGAGCATTGGCAGGCAATATCAAGGAGTTGGCAGTTAACCAAAGGAGCCTTCTCAATGAGGCAGTCCAACTATGTATATCATGAACGGAATTAAAATCTATATTAATTCACCAGATTGAATACATGTCTAGCACTTACCGCACACGTCGACAGCTCGGAGAGCAGGCTGGCGTTCATGCCAACCGCGAGAGTGCTGCCCGGTACACCTACAAGGAAAAGGATCCAAAAGACCGATGCGAAAGCGGATTTCATATCTGTATTCTTTCGTTCTGATCTTCCTTGTATGTTCAAATATCAGGGATGATAATTTCCAGCAACTGCAATGTAGTTTTCAATCACGGTCTGATTGATGACAGCAGCATACACATATTAACGGTTGCCCCGGTTTGACTGCCTCGTCTCCATGTTACAAGCATCACTCGCAAGCAACATGTTCGCAAAATGCGGGGAAACGGGGAAATTTAATGGTGCGGCAGTTCTATGCAGGGAGATGTAGCTAGCCAATGGTGAGTCGAGATATGTCTTAAACTACTCCCAATGAAGAAGTTTTGTCCGTTAGGCTAAATCGAACCGACAGTTTAGGGCAATATTCAATATGTGCATGGTTTTAACAGGCCACCAGAAGTGGGATAATTACATTAGTTTCGAATTGTCCAAGAGCCACCAATCGTCTGGTCCTTGTCCCTTCATAGGTGAACATATATAAACTTCACTTGTACTACCTACTACTTTCTTAGAACATTTAGCAGAATTTCTTGAAATACCAGAAAGTGCTAAAATAAATTGAAGTAATGCTTCTGAAACAGTATACACTCAAGAATATTCAATTCTTTATTGTTATATGCGCTTTTCTTTTCAATTCCTTGGATACATTTCTTTTGTGACAAATATGGGATCGCTTTTGCTGCATGCAACCCTAGCCCTGTCGCCTCAAAGGACATGAAACAACCGGATAAGGCCCGTACTCATTCAGATGGGGTTCATAGACCTATTTCCTAATTTCTATTCAAAATTTGTAAGTCATTTGATTTTAACTAGTTAGCTCTCCACCCTGCATTTTCTTAGCAACTACTAGATTTGGCAATGTCCGTAAAGCCATGTCCAAGGGGATTCCCAACCCCAACTATCGACTAGTAATATGACGGTCAACCTTGCAATCATAGAAAAAAAATCATAATTCAATTGTCTGTGGAGACTTGCAGTTCGGACTCTTATTCATCCGGATCACTACGCTTTTATCATTCCCCCAGGAGACAGAGCAGGTAGGAAGCTAGATTATAAGAAGTCAAACGAGGAACAAGCACACTTGCAGTGTAGTGCTCGAAACCCTTAATCATTTCATTCTCTGAAAAGAAGTGTAACCCCCCCCTCCCCCCTACGTTGTAAGATTTCTTATATGGATGATTTATGCTCAGGGACTTTGTTCCTAGATAGACGACGAAACAATATATTACATTACAGGTCCCACTTACATTCCCAATTCTTCCGTCCCAACTGTACTAGCCCAGGCTCCAATGCTGCCGTTTTTGAGCCAAACCACATGTCCAAATCCCACGGAAATATTCCGTGCACTTACATGCCTGAACATCCGACTGTGGGAGTGACTCTTTAGTATCTCCCCTAGCTTTACGCTTTCTTCATTTGAATATAATCCCTCATGCTCTTTGAATCTAGGCATCTAACCCTGAAATATCGGGCTTACATCCATTTACTGTACAGTCAGTACTGTGCCTCTATGACTACCAAGTAAATGTACCCCCATTTAAGTGAGGGAATATAATTTACTTCCCCCCCAACCCCGTCTTATAGGTAAATGGCTCATCATAGTCTAGAAGGTGATTTGACGTAATAATATGTCACATAAATGCGTAGATCTAAGATGCTCTCGGGAATGCCGTGCCTAGGCGGGTAGCAAGTAGCTATAATTTCGTACGAAGAGTTAATGATATGGGATAAATGATGGATCTCTCTCCCACTTTCTTCACTATCTGGTGTCACTGCCCCTATGATCACGTCTTTGGCCTACCATGGGTCGGTATTTGAACAAAGAACAAACTTCGCGGACGTCTTTAGCGGATAAGCAAGGGCGGATTTAAATCTTGAAATGACCATAAACTTGATGAAGAATGTTGACCAACGTTAGATCACTCTTCTGCTGCTTGTATATTGAGTTTATTTGATTTTTTGCTTTAATAATAGATTCATTAGGCCTTATGAACTGTCTCGTGGATGACTCCTAACTCCACATCACTCCTTTCGCCGCTACTCAGGTTTGCCACACTATCCGCGTCGTCTATAAAAAAGGTCATAGTAGCCGGCTCGGTGTTCGCCTTCAGATTATCCTGGCTAGCACATCGGTGCAATTGATCGATTTTTCGATTGCTCAACCGGCCATGAATGATTGCCTCTTGTCTGCCCGAACCGCAACAAGTATGGTTGAAAACGGCAGTTAAAAGTGGCCTCAATGTTGCAACGCACGCGGCGACAATACCAACTCCCACTTCCACAGTCGACAAAATTGCGAAGTCCGTCGTTTGCCCTGGAATCCCAGTCAGTTCATCTCAACTGCAGCTCATATCAGATGTGCAAAGAATACACAAAAAGTCCGTATCATCGACCAATGTGGCGACATCTGGGATGCGAACCACGGTCACAGTACCTCCACTGGTTGTCGTTAGTTTCTGGTAATCACCTCTTCATTTCTAGGATTGTATTTTCACGTACATCGCGGCAAAGCCTAGAATACATGAAACAGCAATCTTTGTTCTCAATGACATGTTGAGTTCCCGTACCATGAAAATCGGAAGGAGACCAAATGTCCAATCCCCGACAGCGTTCACGATTGAAGCCGTATACATGGTGCCGAGAACCACATTGGGTTTAAAGCAACCCTGTTTGGGAATAGTCCACCAACCAGAGATTGGTTGGCATTGGAAAATAGTCAAAAAGAGATAGATAATCCCAAAAATCATGGCTCCCAGCATGAATAGCCGAAGAATCCAAATATGGGTTATTCGGATGGTAATACGTAGTAGGAAAAACCCGACCGATACTTTTATCAAACATGCACTGATGACGTAAAAAACCTCACAAAACCACCAGAACTATGTAGAAATTTAGTTAAGAGATACAAATGCATGAGGCAAATGTGAGATGTTACCTGAAGAGCCTTTTCAGCATGTTCAATAGATAGGTCAGACAGATGGCGGCCAGTCCCGTATATCGCTCCACCCAGCTGGCAGGCGAGATATGAAGAGTAGAAAATCTAAACATAATCTTGTATCTTTATCCTTCATATTTCTCAGCCATTTGGATCGAAAGATTTCTTACTTGCGTGCCGACCATCAACCAGTCATCGATGCCAAATGCCTTCCGCAAAAAGCCTCGTACATATACGCGCAATAAGAGCGCCAGCCACGTGAGAATCCAGAACACAATATTAACGGCGAGAAGCTGTGGACCTCGGTTATCCATTGCGTTGTGTATCTCCGGAATATGCCGTGGTATTAATTATCTGAAACGCACCCTTATGGCTGGCAAAAGGGAATAAAGACGGTTGGATCGTGTAGCAAAATAGAAAAATAATAAGAAATGAAAAAGAAGATGAAAATAAAGAATAAAGGAGCTTCCTTCCACCATAATAGTTGACATAATAACTTAACCACTATCACGAATGTGGTCAGTGTAGTGCATATATCTACTCCATGCCCTTATTGGAAAGCGAGCATGCCTTGCTACAAGGTATTGCCCAAGAAACCCCTTACTAAACTAGCGTGCATAGCTTTACGCAATATCCTGTACGTAGTATGACAGCCGATGCCAGATAAATTCTCTCTTTTAGTTAGATACACCGTACAATACATTACGCATTCCCACTCAATTTCTCAATAGTCTTCCGCGAGTCATTCTGAAAATGCGCCATCGGTACCGATACCTCCAAACGTTTGAGCAAATCATACATCATAAAATAGAATTCTTAGCCTAATGCGGGGAGAGCCCAGAAACTGCCCCATCATACGTCGCAGCGGCCTGCGGAACATGACACCTTTCCCAGTTAGGGCTATTTGTTGGCTATCTTTATGCAAGTCGGTTTCATAGCGTTGTAAGACTCGTAACTGACCCTGTAGGCTATTTCAAATTCGGTATAGCTTATCCTGGGTTCCAACACCCGCTTCAAATCACATGTCGTGATCCTCCAGTTAGCTACTATCTCCGGCAACTCTCTTGCCGAAAGGGCAGAGATGGTGAAGTTTCACAACGTCTAAGAACATATCCTTAGAGAATTTTGTTCTATCTCTAGGAGTATCCTCATTCTAAAGGCTTTGTCAAGTACTTTATAAGCTTTGTTTAAGGGATTTATAAGGTTTTCTTAGGCAAGCTCTGTCAAGGAATATATCTAAGAGTAAGCCGTGATTAGGCATAAATAAAACCTTGTAAAAGACGCTTTGACTTGGGGGAAAGGTAGTGTCAGCAGTCAGAACACTAAAGTTCTTGGCGTCTTTACTCCAACTGTCACAGACCTGGATCCACATCAGTTAAAACCGCTCGCCCTAACCCCTAGTGACAGAAGAAGGCGGTATTTGAATAAAAGAATAAAAGTCTGGCTAAAATGAGGCAATAAGAAACTCTAACATATGGGCTAGGTAGCTGTTAATGATCTATACTAGCTTAAACTTCTCATATCTTCATCTGGCTGATACTTGACATTTTTCATTATTGATAATAGTATCCTACTTTATAGATAACTTACGCCTTTGTATGACATATTATGGTCTATGGAGTGTCAAGGGGCTAGAAAGGCTCTTTGAAAGCACTTGATTGAAAACTAACGAAGACGACGGCGGATGTCTAACACTAACTATGGGGGGCGAGAAGCCCATACTTATAGGCGTGAGTCCCTGTGCTCGGCCTTCCATTGGGGCACGCATAGGAGATATCCAGGGGATATACAAGTATTATATTGGCAATGGCATAAGTTAGTGCGCAGTCTATGTCAGATATATATTCCGGGGTCGATAATTGGCGTGCATACATGTATTCTCCCGGGGTTGTTGCCAAGGCCCAACCGGTGGATCTTCGGCCAAATATGTTGAAATACATATTCTCCGTAGTGGGCCCATGACATATAAGATTAGCAGAAGCAGCAGCAGCAGCAGTGCACATAGCGGCAAGTCTGTTGGCAGAGGAAGATCTAGATACTCTGATCCGAACGGTAAAGTGTGCTCTGGAACCGGTACATCGTACAGATACGAGACATGCGGCAAGTGTAGGGATACAGGACGCAACATCACATATTCAGACTTTGATTGCAGTCAATGCCACGGGCGTAGGCGGGTGCCGATCGCTGTGTGCAGCTGTGCCTATGGATAATATAGGGCCCAATTCTATGAGATGCTCGATAGAGGAGAGGTAGTCAAATTCTGGTACTACTCGTGTCCTACTGTTTTCTATATTTGTTGATTGCTCATTCCTGTTGTTACCTCACCAAATTGTTGTGCGGCGGTGGGAATTTCTGTCACATCATTATTAATGTTGTCTTTGTCTTTTTTGTTTGTGGATGCTTCCATGTGCAGTTTATCTTTCATTATTTGCACTGCCTTAGGGTAGTCATGAACCTCTAAGAAGCTTTTCCAAATCAAACTGTGCATACAGTAAAAGAACCAGTGCGGACTAAATTTGGAGAAATTACACGAAGAATTGAGTTCTAATAACTTTACTATAACAAAGAAGAAATAAGCAGAGACCAAGAACAATTTTAGAATTCGACTAATAGTCTTCCTACTTATCGTCATTATCTATTTCCTTTTCTAGATCCTGTCTTATTGATTAAGTAGTCGTATCTGACCGGTTGCCACCTTCCTGCTCGATGGGGGGATTTTCTTTTTCAGTCTCAGCTTGAATATCTCTTTTCTTAATATATTCCTTTATGCTCAGTTTTCGCTGCAAGGAATTATCTTCTGGGAATTGCGCTTCCATCTGTTGTACGAAATTAGCCCAAAATCGAGGTCTAAGCTGTCTTTGAAGCCAGTCTATATCCTCAGGGTGGTCCTTCATATATTCTAGCTCGTGAACAGGGACTTTTGCGGCCGAACGTAACCAACTCCTAACGCTTTCTCGTATGGGTGGCTTCTTTCTTACTTTGCCACGCTGATGGGTGAATGGGTGATTCTTGAGTTGTTCTTGGACTTCTGCGGACTGACGTAGCTCGGGCGTAGGTTCACTTTTCGTCCTTGATTAGAAAACTGACAGTTGACTTATGAAGATGTCCAGAGTAACATAAAATGACTCGCCTGTCCATTTGTAACATAGAACTGGCACATCAGCATCGTTATCGGCTTTACCGCAATCAACTAGGAAAAAGCATAGTCGGTTATTGTAACCGAAGTCAGTATCATATCCGTACCACCGGATTCCTGGCTCCAATCGACAATTCCAGTGATATTCACAGATACGATTGACCATTGATATAGTTTTATCGAACCAAGGGTTGCCGGGAGACACCTCGTCGGAGGGAACAAGGTGAGTGAGTGTTCGAACTAAGACGCGTAATGGCGAAGGCTGATGAGCCCGTGGTGGACCAGTGTATTTTCCGGGGTACGAATCCATGCCGGTGATGATTATTCGTAAGAGTTATATCAAAGTTAGTGGAAAGTCGGGTTAAAACTCTTGATATATTGCAAGAATCTAGACAAAGGTCCGCGCATGTAATTCTCAGAAGTAGGACGAGTTGCGTGGCTAAGGCAATGATACTAGTGGACGGTTCAGTTACCAAGGCGGGCGGCAGTCGGAAAAGTAATACGCACCATAAATGCGCTTACCAAAAATATGCGGCGCTTGGCTAGCACAAACACCGTCATAAAACCAACGAGGGGTGCGACTACTTATTGCATCCCACTGTAGGTTGAAACGGTTGCGATGGATGTCACCAGGGCAGAAGATGAAGTTGGAACTATAAGTGACGAAGTTGTCCCATATATTCCAATTCGAATACAGTCCATAGTAAACCTCTGCAAGTCTTATAGTGTGACAAGTACGGGGGTAGGGTCGCCAGCTCAACCTAACCTACCGGTAGGTAAGCACCAGCCCCAGGGCGTATTCTGACTGATACGCACAGGGCGTATTCAGGCTCGTACGTGATCATAGACTGTCTTTTGCAGGTCAGACTGCGCCTTGATTTCAGAAGGATATATTTTCTTAATGTTATACATCTAAGAAGGGAACAGAAGAATATCCCATAAAATAGACATGGTAATTGGGTGGGTCGGGATGGGCTCTGGGACCTTTATTTTCAAACAATGGGTTCGGGTAATAACCCTAAGCCACCTACCCTAACCTGGAATCTATATTGGCTTTTTTGACTTGTCAGTCAACCTACCGGTAGGTCTAATATTTATTCTTCTTTATTATCCTTAGCTTTTCTAATAACTTTAATTTGAGAATTATTATCATAAATCTCTTTTTAAGGCTAGGTACTCAAGTTCAGCCAGGCTTAAGGAGTAGATACACATACGCTATACGCTCACTGCGTAAGCGAAATACGCTAATCGGGATACGCTGCTGCGTATACGGTCAGATTTCTATGCCCAAATCTCTGTAATTGTCGATCCGATTCGAAATCTGTCATGACGAGACGATGAATTTTCGTCGTGGAGTCAAGTATAAGAACGGCGGTCTTCCGCCGACTTTCAAGCTTGACGTAAGGTAAGCATCGACATTCGCGCTGCCTCTCATAGAGTCGTGGCTGCACAATACAAAATGAAGAACGTTCTCTCTCTTGTCTCGTTTGGGTTTCTGGCCCTGACCTCCACAGTAGCGAGTGCTCCAACCGCATCTGCCTCGGCTGGATCAGCTACGCCAGCAAGATACTGCGTCCATCTCCAGATACCAGTTCATGTGGTGACCACAAACACGCACTACAACCAGCCTCGGGTTGACAGTAACCTTGACGCCATTGATTGGACAGTAAAGACCACCACGTGGGACTTCAACTGGACTGCACAGGCCAATGGGACTAAGCACGTCGACGAAATATTCGGCATCAATGCACAGCTTTGTGTTCCATCGCGAAAAACTAAGAAATCAAGTATTCTACAAATTGCAACCGCAGGTCAAGGCTTTGATAAGCGGTGAGTAATAGGAACAATATGGAAGTATAATTAGTGACAGTCAGCTGATACTCCATATAGATACTTTGACGTAGAGACCAACCCCTCAGAGTATTCTTATGTTGATGCAGTTGTTGCTAAAGGGTACTCTATTCTAACTTACGATCGACTCGGAACCGGGGCATCTGATAAACCAGATGCTTATGATGTTGTCCAGATTCCCACAGATGTTGAAATATTAGCTGGCTTAACAAAGATGGCTCGCAGCGGGAAGATTATCAGCTCAGCTACGGTACTCAATGGGAGCCTGGTTTCCGACTTTATACCTACAAAGATTGTCCACGTGGGCCATGCGTATGGATCATATATGGGCACATTCATGCTGGCAAAATATGGCGACCTTGTTGACGGCGCCCTCCTGACAGGTCTACTCTTTAATGACCAACTAGAGGACAACGGGATCACCGTCCTGACTTATAACCACGCATTCCCTAGAGAGGTTAATCCCATCCTCTTTGCCGATTATGGCTCSGGCTACTTCATATTAGATTCGGAGGAGACTCTTCAGAAACTCTTTTTCCAAAAAGCTAGCCTAGATCCGGCGTTACTAGCATATGCCGAGAGCATAAAGCAGCCCGAAACCGTAGGCCAGTACGCCACGGAGAACGCGCTTGAAATTCCATCGACGGCGGCCAATTATACAGGACCGATTCTGGTAAGTTCAACAGAGCCTAATTTGAATAAAAAATTCCCAACTAAGAGTTTTTCACGCGTAGTTCTTCAATGGCGAGTTCGACAACTACGTCTGCAACGGTGACTGTAACGGTGTCCAATATCAGAACCAGACCGAGTATATTTATGGAAATGCAACCGATCAGTTTTCCTTTTATCTGCAGCCGAATACTGGTCATGCCACAGGGCTTTCTATGAATGCTTCTGCCGGCTATGAGGTCATGCTACAATTTCTAGACTCTCGAGGCCTGTAGCTGAACAGCCTTCCGTTGCTCAGCCTTCCGCTGTTTTGTTTATATATTTGCATAGATAATACAGAATAATCACAATACTACCTAGAGATGATATTGCTAATAGGCGGGCCGGGTTTTGAAAAAATAAAACCTGACCTGCTAGGTTCTGGGTTTCTCAAAATGAGATCCGCTCTACTTTGTGGATTATATAGACTAGGTTATAAAATCTATAATGAACTATTCTACACATAGAAAACAATTTTGTGCTTTGGATAATGGAAAGCATGGATTTTGATTTATGATGCGGGCTACTCTCTCAAGTATTCTGGATAATCATAAGATTGAAAGGGAATCTCCATTATTCGCTACAGGTCTAGCATGTGTCCTCTTTCCTTCTGGATCGACGGGGAGGCCCAAGGGAGTCATGACCGAGCACCAGGCAATTGTACGACTAGTTAAGAACTTCAACCTCGCCGAATCCGCAGGAAAGCCTCTACCTCATATGGCTGGTCTATCCTTTGATATGTCTACCTGGGAAGTCTTCATGCCTCTCCTAAGTGGTGGAGTGGTGGTTTGGATTGATGTGATGACGGTCCTAGACTATAAAGCCCTTAGCGATGTGTATGCCCGCAACCACATGCGAGCTGCCATGTTCACCCCTGCGTTTTTTAAACAGCGTCTGCATAGTATTCCTGCATAGTATTCCTTCCATTTTCAAGAACCTGAAATTATCGATTCTAGGCGAAGATCGTCTGGATCCAAAGGATGTCTTTCAGGCAAAGGAACTAACGCGAGGAGTCACCTTGAACGGATACGGACCCACTGAGAACACAGGTGCTAGTACTATTTACACAATTCCAGATAAGGATGCATTCGTAAACGGCGTGCCTATTGGGACATTCAAGGTAGCTCTGAAGCATATGATATGCATGATTTACAATGCCGTCCCCAGAGTTGTAGTTGGGGAGCTTATTGTCGCTGAGAATGGGTTAGCGAGAGAATATACCGACGCAGAGAAGAATGGAGGTCGCCTTGTACACGTGCTCATTGGTCAGGATACAGTCTGGGCATATTGGACCGGGGATTATGCTCGATGGAGACCGATTTGATGGGCAATTGGAGTACTTTGGCCGTCGAGACGACCAGGTCAAAATCCGCGGCCATCGGGTGGAAATGGGTGAGATTGAACACACCCTCCTCTCCCATCGCGTAGTACGCAGCGCTGCAGTCGTCATGAACGGTGTGAGAGCAGAGGCTGACCTATCGGCTTTTATGACATTGCATCCGTTTCAAGACGACGTGGCGGAGACGGAACGAGTAGATCCATAGAATTTATTTGATACAGAGGCGTATGACAGCTTCACACATCAACGCAATAAACTGAGACGAGATTTTGTTGGTTGGCTCTCTTTGTACGGCGGATCCAATATTGACCTTATAGACATGGATGAGTGACTAGATGACAACCTTCAAGCGTTATTAAACGGGCAAGACCCGGAAAGGTGTTGAGATAGGCACGTGTTCTAGAATGATCCTCTTCAACATCACCAAAGAGCTGGAATAGTACGTTGGTGTTGAAATCTTTCCAAAGCTCATGGTGGAGCAAGTGACCAAGGCCGACGAAAGATTCGCAGGAAGAGTGAAGCTCCATGCAGGTGTCGCTGCCCGTATCGAGAATTGCATGCATGGGTTCATCCCCAACCTGGTCATCATCAATTCCCTCGTGCGATACTCTCCAAGCGCAGGCTATCTCTCTAAAATTATTCTAAAGCTTATTCGTTGCACGGCGTGAAGACATCATTCTTTGGTGATATCAGGTCCTAGCCTTTGTAGGACGAGTTCATAGTCTCGAAGGCCTTGCACAACGCCGGCGCGAAAGCCATATAGGATCAAATCCGCAAATACATAGAAGAATTCAAAACAGCAGAGACGGAGTTGCTTGTTAATCATGGATTTTTCACCTCCTCGACGAGTCAATTCCCAGATCGGGTAGATCACGTTTAGATTCTCTCCAAGCTGATGAGTGCCACAAACAAACTCAGCTGCTACCGCTTCTCTGCTGTCATTTCATCTCAAAAATGCTATATTATCGCCGCGATTGCCCATCAGGTCTAAAATAGTAAATGGACCGATTATACGGCGCAGTCTCTCGATTCCCGAAGCTTGTTAGAGCACCCGAGAAATTCGCGTAACAACACCATAAAAGCAGTAGAAAATATACCAAATCGTAGGATGATCCTCGAAAGCTACATGGCGGTCGCCCTCAGAGTCAAGGCTCCTTCTCGTTCTTTGAACACTAGGAGTTACTGGCAGGKTTGTCACCGTAAGCGAGCAGCACAAAGTGCAGCCTTGCTGCCAGGAACTCTGGTTGCCATTGTGAATTGGGCAGGCAGGCATAAATTAGCTGGGCTCGACAAAGCCCACAGCGCGGGGTATTTGATGCAATCTTCCACCGACTGGGATCAGACTGTGAACAGAAGCGGGTGATGTTCAACTTCCCTGTCGATCATCAGTGTCGGAACGTAGACTTCTTCACAAACCATCCAATTCTAGTAACACGGCTCGCATGGCAGAAAGTAGTCGAACGCGAAAAGACAATCCGCACTGCTTTCATACCAGTTGCTAAGGATCTCTCTTCGACATGCATTACCTCCAGCGCATTTTGGCAATGCATCTTCAAAATTAACTCCCGTTAGGTTCACCGGCTCTTGTCAATTGAGATGCGAAATTGCGAAATGGACCGCCCTGCTTTAGGCTTCGGTCATATCCCAGTCTCGTTAGCATTAACAGCAACCGCAAAAGCTCCCTGCTTACATGCAGTTGACCACACGCAGGAGCAGTCGGGCGACGATACCAGTCCAGCGTGGTTGACCAAGTGGTCCCGCGTCTAAGTAAACAGTATGACATCGTGCAAGTTTCTGATCCGTTCTTTGGAAAGCTTGATGGCGCCGCATCTCTGTGCGTCTGGGCCACAAATTACTTGGAAGCGCTTCACACCTACTTCAAACAGTACCGACCCGTCGTTTTGCTTGGGTATTCTTTTGGCGGCCTGTTGGTACTGGAAATGGCTCGATTGCTAGAGATTAGTAAAAAGGGATCACTCTTCGCTGAAATCGTACTCGACACGCGTTCTTATGATCCAGACCAGCCATTTTCCAAGGACGAGGAAGAGAGACAGATAGCTGCTGACGATGCCGTCCGCCTCTGTGGCCCCGGCCAGGGAAGACTGATTGAGAATACTGATAGAAAGATACTTTGACAAGCACGCCATAATATGAGAGAATTCTGGACTCCCGGATCACTACCTCGGCCGTTCACTCTACCTAGCCACCCCGGAGGTCGTGGAGTCGTGTATTGTAGATTGGTGGCAGAGTCAATGTCCACATATTGAGGTTCAGCAAGTGGAATGCTAGCACGGAGAGATTTTCGAACCCGCGATGGGTGGTCGCATAAGTGCACTGATAAATGAGCATTGCGGCCTAGATTCACGCGCATTGAACCTTAGGTAGGAGGTGCGCCTCATACGATGATATCTACATTGGTTGGAGTCTGGTAACTGTCTAGTTTTATTGATGTTAAGCGAGTATGGAGATATGCTATGATAATAAAGCGGAGACGTCATTAATCTAAGGCCCGATATCTTGTAACACCAGAAGATTAAGTAACCCTAGCGCCGGACCATGAGGCTCTCTACTCTATAAATTTCACACTCGGGTCGTCGCAGGAGCACCTAATGTTGGGAGGGTGGAGTGATATTTGTTGAGCGATTTTTCGACTAGAGTTAAAGTGGGTTGAAGAAGCAACAAATCAAGGGAATAGCATTCGATATGTTAACTATATTTGGAATAGCCCCTAAAACATTCTTAAAAGAGTTTTATATACAAAAGAATATGTACGTATAATTAAAAGTTATTGAGTAATTAGTAGGTAAATCTAGGCTAAAAATGTCTAAATTTCTCAAAAGTGGGGTTTGGCATAAATCAACGGTTGGGGCCGTAACTAACTAACTGACGCTGTTGACAAACCGACCACGCTGGGACGAGATCTGAAGTGAGCTCAATGATTTTCTGTACTTTTGACTAGAGGGTAACCTCAGGCCTTTTTCGGGAGAAGTTTCAAACAATTGTGTCCACTGAGGCACCCATTTTGCGGCGGGACTGCGGTGATTAGATCTATCCCAATGATTTGTGCTCCACTAAATCGCTCGCGACTTTATGCTTAGCCCAGCTCAGATGTCGCATCCGCGTCGCCAACCGAGGTGAATCACCAGACCTCAAGGACCCAGTAAGAGCCTATGAAGCACTGCCGAGCCATCAATTGAGATTATCACGACATGCTCTGCCCGGATCAGTTCCTTCATCCTGCCTTCCTCTCACGATGCGTATCCTCTAGCATGCGCCGCCAAGAACCTGAATGTAACCATGATCGGCAAGATTATCTTCATTGGCAATTGTCGCCTACCTATCCGGACGGCTGCCGATCGCTAGGATCTCTTGATCGAAGTTTGGACTTTTTCCCGTCGAACTTCCTTCCGGGATACTGCCTTGATTTGGTAGGTGGTTTACTCGACGCCGGGTTCTTGATAACACCGTCGTATTTCGACGGCACTCTAGAGTAGCGGGCGATCACATTCGTCTTTTAGCATGTTTCTCAATGCATCGAATACTGTTTGGCCTGTGAAGCCGTGGTATTGTTCTATATTTAAATGAGAGGTTTTCCAGAGTCGTAAGAGTGAATCAAAACCTCCTTCTTCAGTAATCAAGGTCTTCGTGAAAGTACTAATGCGGTATCAAAAGTGGCTACTGCCTCTATTGGCAGGCGGGGTCAGAGCTGCCCCGGCAAGCACCACGAAAGACAACGTCTCGTCTGTCGTTAAGAATGGCGTCACATATACCGTCTTCGAGCATGCCGCGACTGGCGCTAAGATGGAGTTTGTCAAGAACTCTGGTATCTGTGAAACCACCCCGGGGGTCAATCAGTACTCGGGATATCTCTCCGTTGGCAATAACATGAACATGTGGTTCTGGTAAGTGTCGCTATTTATCAATTGGGGAGTTTTTTTTTTGTCTAAGTAAATAGGTTCTTCGAGGCGCGAAACAATCCCCAAACAGCTCCTCTGGCTGCCTGGTTCAACGGTGGTCCTGGATGTTCCTCCATGATCGGCCTTTTCCAAGAAAATGGCCCCTGTCACTTCGTTAACGGAGCCAGCACTCCCTCACTGAACGAGTATAGCTGGAATAACTACGCCAATATGCTCTACGTTGATCAGCCCATCGGTGTTGGTTTCTCCTACGGCACGGACGACGCGACTAGCACGGTGACTGCGGCACCCTACGTCTGGAAGCTGCTGCAGGCGTTCTACGCACAGTTTCCAGAGTACGAAAGTCGTGACTTCGCCATCTTCACCGAGGTAAGTCACCTGTCCAAGTCAACCAGCACTGACTAATTATTTAGTCATATGGTGGACACTATGGCCCCGAGTTCGCCGCGTACATCCAGGAACAAAATTCCGGTATCGCGGCGGGATCTGTCTCAGGTGAAAATATCAACTTGATTGCCCTTGGTGTTAACAACGGTTGGATAGACTCCACAATCCAAGAAAAGGCCTATATCGACTTCAGCTACAATAATTCTTACCAACAGCTCATCGACGACTCTCAGCGCACAAGCCTCCTTAGCGACTACAACGACCAATGTCTTCCTGCTATTCAACAATGCGCACAAACAGGAAGTAACTCCGACTGTCAAAATGCGGATAACGTTTGCTACAATACCATCGAGGGACCAATTAGTAGCTCGGGTAACTGGGACGTCTATGATATCCGGGAGCCGTCGAATGACCCATATCCACCTTCGACATACTCGACCTATCTGTCCAACTCCCGCGTTGTGAAGGCTATTGGTGCCCAGACCAGCTATCAAGAATGTCCAAACGGGCCGTACAACAAATTTGCATCCACTGGTGACAGTAAGTCTCAGTCTTTACCTTTGCTATCTTGATGCAGGATCTGACAACGTAGACCCTCGATCATTTCTCTCTACACTCTCCAGCGTGGTCCAGTCCGGCATTCACGTGCTAGTCTGGGCTGGGGACGCGGACTGGATCTGCAACTGGCTCGGCAACTATCGGGTTGCCAATGCAGTGGACTTTTCAGGACACGCAGAATTTAGCGCAAAGGACCTGGCACCATACACGGTCAATGGTACTGAAAAGGGCATGTTCAAGAATGTGGACAATTTTTCGTTCCTTAAGGTATATGGCGCGGGACATGAGGTCCCCTACTACCGTGAGTCCCTTGTCCAAATTATTTTGTGAATGGGTGTTAATGATTATGATGTAGAACCAGCGACAGCTCTACAGGTATTTGAGCAGATCCTTCAGAATAAGTCAATTGTCTCAACTTGAAGCTTGTAACGTGGTATGCCTTTCCTGTCTATGGATGGATATTTCTGCTGGTTGCACATACCGAGACACACATGTCGACCCAAAAATACCGCATTGTGAACAGTGTATTACTTGCAAATTCACTACTATTTATTCGTCCATTATTAGCAGAGATGATAGAGAATTATATTGTCAACTGAGTTCACTATTCGTTCTTCACGGGTTCATCTGGTAGGAGAGGCGTGTCCCGATCAGGTGTGTTTGATAAGCGGTCATCTGATCTGACTGCGTAGTATATTATCGTGATATCATATGTCGGGAATATCTTCGATTATTTTATTACTAGATCTAGAAGATATGAAAAATAAATTTTTCTACGTTATGTTATCTCTCTACTATATGTAGCTTTATATTAACTCGGACTCCGGCTATTTGTATATTTCCGTAAAGAATATTCGGATTTACTTTTCTATGCCCCTGATTGAGTCAAAGTTTAGACAAACTTACAATATAGAGGGTTATGGTGTAAAGCCACAATAAGAATTTTTCCTTGATTAAGTGCATATTCTCAGAACAAACTGAAGCGCGTACCCTCTTATACAGCGGCTGGTTTGTGTGCTCTTGTAAATCGTTCATCGTATCGCGGATGTTATCGTTGCATTCTTCGACTTTTATAGACGTATCGAGGTAATTACAAGCATGCAAGACTCCTGGCATCAGCTACCACGTTATTACAGACCTAAAATGCCGTCCTTATACGTGTGCACTCGCTAGCACGATATTGATCGCTTGCAGGCATTGCCGCAGCGAAGCAAAGAAGTCTTAAAACATTCGAGTTACTATAGTCATCATTATCAACCGTTTCAGCAAGCGACTGCAAAACGTCTCGGAGATTGAGAAGCTCGGTTTTTCAGCGCGCAGGCATTCTTCTCATGGCTGTGGAAGTTGCGGATAGTCGAGACAATAGCAGAGAGATAATCTCTTATTATCCAGTGATTGGGTTACAAAATGCAGCAACCACATGACAAAAGCTTTTAGGTCATGCGATGGGTACAGTGACCTGTTCTTTTATCTGCGACCCTTGTAACTTATAAGTATTCTCGAGTCTGAAGTCCAAACTTTCCAAGAAGCTGATCCCCAACCCAGCGACAGCAGTCATCTACTCCTTTTTTGATCGCCATGAGTATAATGCAAAGCTCATCCATACCTTCCGGGTTTGCATTCGCTATATTAGAAGCTCAATTAGAAAAGCGTATGGGTAATGCATGACGTTTGGCAACAGCTGATTTCCATTCGAATCGTGAAGTTGCGCACCAAAGAACTCTTTGTCTGAAAAATGATAACACTGCAATGTCATGATGCGCGTCATCCCAACCAATTTTAAGGAATGAATATAGCCCATACAGGCAGTATCCAACTATAACTGTGCCTCGCATACTCTCGGCAAGGCTCCAAGTTTCCCAATCATCAGACCCTTTTGTCCTCAGTAGACTGGCTATGCTTGATTCAGGGTCTCCAACACTTTTCATGCGAGGCTGTAAATGCCCGACATTATTCACAAAAAAAAGTATGTATATGCTCAGCATTGGCTCTTTGGCGAATGTCTCCGTCAAATAGACGGAGTATTTGTAGAAGAATTAATGCCTGAATTGAAGCCAATAAACCGATATGGGAGTCGGACATTTGCGTAAACTCAATCAATTCATCAAAATATTGCTGGATAGTATTACAAATCAGTTGTTGATTTGTTTCCAATTTTCTCTCATAAGACGAACGAATCCCTAATATTCTAATCAATAGCTTTGGGAGGTGGTTTCGAAGTAACCTGTTGGGAATAAATGGAATCTAACCATAAGGTACCAACAACTTGGGGAATGACTTTGAACGCTCAACAGCGTAAACAACACGATGCTGGTATAACTCATCAGCCAGCACGCTTTTCTCAGCTGTATCATTTATGCTCAATATGTTCAGAACTCAAAAATCGTGGATGTTTGTCATGGCTTCTTGCTAGTCTATATCGTAGTCTGGGAAAAGCGGCAAGGAGTGGTTGTCTATCCCAAAACCAAAATAAAGGGTATGGTCCTGTGTATACGGAGTTGTCTCATATTCGTTGGCTGAGGTGGTCGTTTCTTGCGGAAGAGACTCTAAGTTTGTGGGCCTCAAAGAGGGAGATGGATAGTGGCACTAGAGTGATCGAATACGACATCGATAACATTTTGGACTGGCCACGTCGCACCGTCTCTTTGATCTGATACACGCAGAACATGCTTGGCGATAGGGAGGTGGCATGATGAAAGAAATACACTAATTATGTTATCACAAAAGTCGTTGCTTACAATGATGAGGGGAAGTTAATATGAGAGAATCAAAGAGTTGCGCATCTCAAGACTCTCTGATTGGTTCGACCTGTACTTGACTTCCACAAACCTGTGAGTCTTAAGCGTATAAATTGAGTTGTATAGTAAAATTGGCTTATCTATATATGTATATGAAATGATTTACCTCTTTATTTATTAGTCATGTGCAGCGTGAAACGTATATTCTTGGAGTTTTCTTGCCAGCTCAGACTACAATCTCGTGCACTTCCAACACCTTAGCTGCCAACGCTTGGAATGTCAAAGTAGTTGCTAGCAGATCTTGGAAGGCGATGTTGAGACCCAGCTCCTTGAACAACCAGTTCCGAAGCTCAACGCCAATCATACTATCCAACCCGTACGCGCCTGGAGACTTGCTGTCAAGCTCCATTGATTCAATGGGGATCATCAAGATCGCGCTACATTTAGCCATGATGTGACGAGCGGTAAATTCTAATGCTACAGCCGGATCAGCGTGTTTGGCGTGTAAATTTGATAGCTGTTCAACAAAGCTGGCACCATTGCCAGATTTTTTATTAGCGGAACTGGAAGAGCCTCCGCGTGAAAGCTCCGATAGCGCTCTGATTTCTGAGAAACGGCCAAGAGAGAACCAGTCAACATCCGAGTTTTCAGTTTCCTGGGTTGCATGCATTGACCTTGCAATCTTAGTAGGATCCAGTCCCATAATAATAGCCGCATTGGCTTGAGTTAGTGGTTCTGAACCCAAAGTTGGCCTGGGTTGCGACATGGCTGCACCGAAGCCTCGCAACATTTCTCGTTCATTGTCACCATAAAGCCCTCGACGTGTTACCAGAGCCTGCGCGGCTTGACTTTCCTTTTCAGCAATGACACCTACACCTATTATCATGGGCAGTGCCAAAGAGGTTCCAGGCTTCCCGCTCAAGTTACGGCTCCAGGCAAGATTATCCAGGAAGGAGTTGGCAGCTGCATAGTTGGTCTGGCCGGGAGGTCCCGCTGTGGCCGAGATGGACGAAGTTATGACAAAGAAATCAAGATCTGCATCAATGCCGTTCGAAGCTAGCGCCTCATGAAGCGCCAGCGCTCCATCAACCTTGGGCGAGAGTGTATCATTCCACATGTCGAGAGTCATGTTATGAAACATCACGTCGTTCAATACCATAGCTGCATGGACCACACCTTTAATCTTTCTCGCTCCGTCACCCTTTGTCACGGCATCAATGGCTTTTTTGATGTCCAATACAATGGTCGCGTCGCCTCTGAATACTCAAGGTCGAGCACCTGCAGCCTTTATGTCTTCGATGAGTTTCGCGGCGACCGGCTTATCAGCGCCTGATCGAGAAATGAAAATAAGATGCTTGGCTCCTCGGTCCACCATCCAGGTCGTTAGACTTCGACCCAATCCACCCAAGCAGCCAACAAGAAGGTAAGCATCTTCGGATGAGAAGCGGATCGAGTACTCCGGATCAACAGATCTGATCGTATCCTTTCCGTAATTGAAACTCAGAACTGATGCGTCTGGTAGCGTCTCGCTCGATGCTAAAAGATGATTCAGAGTAATCATTGAATTCTCGCCGATATCGCTGTTTTCTTGTGTGGCAACAGCGATCGCTGTTTGCAGGTTTCCACCTATTACTGTCGGATCAAGTGCAAGGCTGTAAGCTACATTTGTCACGATGAAACGAGCCCCGCGATAGTATGGTGTAATGTCGGGKGCAGCTTCAAGCGTGTTGTCCGATGCCGGGCTTGATACGACAAAACTGGCACCTGCTGGGATGTCCTTCCAAATGCGCTGACTTGTATTCGAGAAATTCTCGACTATTACAACACCAGCAGACCCTGCTCTCTTCAAGGCTTGATTGATGCCCTCAAGATCGTTGCTGTGAAAGGTGGTCAAGTGATCCGTAGTTCGAAAGTTGGGGTCATCTTGAATGATGACTAGTTGGAATCCAAGTGACCTGCAGATTGCTATCGTTGAAGTTTTCAAAGCATCCGATGAAGGCATTAGGAAAACGATTTTTTGTGCAGATGCCGACGCAGCTTGGAGAGCACTCATCGCTTGCATGATGGTGGGTAGAGATCGAATTAGTTTGGTCACGTCTTCCGGCACAGCCGACAATTCTACAGCGGCAGCAGCCTGAACTCTGACAATTGTGTCATAAGCACTGCTGGTATATGCAATAATCGGTTTGTTCTTGAGACTTTGCTTAACATCAGACCCAACCTCAATAACCGTACCGTAAACGAGTCGTGGATCTGAGGGAGGAGACTGCATATCCTTCTTCTGGAATTCAAGCGCTTCAACCTGAATGTCCACCTCGCCGACGCCGATTTGAGATCGTTGCAAGCGGCCATTTTGGCTGAATGTTAGCGCTCCGTACTTCGGTACACCTTGGAGGTATTCTCCTCGTTTAAGCAGGCGCTGGATTGGCTTGTCGCTGGTTGCAGATCCGATCATGCGCATGTTTAGGCTGTTGTTGGGAACTACACGACTCACATGGATCTGACCATTGTGAAGCCAGTATTCCGACTCGAAATATCGAGGACGATCTTCGTGAGCAAAGATAGAAATAATGGCTGTCGCAAGAGATTTGAAAGTGGTATTTGTGTCGTAGTCCAGGACCGAGGCAATGGACGTTTTGTTTTCCTCTCGTACGACGCGAAGGAGGCCAGCAACTGTTGAAGCAGATGGATTCTGGCCCTGATTCACGCCCGTTGTCAGCCAGAGAATAGGTGAACTGGTTCCAAGGAGTTTTTTGAGATGTTCGAAATTTTCACAGTCAGCGGCTGTGATGAGGTTGGCGTTGGGATTGAAAACCACAATAGGTTTGTTGCTAGTCGACGCATTGGTATATCCCTCCAGTGTTTGAATAGTCACCAGGATTCCACATGCCTTCAAATTTACAGCTAAACCCTCGGGAGAAGCAGAGTGTCTTGGAGAGTAGACAAGATCGACCGTCGGTGCTGTGGCAGACACTAACTCATTTGTCCGGGAATTTTTCGTAGCTTTGCTCCATATTAAAGACTTATCAGCAAAGGAAACAGCAGAATTCTTGAATCCAGCAGTGTCAAGGATTTTCAGAGCCTTGGTCATTTCTGAGGACTCTAATAGAAGTACGGCATGACCACTTTCAGACAAATGCTTTCTTAGCGAAGAAGCTGAACCTGTTTCAAGAAGTTGTGCGCTCTCTTTAGTTCCCAAGATGACAAAATCTTGTTTATCAACATTGACAGCTTCAAGCGCAAACTGGCCTTCCGGAATAGATAATTTTCCAAGTCTGGAATCTTCTTTAACCCCCTCCTTGTTGGAGACAAGAGAAATTGTTGTAATTAATGATGTATTTCTCAGTAGCTCCATTTCAGGTATCTCACCGTCCTCATCTAGTAGAAGAAGATATTTTAGGGGATGCTTGTGGCTCSCCMTCCCAACCAGTGCAACGACAGCTGAGACGGCTTGCATACTGTTTGGTTGATCGTAAGCGTTAGATAAAACAAGATGATCAAGATCTAGTTTCCAGGAGACCCCAGAATACGGCATGGGAGGCAGTGTTGCTTCATACCTCGGAGGCAGAGCTGCTTCGTAGGCCAGGGTATGTAGACCTTTGATGTCTAACACAACTTCACCCGTCTTACCAAAGATTTTACCGTCAGATAAAAAGCGCCGCAAGCGATCTTTACGACCTTCAGGTAACCAAGCGACAGCATCACCGACCGTACCTTCTGATTCACCAGCCTGCCTAACAGTTACCTCATCGATGCCAACGGGAATGACTCCCCATAGCATTTCCTGATAATCTCCTCCATGTATAGCTATTATTATCAGCTGCAGGAGTGAGTCCACGGTAGCTGGGTGCAGGAAGTATCGAGATTCATCTTTCATCAATTCACTCTTCGTAGTTATCGGAATCTTGCCTGCCGCTTGACTTTCATACTTGCCGTGAGTACGAATTCTATCTAGAGCTCCAAACTGACGCCCGTACTCAAAACCGACCCGTTGAAATGTCTCATTCCATGTCTTCCCGGAATGGCGCTGCGTCAAATTATCAAAATTGACGGGGTGTTTCTCGCTGGGAGGCTCCGAGCCAACTGTTTGGGCTGTGCATGTGCCAGTACAATGAATAGTCCAAATGCCGTTGTCGTTGACGGATTCCACAGCAAAAGAGTAAGACGTGGGCTCTGTTTTGGATGATGAAGATGTTAATCGAACTTGTATTTCAATGCCTGCGTCTGTTGGTGGGATCACCAACGTTTCCTTGAGTTCCACGTTTCGTAATGTAGTGCCTATAGACTCAAGACCGATTACGTCGCAGCGTTGGCGGACAGCCTCAATAGCTAACGCTAGATGTCCAGCACATGGAAAGATGATTGATCCACCAAGCTTGTGGTCTTCAAGCCATGGCACATCCTTCAGACGCAACACATTCCGCCAGGCTATGTTATTATCTGACAAGCCGAGAATCCTCCGACCAAGAAGATCGTGCCGAGCATGAGTAAGATGACGATACTCAAAGTTAGCTCGAGGCTCTGCCCAGAATATCTTCTCGTAATTCCACTGATATCTCGGGAGGTCAACAACTGTTTGAGGGGAGCTTAGTCCTTTGAGCTCTGACTTGTTGACCGCAAGCAAATTGACGGGGTAGCCTTCTACAAAAAGGACACCGGCAGTCTTCAGTAAGCTGATAGCAGCATTACCTTCAGGGCGCACAATAGTTGGAACATAGGCGAACCTCAACTTATTCGATTGGCATATCTGCTTGAATGGCCCGCCGAGAGCAGAATGAGGTCCGACCTCAATAAAACCTTGCACATCCTTAAGACTTCCACTACTGGCAAGTAATGAAACACCTGTGTTGAACTTTACTGGATTTGTCAAGTTCTTAGCCCAGTATCGACCATCAACATCAAGACTATTTAACATCTTATTAGTGACAGTGGATAGCATTGGTTTAGGGTCCTGACGCCACTGATGATCAGGGCTGTCTAGACCAGCTACGGCGCTATCAATGTAGTTGGCCATTGGCTCGGCAAAATTCTGCATGTAATTCGAATGATAAGCCATGCCAGTGCGAACCTCACGCGCAAAGACTTGCTGTGCAGCAAACATTTCCCGGGCCTCTTCAATCTCAGCAGCAGGGCCACTGAGTGTCACACTGTTGGGCGAATTCTCGCATGCAACGCTGAGATTAGGGCCGAGTTTAGATAAGTCAAGATCGTCAACACCCTTCCCAACTGCCAACATAGAGCCGCCTGACGGACCAAAAGTCCTAAGACAATAACCACGGTAATAACTTGCAACAATAGCTGCAGGGGCAGATATCAAGCCTGCTGCGTAACATGCCGCGATTTCGCCAGCGGAATGACCGATGGTTGCTTCAGGTACAATTCCCCAGGACGCGAGAAGGTCGACCACGGCAATTTGTATGGCAGTAAGAGTAGCCTGAGCCACATTCGGATCGTGCAATTTACTCTCCTCCTTGGAGCAGGACAGTTGTTGTTCAATTAAGAAGTTTGGGGGATGTCGAAGACCCCCGAGAACGATATCAAGCTTTTTAATAACCCTACGAAACAATGGAAAGTGCTTGATTGCCTCTCTTCCCATAGTAGGCCACGCTGCACCCTGGCCGGTGAAAAGGAAAGCTACTTTCTCAACTGGTGTAGAGCTTGACGTGAACCTGAAATTTTCGCCATTCAAATCCTTGGCTACAGCCTGCTCGGTAGTAATGATGAAGCCCTTGGTACTTAACACGCTGCGCTTATTGTTAAGTGTGTAGACAAAATCGTGAAGATTGTAGTAATCCACAACCGCCGCATGCGCTCTAATATTTTTTGTCAACGTTGTCTTGTCGTGGGCCGACATTGTCAGCAGTAGTGGTCGGTCCTCCGAGACCTCAGAGACAACCTCAGTGATCGGTCCTTGAGCCTTCAATGCGACATGACTGTAGTTTGGAACCAAGGCCTCGACATTTTCCAAGATAACGTGCGCATTAGTGCCGCCGTAGCCGAAGGATGAAATGCTAACCCTCCGCGATTCGAATCCATCAGGCCAAGCGCGAGCATCACGATTGATGACGACATTCCACTCCTTTTCGTGAATAGCTGGATTGAGATTCTTGAGACCAGCAACACCTGGAATGACGGCCTTCTCCACCATGAGAGAAGCCTTGATTATGGCAAAGATACCACTAGCAGCTTCACTATGACCGATGTTGGGTTTAATGGCACCCAGAAGTAGTGGCTTATTAGGCGAACGAGTGTCATTCATAGCTCTCGAAACAGCTTTAACTTCAATGGGATCGCCTACGGGAGTACCGGTGCCATGCGTCTCAAAGTAGGCTGTATTGTTTGGGTCGAGGCCAGCTCTCTTGTAAGCATGTCGGAGACCTTGTAAGCATGTCGAATAACTCCTTCCTGACCTTCGATACTAGGGAAGGTAATTCCGTATCCAGGAACCTTTCCATTAGTATTGCAGGCGGAAGAGCGAATCACAGAACGAATCACATCGCCATCGCGGACAGCGTCATCCAGTCTCTTTAGGTAAAGGGCTCCAGCCCCCTCAGCACGACCATACCCATCTGCAGATGCATCAAAGGTGTGGCACATGTTTGTCGGCGACATAATGCCTAGATTAGCTGTATTCATGTGTTGGTCGATAGATATGATGATATTAACGCCGCCGCACAGCGCTGCATCGCAGTCTCGGGCGCGCAGCGCATGACACGCATTGTGTACAACATAGACGGCTGAGGAGCAAGCGGTATTGATTAAACCACTAGGGCCTCTTAAATCAAATATGTTTCCAATACGAGCACTGATTATTCCGGGATCAACACCAGTAGCTGCGTAATTGTGTCGAAAGTCATGATCCTTGAATGTCATCTGTTGGTAATCGGCAGTGAACGAGCCACAAAATACCGCAGTGTTGCTTCCAGCGACATGACTTAGAGTTACACCTGCGGATTCAAGAGCCTCATAGCAGACTTCAAGCATTTTCCGCTGTTGTGGATCAAGCCACATGGCCTCCACAGGGGTCATGTTGAAGAATGTTGGATCAAAATTCTCAGCATTTCCATCCAGATAGTAACCACCGGGAATTTTGATGCTACCGGGTCGATCTTCGTTAGAGTGTAAGAAGGCATTGATATTGAAACGGGACTTAGGAACCTTTTCGCTGTTCCCAACCCGCTTATCGAGTAGCATCTGCCAGAGATCCGAGGGCCCGTCAACAGCACCTGGCAGTCGACACGCTGTGTGTAATCAATTAGCAATCTTTCAATAGACATAGTGATGAGAAAACCATGTACCCATTCCGCAAATAGCAATTGGTTCTAATTGAACATCCTCATCTGGAGGACATGATTCGGGTGATTCAACGTATGGCATCGTGAAAGATATGGTGAATCTGTACAATGGTGCTTTCCTTTTCGAGCTGGCATGATTTCTCAACTCACGGATATTTGCTCATTTATCTTTCTCTTTTTGGAGGATAAGTGGGGGCCCAGAAACCTGTTATCCGATGAACACTTCATTTCGGAATGAATGTAGCAATCCTACGTGAGACTTGACAGCTGGAAGCATCTTGCACATGAAGACTTGTTCTTCGACAATGTCATCATCGGAAAGGGCCTAATGGTATTCTTGACCGGGTCCGGGTAACATGCCGAGCAGAGCATGCGGAAAAGAAAATTCGTATTCGGACAAATTCGTTCCCTCAACTGGGAATGGGTTATCGCCAGAAACTTCGTTACGAAAATAGGGATAGGGTTAGGGCGGAAGTATGTCGGCTCGGGACCTCGGCCGATGGTTTCGCGCTCTATTTCGGATCATATACTGACCAATCGCATCACATATCCAGGCATATAAGGCAAACAATCCCTGCGAGCGAAATTCGGATGACTCGATTTCTCAATAAACATCTCAAGGAGCAGTTTTCCAAATGTCTTCCAAGTACGACGCGATCATCGTAGGAGGTGGGATTGCGGGCCTCGTTGCGGCCGCTCGATTAAGCGAGGATGGTACCAAGAAGATACTTGTCGTTGAGTCCGGTAAGGATCGTCGCGGCGATCCATATATCGATACACCAGGCTTGTTGATTGAAACATGGGGAAACCCAGTGTATGACTGGTGCTTCTGGACCACTCCACAAGATGCCTTAGGTGGTCGCCAGCTGCCACAGCCTAGAGGCCGTGTCCTCGGTGGCTCTTCTGCCATCAACGCGACAGCGATGCTGTATCCTTGTCCGCGCGATTTCGAGAACTGGGGTATACTTGGAAACTCGGGCTGGGGATATAGCGACCTTCTCCCCTATTACCGCAAATCGACAAAATTTTTCCCGCCCTCTAAAGAAACGTCTGACCTGTTAGGACTGAATGCGTACTATCAGCCTGAACTATACGGCAAACAGGGCCCAATTGCTCAAAGCTTTGCAGAAAGCTTTGGTCCGTTTGATACTGCTTTCATTGAGGCATTAGATAGCACTGGACTCAGCAAAAAATCGGACCCGATCCTGGGAAAGCAACATGGCCCCTTCACGCCGACCAGTTCGGTTGATCCAACTATCCATAAGCGATCATACGCCGCAGAGGCTTACTACTCGGGAATGGCTGAAGGAAGGGAAAATGTTGAAGTATTGTTTGAAACGCACGTTGATAGGCTCATACTGCGTAGACCTGGAATGAAGAATTCCCTGGTTGATGCAGAAGGGGTTGTCACCATTGATAGCGATGGAAACATAAAACGGATATACGGGGACACTGTGATACTAGCAGCAGGCTCAATTCAGACACCGCTAGTACTAGAAAGATCTGGGATCGGTCGCCGTGACGTCCTCGAGCAACACGGAATCGACGTGGAAATTGATAGTCCGGGTGTCGGAGAGAATTTGCAAGACCATGTCTTTGCGTCCATATCAATAGAAGTCGCTGATGGCTTAACTACGAAGGATGCCGTAAGGAGTCCGGCAGTTGTTGCGGCGCTTGTGAAAGAATATAATGAAACAGAATCGGGACCTTTAGCGAGCGTACCTCTCAATTACGCAGTCCTGCCCCCTGTCGACGGATCTGGTAATATCTCAACACAGAAATTGGAGGAAATAGTAAAGGTACATGGTCAATGGAATCAAGCTCAAACTCTCGCTCCTGGAATTCAAGCACAGTTATCTGAGCTCACAGCCATGCTGCTCGACAAGCAAATCTGTGCCCTATACTTAGGTGCACTTGCTGCCCAGAGCGTTCTAAATCCGGAAGGGAAAACTTCCATGGCTGATGCGCATTCACCTCAGCGTCCAGAGAACTTCTTGACTATATCCATTGGATTGAATCATCCGATGTCTCGTGGAAGTGTGCACATAGGTGGGAAGGCAGTTGAGACGGATGTCGATATACACGGGCCTACCATCAATCCTGCCTATTTATCTCATCCACTGGACCGGGAGTTATTGGCGCGGGGTCTGCAATTTGTTCGGCGTCTGACACAAAGCGATGCCTTGAAGAAAGTCCTCAAGCCAGGTGGAGTCTTGTTGCCTCCCACCGCTGCCCAACTTTCAGATCTGAACATTGCAAAGCGTGTCAGTCGGGAGAGGGCGTGGTCCAACTATCATCCTGTTGGTACCTGTGCGATGATGCCCCGAGAATTACACGGTGTGGTAAGTGATCGTCTTCTTGTGTACGGCACAAGTAATATTCGTGTCATTGATGCGAGTGTTTTCCCAATGATACTCATGGGAAACATTCAAGCAACTGTTTACGCCGTTGCTGAGAAAGCTTGCGATTTGATTAAAGAAGATTGGCTGTCCAATCGTCGTGAAGAGTTTTGATCCACTTGATAGTCAGTGTACATAAATACCAACACAAAGCTATATTTTTAGTCAAATTTTTGTGCGCGAAGACTATCTGATTAGCACAGTATCATATTGGAGGGAAAGTTGACAACATATCCAACTTGAATTGATCCATCGACAGGTTATCTTGAGTCCTGACCAAAAGAGACATAAGGTTATCAGTGAGTTTCCCCGTGACAGAATATCAGAACATCTTTCCAGCGTGATAGACATATTGAACAGAATATCTAAAAACCTAGTAGGTCGATTGATATGACAATAGATATAGTTAACATGCGTTGGTATGTAATCGATGATAAGAGTCATACTCAACTTCCAAGGTGTGATGAATAGGCTTAAGATTATCTAAAGCAGCAAAAGGTTTGAAATAGCAACACTATCTCAGACACTAACTACGCTATCCGATTTCGACATGGACATGTAGCTGTAGTGTTGTGCATGAATCATCAGCTATGAAGAAAATTTGTAGAGGTCCTTTCCTACTGTGTAAAAACATTTTTCACTGCATATGAATTCCCCTAATTGGATTTGTCTTTATTGCTGTCCTCATTTCTCAAAAATCCTTCCCTGATGTATAAGATCACCGAGAGAATAGCTCCAGGGTTAATCAGGTAGCCCGCAACACTGAAGAAAAAAATCAGAGCGCTACTGCGGGCAGAATTATTACTTCCGATGTGAGGATACATGATTTCGATAACGCGAGTGCTCCAGATTGCAGTAATTAGGACAAAAAGGGTGAAATCCCACTGCAGAAAAAAATGGACTTCTGGAGCCATCATGACTGACTTCGAATGGTCGGTGCCGAGCATATCACCAAAGCTTGGAATGAAGACTTTTGAAAGCGAGACCCCTGGATTATCGGATCGCAGAATGGTGCCAATGGACGCCAAATGGACAAGTGCTGAAAACAACCCGAAAAGGGCATAAGTCCCTTGAATCCAGGAGATGTCAGCATTTCGAGATCGAGGCGTCCGATCGGTGTGATTAGACGACACAAAGCTCGCACCACCAGCGACGAGTAGATAGCAAAAGATGCTTCCGAATTGGTTGATTGCGATTACTTGTTGGTGCTGCGCACTTGTCATTCCAGCAGGTGGGAAGTGAATAAGAATGTATGGCCAAATGTAGGCCAGAGCCGAGGCGAATGGGAGTGACACGGCGTAGTGGTAAGGGACACTAGGTAAGTTGTCACTTGTACGAGTGGAATAAAAGTGAAAGAATAAATCGTAATAGCAGAACAGGCCCATAAAAACACCAGTTCCAAGCCACATCCACACAAATACAGACAGAGGAGCGAGACGCAGCATTAGAGGCTTATTTCCACTCCTCCGAAAGCCCTCAACACTAGCCCATGCCGCTAGAGATTGCAACGCTGGATAAAGAACCACCGATTGCAGCTTTAAAGCTGGATACTGGGTAATGGCTGGAGTCCAGAAACCGACCGGCATCGCGATGAGATAGTCGACCGCTGCGAAACCGGTGTACACATTGTGTCTTAGACTGCCGTCACTAAATCTTTGATTCCACATTGTGCGGAAAAGCTGATACATGGCACCATTGATGGTCAAGACTCCTAGCAGGATGCAAAACCCAAACGCACTAATGGCGAAAAAGGTCCTCTTGGTCGAGGCTATATTGAGGTCTGTGGTCTTCATCGTATCGAATCACTTGCTCTTGGATTTGGGTCTTCCTGGTTCGAGCGAAGATAGAACTTGGGAGCTCACAAATTTCAACTTACTTAAAACAAAGAGCATATGATATAACCCTGGTACATTCACAACTCGGAATCGCTACCGAGCATCGGAATCGCGTCTTCCTCAGAGCTTGGACAGGGTTAGAGTTGCTCGGCCGATGCACCCGACTTGGTGAAGTTTCGAGTCAACCAAATCGATCACGACCATGTTGATTTCTGTAATACTTTGTCTTTTGCTATCTTTTCATGTTTTGAGTACAAGCATTCAATAATACTGGGACCTAAAATTGAAATCAAAATCAAGACCAATCATGGCGGACATCTTTCGAGACTCAGTCTGTGGCCAGATAGCGAGAGTCCTCTTTAGAGGGCGTCTTTTGTACGCCGATGAGCAGCAAGACTTTCAAATCCCTTTCTTTGAAGAGAGGTCTTTGGGAATTTCCAGTCAAATTAACCGCTCAGTCGCTGAAACGGAAGGTAGTAGCTCGTCGAGCGAGGCCCGTGTAACAACAAAAATAGCGATTGTTGGTTGGTACAGTCCTGAGGATCCAGACAACCCCCAGAACTGGTCCACCGCGAAAAAAGTGCTTATTTCCACATTGATAACTCTTTTGACGTTTTCTGGTAAGTTTTAGAAGCATTCCTGAATACTAGTATTCAGTGCTCAAGATGATATTTTAGTCTATGTTGGATCATCCATCATCACACCGGCGAACACGATTCTTATGGAAACATACGGAGTTTCGGTACAAGTTGTATCCTTATCATTATCAATGTACGTCTTGGGATATGGCATTGGGCCAATGTTCTTCAGTCCAATATCTGAAATGCCACGCACCGGACGCAATCTACCATATTTGGCATCTCTTTTCCTATATTTGATGGTCACGATTCCTGCAGCAACCACAAAGAGTTTTCCCGGATTCCTTGTATGCAGATTCCTACAGGGTCTTATGGGTGCTCCTGTACTGGCTACGGGCGGTGCGTCCGCCACGGATCTTTACGACTTTCACAAGGTCCCTTATGCACTAGCCGCCTGGAGTGCCGGTGCATTCGCTGGGCCTGCACTAGGCCCTGTAATGGCAGCGTTCGCGGTGACAAATTCATCTTGGCGTTGGCCAATGTATGAGCTACTCATAGCGGCGGGGTCCAGTTTTATAATTCTGTTTGTGTTTCTGCCAGAGACCAGCGCAGATACCATCCTACTAAAACGCGCACGTCGACTTCGTCGATCGACCAGAAATCCAGCCCTTCGCTCTGAGTCCGAGATCAAACAAGGCGAGATGAATCTACTAAGAACCGCGGGTCTTTATTTGACCACACCACTCAAAGTAACACTCCTTGACCCATCAGTTGCTTTTATCAATGTTTACACCGCATTGAATTATTCTATTATCGTATGTACTATTTTGTTTTCTTCAGCATTGTCCACGGGGTCTCCTCCTACTAGTCTGGTAATGTGACGGCTAATTTGCCGTACGCCGCTACAGTATTCTTACTTCGAGTCATTTCCGAGAGTTTACCTCGGTGTATATGGCTTTTCCATCGACTCTTTAGGCGTCATATATACGTCGCTTCTCGTTGCATGTGCCATCGGATGTGGCATCTTTGTTGTTGTACAGCTCCTGTTTGACGAGCCGTACACTTTAAAGAACGGCATTGGGACTCCAGAGCACCGCCTTATTCAAGGAATATATGCTGCCGTTGTGGCTCCATTTGGTATTATGTTGTTTGCTTGGACGGCAAGGACCGATATACATTGGATCGTACCCACGATTGGTATCACGATATATCAAGCTTCTGGCTTCATTGTAAATACGCTCTCCTTCTGTTTTCTTAATTGCTTAAATCTTCAAAATAACCACTGACGTGAAGAGATTCTGCTCATAGGTTGGATCTGTCATCTTTCTCTATCTAGCGCTGACGTACCCTCGCTATTCGGCGAGTCTTTTCGCTGCTAATAGTAAGCCCTTCAGTCATGATTCTCGTCCCTCCTTTTTCGAGACACATTATATGATTCAATTCCTGGACGAGGCAAACGATGAAATCCAACTGCTGACAATGTGTGCAGCCTTCATGCGAAGTGCGTTGGCGTGTGCTGCGATACATTATGCGCAGCCCCTGTTTGACAATCTAGGCATAGGAGGTGGATGCACCCTCTTGGCTGGATTGACTGCCGTGTGTGCAGCGTCGATGGCCATGCTTTGGTATTATGGTCCAAAGTTGAGGGCCAGGAGCAAGTTTGCAGAAACGTATTAATCATTTTTCGATGCTTGTCTTGTAAAGGTTGGTGCAGATCGCGACTTTTACGATAATGAGTCTTTCAGTGTTAATGAAAGCCTTGGACTCTCTCAGATCCCAAGGTCTACGACCTGAAAGCTACTTGTTGTTATATGTTGTGAATTTGGCTGTAGGATAGGCCTTTATTTGTATCTGTAACTGCAATACCAATTAATCACTTTCACTGCAAGCAACTACAAATTCCTTCAGAATAGAAAATTCAAAAATTCATAAAGAGTTTCCTTAGTTCGCTTGGAGTCTGGTACTTTAATCAAAAAGGCCTTGATGGTGACTCGGACTAGTACCTTGAAAAGAACCTTCAGTATTGTTCCCAACCGTCATACAGTCTATCAGCAATTGATCCTTGAATTTTGCTTTTGTGGAATACTTGAATAGGATATATATCTGTCGGAATCTGCATACCTCAGCTTTTCATTGATGCTCGCAGATTTTACCCGATGAAAATTGAATGATTGAGATTGTATAGACATAGCCATAGCAAATTGACTTTGACTACTGTCAACTTGATTCGGAGCTTGTACGGAGTGAATAGTATCCGTATCTGAAAGCTCCGAATTGGGCTTTCGTATAAATTATGCTCCCGTGGCACTGGGGGGCCATGCCGAATCAATATCCAGACTGTGAGAATTCGGCCTCATGAAACACTATCAGGTGAGTTTCGGCTCTGCGATATCATCTGGGCCATCGTGTCATTGGCCTGTTCGTTAATTATATCGGCGGCCTCGGATTTTGCAGCTTCATCGTAATAGTCATGGCCGAGGCGGATAGAGTTCTCATATAGCCCATTCACTACCTTAGGTCGAGACTCAACAGCTTTATTGTCAGAATGCACAATACTTACACTAAATCATTCATCATGTAAATCCCGTTCAACTCGACTACAATTGCTTATTACAATGAGAGACGACATAGCGATCATGAAAGGCATCAAACAGCCTTACTTTTGGTGCACGCTCGCCTTGGTTGCAATCACTGTCTTCATATTGAAAGCCATCTGTGACAAACGAAACTTAACTCAGACAGTTGTTAGCTTCCTCGGCAGCATATTCGGCATAAAGCTCCGAAATATAACTATTCCTGGGCCTTCCGGGCTACCTCTTGTAGGATGTCTGAATGAAGTAAGTATCCAACGGGGTTGGCTTTGAACTTTACTCATCATTCTTTCTAGTTCAAAAGTGGTCATATCCAGAAGCTTTCAGAATGGTCCAGAGAATATGGCGATGTGATTCGTGTTCCTCTAGGTAAACGTGAAGCAGTACGTAGTTCACTTCTCCCATATACATGAAAGACGTTGAATTGATATGTTTTGTATTGGGCAGGTGTTCATAAATAGTCACAAGGCTCTAGTACAGACAATCGTCCAACAGGGTCCTGCTTATCAGTCACGTCCTACGTTTGAGCTATATCATAGTAATTACGCATCGGATGGCATCTGGACCCTTGGTAGTAAGTTTTAATGTCTTTTGTGTACATTAAACTCTGAAATGTTTTGGCAGCTAAGACTGATGTACAGCATCTCCAATAAACATAAGCGTTGCTCGAACTCGTAAGGCATTTTCTAGTCAGACGGCGTCTCGCATCCTTCCTGTTTACAACTCAGTTGTCCACACGAGACTGAAAAAGCTTTTTGATGACTTACTAAATGTAAGTCACGGTCCTGCGATTGACGTTGCTGAGATCCTTCACTGTTATGGCACCGGACAAATTTGTGAGCAGCTCGTTGGGCAGACTCTTGATGATGCAACGGTGAGAGTCATTGCTGAAAACGAGACGAATATTTGTCAGTAGACATACTAAAAGTCGCTGCCACAAGCATACGTTGGACTGACACGACATATTAGTTCGTCAGCGCACGATTGGTTCACCCCTTCGCGACTACATACCTCTCCTGCGTGCCGCCAGCCAGGTTCGCTACTGGATCATGACTGTTTTCGGGCTTAGTACGTGGGCTATTAGTAAGGACGTGTATAATGCCCGCGAATTTCGTAAAAAACAGCATATATACATTGATGTGTTGTTAAGCGATCTGAGAGCACGTTTAGCCTCTGGTGATCAGACTCCCTCCATCGTGGGCAATATTATGCGTCAAGGGCGATTGAATGACGACGAGATTCTTTTGGCTTCATACACAGGCAGTATGTTTCTACACTTATCTATTGAGATTCCTGGCTTCTAATTTAATTTCGAAACAGTTGCGGCTGGCATAAATCTAGGTTACTCACTTACTTGGATTATTGGTTACCTTGCAAACAGGCCAGATTTGCAGCAGAAAGGATTCGAGGCTATCCGTGAGGTATACCACGGCAAGGTACCCAATCCTCATGAATTCGATCGCGTCGAGTACGTTAAGGCACTTCATACTGTCAGTAACTAAATTCCACTGTCATACCGACTACCATCTCTGACAACAGAAAAATATAGGATGGCTCCCGCATGTTCACTCCAGTCCGTCTTGGATTTCCCCGAGAAACACTTGATGGTGCCAAATATATGGGAAATGTCATTCCCAGCGGCACGGTAAGCTTCCAGGCCGCACTCGACCTGTTTTCAGGATGGAATTCTGACAATCAATGAAAGCTAGTTGTCATGAATCTGTTCCAGGCAAATCGTGATCCCATCGCATTCGATCGACCAAACGAGTTTTTACCGGAACGGTGGCTAGATGGGCACAAAGGTCGTACCGACCGGCTTCTTGAAGGAGCAGATAAAATTGGTACGCCTCACTTAACCTACGGCGCTGGCCGTCGTGTTTGTCCTGGAATCGATGGTAAAGTTGCCTCGTGTACTGATATCCGGGACTCGCTTTGGTAAACTGACGCACTGCCTTAGTGGCTAATCGCGGGCTATATTCCACCCTCGTAATTCTTTTACACTTTTTCACCTGGGAGCGACAGCCTCTGGGAGAAGGTGAGAAGAATTCCGTGTCTCCCGCATTTCGTGCCAAGCGCGAATGCTCGCTTGAAATGGATGCTCTTCTGGATACTGCAACGCCGACTGAGGCTCAGGCAATTCCATGGTCTGCTGGGATCATGTTCCACTGCCGTGATCCTGAGGCCCTTCGTGCCTGGCTCGCGTCCGGGAAAAACTGATATCTAAATTTTAGCGAATAAAAGAAGATAATGTGCTTGTGTGTGGTCGTTTCCATGTTGCTACTAGGCCTCGCACCCGGCATAGGGAGTCAACAAACTCTGCACGGCTAGCTACGTAGGTCCTAATTCTATATATCATTCATCCTCGGAGCCAAATATACCGTTACTTTCAACTACATATTAGGTTCTATGTATCTCGCTAAATAAGCATAAGACTTGCATGTCCCCTTGCGCAGAAATTTCTCCAGACGTCACTTGCAGTGGCTTATGATGCATTAACACTTAGCAGCTATATTAGAGGTTTTCGTCATTATTTTGGATATATTGTTATATTGCTGCATTCTTACGGTAGAAACCCGAAGCAGTTGAGTTACGTAGCCCTTCAGAAATGAGAACGACTGAACTAACTAGGTAGAATTCATACTTTGTGTTTTCCATGTTTCTTCCCCAGGATTTCCCATACTGAATTCAAGATCCAAGCACAATCCCTGCGTCAATTGCTCACGAATTAAAGAGCCTATCAATGAAATTCTTCCCTCGCTATGGAACGTCTCGTTATATATGAACTCTATGTTGAGCATACCTCTAAAGGTCCAAGTATCCACTAAGATATTTGGATGCAGGAGGTCTAGCGCGAACCACAGATCAACCACTTCGACGACGGGTTTTGTATCTTTTGCGTTTTGATATAGGCTCTTGACCCATTTATCCATAATTCCAAGACTGGAATGATTCAGATCACTCGGGGTGTCTTTGTCATTGAATCCAGGTTGAGCCGCCGCCGAAGTGAGGTGGCATATAAGGTCTGGGCCAAATTTCTGGCTAGCAGCACAAACTACATCATCTTTCATAAAGCGCGAAAACTCAGCTTTAGCTGTTTTTGCACTTTCAACGAAAGACTGATCTGGAGGATGTTTGAAAAGGGCAGGCATCACAAAGATATTAGAGCCGACTAGTCGCTCCACTGGGTATTTACGAAGGTCAATATGTTTCGCGCGTGCATCATATATAGCCATATTGCAGTGGTTTTCAGCTTCACTCTTTCCGCTTTGTATTCTGCATGCGCGTCCCAAAGCTGCTTGCATGGCAGAGGTAACGCTGAAACCCAATTCCTTGCATCTTGATGCCAACGTCGTTGTTTGCTCCGAACCGAGAGTCATCCATAGTAATTTTGTTCTCTGAGCCGGCATTTTGGCATTGCGTGTGGCCAACCTGATGCTTGAGCTGTCTGTAAAGAAATTGCACATGCTTCTTTCGTATGTATCGCGTTGAGAAGATGACATACTTCGGGGAGCCCTGGCTCCGATCGCCACCGATGGCATCAAGTGCACCGCTTCCTGGCCAGTCGGAAATTGAATTTCTTTTCCACTAGTCGCCACGAGTTGGCGCATCAAATGGTCCATAAACATTGCCATCCCTAATCCGTCTACATGTGTGTGCGGAACTCTAAGCAGAATTTCTTGAGTCTGCGAGAGGACATATAGCTGAGCTCGCTGTGGTATGGGCTCGTCAATGAGTGGGAATAGCTGGCGTGCTGAGCCGGCTGTGTCATGGACGTGAAAAGTCTCGTCAAGCCATGCGTTCCAATCGTGTTCGTCAGCAGTACGATATAGCCATCGTCCACCTTGAACAAGAGCTGAGAGGGAGGGCAATTCTAGTTTAAGCGCCATCCATGCCTGCTTTAGATCTGAGATAAATTCGACTTTGTTTCGTTTGGTGACTACTTTGATGCCAGAGAAGCAACACCAATTGGATCGGTCGGGCCGGCCTTGGCCGACCTGTGAGATGAAATCAAAAAGTTTCTCTAACCCATCGAGCTCACGCTCATAAACTCCATGCCTAGTTTCGGTCCACTCTAGTGATAGGGATGGAGGGGAATGCTCAGGAACCATTTCGAAGAGGAAGCCAGACAGCCTGACTGAGAGCGAAAAGCTGCATGGGCGACAGACCCCGTGCAAGAGATAAAAGGGAGAAAAATCCTGCCAACAAATAACCTTTAAGATCTGAACCTCAAACTTCACGGAAGGAAGCGTCAAAGCAGTCTTTGTTCTGATTGAAGTGCTGTTACCTCGGAGACCCGAGATGAGTCTCGTATCGCCGGCCGAGGCGGCTCCGACATGAAACTTTCCATTTCGGGACGGTCTTACCATTTTGGGACTAATGCGGTTCTTCATCAATTGATTATACAATATTTTATCGACTGGTGGTTTCTTGGATAAGTATAACATCTTGTAAATTGAATCATTGTATTTGCATGAGCCAGGCTAATCGGAATTTGCACTTTTATTTTGCTTTACTACAGCACCTCTCTAAGCAAACGTTCTCAATACCCAGGATAGCAGTTGACGATGGTATTTTCACCAAGCACATCAATGTATGGAGAGACACCTGGTAACTCTGATGTCTCAGAATCCCGGTCAAATTCTGAGCATACTCGTTCTTTTCGCGTCGTTATCACGGGTGCAGGAGTTGGCGGACTCGTCATATCGCATGCACTAACCCGTGCAGGCATCGAGCATGTGGTACTAGAGAAGGGAGTTGTAGCGCCCAAGTGGGGAGCAAGCATATCAATTTGGGCGAACGGTGCGCGTATACTGCAACAAATTGGCTGCTGGGACGCTATAAAAGCTGCCAGTTTACCGTTGAGGATGATATACATACGTGATCGGACAGGTAAATATTACTCAGCCGAACCCTACTTCGAGATGATGACTGAAAGGTACATTTGACACAAATTGAGAAGATGTTGCCATTGCTAACAATCATACGGAAATAGAAATGGCTTTGAATACGTCACACTGGAAAGGCGCGACTTTCTGAGAATTGTGTACGAGCAACATCCTGATAAGAGCAGAATTTTAGAAGGAAAAAGAGTCATTGATGCCGTTGACACGGAGAATGGCATTTCAGTCAAGCTTCACGATGGCACAGTTGAGGAAGGAGATATCTTGATAGGTTGCGATGGTGTTCATAGCACGGTGCGAGACCTTATGTGGAGAAACGCCAATACTAGTATTCCCGATTTTATTACAGCCCGAGAAAAGACTTGTAAGTCGCTGCTGGATCGAAAAAATCAAACTTCTGCAATGTCACAGACGGTACTAATCTTTGAATAGCGCTCGAAACCACGTATCGGGCTCTTGTGGGTGTTGCAAAGCCAATTCCAGGAATGAGCACAAACGACATGCACTGGATTACACACTGGGGCTTATCTTTTTTGATTCTCACGCAACCGAACAAGACCTTTTTCTTCGTCAATTGGAAGCTACCGCAAAAGCTGACGTGGCCATCGAAAGCCAAGTGGACGGACGCCGAAGCCGAAGTTGCTGCAGCTTCCGTCTCCCACCTGCCCATCACTGAGTCAGTAGTTAGTATTTCAAGAATCCTTATCCAAAGCTGATAGTCGACTACTCACTGAATTGCTCATATTGTGAAGGTCTTTGGGGAATTATGGAAGAATAAAATACGAGCCCACCTTCTTGGTCTCCAGGAAGGCCTATTTGACCACTGGTCGTTCGGAAGGATTGTTCTCGTGGGAGATTCAGCTCACAAAGTAAGCAATGAGTATCGCTGAAATCTAGCTGGTTGCTAATAGTTCAAAATTATCAGGTAACTCCTAACCTTGCTCTAGGGGCAATGTGTGCTATGGAAAGTAGTGCCGTATTAGTCAACAAGATCAGAGATCTAACGAACGATCTCGAGCCGGGTCAAAAAGCGTCGAAGGCTTCCATTGAAAAAATGCTCTGCGAGTTCCAACAGGAACGCATGGCACGACAGCTAGAGGCTTCAAGTGCTTCAGCATTCTTAACTCGTTTGCATGCCTACGATGGGATCTTAAAATGGTTCACGATGCGTTGGGCTACACCCTTAATGGGTCAGGTCAAAATTGCAAATATGATGAGCGACCTTTGTTCTCGTGCCCCCAAAATAGCATTTCTACCAGTTGAATACGTGAAAACAGCAACTTATAAATGGCAGGATGAGCCAAATCATATTCCTGTGCCACCTCGTGATTCAAAAGAAAAGCTGACTTCGGTTCTCGAGAACCCAAGTATATTTCAGCCCATTGCTGTGCTTTTTGCTATATTTCTTCTCCTCTTAATGTCTAGTTCTGAATTTGAGCGAGCAATTACGTCTACAACCGCAAATTTGCAATTGCCCGACGGCTTTGTACGACATTGATTCAAATGGCAGTTAGCTTGTATGAAGCCTCTATACTTTTGCTACGAGACCTTTTCCAATGTTCCCAAGAATGATAGTGAGAACTATGACTTACGCCACAGAATGTAAGCGGGTATGCTGTAACGACCGTGTCGGTCTAGTACTTGAATTCAGGCTGAAGATCAATTTCGGTAGAAAAGGGCCGGATAATCTTTGTACATACTGAGAATAAAGACTTAATAGCAAGTTGGAGTAGTAGCGATTGTGCTTTTACACTATAAAATAATGAAAGTAGACTTGAAATTCAAATTCAAATGGAATTATCTGGAGAAACGCCTGAAATGGTCATCAAATGTGTCCAATAAAGACGTCATCGGTCGAACAATACCATCGCAGGTATGAGAACGAGGATTTTAAATTAGACTTGGGAATGCGAAACTATTTCGAAATCGAGGTAGTAAGCCGATCCAAGTTCGTGAATTCGGTGCGTAACCGTCTCCGAGATCCTGAAGAGCCGAGAAAGCCCTGGCACTGACTTAGAAGATCTGTGTACCTATTTGTCTCATCTTTGCAAGCTTCCATTGCCCTATATAGCACATTGAGTGATTCACGTGACTCCGAACTTAGAAAATGCTGGCTATTCCCGCCAGCAGCTCCAGTGATTTTGTTAGCACAGACTTCTGCGAGACGCATATGTGCCTCGGCCGCTAGAGCTAATGATGGCATGATGTAGAAGCCTGCTTCGCGATATATTGTAATCTGTTTCAATTAAATATACCAGCAGTCTAAATGAATGGTCATGTGCAAATCACTCACCCTTGCATTATCCAGCACCTGCGCTTGCAGAATGATGTCGCTTATGTCCTTGGCTGTTGACACATTTTGACGTAAACACTCATCAACTACAGGTTTCAGGAACCCTGCCATGCCACTGTGTAGGATAGCTGTATTAAAAAGCTGGATTCGGGCACCAAGGATCATTATCATTGCCAACACCGACAACTCATTGTCAATGGGTTGAGTAGATAAATGGGTCGACGCGAGACGCGATACCATGATTCCTATCTCCTGATCAATTCGATCATGAATATGACAATAATTGTATTTTACCAATGGACCCGTAGCATCAACTGCTGTTTCTCGGCGATGGAGGTCAGCATCTGATGTTATGCGGCAAGAGAGCATGAATAATGAAAAATCGTCCAATGTATTAACTGTTGAAGATGTTATGCGATCAAAAATAGAGCATTGTCCAGGAATATTGTACGCTGCACTCAATTTGGAAGGTTGCATACATGCCTATATTTTTAGCTTAGTAAAATTCAGCAGGTTTATTCGATGTTCGTTATGGGCGAACTTACGAGATAGCTTTCAGCATCGTCGTGTATCTGTGCCGCCATGACATTCCGGTACTTCAAGGAGAGTACAAAGAAAACAGTTCTTTGAAACTCTCCCTTCCTGTTCGAATCTATTTTTGGAATGTTCGAAAGAGTGTGGCTTTGATTTTTCTCATCTAAACGACGCTGTAATATCGAGAGTAGAGTGTCCAGGCGAGATATAGTGATGAGAGCTTGAGGTAAATTCATGTGCGTGACTTCGTATCGAGCTATCAAGACAAGAGCCTGAGCTACTTCCAGAGACCAAAAGACAGAGCTGTGAGCCTCCAGCTCGGCTTGCTCAATATGGTAGCGTGCTTTCTTATAGAACTGTCGTTCCCGCGATGATTCTTTATCTATGTGAGCGCCCGCCATGAAAATCGCGTATTTCAACGCTCGTGCCTGGCTTGCATTCGAATTGACTGTGGACTGCCTAAATCTATCCTCGTCAACCAATGGCAAGTGTCTTTGAATAATGGCAAAATATTTCTTCAGTCTTCGTGCAGCCAAGAAAATTGCCTGCGTTAGCACAAGCCATTTGAGGAAGAAAACCCAGAGCTTACAGATCTTCGTCAGCCCTTTCATGTAGCTGAATGCTCTCGTTATCGTATGGACTAGATCGCGATGAAAGATTTGCTGAACTGTTTGAGAATCCGAATCCACCGCCCCAAGACCTATTTGCTTGGTCATTCTCACCCAGATCCATATTTAGAGTGATCTCATTTTGATTGGTTTCAGGCCATTGCGGTTCACCATCCAACTGATCAAAGACAGTATCGAAATCAGATGCTAGATTCTCCCTATCAATGCATTTGTAAGCGTTCACACTGAAGTTAGATTCGCTGATCTGATAAAATACCACGATGAGACCAGGGCTTCCTGGCTCGCAACTGCAATATTTACAGTCCCTGGAATTGATGCAATGAAATCTGTACTGGACTGTGGTAGATAAATCTGGGAGTGCGATTCGCGGTGAGGGTCATGTTCTTTGACTTGGCTAGAAGCCTGAATCATAGACTCGGCTGGKCCTGTTCGACAAGAAGTCAGAATTACTTTTCTCAGTGGGATTGATTGGCTGGTCGGAATCGACTGACTCAGACGATCGTTAAGCTCTGCTAGAGCCTTGGTGAACTTGGCAGGAGTGGCGTTCTCAGATGGATATGCGCATTTGTATCCAGATCTTCTGCACCTAAAACATTCCGGTTTGTTTCTATCGCAGCGAACTTTCCTTTCTCGGCATATGTCACAGGTCGTTCTCTAGTTAGCGGCTTATTGTTCACCGCCACTTGTAGTTGCCTCAACCCATCCCTGGCATTCGAAGCCATTGTTATCAGACTGTGCAAATTCTGACAATGTGCGTGCAAAATTGATTCATCACTTACAGCTTGGGCAGTCGACGGATATATAAATCCTTGATCAGTGCTCACTAAGCTGGGTGCTTCATCCCGTCCGAGACTTCAAAGACTAGTCATGCAACAACCGGTAGGGATGGGCCTACAATATCAGTATAACGCTACACCCGATTGGCCCTGTTATGGCGCACTCACAACTAATATATTTTACTGATTCGTGCCTGTGCCACTTCCGTATCCTGGCCTTTGTTGAGGGCTAGCTGGAACATGACCGCAATAGTTTGTAATTTGTGGTATTTGAGCTCCGATTGGCCAAAAAATTACAATTTCTTGCAAAAAAGCAGTACAGCGAGGGAGAAATAGCACATATTTAATTCTGTCTAAGCAGGAAGCTATCAATCTCCGCCAACACCCAAGGTGCGTTTTCTCCCTTCGATCTGCGCCGCAAAGTGGAACCGAACTGACACATGCACGGAAGGTCAATTTAGTCGATGAGCTTCGTGTGCTTTAATATTCTCAATCGGGTTTAATCTCCCCATACCAATGTGACCAGCCTCAACGAAAGTTCTTTTACTCTCCGTGTAAGTATCCACTTTGACAAAGTAAGAAAGCTCATTTAGATGGGATTGGTTACGCCAATCCCGCCGTTTCCGCCACCGGAGGACCGGACTTAGAAACTAATTTCCAAATTTACAAAAGGCGTCCGGGATAATCGCGCCGCACACGAAGATCATCGAATGAGAATATTAAAGAAGAGCTCTGTTGGTGTTCGCTGCAGTATTCACCTCGGAATCGATATACGCGATGCGGCTACCTTCACTGGTATTTGAAACTGGTCCGACAATTTTACTGCCTTGGGAATTTTTGAAAGGATCGTAGATTTTCCTGGGCTTCTTTCGCTTTAAAGCCTCGCTTGAAACCTCTCATGGATCTTAAAAGGCAACGCTTTCCGAACGCCAGGGCAAAAAGTCGCCGAATTTATCTGAGCTATTCCAATTCAGCTTCGCTAGCAAACATCGCGTTTGCGCTTACTAGATTAGCAGCTCTCCTACCTAGACAAGGGTGGCGTTAGAACAAAGGACATGCGAGTATATCCTGAGAGATTTATGATTATATGATGTCGTTATTTCTATAAAATCATTACACGAGTTGCCTCACAGGAGATCGGCGTTACCTGTTGCGTTACCACCGACCGCTAGGTGGGGGGAGGTGACGCGACGGTTGTGGCTTGCTTTAGTCTTTCAAGTTTCCACGCCTATCGTACAATTCCCTCGAGTCTCGAGATAACTTGAATCGCCATCCTACGTGACATGGGAACAGCATTATCTCGGCTCACAAAGAGCACTAGTAATAGTAGTTGCACTGCAACTTCCTGAGTAGGTGGTGGGTACATTTGGACCTCCGAGGGTCTGTTGGCTTCTGTTACGAGTCAACCTGCATTACGCTAAAGCATACTAGCTCCAACAAGGAAAGGAGAAGTATTGTCGCGAATGGCATCTGGCTTCCGCGGTAAAAGGAAGGAAAGATACCAACCCAAGTCCCGTGACTACGAGAAATATACGTGATAAAATAAATAGTATACCCAATGAGCCACCATCTACCATCTACCGCGAGTGGTAGACGATACACGGTATATAAAACGTGGAGAACTGGATACATAAGGACGAACCTACCATCATGTATTTAGTTCTTCATAGCTCTTTGACATAAGTCACTCGAATACAACTGCGAGAGTCAGGAAGACATTCTAACTCATAAAGGCACCATGTTATACGGGGGATCTCTTCTATCCTAGTTATATTTAAACTTCCAGCTTATCGAGCGACACATTGTTACTTTGTTTACACAAGTTACCTCCATCGAAGACTCAAGGAACCTATGTGAGGGTCAATCAAGCCTAATTAATGTATGTTGCCATACTACTGTTTGACTTAAGGTGGATCTAGATCCGTGACATTCTGGACCTTGTCCTGTCTAGCCTCATTGACATGATTTTTCGGTTACCTGACGCTCGTATGGTCATCGCTTCAATGGCCTTCTGAGAATCTGAGTGGGACGCGTATTGTATTGTATTTTTTGTATGTTGTGTGTCAATCACTATGTCCATACATAATATACGGAGTACTACATATGGTAAAACCGTGCACGCTAGTTTAGCGAGAGTGTTCCCTCGTCAAATCCTTATATCGAGGAATACTGAATATCCAATGAGAGCACGCGAGTGGATTTATGCGCTGCGCGGCATTTCTAGAATACGGTTGACCCCGGTCGTTTTGTTAGTACAATATTTATACGAGGGCCAGATTCCAATCAATTCTGCATGTCATATGTGATTACCGTCAGAATATCGATCTCACATTTCGGAGCTATTGCGCCCCCGAGTGCAATAGCGACGCAAGAGCGACCGGAACGGAATAACCTTTATCCCCCATGCTTACACGGCGACCTGCTTCTAGTTTTGACGCTTACTTTACGGACTCCATATGTTGTCCCCGTGACAACACTTGTTGCAAGCCTCGTATTATAAGGTAAATCTTTATACATACATATAAATAAGCGTATACCGATCGACTCTTGTCATGTTACAAACGTCCGTTAAAACAGCGAAGTCAGATCGAAAGCAAATACCACCACCGTCACAGTATCACGTCATATCATAAGTTCTCCTCCAAAGCTGTCTGTGTCAGAAGAACAATGACTTCGCGGTTACGTAGATGGCTAGGTCGCCAGGAGGAGCCTCCCACTACTGAAGTACTCAACCTCGTGGGGATAAATGAGAAAACCTGTAAGGTACAAGCGCGAGACGATGACGCGAGAAGAATGCCAATACCAAACAGACTGCGTCGCCCACTTACCCCGCCCTTTGTCCTAGAAGAAAGCCGGACGGTGATTAAACGTCGCATGGATATCAATCCACAGAAAAACAGTCCATTTTTCTCTCGAATACCTACGGAGATTCGGCACTTGGTCTACTTGACACTCTACGGTAAGCGGAGAATACACTTGGAATTTCACATCGGCCCAAGGCACAACATTATCAGGAACAACCGTAATCGATCTAATGACAAGACGGCCTATATTTGGGGCTGGTGGCATTTTGTCTGTCATCAACCTACATTTCTTCCCGCCAGATGTGTTCAGCCTCCCGATCCATGGGATTCTTGTCAAGCTATAGCAGAATGGGGGATTATGTCAGAGGAGGCAGGTGAGCCTTACGATAGGGAGCTCTTTGTCGATCGGAAATTACCCGGTTCAAATTGGCTGCGATCTTGTCGGATCGGGTGAGAGCGCTCTCTTTTCGTTCCTATGCTTTCTCCAGTCCGACTTGTACAAATAAAAATTTGCTAACATACTCGTCAGATACGCTGAATGTATCGAAGTAGTGTATGGCTCCAACACCTTTATTGTCAGTCAGACTGATGCAATGCTGTTCCGTCTGTCTAAGCCGTGGCCAGCAAGCCATCTTTCTATGATTACGTCTTTGGATGTTGAGCACCATGTTGAATTCATGGAGGGCTCAAACTTCCCTACAAAGTTGTACCTTCAATTTTTTAAATTGCTCTGTAACAGAAATATGTTTCCCCGTTTACAGACCCTTCGCATTCTACTTGGAGTACAGCCTCGCCAGCCAACAACAGAATTTGAACGTCGGACATGGCCGGCGCCTTGGGAAATCGAGTACGGAATTGACCTTCGTCGCCCAGCTGCTCCGTTTAGTGCGGAGGAAGAGGATGCATGGCTACACCCGTGGGAGGAACTTGTCCGTAGCCGGCCCAAGTGGAAGAGGCTCCAGATAATTGTTCCTAGAAGCTGGAAACAATTCTTTGGCGACATAGTTCAGGGGCGGCCCACGCTTGATAATGATGCGCTCGAAATTCTTGGTGGCGTCGAGTTTCGTCCCAAAAGGACCATCCACTTTGTCTGTGAAGTTTGATTGCTCTCTCAGGTTAGAGCAGAACGGATTCTTTTATATGCCTCTCTTTTATGAAATGATATATATACTTAGCTTGAGGATTTTTAAATCGTTTTGGAAACAGAGCAAAGCTGTTGGAAAAATGCAGATGCTTTACTTCGTTCAAGTATTAGAGTTTTGGTGTGATTTCAAAGAATCGCAACGCTTCACGTTAATTTTTAACCATTGCCTCTCCACCTCCACCCCCTTAGGACCCCTAGCGCCGTCTATAACCTTATTGTCGTTGAAACAGCCTAGGCGAGTGCCAATTGGTGTGCGAATCGAGGTCTTGTTAATGTACGTGCTTATACTCAAATTCTCCGATCGTGCGCTCTACATATGTTTCCTTTTTGTTTCTTTCATTAGCCCGTGATTATGCCTCAAATATCTTAGATAAAGCTACCATTGACTGATTCGAAATATCCCTCTCTTAGATGAGATTTAACAGGCCAATATCTAGGATATTATCTTCGATCTATGAGCTTGTTCAATTTTCGCTTCTTGCTTGCACGTCGTCGTGGTCGTTTTGTATAACATTTTCACAGTATTGGGCACTTCAAATTCGTTCTGGGCTATTACTGATATATTTCAGTGCGGTGATTAGGTTCATAACTCCACTCAAGTCTATGACATAGTGGTCCGTAAAAAGGCGTACCTACTGCGGACGGGAAGACGCCACCATGAGACGATTGGGTAGTTCGAGAAAAAAACATACTCTGAAGAGGTGGCCAGCAGTCATGACTGCATGGCGGATAATTTTTATTATCGAATGTTATAAAAATTAATTCCCAGGTGTATCTATCTCTGTGACTGGTAGTAGCTAATTATGTGATCGGACATCTCACTGTTATAAATTACTCAACTCACAACGCCAAGCAGAAGACGCAAATAGACTTGCAGACAGCAGTCAACATTTGAAAATTATACAGTCTGCCCAGATGGCTTTGGGTTGAGTATATATATCTGGTTTTTTTCTCTTCCATCGAACAAAACACAACACTTCAATACGGTCCTCACGCTCAAAGCGACATACGTCCATTTGAATTGATCATCTTATTCCAATATGCGTTTTTATCCACGGGCTGTTGAGGGACGGAAGAGCATTAGGGATCCTACCGTTCACAAGTCTCGCCTTACCGTGTTAAAAACGATTGGTGTGACGGCATTGCTCTTGAATCTCTTATTCTTGGCTTTGTTTTCTTATATTTTTGGTGCAATTTATAAGGAGACCAGCCATGTCCACAATCTCAACGTAGTATTTGTTGATTACGATCACAGCCTCATTGGAAATTCATTTCGCCAAGCGTACCTTCAGCAACTGCAAGGCGATAGTTTCCCAAGTATCATCGAACAATCAATCTTGGAGTACCCAGAACCTGCTCTCCTGGAAAGCGCAGTATGCCGGATCGACTATTGGGCAGCGCTTTATGTTTCCCCTAATGCGACAGCACGTTTGGCTTCTGCGCTACAGGGAGCTTCTGCTGCTTTATCATATAACCGCAGTGATATTGTCACAATGATTTGGAATGAAGCGCGGTATTCTGCTGTTGTCGATCTCATACCCACTGCTCTTGGAACTCTCTCCGAAGCCGCTCGGATTATGTATTCCGGGCTAAATGGCACCGGAGCTATCCAGACTATGGACACCACCAATCCGGCCGCCGTCGCAGCCTTTACGAACCCTTGGGACCTTGTATCAATCAATATTCAACCGACTACCCAAGGTTCTCGGTTGATCTACAACACTGTTCTCATAATCATGATTCTCCTTCAACAATTTTTCTTCCTCGCAACGATGAACGGTGTGGCGTCCCAGTCCCTGCTGTTTACGTATGTGCACCCGAGAGTGATAATCCTAACGCGATGTTTAATCTCTGTCACGTATACACTTGGAGGCTCTCTCTGTGCTTCAGGCGCCGTCTGGGCATTTCGGGGAGACTGGGGCGTAAATGGAAACCAGTGGGCGCTTACCTGGTTGTCCCTATGGCTCTTTGCCCATGTAAATCTCATAACATTCGACGTCTTTACGGCATGGGTACCGGCTCCTTATCTTCCCATGGCTTTGGTGACCTGGGTAATTCTCAACGTGACCTCCATCCTATTACCCTTTGAACTCACTCCGGCCTTCTACAAATGGAGTTACATGATGCCCGCTCATGCGGTGTATCAATTACTGATAGATATCTGGTCGAGCGGCTGCAACCCGCTGGTAGCCTATGCATTACCTCTCCTTTTTGGATTCGAAATTTCCAGCAATGTTTTATGTTCCATTGGAGTATATCGACGCTGCCACTATGCCGCAATTGCGAACGAGCAATTAGAGAGCAGCTTTAAAAAGAAACTTGATGATGAACTAGCAAAATATATGGAAAAACGTGAGACAAAGACTATGAAACTGACAAACGACGATAGTCAAGTGGGAGAAGCAAGTGAGGCAGCTAGGGATCGCAGAAGAAGTCCCGATGTGGTCGAAGAAGAGGATCATGAAGGACCAGCCGAAAGTATTATGAGATCGATATCGTCTTTACGTCGAGAACCAAACTTGAGCACAAGGAGTAATTCTTTACGCCCGGCCTTCGAGATACCTTTCGTAGAGGACGTGTAGAAGTTATAGTCCACGCTGTCTTATTTTAATATCTTGGAAAGAAACATCCCCTAGTTATATGAAGTGGTACATTTCACGTTCTGCTGCATTAAATATATTCTATGATAGAAACGCTAGTCCTAGGTAATTCTACGAGCTTACATCGTGGAATAGATATGTTTATCGATTCTCACGGAACCTGTACATGGGTTGATCACTTTGATCCCAAACATTGACCCTTCTATGGACTGCTTAAGCCTGATTTCCGAATAGGTAATGCACGAGAATCGAGTCGATTATAGTACTCCTAGGTTTGGACTATGTTTAGTCCTCCTTTCGCAACTTGATTACGTATCAAGCCAATTGGCGATCTAGTGAGCTCAAGCCTTTTGCCAACTTGACCTCTCAAGTATGTTCTGGCGTTTATGTACCTCAAGAAAGAAAGTAGAGTGATAACTCAGAACTAATTCAGCTGCGTGGCTTGGAGTAATCTCAATACCCACACATTTTCTAAAATATCTATCTGTCTTTTTGGCAAGCGCACAAAGACCTCAAGATCACCATTTTGGCGTCGTGGGAGCACAATAGGCCATCTCTTGTTCTTCAAGCCAGGCAATCGTACAGCGTCACAATCACCAACCTTGCAGCCCCAATCCAAATCATATATGCCCTGATCGGCCCATGACACAATCGAAGGGCTAGTATTATGAGGTCCGAGTTCAATGCCCCTCAAATCACTTTGTGCCGCCAAATATTCAACCACACTTCTCATATTTTGTTCGTTAATTAGATTAACGGCTTTTCGTATGGACGCTGCTACTCTGGCGAGTGCTGATAGAAAGAGATCGCCATCAGCACCAATGGCAATGTTCTCAAGATCAATCTTTTTTGCCGTTGCTAGGGAAATACCAAAGGCAGCGCCAAGATAGTTTTTTGGTAGAGAAGGTCTGTAACGACTGCGAAAATTGACTGGAATGCGTATCGAACGGTCATCATGTTTTGAAAATGTGCCACCGCCGGCAAAATGAGCGTCGTCTTGGAGTTCTGCAAAGGAGAGAGCACTCCATAATACCGCAGTCAAAACGTCGCTAGTTGAGACCCAGGTAATTTCACCTGGAAGGTAGCGGATAACGTCGGCTTTCAAACTTTGCAATCGTTGTTTGTGGAAATTAAATATCACGCTTTCCATGGCATCTCCGGGGTCCTCTAAATTCTTTCTTCTTGGTGAACCCTCTCGGATATGTAAATATTCAGGACAACGGCCTAGAGGGTTGGTAGGCGTGGGTAGGAGTCTCCCACGATCCAACCAGTCGTCGGCAAAGTGAATGGATTTGGAGCTACCCGTCCTACAATTTGAAGCCCAGATCTTTAGCAAAGCACCGAAACCTGTGATGTCTGTTGTTGAATGATGGACGCTGACACATAAAAGGTATCCGTTTCGTATTAGTGATAGGGTGGCTCTAAAAACTGGTTGTGGACCAACACCTGAGATTTTGAGGTTTGCATGAGATATATCAAGTCGATCTAGTGACGATGGGGAGAAGTTCGCCAACTTCAATGTATCATAGTCTGCAGTTGGGGAAATATCCTTGATATCGAACAAGTCATCCAAAGATTGAGTAGTTTTGCTTAACATGACAGAACCCTTCGGTGAATTTGCCTCAACCACTTCACATGTTAAATATGGGACGTCGGCGAGGGTACCAGCAAGTCCATCCTTGAGAATGTAAGGGACTTGCGGGTTGATGGTTGAAAAACACAGAATCTGCGAGATATATGATCGGGGCATCATCCAGTCGATAGGTGAAAGAGAAGCATTTTGTGCGTTTGCGGACATTGTTGGTATCTCTCTAGGAATTAAAATCTGATCCAACTGAGTACTTTGAGCTAAAGCGGATCAAAAATTGTATCGATTAATAAGAGGGACTGTTACGGGTTTGCGCTAGCACGCAATGCAATGACCATAACTGTAGCGTGCCTCGTGACCGAGGGTCAAGGGTGTCAGCCTACAAGCCGTATAAGCTATAATCGGTCTTATAGCTATCGACACTGCAAGAATCAATGAGTCGCAGTGTTATAATACTTTGATAATTTGTAAATAATTCTTAAAGAAAAGTTCAAAAGGGTTTGGTAAATCACCTTGTAATTTTACGTGGCGTGATACAATCATACTAGGGAATTCAATGCCTCAAGTTAATGTAGTAGATAGCAGCCAGCTACAGCGAGTAGGTGAAATTTAACTAACTAACTAACTAATTAATTGATGTAGCATATTATTAAAATTTGAGTTCAGTTCATGTCCTAGCAAAGACTTAACAAATTTCAGGAATCACAGTACCAGACGCCACAGCTACTACAGTATCTAGTTTGATACGAATGATCTGGACTTATAACTTCTAGTGGCCGATGAAGTGAATAGGGTTTGAAGACGTTTGGAGATGCCAAGACATAGAGGTTTTAACCAGTGTTTGTGGCAATAAGAATGAGTAGATGGCCGGATGTGGGCTATGTCTAGGGTACTCTGACATATTCGTCGGCCAAAAGTACAACAATCTAAGAAACATAGAGAGTAGAGCAAAGATATAGCCGGAGTGTTCCATAACGCAATGATGGACGTAGCGGTACACAGCCTAAGCTAAAAGGTGGCTCAGGCCAATGCGAAGCATACCAGTTATAATGCCTATACCTAATTTGTATCAAACGCTATCGATAGTCGCGTCTTTGAGAATTGCGAATAGAGGCCGTTCTTAAATCAGCAGTCCTTGAATATATAGCGTCTTTTCTTTTCAAAATGAGTGCAATGACCAAAACAAGCAGATGCATGGAGCAACGTCGCGAATTTCCATTACTGAACTAAACACCGGGAACGGTGAAGTCGGGAAAATTTGGCCAGTCACCTAGTTTGCCGGGATCACCTCCGATCCGAACGAAGGAGCTTTTGGAAGGAGTAGGCCCATCGAGGATGAAAAGTTGAAACCAGCCAGGAGGAGAGGTCCACTGGTCCGGAGGGGCAGTAATTGTACATTGATTACCCTCGCAGCTAAAGGCTGGAAAGAGTGTGCGATGACCGAAGCTGTTTCCGTGCGTACTCGAGATGAGACCAATCAGGGAGATCTTCAGATTTGCAACATTACCAGCGGTCACTGTGATAGTATAGCTGCCTCCATATACCCAGTCAGTTTCAGTGATAGTATATGCTGGTCTTGTTGCTCCAGATAGCAGATACGGGGGGATAAAGACCTCCACCCGGTATTCTTCAGGGTGGGTAGCATCTTCTGGATCCGAGCCTGAGACTAGTACACGTCCATCAGGTAGAAGAATTGCTTCAGAGTGATAGAGCCGAGCAATGGTGGTATTCGCCATAACCGTCATACGCTGGTTGACTGGTTTTGCTGGATCGTATAAGACAGCATTAAAATTGGGATCAGTGGCAAGCCCGAAACCGGCGACGCCTTGGTGAGCACCATTCAAAATGAGAAACGTGCCATCCGGAAGAGGTGATATGCAAGTCATGACACGCTTCGAAGGCTGTTGAAATAAGTGTTAGTTACAATGAGCTGACTCGGGGAAAATTGGAAACTGACCATCCGTTCGATTGTCCAGTTCTGTCCTGGAACGTCGGGTTCGATGGATACACAGTTATCAATAGCATCGCCGCCATAAGGAGTCGAACCACCGCAGATTAGAACCCTGATAGGATCTGTGTATGGAGCATACTGAGGAAAGAACACCATGGTACCTTCTAGAGGATAAGTGCGTCCCCCGAGATCGTTATTGACTGCGCCCGGTATGTTTGGTAGCGTCCGGATAGTCTGGAACGTGGCCTCATCCAACAGCCGGGCCTCATTGTAATAGGCAGCCAGAATTGTTTTGGAAGGCATGACTCCCATAAATGGGTATAGATTGTTAGGGTCGGTGCGTTCCAGCCAATCCATATAGAGAGTGGGGCCAACTGTCGGTAGGATTTCGAGCGTAGGCACTGGCGGTCCGTTGGATCCTGTCTCACCACCAACAATAAGGATGGAGCCATTGGCCATTATCATACCAGAAGGATACCAACGACCATTCTGTAGTGAAAGTTCGGCCTGATTTTCCTGCCAGTCATTGACACTGGCATTCCCTGGGGAGCCATCCGGCCAGTAAAGTCGGATTCCTTCGGTGGAAACTCCCGACCATCCACCGACTGTAAGTTGTCTTCCGGCCTTATCAGGGAGAACAAGACCGGCGGAGCAGAAAATGTCGGTCTTTACGTGCATGGGCCTCCATGCGCTATTGAAATCATTCTCATAAAATAGATCCAGTTCGTAGGCACCAGTAGTGTTTGGCGGCCCAGTTCCCCATTTCTCCAAGAAAGTGACTTTGCCATTGATATTGACGGTCGTCATCAAAGGTACCACAACACCACCAATCAGAAACTGGTAAAGACCAGCGTTATTTCCTGTAGCATATGTCCACTCATACAGGGCAGTGTCGCCCTCCCACACATAGTAACTAAGGAGGTTTCCGGCACCACAATAGTGGATAGTATCACCGGTACAGAGAAGGTCACATTGCGAATCAGGGACGATCTGAACATCAGCGCCAATGTCGAAGGTATCGCCGCAGACTATGATTCATTAAAACCGATCGATCAATTTTGCTGAACAATAAAAACTTACAACACTGTTCACCATACTCCATACCGGCCGCCTGAAACCCGTACTCTTGACAACGGGAAAGACAGGTAGTCGCCGAGTTGTTTGTAGTGTAAGTAATCTGGTAAGGAAATGTTCGGGTGTTATTGACGTTGTCCCTAGAGAGTACCAGCTTTAGTCACAGTCCTAAGATGAGACTTGAAAGAAAAAAATGTGTGGACATACTGAAGACAACCCTTATACACCCAGGATCCAGGTAGATTGGTTGTTTGCACTGTAGGAGGTGGTAGAACTATTATAGTTGCGTTAGAATAGACACTGAGAAGATTAGGTCCTCCGCAGATTTCATTAGTATTCCCTGCACAGGTCATGGCGCACTGGGAATCAGAGCTTGCCAATGAAGCATTGTTCCGCACGTAGTCGTCACAAAAGCATTGGTCCGAATATTCCATTCCTGCCACAGTATACCCCAGGGATAAACATTGGTCAATGCAGGATTCGACGGTCATAGTAGAATTATCGTTTTCTTGGACAAGCATAGAACGCAAGCCACCAATATTGTCCACATAGCAACCCTGGTAGGCCCATCCACTCGGTAATCCAGTCGCACTCGTCGTAGCACTGGTGGTACTTGTGGAGATGACACTGGTACCCAGAGTTCCGCTTGTTGTTGTGCTAACCACTGCTGTTGTAGATGTGACAATAGAAGCAGCGGTGGTTGATGTCGATGGTGAAGTGTACTGGTAAAGGTTTAGACGATTAGGACCGCCACACTGTTCAGTTGCATTACCATTGCAAGCCATGGTGCATTGTGCATAACCATCAGTTGCAGTGGCCCCGCCATTGCGAATTTTGCTATCACAATAACATTCTCCAGAGTACTCAACACCCGCTAGTATATAGCCCGCAGCGAGACACGCGACCTCACAATTTTCTACGGTCATATTCGAGGGTCCACCTTGAACGATTCCCTCGTTCTGAAGTACCCGAGCACCTACGGAGTCGCTATAGCACCCCAGGGTAATCCAACCGACAAATGGTGTGGTAGTAGTTGCGCTGGCAGATAAAGATGTGCTTGATGTAACTGAGAGAGTGGCAGGKACAGTTGTAGAAGATGATGGAGGATCGGTAGTTGACGTACTGCTCGATGTAACTGGACTTAAAGAGCTCGTGGTAGCTGAATTGGTGATGGATGCCGTCGTAGACGACGATGAGACTACTGCGCTGGTTGAAACAGTTGTGCTTGTTGTTGGGATAGTGGCAGATGTAGACAGGGACGCTATAGATGCTGGTTGGGTACTGGAAGAGATTGGACTTGAACTTGTCGTGACAGTAGCTGAACCCAGTTGGTAGAGATCCAGCCTATTACTACCGCCGCAAAATTCGCTGTTGTTCCCAGAACAGGGATAAGAACAATCAGTCACTGGCTGATTGACGCTATCAACTGCAAGGGTATTCCCACAGTAGCATTCATCGTAGTACTCTACACCAAAATAATTGGCGCCATTGCAAAAAGCAGCACAGGCTTCTACTGTCATGTTGTTGCTATATGTGTATGTGCCAGAAAGACTGCGAGCAGCGGCCGTGTCATTGTAACAGCCCAGATATTTGTAGCCCGGTATCGTAGCTCCACCTGGAGTTACATAGTTGTTGTTCGTGTAGACAGATAGCCTATTTGGCCCACCACATGTTTCTGTGCTGTCTCCTCCACAAGGCATGTTGCAATCTGTCTCCGCAGCCTCTGTACCCGAACTGCCCAGAGTAGTGCCGCAAAAACACTGCGTTGTATATTCGGCTCCAAAATACTGATAGCCACTGCAGAATTTTGAACACTCTGAGAGTGTCATGTTATTATCGCTATTAGTCGCGGCCGACAAGGTTCTAGAGTTCACGTTATCGGTGTAGCAGCCAAGATAGCCATACGCTACTGGATTAGAACCACTCAGTATTGTGCAGGAACCAGTTAATGCGGTGTTTTTGAAACTATCGGAGTAGGGCCCAACAGAGACACCAAATTTGGATGTCGTAATCTGGTCAGGTGTCAGATCATAAGTCCCGATATACAAGCTGTAGGCCCCAATTGTTGCTGTATTTTCCATCGTCACATTAATAGTGGATAAACCTGGCACGACACAGCAGGATCGAGGTGTCTTCATCTCCACAGAAAGTGTTGCAGATTCCGACGTGGTTGTGTTGCGGACCTGCAATAAATGATATTAGAATCCATGCTGTCACGTCTGGAAAAGTATCACCTGTTCTTACCGCGGCCGTGATTGTCATTTTGTAATTTCCGTTACTGTCAGATGAGTTTGCGATGCAACTCTGAGGACTCTGAAACAAAATATTATCTTGGATTGGATATCCATCACCATTATTATTATATGTCACTGTTTTACCGCCCGCTGTGACCTGTACAATGAATGCCGAAATTGAAGTCGTCGCCGACAATGTTGAGGAAAAGCTATAGAACTGTTGATCGCTGTTATTAAGACCAGCCTCTTCAGGGCTTATGGGATACTTACAGTAAAAGAATCATCAAAGCCATTCGCCGTTCCAGCATACTGTGTGCTAATAACACAGGATCCACAAGTGGACGCGCCGTTGCGGTCAACATATACGAGCTGAACATTCGAAATAGTACCACTGAGGTCGGTTGTTCGGACACGGATGTCACCAGTAAATTGAAGCTGAGTTCCACCTGGCTGTATTGTCAATTGTAGGTTACTCGGTTTGACCTCATATGGAGCAATTGGGTCCGTGAGGAGAACCCCAGGCGGTACAACCTCGATCATTCGCTGGAGCATCACTTGACAGCGGGATTGAAAGTATGTCGGGTCGGCCATAAGACTGATTGTAGCGTTGTCATCCGCGGTAAATACCGATATGTCTGAGTCGTATGTATTCTTTATTGCCAAGGGCCCAGCCAGAGGATCTGAGGTGTTTCCACCGATATACTCAGAGGCGATCTTCTCATCAAATATTGTCGTGGAATCAAAGTGCTGGTAGTCATTGGGAACGGTCCCTGACTGAAGCACCTCAGGGAAGTTCCCAGCGTGAACACCACCGATAGTGTGACCGCAAGCTGTCAGGGCAATCATTTCCGACACATTGAATCCCATCCGCGAGAATTGCTGAATGAAAGTATACTGTGAATTTTGTGGTAACGGCACTCCTATCGGTCCAGCTGCAGTGGCATCCACGCGTCCTGTCCGAATCGGGATGATAGGGCCGTCGCAAACCCGGACGGATGCATATACACCCAATGCAATGATATCGGCCAGCGACGCGCGAGAAGAAAAAAATGGTGTGAAGGAAAGTAGAGTCGTATTAAATGCAGTTCCAATGTTCTCACCACCATCTCCTCCCAACTCATACTGCAAAGATGCATCTAAACCACCGACCCCAGTGAAGACGTTACCGGGAGCCATGTCGTGGAAAGCCGTGCGAAGCCATTCCGCTGAGGAAATCCTCGTCGGGCCTTGTGGTGAGAATGAGCATGGCGTGATAGCTGCAGAAAAGGCTCGCGCCTGGTAACCAGTATTCAGAAACATTATATCTTCTAACTCGTCAACCGAAGAGGGCCATGTTGGCAATCCTGAGGCAGATCTTAGGATCGACCAGGCCGCTGTGAGAAAGAGTAGCCACTCAGCCATCTTACCATTATCTGTAATTGTAGACAATGACAAAAATTGCTTTATGGTTGCGAGAATGAACTTTGCTTCGAATTAGTCCCATACCCAGGGCTTTTCTTTTAGATATAAAAGGCAAATGCCCCGCATACATTCGACCTGCATAAATATCCATCACAAGATCTGTATCGCGCCCAATCTGACTTTTGGCTTGCGGTAAGCCTAAGCGGGCCTCGTAAGAAGGGCGTAAATCCCCATCCCAACGCATTGCCCTGAATGCCCCATCGTGAACTTCCGGATTTCCGTTTTCCATTTAGCAGGAGGTTCGAGCTTAATGACAAATCTCACATGGTGCTGCAGCGTGGCATCAGCCGCATGGTTCAGATGACTCTAGTTGATTCCTAAGCGAGAAGTGAGAGACTGTCATTGATAATGTTTAAAACCTAACGAATGAAATACTCTTTTCAAATTTCAACCTTACGATAGGGACATCTCTTTCTCGACGGCAAAATAAACCCAGTTTACCTTGGGCTCTGGACCCACGCCCCTAGCCGATTACTCGTATTGTCAATGCTCGGTAATTCTCGGTAATGATGTGTTTTGACGTAATATTACCTAAGGTTTACAATACATCTAGACTTTGGTACCGAGTGAGACACAAGCCGCATCGCCCGATATGCAGGACAAGTCACTTAAGTGTGCATTAGTAGTCTGAGGTTGCAGATACAAGTTGCTGACTTGCAGATACGAATTGTTGACGTGTCCGAGGCTGAATTATGGGCTATAGCCATATTTGAGGTTATCGGATCTGAACATACGCAGATTATGAAAGTCAATGAGAAATAGTAGACTAAACACCCAATTCCAGAAGGACGCGAGCGAAGATAAGAAAACTCTATTGTCTATGAAATACGTTAACTAAATATTCTTCTGAATTCCGAAAACGCGTCTATCTTGATAGATGTGTCAAAGAAAGAGGGAATGTCAAGTCCTGCAGCCAATGTAACCGAGTGCACTCAGTAGTTGAACACCATTAGAGATGGATTTAACAGTAAAGGCAAAAGAGCATGCGATGCCAAAGTGACCGACATTGGAACAATAGCACCAACTTCCGTAATTGTCCAGCCGTGGGGTGCAAAACAGGCCAAGTAGATCATAGCAGGGAAGAATGGTAGCACAACAGCGTACATCCATTTGAAGCTCTTGAAGATTTTGGGGACTTCTTTGAAGAAGTTTGAATCATCTTTTTCCTTTGCCGTGGTGCCCCAAGACATGTTGATACCAAACATGTGAGATAGAATCGCTAGGCTCAGATGGAAGGAAAGTCCACCAAAGAAAATGGCGAACATGGGCATCCACATGAAATTCTCAACAAGGGACGACAGCAACGGCTTCTCTCCAAGGCGGTATCGAATCATGGCTAGGCAGACATTTCCGGCTGCGGAGAATACGACCAGCAAACTGAGAAAAACTACCGGGAAGAAAAGTATGTCAGCTTCATATTTCGCTGTATCCCGACAGGTGGACAATACCTTTCCATGACTCCATGTAGAACTTATCCAAGTAACCTTCAAACCAGCCGACGAGGAAGTAATTGAGCACAGTCAAGGGGAATCCAGAAGCTAAAGCATAGTACGATGAAATGTATCCTAAGATGGTAATCTTGGACGATAGTTGAAGGTTGGACCATAAGAAAGTCATGAACAGCTTGGTCAGGGGACCCCTATAAAACCATGTATGGACGGGGTTAAAGACTAATTCATTGCATCCATAGGCATATCTAGCAAGTAATTTAGCATCTTTTACCACTTGGAATTCGCACAGGCATCTTACTTTTCCCAACGTGACAGCTCGTCATATATTGTAAGAGAAACGCCTTCCTTAAACTCGTCATTATGATAGCTAGCCAAGCGAATTACGTTCCCTTGAATCTGGAGACGTAGCGCGATATCGAAGTCTTCTGATACATGGCTTTCGGACCAGAAACTGACGTATCCATCATCTGGCCGGCCGACGGATTGAACAGCTGCAACACTAACATTAAAAACTTATATCTGACAGTGATGGTTCTGCGAAACACATACCTTGCCATCGAAGAAAGGCATTGTGACCAACAAAGGGAGCAGTTTCACCACTCCCAACTGCAAAACGGATCGCTGAGTAGATAAGGTTGGTGAAGTAAGTGATACCGTTCTCGAAATAATCTTGTGAAACTTGCATCACGCTAGTAGAATGCTGGATAATGGCGACCTCGGGGCTCAAAAACATCTCGGCCGCACCGTAAAGAAGGCAGTCGGCGGGCTAAATAATTGTTACTGGGGCTCTTTTAAACCACTCTGAGCATTGTAACTTACTATTCGAGTATCTGAGTCGACTATCAAAATGAATTCTCCCACACGAATATCGCCACCAGCTCCACGGATGCGAGGGTCAGATTGGATAACGTGATTGAAAGCCTCCCGATAAATCAACTCTTCCTCCATAGGATCAACCATATCAGACTTTTCCAACGTTGGAGTCATACGCTGAATAAGCTCCATTTCTACTTTATTCGAGACATTCAAGGCAAAATTCATGTTGGAAGCTTTTTTGAATTTTCCCTTTCGAACGTAACCGTCCTCGTTGTTTTTAGGTCGGGCAACCCAGCCGATGTTGTTGTCATGATAGAAGTTGATTCGGTCATGCTTTTCTTCTTCCGAGAGCAAGGCAAAGCCATCGTCATTGATAAAGATGTTCGCAGTACCTGTTAATTGGGTTAAACGAAAATTACAACAAATAAGAGGAATTCTCTGACCTCCATGTGACTCATAGTGAGATATTGCTGTCTTCAAACTACTGATGGTAGGCTTGATAACACCTTCGAGCGACTCGGTATAGATGGGCATTTGAATGGTGACACGCGGCGGCGTAAAGCCGAGGGAATATGCCATTTTGAGGTCCGGGGCAATCGGAGAGTAGAAACGCGAATTACTTTTTAGCGTCTTGACTGGTCCGACCGCTTGGAAAATATCTGTGAAGATGACAATCATGAAAAATATACTGAACAAGAGGAAAAATGGTATCGTCGCCGTTAGTGCAAATCGCATTGCACCCCCATCAACCGAGTATTCCAAAAGCAGATTAGAGATGCCAAATCCAAGAAGGAGAATGACAAGAAGCATTCCAGCCATTCCAACAAAGATCGCACTAGTTACTGCCAGTGGCCGTTCTAGTGACTCCTTCGGGCGCTTGACTTCCTCATTTATCATTCTTCTGGGGGAAGCATCGCGAGATGTACCAGATTCGTCTGCTGCAGCTGGTGACTCTCTCGAATCGAGAGCCAGATGATATAATGAATCGCTGGGCGACGCCACGACTGATTCTCCGGGTGTCATCACGGGTAACGCCTGAAGGTTGAATGTTGGGATGGGACTTCCCCATATCTAGAATAGACTAAGTTAGAGTGGTGAATACTAGTTAAATTTGGCTTTTCCCCACATACCAAAGATAACAACTTGCTCTCTACATCGGCAGCGTGGTTGAGGATAGCATTCAGATCATCGTTCCAGACGAGAAGCTGGTGCTCTTCTCGTATCAACGCGGCATATTGGTACTTCTTGACCATATTTGAATGGGAACCGACAATATCAGCATATGAGTCAATGATCTGAACCTGGTAGCCATTGGGAAGAATCAATTCGGTCTGGCCAGGTGCAAGTTGTGATGTAATAATGCTCGTGGTCTCCGTCATCATGGTGAAAGCGATTGTGGCATTTATTCTCTGAACTGCTGCAAGTAGCACAGGATTAACATCCTCTGGTTCCGACATATAAGCACCTCTCGACCGGCGAAGAAAGATTCCGGTCGAACTATGTTGTGTATGCGTTGGCAAAGGAAGCCATTGGTACGCAGTCAATCGCACATGAAAAAACTTGATCATCTATAATCATCGGATTGGTCAATGTCGCTCACTCGCAATTCAATGCTCGTGTACTTACTGCCTTATATTTGGAAGCGTCGTCAATGCTATTGTTAACATACCGTCTATCAAAATAGCTTTGTCCACGACTTGATAGCCCCGATTCCGACACGGGCAACGAGTCTCTCTGGGACTCGGTTTCTGTGGGTGTACCATCTCCCTTTGATGTCCTATGTCCTCTAAAGGACCACCGACTAGGGAAGAGTGAAGACATGATTGTCAACGTTGGCTGTGAGGGTAAAGAGCTCGAAAAGTTTCAGGAACTCATGGGCTCCATCGTATGTATATGGGGGCTTGATATGATATGGGATCATATCTAGCAATCAGCACCCTTGTCAGATGCTGCTCCTTCAGCGCCAGCGAAATGACCCAACCTGCAGATTGATTCATGGATCACGCTCGCGTGGAGTCGGCTTGCAGAGAGACTACGACATTCCGACGCCAGATTAGCTAGGGTATCCATTTTCATAATGACCTGGCTCAATTTAATTAGCTTGTAATTAACAGCTTATCGAAAATAATGGTTACTTCAATGTCGAGGCCCTATGGACATCCCTATTCCGGACGCCATTCTGCACGCCACAGTTAGCATAGCGAGAGAATTTCGCGATGCATGTCTCTGATTACCGTACACATCCTGGTTCAAGGAGTAGATATCCCCAAATGATGTCTCCATAATAGGCTTTTTTTAATCGGTGGAATTCAAGTTGCGGATTTCCGGACGGACGGCTCCAACTTACTTAGTGCAGATCTCGGCGGTCCTCGTAGACGAATACTCAAATGGAACTTGGGGACTAAAGTGGGGAAACATTCCATATAAACAGGTATTGAACACTATTAAATGAGTCAACGCTAAGACTGTAAGACATAGAATACGTAGTTTTCACTTGTAAGTACGCCTTCATACGCCATCTATCGTTGGAAGCTAGTAATATTCTAGCACCTATCATCTTCGAATCGTTTTGTCCAGAGCTAGGCTCCCGCCGCTAGCAGTAGCGTGGCCACATTGCTTAATCTAAATTCTCATCTATCGAGTCAGCGGTCATTACGTAGTTGCCTCAAGTAGAATCAAAGACATGTAGTTAGCTGCATGCCAATGCATTGTATCCTTTCTTTCAAGCATACGGCGAGGCAGACTCCGATTCCAGGCACGCTAGTACAACTCTCGGCCCTATTAATAGCTTTGAGCGTCTGCTACATATCTAGCCTAACCTGCACGAAAATTATGTTACAATGCAGATTTAAGTATCCTTCTAAGCCCTTCTCGAACTAAGACACACGGACTAGAACTCAGTTGGTAAATTTCGTATCTGCCCTATTAAGCCAAAAGCCGATACACGTTTGGTGCAATTGCAATGACAAAGCGAAAGGAAATACCAAGTTCGAGTAAAATCTAAATGGAAGAATACCGGTTTTTTTCCTCTTTATCTTGTTTGTTGTTTTTGTATATCTAGCCCTTTCGTGTGTGATCCAACATGGCCGATACACAGATCGAAGCTTGTTGGTACCGCGTAACGCGATGAGCTTAACTGGACATGTTTCTGGCGCTCATGCACACTAAGAGATAGCAAGGATGTTGGTTTTCCTGTAGGTACTAAGGACTTGAGTCCACATAAGCGATAGGTGAAGAGCTTTTCGTAGGGTATATCCCCCTTGTCTTGTAACTAATGCAGAGTCGGCGTTAGCCACGAATTAGTTGATAAATAAATCACATTGTACACGTACGAAAGCCTCCGGTGAGTAAATCGCGGATAAAATTACTTGCTTATCATCCTAGGCTACTTGATAAGAAATGTCTCAAAACTAGCAAATTAATTGTGCATATTCAAGGTAGGAGCATAACCGAGGGGAAAAATATGGCATATTATGTATGCATGCAGGTTTTTTTTCCTTCTAAAGTACATGAGCTCGATTGACGAATTTTCCGAGGTTTCCACGTCTTAAAGTATCTCCCAGATTCCAGATTTGAGATCCACGCATGGCACATGAAATAATCCGGATATGCATAGTAGACACAAAGCTATAGCTCGTTGTATGTGCGACTTAGGTTCTCGAAACTTACAGGTGTGGTAATACATGCAGTGTAGATGATACACATACGGTCTTGGCAGTGACTAGCTGAGCAGAACAGGCATACCCTAGTGATGAGAAATAAATGCCAGTAATCATTTTAGGCCAATCGATAGCCTCATGGTCAAGCCCGATTTGCTATGAAAAATTAGTGCTCTAGGTGCAGGGATCGAGATGGTCTAGATGATTTGGATACCCTCGGAGGCTGCGATAGGCGATACGAACTGATGAGGTACAGGTCATTTCCAAGCCATGAGACCGGGATCAGGCCTGTTTATGGAAGTTTCCCATATTAGACGGGCCATGCAAGCTGCATCAACTACGTTTACCAGATTGCGCTAGATAAATAGCAGAACAAATGATTAAATTTACATCTGAGGAGCTGAGGAGCTGATGAGAGCACGGACAAGAGAAGCCAAGGAGTGTTCGTTGTCAACCTTTACAATTCGCGTCTTATCGAAAGCCTTATAAAACTAACGCTCAAATTGACATAGCACTGCGATATATACTGAGGATGACCGTATGGCCTTCTTCTTCTGTGTAGCAGAACATAATCCGGATTCCAACAGCTGCAATGGATGCACGTAATCCCTTTTCAGACAGCGCAGCACCCAGTGTTGTGGCTAGTGTTGGGTCCAGTGCTGCTTATGCTGCTCAAGGCAGTATTGATGAGTTGCCTATTCGAGATTCGACCTACAGTCGTGCGCCAGTGAAACGGAGGTTCAAGAGCTATTTGTTGACCGGCGATTATGAACGACCCTGGGTGAACGATAAGCGGTTGAAGAGAATCCGTATAAATAATTACATTATCTGGGGATTTTTGGCCGCAGGAGTGGCCGTGAGCGGTTATATAAATTACCACGCGACAACTCAAGTGCCCAAGCATAGTGTAAGTTGGTCCCCTACCAAACGTATGCTTTGGGAGCTAATGATGATTAGTACTGTCTCATATTGGACGATGACTTCTCAACTTTGAATACGAACGTTTGGAATCGTGAAGTTCAGGTATGCTCCTCGTGTCCTTGTCTTACTCGTGATGATAATTGACCGTTGCAGGTCGGAGGCTTCGGCACTGGTGAATTTGAGTGGACCACAACCGACGACCGTAATGTTTTTGTGGACCAGGAAGGTCTTCACATCGTCCCAACCCTCACCACAGATACAACACCCATCACCGCGGCCGAGATCACCAATGGCTACACGCTTAATCTCACACAAGCGGGTGGCGATGGTTCTTGCACAGGAACAACCAATGAAGCATGTTCCGTGCGCTCGAACAGCACTTTGGGTACTGTAATCAATCCAGTCCGTTCGGCTCGCTTGAACACCAACGGTAGCAAGTCTATCACGTATGGCCGAGTTGAAGTCGTCGCCAAGCTCCCAGCTGGTGATTGGCTGTGGCCTGCAATTTGTGAGCATTTCACCCCAAGTTGGTCTTCGTCCGAGAAAAGGCAGCTTACCAAATTTACAACAGGGATGATGCCTACCAACGATGTCTATGGGGCATGGCCCGCCAGCGGCGAGATTGATCTTTCGGAAAGCCGAGGCAACGAAATCTCCTACGCCAACGGCGGCCGGGATGTCATGTCTAGCTCCATTCACTGGGGTTAGTCTAAGTATTCCCACGAAGTATGATCTACATACTAACTCTTTCACTTTCTCTACATAGGCCCGACCTCAGGCTTAGACGCATTTTGGCTCTCAACGCGCGGCAAGGCTCTGCGCCGAACAGATTTCACCAAAGGGTTTCATACTTTTGGCCTTGAATGGTCAGAAGATTACATGTTCACCTGGGTGGACAATCCACTGCAACAAGTCATGTATTGGGCTTTCCCCAAAAACACAAACATGTTCCAACGCGGCCAATTCACTGGACGGACAGCGAATAATTCGCTGGTGACCGACCCATGGTCGCATACTGGTCGACCTAACTCGCCTTTTGATCAGTCGTTTTACTTAATATTAAATGTGGCAGTTGGTGGCACAAATGGGTGGTTTGAAGATGGCATTGGGAATAAACCCTGGACAGATGCTGGCCATGGGGCCGCAGATTTCTACGCAAGTAAGTCACCTTTGGTTAGAACTTCGCTTTTTGTGTATCCGAGTCGCCCTAACGGTATACCTTTGTCGCTTGTAGGTATGGATCAGTGGTATCCAACCTGGGCCAACGGTTCCTCTCGCGGAATGACCGTGAAGTCGGTCAAGATGTGGCAGCAAGGTGCCTGCCCTTGAGCTTAGGCCAATAGTTACGGATTTGATGATTGTTCGATATGTGATTACTTGTATAGCAGCGCGATATATCAGATAGTTTGTTTCTTAGCGTCGTTAGCGACTAGAACATGCGTTATACTTGAGCTTTTGGACTCTGTTAAAAAGGTACAGCAAGTATGTGAGCAATTGACATCTTAGAATGATGCATATATCTTTAGGCAAGTAAAGTCACTTGTAATTGTCAACTGGTAGTCGATGCGTACTGTCTCTAGAATTGCTATATTTAGTTCGTATATACTAGCTTATTGTAGACTACAATGTTGCACAGTTATTGCGTACCGTATACATTTGCGTTGTGATATACTCTAGTTACTTAAGTAAAACCTAAACCCGATCTTCAAAGCAGACATATCACCAAGTTGATCAGTTCGATATCTAGCCTCCCCCCGGATCCATCATAATTTCCCTTTTCTCGGTTCACATGTTCCGGTGGTTACGCTCGATGAGAGATGGCATGACGGGGACTTGGAGATCGACCCTCTTCAATTTGAACAGGCACTAGATTGTAAGTAAGGATAGATCACCGCGTCATAATGTCACTAAGTGCCTAGACCCTCTTCCTAAAAGTGAATAATGAACGTCTGGTTAAAAACCTTCTTCCCACTTAGCTCATGTTTCAACATCGATCGATAGATCAATCTCAAATACATTCGTAACCTAGGCGCTGAAGATATCCGTAGATGTGAAAAGAACCGGGATAAGTTCGATAGGATATATAGATTGCTTTGTGACATGTTCATTGGGGGAAGTATCTGAAATGGATCAGATGTCGCATTGGCAGACAATAATAGCTTGTGGTCGACCCCATTCTCAGCAACATTTATACCCAATTCGATTAACTTTGACATCGTGCTTCACATAATATCCAAGGCGATACATAAACGGGACTTTGCTTTGAGCAGATTCCAAATTGCCGGTACTCAACCGAAGTTCAATCTATTTCGAGGAGCTATATATAACCAAATATCGTAAAAGGCGGACTAGGAATCTAGTCTGATAGGATTTGAATATAGAATCTTTTACGACCCAAATTGTACTTAATTCGTATGCTTCAGCTACAGAATATATATCTAAATTTTCACAACATGAAGTTTGTGCGACTGATCGGGCCTCGCCGGGCTCCGTCGACGGGAGCGACAAAAAAGAGATAAAACTATGGAGTACCAATCAATCTCTTGGTGTAAATACCTCGTCTACTTAAATTAGCCACTTTGAAAATATATCGAATGCTTGCCGGGCAATAGATGCCCGCCATTATCAGGGTAGAGAAAGACCTTCAAAATGACCGACGCGTTGACTCTTCACCCGGCTACGAAGCTGCTAGATGCTTTGTGTACCTGTATCGAAAAAGAAATTCATCCTCTCTCTGCGACAGCTGTCGCCGCAGGCTCTAAGCTCTTCGGCGCCGCAATTCTACTCAAATCAGACTTGAGCGTTGTGTACGCGGACACAAACCAGGAACGTGGGTCTCCTTTGTGGCATGGAGAAACGTGGACATTGAAGCAATTCTTCGAGATACCGGCAGATAAAAGACCCGATGTGACAGATTGCTTGTTCCTTACGACCCATGAACCATGTTCACTTTGCCTGTCGGCAATCGTATGGAGCGGATTCGACAACTTCATTTACATGTATACGTATGAGGAGACGCACAATGTCTTTGAGTGTCATGGAGACTTGGATATCTTCAATAATGTGTTCAATGTACGTGAAGCCGAAGTCGCGAGACAGGCTAGTTCGGATGGAAGGTTGAGCCAGGTGCGACCACATTATAAGTTGCGAAGTAGCTTGTTAGTTGCACTCAGTTTTGCCGAATTGGTTGCAGCCGTCCCAGGTCAAGAAAGGGATGAATATGTGGCCAAAGTCAACGCGGTTAAGATGAGTTATGGTCGGCTTTCGGAGGCCTATCGAAGAAACATGAATGTGGAGTGATACTTGCAATCTTCAATTCGTCTGTTTCGTCACCACTTGAGATAGCATTATAGGTGCGCTTCGATGCAAGGAAACCGAAGAAGAGCGTTGGCCGTCGACGGCCACGACCATCAAGTGGGAATGAATATCGGCTCATAGAGGCTTGTGATTTGGCAGAGTCAGGACGAAGGTGAGGATTAGCTATCTCATGTACTAATTACGGATCTTCCTCTTCTTAAAATCCACTTCACAAAACTCTATCTACAGTAACACGAACTCCTTGCGATCCCGGCTCTGGGACACCTACAAAGTAGTCTCTGGCGACACGGACATCCTCCGTGGTGGTTTTGTAGATCGTCATATCGAAGCGAGGCAATACGGTAGCAAGAGTCAAAAACAATTCTGCATATGCGAGACTATTATATGTATAGCAGGGTTAACACGCCATCTCAGAGTCGTCGTTCTATAGTTGGAGCAGATACGTACTTGATACCCACGCATTGTCGACTACCTTTACCAAAAGAAACCATGTATCGGTCTAAGCGTGTGTTATTTTGCTTGGCTTCAATCCAGCGCTCCGGTTTGAAATCAGTGGGTTCGGGGAAAAGAGTTCGATCCATGTGAACGAACAAATTACATTGGCTGACTGGTGTCTAGATACGGAAGAGCCCAATTAGCAATAAAAAGACAAGTGAGTCGACGAAAGACGCACCTCTGGAGGGATCGTCCATTCTTTGTACTGGATAACATCGTGAGACACGCGAGGCAGTCGAGTAGTGACTCCATGCATAAGACGCAGCGCTTCACTGATGACGGCATTCTGCGTATAGCATTGTTAGATGTATTTGCCGATCTTGAGTTGGCTTTACGGGACTTAACTTACCATATAAGGCAGACGTTCAACCTCAGACAAAACGTCGTGTGCTGAGTTCAATGACTTCAAGTCCACTGTTGACAATTCCTGGCGCAGCTTTTCCAGCATTGATTTATTCTGTAGCAGGTAAAACGTGACAATTGTCAATGTCTTCGCAGTAGTCTCACTTCCAGCACCAACCAAGGTCTGTGCCTCATCTTGAAGTCGATCTGCACTTTTCTCCTCTGGAGGCAAGTCACTGTCCAATAGAGCCTGAAAAATTGTACCATGTGCCTTCGAGCCAGAGCGATTGTTACCAATAATAGTGTCAACTTGCCGACGCACCATTTTTTGCCACTGTAACAGTAATGAAGCCTCTGGAGCGAGATAGTTCATAATATTTAAAGGCACGGACTTCATTATGGGAAAAGCCCAAGGAAATTGTCGGATGAATGCACCGCTAGCAGATCCCCCAATAACCGTATCTTTCCATTCAAGCTTGAAGTCAGGTTCCGCAAGGTAATTGTAGCTCTCTCCAAAGGCATAGTGCGTAATTATGTCCATTGTCAGTGCCATATAGGCTGCGTCAAGCCTGACTACCGCTCCGGCTTTACAGGCCTCGGAGAACCGTTGACATAATCTCTCCACCTTGTCACTGATCAGCGCCGAGGCATTGTGGGAAATTGCGCTTTTCGAAAAGAAGTGATTTAATCCGGATCTTCTGAGGCGATGATGATCATGGGACACGGTTGCGAACGTTGAAGTTGGCGCGCCAGCACCGATTGTCCAGTTGGCGTACTTATCCCGCTTCTTGGAAGCAGGTGCGTATATATCTTCGTAGAAATCCGGATCCTTGATGTGCAGTTCGTCCGGTGTTATTCGTACGATCGGCCCTGTGCTTAACCATGTCAGTCCTGTTTCCTGGGTCCCCTCGTTTCTGTAGCGAGAAAGTCGCTCTTATACAAGTGCGATAACAGCAATTCCTTTGAAGGATTCACAAGTCGGATAAGTCTTGTCTCTTCTTTCAACGTACCATATCTTTCGTGCAGACTCTCAATTTTCCATATAAACTGTCCAGGTTTGATCACATCGTGATAGAATTCATACCACCGGGTTAGTGCAGCCGCCTTCGGCCCCGGGAAACGAGACAGGGGGTGGAAGTATAACCGATATATTGCGCCGAATATGACATATGCCAGCCACACGGCCGCACACCAGAATACCATCAACATGATTGTTGAATATTAAGTAATATCCAGCACCTTCTGCTTCCCCGTTCTGGCACAGATGGACGCGACATGATTGAGAAAACAGAGCCCTAGAGTTGGGAGGGCAAATCAGTCCACTTGGTTGACGAAGCAAACATAGCTCGCACGGATGATAAGGAGACCCATACCCGGCCAGACACAAGACGAAACTGGGCTAAAAAAAACATGGAAAAACTTCCCCATCTCGTCTGTCCACCAGTGACGGGTGTCTACAGACGGGATGAGTTAGGGTTAGGTGGAGTGAAGAAAGCCAAATCCTCCACCTCGGCCCGTGTCCGTGGCAAGCGAGCCAATGACTACGAGTAAAGACATTCGGATTTTGCGTTTCACTTCCCCGCGACGACACCATTGGATTTCTCGTGGGCTGACGAACTCAGGTATCCACACTGATTTGGGTCCAGTTCCCGGATGATTCTCTGGCTGCAACGTGTAATCCGTGCAAAACCGAAGTAAACGCTCGAGAAAGAAGTCTCTGGTGACAGTGTCGGCAAGCGACTCACAGTTACCAATATCTCAAACGACAGTCATGGCCGACACCGAAAGTCGAGTCAATATGGCTCTGGAAATTGATGTAAGGTATCCGCTGCAAATGCAGAAAATGGACGAAGAGCTAAATTGCACCGTTTGTAGTCCGAGAGCGACGACCTCGAGAGCATTGAAAGTGATCTGACTTCGCTTTCATCATCTGTCTTTAATTATGTTTATGAAAACGGTCGAACTTATCATGCATATAAATCCGGTTCTTATGTAAGTACAGACCGTAAGGTCTATTGTGACGATGAAAAGTTCTTTAAATTCATCACCGACCGCAAGCTGTTTCTGACATGCCTTATTCGTAGATACTCCCCAACGATGAGAAAGAACAAGACAGACTAGATCTTCTGAACCATGTTTTCCGGCTATGTCTCAATGGGGACCTGTGTTTTTCTCAGAATGGTCTCAACAATCCGCAAAAAATCCTCGATGTTGGCACGGGAACTGGTATTTGGGCGATTGAAAGTAAGTGCAGGTCCGCTTTTAAGCTAACATAAATAGCAATCGAGCTGAAATATTTACCGTTTTCAGTGGCCGACGCCTACCCATCTGCAGAAATAACGGGGGTTGATTTGTCACCAATTCAGCCTAGGTGGTTAGTATCACCTTTGCGCCCGGTGATTCAGTCTCTGACTAGCATCAAGGGTGCCTCCCAATGTGCGATTTATCATCGATGATATCACCCAACCGTGGGACTTCCCGAATAACTCCTTTGATTTCATACACGTACGATGCCTGGCCGGTAGTATAACGGACTGGCCTGGGTTTCTGGCAGAGGCTTACAGGTACGCGAATCAATTTGAATCTGTGCATGAGACTTGGACTTACGTCACGAATTTATGTGCTTGGCAGACATCTAAAGCCTGGTGGAAAGATCGAACTTTCTGAAGGTCGTACACACATGGTCTGTGATGATGGCACTTATCCCGAAACGTCATTTACGTATAAGTGGATTGTAACATATCTTGATCCCAAGAGGTATACTAGAATTTGCATCTAACTCACGATTTTAGGCAGAATTCAATCGAATATCAAACTCACTAGGCAGGGTTTTTGATAACTTTCCAGAATTTCAAGGGCTTCTGGACAAAGCTGGCTTTGACTCTGTGAAAACGCACGAAGAACCGTGCCCTATCGGGACGTGGCCAAAGAACCCAAGATTGAAGGAGATAGGTCGCTACTTCCGTGTTCAATTTCTTGAGGGCGCGGTCGATAGCTATTCACTTGCTCTCTTCACGAGATATGGAGGTTGGTCGACAATAGAGACGGAAGTTCTATTGGCACACGTTCGGGAGGAGATCAAGTCTAACAAGATGCATGTCTACACTCATTGGTAAGTAGCTTCATTTCTCTGAATGATGCCAACATATCATGCTAAAATTGGATCAAGCTCTTTTGCTACTGCAACGAAGCCTCTTTTGTAACGGCCATTTTTCCCCAATGTTCACCTCGGAATGTGCCCATCATAGAGATGAGATTTCTCTAGATTTTTGAAATCACACGCGGATAATACTTATATATCTGACTGCTTTCAGAATCCTGCTGTCTTTTCTTGTTGATGTTTCTACTCTAGCTTTAGCGAGTTCTTATTCCTGATCTACGCTTTGGGTCGGTCGCTTACAAATACAATATGATGACGACGGTCCATCCTGCTTTAAGTTGGTGATATCTGTTTTTAACCCATCCTGGTACAAAGTGTAGCATCCTACATCTTTTATCAAGAAGTGACTGTCAGATATTTAGGTTATTATCCGAGATGTCCCGAACAGTAAAGCGGTGTCACATTGTGCTTGAATAGTGCAATTCATTAGCTAGGTTGTCAGAGTACGTGGAGTAAGAATCACAATCACCGGGTGCGTGCCTCTTGACGGCAGTAGTTCCTTGATAAATTACTCAATTGGCAGCTAGACTGAGTAACGCCTATTCATATCACAGTTATCTAGCATCGTGTCGTAATTAGCGAACTTTACTACAAGTGCGGAAGATATCCTACTTTTGTAGTGCATCATAGGACGCTGTACCACTCATATCGTTGCAGATCACTCGTGCTGACCTTTTTGGCCCTCATAGTTCATATTGTTATAGGATCATGGATGGATGGTGTATCGCCGCAGCACGGCAATGGCTCACATGGACTACTCCAATAGGAAAGACGTTCGTCAACAAAAGGCAACAATGAGAATGGAAACGGACTAATTCGGCTCGATGACTTGAGTACTCTCAGCGAAGATACGACTAAAATGACTTGACCTGTGACTTTTATATCGCGCCCTCTGACCTATCTAGGTGATATGTGCATACATATCCTTGAACCTCGCGGTCTACTTATAGTACTAGGTTGATCCATTTGAGATGTTTTGATAGTAGTTACATTTATTGAGACTCTTGATATACTTGAAGCATTAAAGATTAGATATTGGGAGCTGCGATAGTGGTTAAATTGAAGTCAATATATAATCTGTGATTATCAATGCAAGAAGTCATGCCCGTTTCCAAATTTCACTTCATACTATCCACATGCAGACCTTTGGACCTTGCTGTTCGCCAATATAAACTTAAACAAGTCCGTTCGGAGTTAATGGTGAGATATTACGGTGCTAGCAGCAAAACAGGATTTGCACAAACTAGACAGCCTGGATGATAGGTCTCAGTTGACAATGCTGCAATAATTATGTATGTCATCGACTACCAATAATCCTTACCAGAAGTACCAAACAAGATATCACACTAATCGACAACTCCCTGAAACAGCAATTGAGATACTAAAGTGGCAATTGCTTGTTGAAAGAGTAAGCCCTAAGTCCATTCCTTCATGCACTAATGTAGCTAGGTGACATCGCCAGCAGTACAGTCAGATGCCATGGATTCATTTGGGAATACTTTAAATCAAGTCGAATCTTTATGGGCGGATTTAATAATGAGTTTCAGACTTTCCCGTGGCATAGAGGGCTAACTTTGTATAAAGTTGCTGTTGTTTGCTAGCGGATAGATTATAAATACCCTCGTCTTGCTCTCTTCTTCGTGAATATATTTTATCCCACCAAACGAGCATCTTCTCGCTTGATACATTGACATATAACGTACAATATGACTCGTAGCATACCTGCCCTCTTGACTGCGTCTTTTGTGGTTGCTTTCCAGCGCAACACAACTCGTTCTGTGGCCGGCAAGTTAGCAAGCTACTACTACCGGTTACGTAGCTGCAATATCTTATAAGGAGGTTGAGTAAGTATCAAGGTGACTATCGGCACAAGCAGTTTGGCCTTGGACCTGGAGACTGGAACATCGGACTTGTAAGTCCTGGCTTCGATCAAACTCTTTCTCTTCCGGTCTTTTATGATGCGGGGTGAGCTAAAACATACGTCAATTGATAAGATGGGTCTATTCCTCGTCAACTCCTGTATCATCCCCATAGTTATTGTACTCCCGGGTCTGCCGCTACCCTATTGAGTGGCTGCAGTTGGGATATTGAGTACGGTGTTAAAATGAGTAGACACACCGCCTATGACGATTAGAACATTGAGAATGAGGACTGCAATTGTGTTTGGTTGTGCTTCCAAATCTCAAAAGGTTTGCTAGAAACCTTGTTATTTATCTCTCCAGTATGCCCAGGAGGATCAGCTGTACCTGGTATTTACAATGCTAAAACGCTAGCCAATATCTATCTCTTTCCCGTCATTCTGGGAAATTTTCAACTATTCTATCGAAAAATCCCATCGAGATAATGTCATGGATTAAGCATAAGAACGAGTAAAATAAATTAAGGAGACCCGTTCATAACGAACATGGAGAGGGAGAGCGGGCAGCCCCGCGTGGACTGTCAATGAGAATAACCAACGACTCACACATTAAAGGAGCAATGGTCGGTTTGGGCCACTGGCTAGTAGCATCACATGACGACCTGATGCTTATATCGAACAGTACTGCGTACCTCTTCTAGTCCCTCATTCATTCCTCGTATCGTTTACGGTTCAGCGCCAAAGAATGACTGAAGTCAATTCGCATCGCATGATTGCCCATTATGAATCATAGTTTGTTTATTAGCTAATTGGTATTTGATTGCCTTGTGTGATGGCTTTGAATGATGATAGTTCACTCATCAGCGTCTCATTGGCCACTGCAAAGTTGTTCATTATGAATCATATGGCGTCCGGCCTTCTCATTGGTCGTCCGCTAAAGTTTGAGCGGCGATACAGTAAAGAAAGAATTGGCCAATCATCAATGATTCAATTAACAGTTACGAAATCGGACAACTGGCTAATTGCAGTATAAAAGAGCTGAGAATATCGTCAATTATATGCAAACCCACAGATCATAACTGAAATCCACGTACCAACACTCGACAAATCGAAACACTTCCCGCGTATAAAGCAGCTAATCCAACCTACCTAAACGGATGCCACTCACGACTACTACGACTTCATCCATTACAGCGACAATGAGTCTTTCATCAAGTCCAATAACCACCTCGGCATCCATGCCGATAAACGAGTCTATTGACTCCCCTGTCGCAGCCATGAAGCCTTTCAGACCAGAGCGATGCTTATTTTGTCCCATATGTTCCTCAACCTTCAATGATAGCATTATGCACATGCAAAAATCACACGGCCTATTTATCCCCGATCGGCAACGTTTAGCCGTCGACCTCGAGACCTTTATCGAATATTTGCATCTGGTTATATTTGGGTATCATGAATGTATACAATGTGGGACGAGTAAAGCAACCGTACAAGCAATACAGCAGCATATGACTGGAAAAAGTCACTGCAAGTTCGATATATCGGAACAGAACTCAGAATTTGCAGAGTTTTATTTATCCGACTTGGAAGACGAAACAGACGTTGATGTTGGCGGTAGTTGCGAAGCAACAAGCATTGAGGAGACACCGGCAAGCTCAGGTCGGGAGTCCCTGATGGTTAACAACGACTCGCTTCATTTACCATCAGGCAGAATAATATCGAAAAAGTCAACACAAGCGGAAAGATCGTTATTGAGTCGATTGAAGCGTCACAATCGAACCACAGCCTCACGAATAGAATATTCTGCACCAGAGCCCTCCGACAAGGATGAACCCAGCCAAGAAGAATTCAACGTGAATCCACATGATATAGCTATATTATCGAGGAAAGATAAACGAGGGATGGCATTGATGAAACACCAACTGACAAGTATGAGCGCCACTGACCGAAGGAGTTTGATGCACTTATCTTCGCCTGAGCAGCGCTCAATACTGGCAATGCAACACAGGCAAGCTAAGAAAGCGCAGAAAGAAGAGCAACGAAGGCAGAGTCATGTTGATCGAAAGGGAAACAAGAACCTGTATGCATATTGGGCCACTGAGACTCCAGTTTATTTATGTGGCTAGAGATTCCGTTTAGTTGTGTATATAGTCGCTTGGAACATTAATGCTAGCATGACCGTTAAAATGGAAGCGCAAGTCAATTGCCCCGGCCAATGTGCCCGGAGGATTTATTCTAAGCTTCACACTAAAACTAATGAATTATTTATTAGGCTTCGGATGCTCACTTTTGTGAAGTTTTGAGAAAGCACTCCTCCGAACAGCTTTTCAGTTTCTCCTTCGATGTTAGTCAGAGTAGGCTTTGCACCAAGCATAGTAAAATTGGATCTTAAGCAATTTTGAAGGATCAACCGGTCCAAAACCTGGTTTTTGTTACTAGAGACTGTGTTCTGGCGCTGATTTTATGGTAAGTCAATGAAACCTAGCGATTTTCGGTGGAGCAGTACGGACTGCTTTGGGTAGCAGAAGAATAGGAGACTATCATTCTGATGTCATCGTAGTTTAATAAGTATGTCCAGGGAGGTATGATATTCAAGTACACCATACTTTCTAAGATGCGATGATGGCCTCAATCAGCTCCTCTTTCTGCCAACGAGCGATCAGGATGACTTTGAACGCACTATGGAGAAAGTAACCCTGTCTCACACTTGTTGCAAGAAGGCAGGATTCTGTCGCAAGTTATTTGCACAAGAAGAAAAGGGAATCGAAGCAAGGGTGATTTGCCATCCGTTTCAGAGAGAAAGACCCCGGAAAAGAGTGGGTTTGATGCTTATGGCTTACTTAGACATACAAGAACGGCATAAGACTGTTTGGTGAACAGTTCAGTGTATGCATGAGGTTCGAATGAAGACGACCGTTGATTTATATGTACACGTGAATGCGCATTAACGGAATACTAGCCTAGATGAATTCTCTTCAAGATTCTCGGCTGTTAGAACTTAGGTAATGGTAAAGGCTAATCGATCATGTCTTATTCTCATTCATTCCTCTGCATTCTATTCCTTCAATCCGTATGTTCCACCGTTTAGCTACGTGACCGTAGGACTGAGTGATATCCTTCATAGAGCCAGAAATGCCATTTTCAAATACAAGCAACCGATTTGAAGTCTGGAAGTTGCAATATTCTACAATAGATCGCGGGTCTAAACTTGATGGTCCAGGTCTGGGGCCACTCGCGACGTACCAATAGCACCTTTGAGATCTGGCTCTTTCGACAGGTTCGGTACTAGATCCTCGGAATCTGCCTCCGACGAATTTACATAAATTCTTCGGGATGCCTCTTTCCTCGAGTCACGCCATAGCAGAAATTGTATTACAGCAGTCAGAACAACTGTCAGAGAAATCAGTCCAAGGGTCTCTTCTCCACATCCCGGTTCTTGCTTCTGACACGGAGTACTTACCCAGTAAAATTTGCAGAATTATTGACCAAAGGTATCCTTTTTGGGCTGCGGGGAAGTCTGTGGTTTTCCAAACAAAATTCGGGGCCTGTCTTAGTTTTAGCTATGTAGAACAGTATCACAGATTGTAGAAAAGCGCTTACAACAGCCTGCACGACATAAGCAAGATCATTAGCCAGCGCAACGGTGAACGCCCTTTTTTCTGTGTCCGCAGTACAAATTTCGTTTATCCAGGTAAGTATAAGTGGACCAGCTCCGCCCTTCACAACATGTAAGCAATTGACTGACCAAATACCTGGAATGGACATACATACACCAATATTGCTGAGCCAGAACACAACCATACGACCATGTATATTCTCATACAGTGGCATTTGACGTAGAAGGATAGAGAACAATAGCTAATCAAAACCGAAAGGTCAGTTTCCAGTCTAGTCGACACTTTCTATGACAGTGACTTACGGTTATGACCGCGCCGATATAAATGAATGGCCATCGAGCCCCGCGACATACTCCATCAGATAGCCATCCCCATAACAAAGCCATCGCAATAAATATAGCAATTGTAATATTGGGTACTTCAGAGTATTAGCATGCAATCCAACGAATTCATTATCCAAGATAGGACGTAACTGACAATTGTTGATTTGTGATATAGAGTAATGAGTTCCAGGTACCGGTGGGGGGGTTTTGTTGAAGCTCTTCAGCCAATAACCCATAGCTGGCTGCAGACTTCCATTGTTCCATATGACATATAATAGAGCTGGATGTGGTCAGAATATCTCGTAGTATTGGCGTGGAAGAGAACGTCTTACGTAGAAGGTATGTATGCCAGCTTGTCAGTAACGCTTTCACTTTGGCCTTCGTCCAAGGCGCCTTTCCTGCTCGTCCAATAGACTTCATTCTTTTAACGGAGATCTCCTGTTCTTCCTCGGTAATATACCATGTCTTTATACCACTGTGGGGAAGATTTGGAAAGAAAAAGTATCCAGCCACTGCCAGTGGGAATGTTATGATACCATCGATGATGAAAAGCCATCTCCAACCTGCCCGTCCGTATACTCCATCGAGATTCGTATAAGCTGCCGATTGTAGAAAACCGCTGAACAATTGGCCTACCGATCCAGCTAGCCAGAAGATCATTGCCCGTTTGCCAATCTCGGAAGGTTTGTACCACGACCCTAGCATATAGTGTATACCAGGGTAGAAACCAGACCTGGGAAATCATGATTAATTCTGCTGATTAAAAATATATTGGGGCTGGGAAGGCATACTCGAAGATACCCACTAAAAAGCGTAATGCATACAAGGCTTGGTATGATTTCACGCTGGACATACATATGACTGCTATGCCCCAACCAACTTCAAGCTATGGGACGTCAGCATGGTAATTTCACCAAGAATCACCATGTCTATGGGAAACTTACAGAGGGAATCACCCAGCGGGGTGAAACTCGAGTCAATAGCAGGTTGAATGGCACTTGGCCGATAACGTAGCCGACGGTAAATATCGAAGTGCTGGTGACTAGTTGATTTCCAAACATTTCCAAGTCCTCCTCCATACCACTAAGATACGCATTTGTAACATTGTTCAAGTCGAGATACTTGAGAAAGTAGCCAATCTAATCGAGTCAGTTGATATTTATCTTCATGCCGGCTCATTCATTGCTTACTGATGAAAATGTTAGTACACACGCATCTAGCTTGAACAGAAGCCAACGTTCTTCTGTTGGGAGGTCGAACGTATCCCAAAGGTAGCTTTTCCACGAAGACGGCGGCTTGACCGCAGAATCCTCATGGGAATAGTCGGTTATTGCACGCTGATCAGCCATGGTTTTTGCATGCTTAGGATCAGTTCCTCCTAAGAGGAGCGGAACGACAATTTTTTATAAAACGTCCGATCACGATAGTGCCGTTGCTCAGTCGAAATCACGCAATTTCCTCAGTTGACACACAAGCTGCCCTAATCAATCAAGGCTTAGCTCGGCCCGCGTGGTGAAGAGAAAAGGCTTTGTTTATGGTGGGGAAACCTTAGTCGATTTACTATACGGAGTACAGAGAAAAAGAAACTAATGCTGATGATTGGAGCATGTGTTCGGCTTTCGTGATCGTGGTCAGGGTATCGCGCAATATTCGAGAGATAGTCACCACAAGATGCTGCATCTATGCCACCTTCAAGGAACTTCGTTATCAGAGCACGCTCCACATAAATGTATATAGTAAGTACGTATCCCGGTAGTATTTGTCGTCGCGTCTCTCGGTTCGGTTATTAATTCCATTGCTTGCGCTCTTCACTAGTAAGCAAACAGGAAACAAAAGCCACATATTATTTCGTTAGGCTTACCAATTAATTAAGTATGTCGCTATATAACTATTGGTATTAGTACTCTTCCATGCTTTGTCCCGTGAGCACTTTTTATGATATTCGTCGCCGCACTTCGTACACGATCATGAACTCGCGGATACTCTTTCCATGGTATGCACTTCTGCATTATTAATTGTGTGGGGAACATGGCTCTCAGTAACCTATATTGGCAGTAAAAAATACTGTGCGTTTGGATCGTGTCTTTATAAGATGCACTACCAAGTTGTTCTCCGGTCAGCTCCTCAGAATGGCAATTGTGAGATACTAATAACCTATAGGCAGGTTTCGAGTTGAGAAAGACTTGTGGTGATTGGTTCGGTAACTACGAATTTTTCATCGTGAATGGCCTCGTAAAACAACCACTTCATGATTCCAGACACGGCTGAAGACAACAAATCCCATAAATAGTTCACTCAATTATGCATTAGCACGGTCTAGGACTTCGCTATTGTGATAGGGTAAGAGACCTCGTAGCATTTCATCATATGAGACTCGGAGCAAGCCTTCGAGCTTCAGTCCATACATATGGATTGACGTTAAGCCCTTGGGCCTCTATATATTAGTGCAGTTAGAGATCCAATCAGTCTTGAATTGTCTCATTCGCATCTGCAGGCACGACATGTAGCTACCACACATCGCCATCCACTTGGATGCCGCGATCACTTATCACTGATCCATGTCCTATGTCTTATCGATATAAAGACGTGCGATGTCTCTGCTTCATCGCCCTCTACTGTCATGTTTGATACCGTTTAGTTTCTTGTCCTTGTTCAATATATTGGAAAATGGCGAAGGAACCTAGATCTGAAGTGCCTGTGGCCCACGGAGACAAGTCCCAAGCAGCTATTACAGCAGTGGACTCTGATATAGATTCAGATGATAGCAAGCAACAACTGACACAGGGAACTTTCGATGCAACGGAGGACCATTACTTTTATCGACCCATCGATAGCTATGAAGGCATCCACCGCTGGGACCCTGAATTTAAGTGGACGCAGGATGAAGAAAAGAGAATTATTCGAAAAGTTAGTTATACACGAAGGCTGCAGTTCTTTCGATTTGACCCCCTCTTTGCATATAATAGATTGATATCCGCGTCTGGAGCTTTGCTTGTGTGACTTTCTTTGCCTTGCAGCTCGATCGAGGAAATATTAGCCAGGCTCTCTCAAGCACGCTTTTGAAAGACTTAAAAATGACAAGTAACGATTACAATTTGGGCCAGACGATCTTTCTCGTTTGTTTCCTGTGCGCTGAGATGCCTTCCCAGTTGGTCTCAAAAAGAATAGGGCCGGATCGCTGGATCCCAATCCAGATGGTTGCATGGAGCATTCTTGCAGCATGTCAGGCTTTTTTGACTGGACGCGGGTCATATTTGGCTTGCAGGGCCCTGCTTGGACTACTGGAGGGTGGCTTGTAAAAACATGTACCCTTCCCAATTCCTTTACAAACACTAACCAAAATAATAGTATTCCTGATACTGTCCTGTTTCTTTCTTTCTTCTACAAATCAAATGAACTTCCGAAGCGGTTGACTGGTTTTTGGATCTCATACACAGTTGCCGGTATTATCGGATCATTTCTTGCTTTCGGCTTATTACATATCAAGGATTCACATGGCGGCGGATCATGGCGCTATCTCTTCGCCTACGAGGGTCTGATCACCGGAGTGATCGGTATCATTGCTGCATTTTGGATGCCTGCATCGCCCGTACAAACCAAAGGAGGATTTCGTGGTAGGAACGGATGGTTCACCGAGCATGAAGAGAAAATTATTGTGAACCGTATAATCAGGGACGATCCAAGCAAAGGGAGCATGCACAATCGCCAAGCGGTCACTCCACGACGTTTATGGGAGTCATTGAAAGACTATCATATGTGGCCTATATTCTTCATTGGGTTGGTATGGCAGATTCCCATCACGCCATCTACAAATTACCTTACACTTCAACTACGAAGTCTCGGATTTTCAACGTTCCAGACGAATCTTCTCGTTATTCCAGCAGCTGTTGTTGGAATTATTACCATGATTTCGACCACGTGGATTGCAGAGCGAAGCAACCAGCGTTTGCTAGTTGGTGCTGCTGCCGAAATATGGTACCTAGTCTTGGTGATTGCATTGGAGGTTCTTCCCGAAAGAAGCATGCCTTGGGCTCGCTGGGCTATATTGACCTTTCTCGTTGGAGGACCCAGTATTCACCCCGTACTAGTGGCCCTCACCTCACGAAATGCGGGTTCTGTACGGACGCGTACCGTCGCTTCCGCTTTGTATAACATGTCAGTTCAACTCAGTAGCATTGCGAGTGCCAATGTGAGTATATGTTCCATATCCTAGTCTAACCTGAAATTGCATTACCGGATCACGATTCTCACAACACTGTGTTCTAGATCTACGTCACTAGCGATGCACCATATTACAAACACGGAAATAAGGTTCTTATTGCAATAGCTGTAGTGAATTTTGGCCTATTTATATCTGCAAAATTCTACTACCAGTGGCGGAATAGGTATGTTTTGACAACTCGGGTTCATTAACTTAGTTGTAACACTTTTCTAGGCGCAACGCCGCTAGATGGGCTGCGATGACAGATGAACAAAAACAAAGTTATCTCCGAGAGCATCCGGTGATGACCAATAAGAGGTATAATGCTTCAATTAACTATTTACATCCTTACAGAAGCTAACTTTTTTCGTCGGTAGAATTGACTTTCGATTCGCCTATTAGCGCGCGGTCCTCACGTCAGCTGAGTCCAAGGGACGTCGAGACTGTTGAATCAAGTCAATGCGCCTTGCCACAAAGGATGTTTTTTAAGTGCTAGAATCGGAATTATTTTATTCAAGGTGCAGATCTACTGCAGTACAATGGGCTATATTGGAGGATATGGAAATTTGTTTTACAGCTAATCGACGATTGATATTTCAGTGTAGCTCTAGTATTTGACCACGTCAATCATTACACATCTGTTACGTCCCTCGAGCAGAGTGGAAAAGCACTTAGATTACATTGGACGTGATGTTTCGGAATGGATCAGTTTCAAGACAGTGTTTATCGCTTAGACAAGGTTTAGCAGATGATAAGGTTACTTGCTCCTAATATCCCTTCATATGGCAAATAGTAGTCAACATACAATTATATACTCAATTAGCTATGCAATCGACTTCAGCGTTACGGTTTTAACGGTACCCGATTGCTGTCAACGTACATCCTCACTTTCTTTGTTGAATTGAAATTGTGGAATTAACAATCAAACGAGCATATTGCACCAGAGCTGATGCAATGAAATCGTTGACCCCGCACTACGATAGCGTCGTCCATTTGGCATCTCTCGCGGTTCTGACTGATAAGAACAGGTAAAATACAAGACAGAGTCACTTTCGTTACATTGTGCAATTGCAACAGGTCTAGTCATCATGGTGCAATATGTCGTCAAACATGTATTGTGAGTTTTGCCTCGTGGGATTCCAATAGAGAGACTGGAAATTTGAGCTAAATATGTGTCAAAGCAAGATTTTATCAATAATGGTGCAAGAGATCATTAATGACATGTTGATCGTCTTCATGGATTCTTTGTCTATATTTGGCCCAGATCATGTCATTTATCTACGATTTGAGTTATGAACAGGACTCTCTACTAGGTATATGTAAACATCTCGCACATATATAAGAGCGAGTGTTGTTGTGCTGTAATTTCCGAACCTTTACGGTGATAAAGTACTATAACACTAGGATATCCTTGAGGAAGAAAACACCATACTTGAGATAAGGTCTTGAATTAATCATGGCTCCATCGGTTGATATCTCCCCACAATCCACAGTCGTCGACACAGCTGGTATTGATCTTTCTCTAAAAGGTCAAACGGGTCCACGGTACATCCGAGAGCCTTTGAAATACTCTGGCTCTCTGGATGAATATAAGAGCTTCGATGTCACACCGATCATAGGTCGGGAGTTCTCTGATGTTCAGCTGACGGATATATTAAATGACGATCAGAAGCTTCGAGACCTTGCTGTTACTGGTAAATAGTTTTATATTTCAAATCTAATCAATATGCTAAATAAACTGAAATAGTGTCTCGTCGTGGTGTTGTCTTTTTTCGAAAACAAGAACTGAACTCCGACCAGCAAAAGATTTTGGGACAGAAACTTGGTGAATTGACAGGCAAACCAGCTACTTCTAAGGTAAACGGATCTCATTTACGGCCCATTCTTCTGTTCTTATCGGAGGCTGAACATGAGTTAGCTACACCGCCATGCTGTGAATAACAGCAAGCGCAACATAACGGTGAATGAGGGGAAATTGGATGATGAGATCTCTGTCATCTCTTCAGACGTAAGATCTACCCAGTATTCATGGTTTAGTTTCCTGATACTAACGTACATCAAGATTAGCCGCAAGCTCTATGGCGACCGTTTTGCAGGTTTTTCGCGTCGTTTGGCGAGCGAGGGTTGGCATGCTGAGTTAGTGCTCATGATTCACAAGAAGTCTACTGATTGTTACTGACTAAACCACTTTTAGCATCACCTTCGAAAATGTTCCGTCCGACTATGCTATTCTCAAGATTACCGACTCTCCCGAGGACAACACGGGCGGTGATACTCTATGGGCTTCTGGATATGAAGTCTATGATAGATTGTCGCCTCCAATCCAGAAGCTTGCAGATACCCTGAAGGCTGTTCATCACCAGGTACGCCTCTTACAGAACACAGATAAATTACATACTCGAGTGATTGACATGAAATACCTGATAGCCAAGATTCAACGAAATTGCAAAGCAACACGGTATTGATCTCATCGAAGGTGACCGCGGAGCACCGGAAAATACTGGTTATGAATTCAAGGCTACTCAGTAGGCTCTGCTCTTTGGTAATTCTTTTCACTGATAACTTACCGCTGTATAGCCCTCTTGTCCGTACCAACCCTGTGACCGGCTGGAAGAGTTTGTTTGGAGCGGCTCACCAGGTTGAGCACGGCTGGATTGAGGGTGTTACTCCACGCGAAAGTGAGATCTTGAAGCAGTACTGTAAGTCTTTCCCCGTCCAGACATAGTGAACATGTGAACGCTAGAGCAAGGGGATTAATACCGCTCGGCTTGCTAGTCAATCAACTGATTGCCGAGAACCACGACCTTCAAGTGCGTTTTAAGTGGAACACCAATGATGTGGCCATTTGGGACAAGTAAGTTGAGCACTTGATGCTTGAGATTTACATCCATACAACATATGTGTTCGACATGGTGCTAACAGCGTGGTTCTCCAGCCGATCGGTCTTCCATACTGCAACAAAGTAAGTACAACATCCCTGAAATTGCTTTCAGACTAATAACATGGCAATTAGTGACTATGAGGGCAAGCGTCAAGGTAACAGGGTCGTTTCGTTGGGCGAAATCCCTTACTATGATCCTGCCTCTGTATCGCGACGGGAAGCCTTGGAAGCGGAGTCAAAAGCCATCTGATTGGTCCGCATTTGAAGACTTAATCCTGTGACGTTATATGTCCTATTGGTACTTCCATAGCTTTATTACCTAGTGTCTTTGTTTGGAATGATATTTCTCAAATGGTTTATCTACTTAGAGACGCTTAGTCTGCCGAATTATCAAATCTACGAGAAACTTCGTCGATAATCCTAAGGGTTGCTAGTTAAGGTTGAGAACTGACATCTTCAAGTGGTATTTCCAGTTCAGAGGGCTTGATATTCCATATTTTGCTTAGTAAAATCATTTGACAAGCTGTGAGTAAGATATATGTTCATTATGGTGATGGATCGCATAAAGCAGAATACTGTCAGATCTTCAAAACTACATAGGCATATTCTGGGACAGTTCGGAACACGCCAATGTGAAGATCGTGATGGATCCTTGCCTAATGAATCTCGATGATACTATTTCCAATGTGGTACAATCCAGCGCTCTTGTTTGCATGACAGTAACTTCATTGCCCACGGTGTGTTCATGGCCCTGATCTTACAAGCCCAACCCAGCTCAGGGGCTTTCGATGAACAGAAGAAGAAGAGCGCGGAAGGCTTTGCGCCTATCAACACATGCATGTTTATAAAGTGCCTAGATAAGAAGATGTGTAATTAATTAAATCTTATAAATCTTTAATAAGACTGTTGCGAGATTGCTATCTTGTAATATGGCCAAACCTTGTTATATGTCTGTGTTATAGCTATGGTTTGTCATCTTTTCTAGTCAACTAACTACAGTGAGGTGTCGATAGTCTGCAGAATGACAGCGGGCTCATAGACCGCATTTCTTAATCACTGGGCAATTACCGGGTAAGAACCTGTCACCACCCTCTTACAACAAACCACTATTTGCCGCTATTGGCTGCTTGACTCCCTCGCTGTTGCAGAATTTTTCGTGACTCTTGTGGAAATTCTTGCAATCGGTGTAACATTTTTTCTTATCGATAACAAATTGTCGGCATTTCAGCTCGGTAAATGAAATATGGCAGCACTGACATGCTTTTAACAACCTTATAGCGGAGTGCATATCATGCTCTTCGCACTCTTCTGCCGGTTATCTTGGAAGAACTTGCTGCAGTAAACGCAGCACCACTTCCATCTTGGAATCGCTTGTATCGAGCTTGCGTCAGGTCGCAACCGCATTCTCCACGACGGGTAGCATCTGGTTCTTGCGCTCTTGGATTGCTTGCGAAGTAGGGAATCTGTTGTGAGACTCATAAAACTTGTAACATGGATGGCAACACCATTTCACTCCAGCATGACGTTTGCAAATAAGGCCATCACTATTAGTTACAATTTCCGAGAAGACATCATTACAGATCTCTCAAGAGTGATAAGAAGCTCCTTCTTTAAGATGTGCAATCTTTCCTTCTGTTTTTTGAATCCTCTACAAGGTTCACACGGGTAACCTTTACTAGGATCTTTCGAATCAAATGGCCGCCGAGCTGATTCAGTTTGTAGATGATGATTAGGATAGGTGATATCTTGACAAGACACGCAAGGAAGGTCAGTGTGTGACCAAGGATGTGGCATTGCCTATAATACCAATAGTGCCATGTTCAAGTCGAAAAGAGATAAGACAGTACGTAGAGTCTGTGAGCCTTCCTCGGGAATCGTAAAATACCATTGGATTGTACGTTTTCGTGTATTCCGGGTACCGCACTGTCTGGAACAGCATCATGAACACGCCTCCAGTAGAGTAAGACGTCTGGTGTCCAAAGCATCATCAACGACTGCTGGAGTCTTGTAGAATGATGTATCATCGGTACGAGTCGCGTCTTGATGGTGTCGTGACTGACGATAGATCCTTGGGAGCTTTCCATTCCCCTTACTCTTGGCGATTAATGCTCTATGGCCTTCTAGGCGACAGTTGATGCAATGTGAATGCGAAAGAGAAGTGTAAGTATCAACATGGGGAGCGCGACACAGATCCTGATAGCGAAGAGAAAACGAGAATAATAAGATTCAAAAGTGTGACACGCATGGTAGGCACAAAAGCTTATATAAGAAGTATGAAACTTGGTAGTAGCGATATTAGAGGATAGTAGCATTTCATCTGCTCAACGATATAACCTAAAAGGCTTGTTAAATAGACCTACATATAATCTTTCCGCTTACGTATTGTGAATAAGGTCATTTTTGCTACTAATACGAAGTGAATTMCCTGCCATAAAACCTAAAATTGATATATAAGGCCACAATCAAGGTTGCTTCACAATTAGCGCGGCCATTGTCGCAAAGATCTGGTTGTCACGATCTAACATATCGATAACCCTAACCCTATCTAAGGGGTGTATGCTTGCAAAATACTATCATAATAAACATATGCCTGTCCACTTGGTGGCTCAATACTCGACCATGTCGACGACGGCCACCATGGTCCGGCAGCCCACCACGAAGCTCCTAGCCAGACGTCGTTGTTGGCGACTAGATGGTCCAGCATGCCCGTCACGGCCTCTTGACAGACCGAGTTGGGGCCACCGGCATACTCCCCTAGAACACCAAGCTTTCCATTGGCCTTCAACCAAGCTGTGGCGCCCTCTACACGCTCAACACCAATTGTGGAAGAGACGCAGGCAGCATTTGTTCCAGATCCATCGGAGTCAAGGTATTGGTGCATTTCGTAGACAAGTAAGTTCTCAGGATCACTCAAAGATTTAAGTGAGTCATTGGTCGTGTTCCAGGTCCATGCGCCGGTCCAGCTATTACCCTCGGCAAAGATATATTGTGTTGTGGCGCCGGCGCCACGAATACCATTGATTGCTGCTTGATTCAGGTTGAAGACCAGGGTCTCATCCATATCGTGGTACTCATTGTTTGTGTCAAAGATCTATCGAACGTCAATTCCCAACGGTGATAAATAATGAAGAAAGGAAAAGAAGTTGAACATACAACTTTGGAATTGCTCTTGAAAGCTGTTGCCAAGTTAGACCAGAAGGTCTGGAAAGCAGTAGTATTGGTGATAATGTTGCCATTGTATCTTCCGTAATTGTGAGGATCAATCACAGCGTATGCCCCTTTTGAGGTGATATAGTTGACAGCGACAGAGTAGTTCGTCAAATATGCGGTATTCAAAGCACTATCAATTGACCCTTGTGCCATTCGTTCCATGGCAAAAGGAATGCGGAAAAAGTTGAAACCTTGGCTGATGAATTCCTGTTCATTTCGTTAGCACTTTATCTCAAATCTAGACAATAAAACATACACCAATAGTTGCTGTATTGGCAAAGGTAAAATCGACACCCCAAGTACCTGGCATCGCAGTACCAAATTCGGCACATGATTCATCCACGCCGAACCATTTCAACTTTCCGGTACTCGTTGGTGAACTCGTCGATGAGGTTGTCGATGAGGTTGTCGTCTTCGAAGTGGTGGTGGTTGTTGAGGTTTTTGAAGATGTTGTGGTAGTCAAAGTGCTGGAAGCTGGTAGACATTGTGAGTACCAATCGTTGAGATAGGTACATGTCCAACCAGACACGCACGTCGTGGCACCAGTCCAGTTCTCACCACCACACTGGCCATATCCAGTTTGCTGGGCTTGAATGGAAGTGACTGCTAGTATAGCACTAGCTAAAATTGTTACTGTAGACCTCATCACTTGTTAGGGTGTGATGTGTACGTGGGATCTGTTTAATATTCAGCAGAAACGTCTACACAACTGAACTGACAAAATGGAGAGCTTTATAGTGCTTGAACAAACTCAATCTCTGTAGTCCGCAGACGATTATGTGGAGCACGGAGTATCGCTCGAAACAGGATCTCTGGCGGCGTTCCATAGTTTCAATTTATCACCCTGAAATGGGAGATTAGCATAGCCATTCATAGCTACTTCACGATCTTCAGGACCTGGACTGAGCTGTCGATCAACATGTGACATTAGCTTATTCTTCGGATTCGGGAAATGGATTCGACTAAGCATGCGTTTGGTGGAAAATCAAGATCGACAGTCTATTTCTTCAAATTCCCCGCGTTATTAACAAGGCATGTAACATCCCGCAAACGCCACAAATTATTCTATGAAACTTGAAACACATTAGCAGGTATTTTACTGCATGAAACCAGCTACCATTATTGTATCCAGGACACTCGATCTCATTCGAACCCTTAATACACATGATGGTGTCGCAAAATCTACGCCGAGAGTGTGAGCTCACAAAACCCTGAGTTTCCGTTCGTCAGATGAACGCAAACCTTTAGAATGGTACAGAAATCAGTTCCTTACAACCCCATAAACAATCTCATCATGGTCGCCTTGATGGTCTCCATACCACGTGTCCTTAAAGAGCCACTGAATACTTCACCCAGGAACAATTGAACAAGCCGACTTTCCGCGACATTTGATTGAAACCTAACCTTCGATCTTATATCTTGAATTTCCGTCACACAGTCATTCTACTAAACTTCAACCAGTCATCAAGCCCCGCGGTAAGTCTGATCAGTTCACATATATGCTACAGCAGCACGCTTGACAAGTTCTGGTCGGAGAGCGTGTCCAATTAACTGTCGGCTTGTCAGGAGGAAATATGGCAAAATAGTTGGTCACCTTACGGCTCTAAGCTTGAAATAATGGGTTGCCTCTGCCAATTTTTTTTGAGAGCTTTCTAGTAGCATTTAAAATCCTGAATCAATTTCAAACTGTGGCCAAGAAGGATGTAGATTCCATTTATCATCAGGAAGCAATGCCCATTCTCCGCGTTATCGCTACCTTTCTCCCCTAATCCTGGACGCTAGTGTCGGCCTGCTCTCCAGGGCCTTATTTTTTACTATAGCATCTGATTCACTACCTTGCATGGATGTATATATGCATATCCTATGTTCTAGTCCACCAGCTCAGAGCGTACCTGCCCATAAAACAAATTTCATGCACAAAGCCTCAATCTGGTGTTCAATTTAGTGCGTGAATTCTACTTTTCATTGATAAGCAATTATTTACGAATTTAAGCCCACGTACGAGGCTTTTGGGGGTTGAGTTCGGTGCGCGAATCCCCCTATCCCCAATCTAGTTGACATGCGCGCTCACGTACAAATCTGTATACGAATCTACATTGAGCTTACGAAAGAGCCTACGTACGTGTGAGATTGGTGGTAGATGTGATGGTGGACGTTGTGTTGAGTGTTGTGTACATCTAGGAGCATTGACGCGAATTATAGCTATTACCTAGCCTTTGTAAGGGCATATCATTTCCTGCTTATAATCACACGTAAAATGTATCGCATAATCATAGGAATATGGGTAATTCGACTAATATTACTATCATATCTCAGAGGGTTATGATAATATTACCTGTAGCCTCATCATCATATTATAGAGATCCGTCAGATATCAAATCTCATAATAGCCGCAGATGTTTTAACTTTTTCGCCACATGGCAACACGCTGTAATATCATAGAGCTGTCACCCAGGCCTTACTAGGCCTTTAAAAATATCCATATATTTCCGCTACTGGAGCCAGAAATACAACAGATGGAAGCAATATACGCTCAAAATCGCATAGAAGATAAGCAGGCGAGGGCTGGGGAACAAGAGAGGGAGAGTGTGATTGTGTGAGGATCACCTGGTAGTGTTAACATCTAAGTTGGTTATTAGTTCAAGATAGTAATGGTCACTGCAGGATTAGCACTTGCACAAGTTACCAAGACAGAAAGAGGGTTAAGGATGAACCGCCGTAAAAGCCTTTTATCAACGGAAATCTCAAGGTCGTCTGATACTGTTAGGACACATTCTATGGATAAACAAGATATCTACAGAATTGCAGACACAGCAATTTATACAATCTAGGCAGCGTAACAAAGATCCTTATCAATTTCCGTGTTTCTCGTACAGGGTATGACTTACTTAGGCCCCCTAAACAAATTCTTAACTCTGAAATACCGATTATCAGCCCACTTCAACATCTTCCGTGGCCCAGATCGACCGAATCAGTAAGCCACGGCGTGGATACGGTCATTCTTGGGCTTAAACACCACCCATACCTCATTGATACTATTTAAAATGATATATATATTATAAGGATTTTTTTTCCTGGCTTGCACAGGACACATCCCGACCATAAATCACATCATAAGCTCAAAAGCATTTAGGGTCGTAGCCGCGAATGTCTTACAGATGCGAGACTTCCGAACGAGAGAGTACAGCATTAACGAAAGATCATGATAATTTACTTGTCGAAGCATCAGTCTATATGCAAGAGATAGCTCAATGGAGGTCCGTCCTCCATATGGGTAACCATTGTCTAAAGTCCCATACTGTCAATGCCAGCCTTCACAGTCTCTTCTAAGCCAATCCAACTATGCTGTCCGAAAAAGGACTTGAGTAATCCTTCTGCTCTCTTAGCAGGCACAACTTGACTCAGATCAGGGAGTTCATTGGCCGGAGGGCTGGGAATCTTATCATTAGACGGCCTGAGCTTTTTCAAGATATCAATGATGCCAACCCAGGTATGGGGGGCAGCAAAGGCGAAAAGGCGCTCCGAGTTGACGTTAGGGTCGAGAAGCGCGATTGCATGGATTCGTGCAACATCTTCCACATTGACATAGTGTTCTAATAATTTGTTAGCAGATATAATAGACTGGTAGTGATCAGGGCGTCTCACGGGGAGGCATTGAGAGAACATTAGCATTACCCTCCAACAAATCCGCGACCCATTTCATGGTCGACCCGTTGATATTGGGGTGAAGAACTTTTCCTAACTGCAAGAAATTAGTGAAAGCGAAACAACGGCTCCCAATCATTGCAAACTTCTAGAACGGAGGGTCCCCTGTTTCACTTACAACGAGGTTTGGAAGTACAGCGTTAAAGGTAAAATTCGGATTGTTCTCTTTGACCCACTTCCATGCCGCCCTTTCGCCCTCGGCTTTGGATGCCGCGTAAATGACAAAGGGCTTTGCTTCGGCGGGGGKATTTTCGTCCCATGCTGCTTTCACGGCTGCATCGTTCCAGCTATCTACGTGGAATCAGTACGGATTGCCTGTGATTCAGTTTAGGCCCGAACGGCACAAGTACGTACCTTCTGTTATCACGATACCTTCTACACCAGGCTGTGTAAAACAGGCAGAAGATGATGATGAGGTCAAAACGACTCTCTTGACCAATGCCTTGTCGGCAGCTTTCAAGATTGCTTCCGTGTATGCAACGACTTTGGTTATGACTACGTTAGGGTCGGTATTGAACGAGACATCACTCGCCTAAGTCTCTATTAGCCATAGTCTACACTGCTGAATGGACAGAAATTCCGAATCTGTACATACCACATGGACAACACCGCTAACTCCGCCCAGAACCTTAATCAAGACTTCCTCACTTTCTAAATTGGGGACAATGACTGTCTCAAACTTTCCAGGGCCATACTTGGACTCGAAGAGCTCAACGAGCCATGGCTTTTCCTCACGGACTGTGCCGCGGACGAGGTAGCCAAGAGATAGCAAGACGTCCACGACGTTCGACGCAATGTAGCCATTGGCTCCTGTTACCAATATACGGTCACCGGGCTGGAGCGAAGTAGCAACCTTTGGAGTAGTTGACATCTTCGAGGTATTGATTCTTGGTGTCGTTGATAAGCGACAAGATTGTGTGTTCCACAAAGGGTTTGTTATTTGCGATCAGTCTTTGGAAGAGTTGGTTATTATGGGCTGTTTAGCGGATTGCAAGATAAGAATTCTACGCTGGGCATGATTCAATAAATAAAATTTCAAGTCCATTGAAGTGGAGTGCAATGATTGTCTACATGTAAGCCATGTCTGGCGTTCGGAAGGGTGACAACAAATAAGAGAGGGTAGTCGGATTGTTAATCACCCCGCGGAAAAGTTGTCGCTGCTTTAAACAAATCTGTAAAGATGAGCTTTGAGTCACAATATACTTACAAAACGCTTTGTAATCTCTTCAATTTTGAATGCACGATGTGACAATCTATATCTTTTAAGCTAACCTCGATACTTTGTAACCCGGCCCTACGGCTGAAAATGACTCCATAGCGTTCCTCGCTTGGGAGTTGTACGGCCGTTCTCTGCGCAAGGAGTCCACGGCCAATCTTCTACCCGGTTCTCGGGTGTATATTCTGTCGAATTTCTCCACATCTTCAAAGTCATTGCTCCGTCTCCGCCTGAAAGATGGGGAGCGATATCTTCGTGGTGTTGTCTCTCTAATGATTCGTGTAGATCTACGTTCGGGTTCCATGATAATCTCTTCGGTCACACGCTGTGTGTACTCTTTGAGCTCCAGTTGCGTGAGTTTATCATGCAATATGCTGAAATCTCCCTCTCGAGAGGCATCAGCAATGTTACTCCATTCTCGCACAAAGTCATCCCGCGATCCCGCCTCCATTATTAAGGCTTTCTTGCTGTGATTCTCGATCGACCGGGCAAATTCTCGTTCTAGCATTATCGCTTCTTCGACCGAAGTAGCTGCGCGGTCAGCAACATTGAGGATATTCTTCAGTTTCATCGCTCTCTCAAGCTTCAGCATAGTAGCGACATCTGGCACCCGATATGGGGACTTGCTTTTAGCAACCAGAGATCGAGGGAAACCAAAAGAGGAGACATGGCAAGCCTTCACTGACATCGAGAGATGTACGTCAAATTCTGCTTTACATTGAACGAGTAGGAGGAGTCGGACGATTTCTGGCAATCCGCTTTGACTACCAGGCTCCTCGTACATGCGCCACGATGCATGCATCTTATCCTTGACAACTCCATGAATGATTCGTACGCCCTTGAATGTGGACTTGCGTGATTTTGTGCCCTCCATACTGATATTCACATTCGAAGGTCCTCCACCTCCAGTTGCCCCTAGCGTGAGTGTCTGTCCTGATGATATTTCCTGCTCAGAAACCTCGACTCGATCCGCCTGCGGCATTATGCTGTGAATGTGCGGTATGTTTCCGGATTTAAAGGCAGCAAACTTAACGTCCACTTTGGCATAACGTATTCGGTTCCTGGTCGAAAACGGCTTCATGAAGTTCAACTTTAACTGGATCGCGTGCATTTCCTGTCCCTCGTGCATGAGTAACCGGATCATCTCCACTTTGGCGTCAAAGAATATATCGTGGTTATCGTAGTTGGCCAGGATAAAGCCATCACCGTTATTGCGACGAACGCCGTCCCAATGGTCTGCGCTGAATTTGGCAAAGACTGGATCGAGGTCAGTTGTTCCATTCGCTTGGATCGCATCTTGCTTTATTTCCTTGTTCAGGTCAGTGGCTGGATTTTTGTGCGTCGCTCCTGGCTTGGCATCCTCATTCCCCAATTCCCTTCCGCGGCGTATATCATCTATGTTCGCTCCATAGTCCAGGAGCAGTTCGGGCAACCGCCTGGTTCGACTGGCGACAGCTAGCTGGAGTGGTGTCTTTCCATCCGAGTCACGGATACGTACATTGGCACCATCCTGGAGTAGCTCGCGGGCTATGTCTCTATGACCAGCCGAGCAGGCGATGTGTAATGCCGTATTTCCGTCGGCGTTTGTCGCGTTGATATCCAAATCGTAACGGAGGAGCAACTTGGTCCCTTCTTCCCATCCCATAGTAACAACCGAATGCAAGGGTGCCATTCCATCAGGACTTTTCAGGTCCAGATCTGGGCCAAACGGCATCAACGTTTTCAGCAATCCAAGGTTTCTCTCGTCAAGTGCAATGTGAAGCGCCGTCTTCCCACTGGCATTTCTGGCATTTATTTCCGCACCCTCGAACAGCAGCGCTTTGTTAATTGCATCATAATCTTCATTGCGAACTGCAGCGTGGAGAGGCGTGTCTATCCCCACAATGACTGGTTTGGCGCCTGACGATGGAACGTCTTTCTCGACGACAATATCTTCACGATCCGATGCAAGCTCATCCAGCTCATCATCATTCCCTCTAGGCAGGTGTTCCTCCAATTATTGTTAACATGATTGTACGACGATACGTAGTCATCCCCGTGGAGATTCCAAATAGAGCTTACCATTCTTGGGCGCCGGTCAGCACGTCCATTCCACGCCCTTGTACGAGTATCGAGTGGTGGCTCCTGCGGCCGATCGGCTTCGCTGTGATGGTTCTCTCCACCATCAGATAGCGAGATGACATCCATCACAATGTGCCTCCGGATACACTTGTTATGCCATGAATTTGCGCGAGACGTTGTTCTTTGTTTGGAATGTTTTGATGTTTTGGTTCTTGCCTTGCTGCCACTGTCGCGCTACCAGTGCCAGTGGGTCTACTTTCAGCCGCACTCTATAGCCAATAGAATGCGCTGCCATAAACTCAAACTATATATCCTGTTCTGATTGGTCTGTATGGGGCATCCTTTTGAAGCGGGGCTTCTTCTCAGGAACTTGATTGGCTTATTCTCTCCGAGGCTTGAGCTATGTCCCTATTAGGTCTACTCCATAGTAGCTTTGTCGTTTTTGTCCCAGAGCGACCGAAGATCATTCACTGATTTATCATCTTTTACTCGCTCCGTACGGAGGTACCAGTAACGATGTGGGTAACAGTCGTCAAACCTCCAAGACATACTTTAGCTATCTGCATATTGAGGAAATATCCGGGCAGTCTCACGGTCGTAGCCTACGTTGAAACTCTTTGCCAGACAGGAACACACATCGTGTATCAGTTTCTGACCGACTTCGTGCAAGCTGTCAGACCATTGATATCAGCGCTTTAGATCATATCAGGATTGAGCTTGACCTCAGGAGCTTACCCAGCTAAAATGAGTACAGAATGCGTTGCTCCAGCGTACATTTGGGCATCAACATTGACTCCGGAATTTTGCAGAGCCTTACCATATTGAATAGCCTCGGGTGCAAGTAAGTCACACTCTGCAATAGCGAGAAATGTGCTTGGACTGCTTCGCAGCACTTCCTCTGGTGCAAAACATGGCGATGCGTCCCAATTCCTTGTTTCTTCCTCGGAACGAAAGTACATGTTGCGGTACCACGTCATACGCGAGGGTGTCAGCCATGGTGAATGCATCGATGTCGCCCATACACTGTCAACAGTGGCCGTGTTGTCGATCACTGGACAAATTAGTATCTGACGGACTATCTTCTCCACCATCTCTGGATCTAGAGCCGCCTTCATTGACACGGTTGCCGCCAGCCCACCGCCCCTATAAATCAGTGCAGTTAGATATTTCATTTTCTATTTTGATGCGTCATTGATTGCATTCTTACGCTGATAGACCTCCAACAGCTATTTTTTTGGTGTCAATCGAGAGTTTTGTTGCAGTTTCGGGTGTGAAGACCCATTTCAATCCCGCAAAAGAGTTATCAATGGCTACCGGATAACAATGTTCGGGTGCATGACGGTAGTTGATTGAGACAACGACGCAGTTGATGTCTATGTAGAAATAATTTTATGAGATCACTACATTTCAGTCCGAGATCTCAGAATAACTTACATTTACAGATATGTGTAAGGAATCCATTTTCGCTGCTCAAATCGCCAATCACCCAACCACCGCCGTGATACTGTACGATCTTAATGACTATTCACATCTCCTCGTTTTATATCACAGAAGGTAAATAAATAACGACGATAGACTGACATATATAAAGCATGGCCATCCGCCTGACGGTGTCTCAGTTTCAGGAGTAAAAACCCGGACTTGATATTCATCGACGTTGAAATCTGAGATATTGCCAACTTCCACTAGCTTTGGGCTCGCAAATGCAACGAGACTACCTCGTGATCTAATATCTGGACTCCATGTCTCTGACTCGCTGGGTGCACAGTACTGTAAAATATTGTCGTGCAGTTTGACATATTCCGGGTCGAGTTCGTTGCGAATTGAGTCGTGTAGAGGCTGAAAGACTGTTTTCGACATCATGTTATGAGCTGGAATATTCTTCGGCCTCGAGCTTCCGTATATTCCATTTAAATGATTTTGGCTTGATTTTAACCCTTCGCAAACTACACTTGCTAATCAAATGACGATCTCATGAATGACTCGAAGCATATCGAACGATAAGATAAGCCGGCCGGCCGGCGATACCCACTCTGTCCCATTTTATGTATGTAGAACATTTCGAATTAGTTAATCTCTATTTTCCAATTCTTTTTCTCCCACGGAAAAAAGAAACTAGAATTCCTGTGAAATTGTGTTTGAAACTACAATGCTTTTATTTCTCTCTTTTGACACCTGATATACATAAGTCCAGCTGAAGAGACACTGTACTGCAGAAAAAACTACCCACAGAACGTAGCCTAGCCGTATTACCTCCCCGTACCTCTTCTTGTGATACATGTAAATTCCTGCTATTGCCGAAGATATTGATTGGAGTACCACAAGCGGTATGAATACCAGAGCCGAGCTCAACTAGTTGGGTTGTCGGGCTGCCTAGAAGACAAAATGGGGAGAAAGTAGAGCGGACTGTAATAGACAATTCCAATGAGAAAGTTCTGCACCATTATAGCGGCTGAAGCTAGGATTTTCGTGAGGTGAACTAACTTTGATTTCTGAGTGTAAGTACGCTTCTTCTATAACTTCGTTATATCGGTAACGCGAGGAAACTCACACGGGAAGATAGGAAGTCCAGCCCATTTCCATTCATTGATAACAAATAACACGAACAAGATCGAAACTAGCGTAACCATGGAAATGAACGTTGCGCTATCGGGGTTGAATTCTGGCCTGACCCCAGAGACAGTCATCAAGAGCAATATTGTGTCGACAAAACTGAAGAATCTACCCAGATATTCAATTCTACCAACTTCGTTTTCAGCTCTCAGCCTAGTCCCGCCGGACCAGCGTTCAAACAGTTGTTACTTGCTTTGAGGATGGTTCTGTGCTTAGCATATGGTGCATTCTGTAGTTCTCATGGTTGATAATACTGTATGTGATTCTAGATGTTGAATCGAGTGAATGAAATGATAAAGATTAAACCCGAATCAAGGTGGAGCTTTTGGGTATTGTAAGTATAGGTGATCATTTCCATCCCTTTTTCATTTCAGCAATTGCTTCTGACTCATTGATTACATCTGCAAATCTTGCATCTAAATCAAATAGAGTGGCTCTTTGGATCTCAACACTTCTATCTCCACTGGCCTCGTCAACGACCATACAGCGGAAGCCATGCCCACAAGCATCAACTGCCGTAGCCCTAACGCAACCACTCGTACTAACACCGCAAAGGACGATCGTGTCCACTCCGAGACCATTTAATTGACCAAATAGATTTGTTGCTAAGAAGCCACTGGGGTTCTTCTTCAGCACGACGGTCTCCTTGTCCCAGTCCGGAACTAAACCTGGCATCCATGCGTCCATTCCACGTGTGTCGCCTTCTTGCCATATGGAAATTCCAGGCGATTTCTTATATTGTATCACGCCGTCCAACATATCCGGGTGGTTATAACGAACTTGACACCATATAACTGGTAGGTCGCTCTCGCGTGCGGCCGCCAACAGTCGGATCATGCTATCTGGAGAAGATGCGCCGGAGGGGTTCGATAGTAGAGAGAGAGGCGATCCCTCTGACCAATACGCGCGACAAACATCGATAAGAACTAAGGCAGGCTTTTTGCCCCAACCGATACGTTGGTGATAGCCGGCTGCTTTGGAAGCCTCGTGAAATGGGTGTGATTCCACAAGTGCTGTTAGCATGTTGAGTTCTATACGATCGAGGCAATCGTCGGTGAGAAAAGGCTCGATGAATAATCTTACTTGCAAAGAGCGATTTTTCCTGATTGTTTATCGAATACAAAAGACTAATCATTTTTGATGCCTTGATTTAGATATAAGCCAACTGATAATGCGCGTATCTGGCTTCTTTGTGCCGGCCGGCATTTCCACAAATCAAACCAACATACGAATAATGAGCGTTTCAAAATTTACAGGTCTTCGGCGATAAGACAAGAGTACGGATAGCATTAACTATTGTACAATTACCACTCGGAAATCTCTGTTACCAAGAACATGCACATGCACAGAGTATTACATTAGTTTGTTATCTAATGAGCGAACAATCATTACCCCATTCATACCTAGACTCGGCCCATCCATTTGATCTCTAAGGTTCTAAAAGGCAGGTACAACATGATTCCGAGAACTAGAGCAAATTCGAATGCCAAATCTCCAGTAACCTTTGCAATTGGGCCTACGTACCAAACTTGGTCCATTGAGGGAACGACAAGTGCAAATGGGAGCACAAAAGAAGTGAGAGCTGCTAAACCCGGTGGCAACTCTCGAACGCTGTTCCAAATTTTGGGATCAAATGAGGATGCCTTTCCCTTTCGGAATACAAACCACTCCGTTAGCAGAATGCCGGTAAATGCGGCACTCCAATAACCTATGATACCAAGGAAATCCTCAAGGGAGTCAAAAAATGACTCTGCGGCTTTGATACCAACTCCGATATCAACAGCTGTGACAACAATCACAAAGATAATGCGAGGAATTTTTGCGAATTTGGGCCAAATTATTTGAAAGCCGAGCGAGACGGAGTAAAACCCTGGTGCGATCTGCGCAATGACGCTAAGAGCCAATATGACAGCGATGAATTTGCCAAATCCTCCAAGTGGCGCCAACATGGCTACCAAAATTCCTCCCACGGAGTCACGGTCATTAGCATCCGACCAGCTCGGGATATTGGGTACAGCGCCGCCGATTGCTGCACCGACAATCATCAGAAGAATTGAAGGTAGACAAATACCCATCCAGCAGTACGCAAAAATACGCCATTTTGGAGCATTTGGTCCTAGGTAGACTGCTGTATCGCCCACAGTAGTACTGTATGGTAGCATATAGCCAGCAATCAAACTGATAAACGTGATAATAGTCGGTCCATCAGAAGCAACTGCCGGAACTTGTTCCTTTAGCTTTGATCCGCCAGAACCGATTGTAATGACCATGGCAATGAATGCGGGAATCCAGGCCCATCGCTCGTAGTGATGAATAGCTTGAAATCCTCCAAAGGCGGGAATCATAGAAAGGATAGCAACGATGACAATGCCAACTGTCTGGCTGATTGTGTCTCCGGATACAGCAGCAAGAGTCTGTCCGGCGGTGACAAGGCAGATGATATTGTATCCGCAGAGTGTCATCATGTTCAGTAACGCGATTAGAATGTTCGGGTACATGCCGAAGCTATACCGGGCTTGAATCATCTGACGCATTCCAGTCTGGGGGGAAATAGTTAAGATATATGCTGGCGGGATACACATCAATAGTGAAAAGAACAGTAGAAGAAGACTAGTATCCCGCAGGCTCATGCCGAAAGATAATGTGCCTACCATTCCGGTGACGAGTCTGTCAAATCAATTGATAAGTAAGTATTCCATTTGATACAAAATATAATAACTTACGGCAATGGACACAGCAGACTGGTACACCAAATAGTGAATATCTTGTTGAAAGCTGAGTCTGTACGCAGCTCTGGTGGAACAGGTTCCACTCCACGCAGCTCTACCCCGGAAGAGAGAAGGAAATTCACCGCAGTCTTAAGCGGTCCATGTTGTTGACTATCCGAAGATTCACTTTCGCCAATCTGAACATCGGGTGCAATATTGACCGACGCTGCAGATTTCTCCCCTTTCTCGATATCGCTGGTGGTAGACGAGGCCATTTTGTATGGCAAAGGTCGAATCACTCAAGATAATCAATAGTCATCCGAGAAGTGATGCCCACTTAGAGCAATGGAAGGACGCGAATGAAGAAGATGTTTATATCATAATGTGTTATCTGCTAAGTTGCCTGTGTTTTAAGTCGAATTACTGATTTTGAGCATATGTCAGAAATCAAGCAAATGCGCAGGTGGTACTGGGCGAGTCATAATCATGCCTATCTAATATCTAGAGTTGCCGGCTATCACGAGTAGCAAGGTAGATAAGGGCCAGTCTCGCCCACGCCACTTAAATTCTACCAATTAGCAGAGCCGGATTCGCCAGGGTATCGGTAATTTATCAGCTTTTGATTGTGGAGTGCACGATAAGACAATCGAGGCGATGATCATTTACAGTTCATGAATTATGCTAACCGTATGATAGCTGCTGATATGGTGTTCGGAAAGTGCGCCGAACTTAGTTCTACGTATTAATATCAAGCAATGAAAAATACCGCAACAGGGTGTCATAGTTTCTAAAAAAATAAAGCTAAGCGTTTTTTGTTTCAAAATATACAGAAGAATCTCATATTTTTTCGTACATGTTTGACTTGAACTAGTTACGGCGCCGGTTGCTTACTTAGGTATGATTTGAATAGTATTCGATCATCATTAAAGTAAGCAGATCCTTGACGATCAACCACTTACTTACAAGCCGTAGATCTAGAAATTTGGTGCGAGTAATTTTAGACTGTTATCTGCCCAGACAATAGCATAGTATATTTATAGACAGAAATACAGGCACGGGTTCATTCAAGGGTTCCCAATGGAGCGAGTCCTTGCTCCTGCAACATCTTGTTGATGGCTGGGATATGATCCAGAAATGGTCCCTTGATATTGTCCCAAAAAGCCACCCGCTGCGGCCGGATACAGTTGTGTCGTTCCATGGCAAACTTGGTGACCGAGAAATGCGAGCTGATATGAAGCATGAACCCGAGACTATCCATTCCTACCAAAATATTTTCCAGAGGTTCCGACGTTGCTTTCACCCAGGCTTCGTAGGACTCTGTCATGATAATTAGTATCCAATAGTATATAAAATAGCCTAGTAAATACTCACCCCCATGTGGCATGTAACTATTTTCTAACGTCAGACCCCCAGCAACTTGCTCTCTTGCACTCCCCCCATATTTTCCGTAGATAAGACCGCCAATCTCGGTTGCCATATTGCGATGGTAGTATGGTGGACGAAAGGTGTTGGTGCTGGTCTGCCATTTGGGTAAAAAGGCTGCAAACTCTGTAAGAGATACTCCAGGTATTTTTGACTTGGCCATCAGGACGGTGTGTATGGTCGGATCAACTTGTTCTTTCAAAGTACTGTTGAATGAAACGAATTTTGAGAGTTCATATTTGTAAGGAGCATAGCTAAGGGCTTTAGTTAGTGTACAAGTATCCGATAATGAAGGTATTCAACTCACTTTCCATGCCATGCTACTACATCAAATGGTGTCCAGGCTTGTTCATAGCTGAACAGCTCTCCTGTCAATTTGTGTATGATCGTCCACTTTGTCTCATCAATGTCAAAACTGGCTACTGGTGTCTCGAAGTCTCGAGGAAGCGCCATTCCATTACTACCCAATGGGCCTAGCTCCGGCAGTTCATAATGACTCCCGAAAATCTCCTGTACGTAACCTCTTGCCATACCATCAGGCAGTTTGACCTTCCATCTCATACCGGCTTGTATAGCGCACACTTGGCCAGGAAGAACCATCATTCGGCCGAGCTCGGTCTGGATATCCAGGACACCCTCAGTTGGAATAATCAAAAAGTCACCATCATTGTTGCAGAATGCCTCGTTCTCCATACTCGCGTTCGCAGCGTACATGTGAATGGCTATTCCTTCTTTGTTTGTTGGGTCGCCATGTCCACCCATCGTTTTCAGTCCAGTCAAGAATGTCTTTGGAGTTGCTGCGTCCGGAACGTCCAGGGGACCCCAGGTGTAGCTGAGCGGTGTATATTTTATGGCTGGATTTGAAGGAGAGAAGCAGGCTTCAAGATCATCATTCGCGGCCATAGGCTCTAGCGGTCGGTGTGCCACGGACGGTCGAATCCGATACATCCATCTGTGTCACATTCTCAGAAACAAACCCGTACCTGATGTTCGTGATAGATACGTAGACTTACACATGCTGTAAGGTCTGTCGCGATGATATAAATGATGTGCCATTCAACTGTTCCGAGTAAAGATCAAAGGCACACTTTTGTGGTACATTGCGTCCTCCTTCAGGTAAAGTCCCCGGTCTATGCGTATCATTAATGACATGTCAAAGAAGCATTGCTCAAAAAGTGGACAAGATGTAGCATACACTGCCTCAGATGCGAATCGATTTCCAAATCCTACCATGTACCGATAGGGGTCTCTTGCAGTGGGAGGTGAGGTATAGCAGTCAGTCGCTGACCTTCCATATGTGGATTTTATTGGGGAAGCCATCGAAATCGAATCCTGGCTTGCTGGTGTCACGAATTCGCCCATTTTCGTTCACTTGAATTATGTTAGGAGAGACGGGAACTTGAAAATATTTCTGATAAAAACATAAATAAATGCTTAAAAGCTTAAAAATTTCTCGGCGCTTCAGAATGAAATTTTCCGTGCTCTACTTATCGAAGAGACTGTTACACAGATCTAATCGTGCCAATCATTATGCAATATGCCTATGCTTACGATTACGATCATTGTATTGCATTGTCTGATCACCCCCCTTGATCGGCGTTCTAAGCCATCAAGTTAAGGATGCCAGAGATGCCGGCCGGCACAACTCTTATCTAGGTACACAAGATACGACCGACGAGCCTTCTGAATCTTACGGTTCCTGTGGATGGCTACAGTCATGATTATGGCTGGCAAATTCCTGAAATCAATGACATGACCCCTAAATCATGATAAGTAACTATCATGAACTTACCAGTCAAAGCGTGAACTAAAATCGTGGATTCTCCGGATCGATTGTTGCAAAGCAGCATGTCGAAAGGAATGCGCTCTGAGTCTGTCACAAATCATAGTTGCAGGTGTTTCATTCTTGTTGAATAGTTGCGAAACCAAGTTATACCGCTTGCTTTTCCAAAAATCGTAGTCCTTTTGGGGGATCAAAGTTAACCCTAAGAAAGGTCCTAGATTATGTAACTGGGGCCATCCGGCCGGGTTTTCCACACAAAAATCTCCCGTCACACTTGCATCCTGCCGGCCAAACGTGTCGAAAACAGCTTCATCTTCAAAGGGCATAGATCACAACAATTAATTACACCCCACATAGTGTGCAAACTTGGCCTTAATTCATGTTCGAATGGAGCAACCATTCCCACCTGACTTACGGGACAGCGATCAGGAGCACGTCAAATTGACTAGAGCTACGGTCGCTTGTAGGAGGTATGTGCAGTCTTCGTCCCACGATAGCAACTGTACAGCTCATAGAGGCTTCCAGATGTCGTCGCTTACGAACCAAATGCGTATACAAAAATGGGAAGCCGCCCTGCGAGGGATGCACTCGTTCCGGATCTGACGTTGCTGCCACATGGTACTATACTTTTGTAGTCCTATTAGCCAAATATAACAACTGACTGACTTGTGCACGTGTAGTTATTTTCCAGCTAGGGGCCATAGTCGCCGCGATCGTGAAGTGTGAAATCCCTTTCAATCGTATAAGGTCAAATACGGCACTGACTTGATCATTTTTCACCTAGTTTCGTGTCAATAAAGGCAGCAAAAGTGATCGACAACAAAGTTCTTCGAGCTCTACACATGACAGTGTTGTGATAGACAGTCATATTTCCCCAATTCTGTAAGCTGTCGGAATATTCATAACAGTCAAATTTACGTGATGAGAACGAACCTAACTTATGAGTAGTGTTCAACAAGGAATTCCCTCGCCGTCCCGTTCGTCGATAGGGAACACGGTGGGTTTAGTAAAAGCGACGAGAGAGGCTCTCCCACCCGCCAGAGAGGTAATAGAAGGCTGCAAGGTGTTTTGGACGTCATTCCTGCAGCTGGGCTTCTTTCCAAAGCGTTTGTTTCTCGAGAAGCTGTCTCAGGACATGGAGTCCGTATCGCTATTCGTTCTCTTGGGCATTTTGAGTAACTCTTGTCGCTTCACACCATGCCTTATCAAAAGATATGGGAGCTGTCAAGCGGCAGGTAGTTATTTCATTGGACATGCGACGAGTCTGGTTCTCGACGCGCTGTATCAGCCCAGCTTGGAAAACATACAAGGCTTTTTTCTTCTGGCTCTAGCACAATGGGGCAGTGGGGATAAGGATAAAAGCTCGGTAAGTTTGTTCAAAATACTTAAAGTGAATCATTATACTCATGTATACTCCAGATGAACATGGGCATTGCTGTCAGGAGTGAGTGCCGATTATCAGCATCTTAAATATTTGGACTAATGGGTGAAAGTGGCCGGTATTCTGCGACTTCATCGAGAAGAAACTTACAATCTTCCCCCAAAGGCGACAACTGACGATATTGTCGACTCTGAGACAGCTAGACGTACTTTTTGGGTTTTGGAGAGTAAGTCTTCCGCGTCCAAAAAGTTCGAAGAAGTTTTTGATCCTCATGTCTATAAATTGTAGCCGAGGACAATCTTCATTCAAGTCACGCTTCTCCGGTTGCGTTCGGTGCAGATGATATCACAACACTACTTCCATGTGAAGAATCCGACTTTGCATTTGGGCGTAGACCGTCTTCTCGAGCAGCATTACCAGGCACCAAGGCTGCTAAATTATGGCCGGAACTCACCTCCCTCCCGTCACGCTCACTCTTTGCTACCCTCCTTCAAGCACATAGTCTATGGGGAAGTGTCGCCCGAAAGGCATGGCGAGCTGACTTTTGCTCCGAGGGTCCGCCTCCCTGGGATCAAAGTAGTACATATGCTAGGATGTGCCGAACATTGACGGAGTGGGAACGAGATACCCCAGCTAGCCATCGATGGAGTGTCTGGAATATGAGAGGGCATAGCGCAGAGCAGGTACATGCAGCTTATCTTAGTGTTGTTATGGTTACACGATTGAGTCACATTGTCATCCGGAGGATTTACTTGGAAGAGTATGTGATGATTATCGACCTCTATTTGCGGAAACATATGGTCTAACAGCATCGTGAAGGATGATTGCCAGTGTCACAGATTCAGGCAAAGATAGTGCACCGCAAGGCTTCTGGACTACTATCTCGGATGAGCTCTTTGAGAATGTGTTTGCCCTACATGAGCCCGTGGATACATTTGTGTCAAATCGCAGTCCGCACGAAGGATTTTCTGCGACTTTGGTAAGTATCACTTCAGATATAGCTCGGCTGTTTGCTGATCGATTCAAAGCTTTTTTCACTATACGTATGCGGCACCCTTTATGTACATCTATTGAGAATGCCCGCGTGTAAGTCGTTTGTGGATCCATAGTTTCAGTTGATCTACTTGCTGATTAAAAGGCAGTATGTCCACGACTATCATCTCGAGCTCAGCTGAACCTTAGTCGTACTCTCGAAATTCTTGAAGATTTGCAAAACGCTTGGCCACTGGCATCAAGGTGGTTAACGGTACTAAGAAACTCTGCCGATTCAATTTCGATAGGATCATCAACGACTTTTTCTTCAAGTCCTCCGCGGGACCAACCTCATGTCGTAAGTGAGCAATTGATTTCCAAGCTGGTCTGACTAACTTGATTTATAGGACTATAACATCTCTCATTCTGACATGGAATCTTCCGGGGAAGACGGGACCAAGAATAATTCAGGAGGTGGAAGTTTGCAAATGCTTAGTGAAGCTGCGGTGTCCGCAGAAAGAAACAGTTTGTTTGCAAATGGGTTTATAGGCCCCATTAACAAATGTAGCAACATGTACACAAATCAGAACAGGGTCATGGATGAATTCCTCACTTTTAACGCGTCAGAAGGGGGTTCCGGCTTTCTTACTCGGCAGTCGGATATTTACACGGATACTGGAGCATCATTTGATAAAGAACTGACTGAATTTTTGAAGCAGCCGAGCTATGGAATGGTAGATATTTGGGTTCCTTCCGAACAGGAAAGCTCCTGGATGTCTTCTGGTGAAATTTGATGTACAGGCCCTATGTGGTGCATTGAGTCGAGGCATGCCGGCCGGACCGGCATCCTATCATGATACCCCACCAGCCAGAGCAATACGTTACTTGCGTACAGCTATGCAGTCAGACTTTTTTGAGCTAGAAATTTCATCAGCAGCTCATAGATTCCAGCGCGCAGGTTTCAATAGTACTAAGTTGTATAATTCTGAATTTATTCTCGAGAGTCGACTATACAACTCTGATACGAGCCAGGATAGCACAATAAGAAGAATGTCAGCTCTTTCCGCTTCAGATTATCCGGCTTACGCTGCAAATATCTCCAATAAGACACAAGCCCCTCTCGGCTGGGGGCAACGACCAGTACTGCTGATCGTCGACGTTTGCAAAGCATATTTTTCGGACTCATCACCAACAAATTTATTATCTTCGACCTGCGGAACGGGTGCATCGGTGCCAGTCAATATTTCGCGGCTAATAGATGCCGCTCGTGCTGGGGGATGTCCTGTCGTATGGGCACGCACAGTGTTCACAAACAGCAAACTCCGTGATGCTGGGATCTGGACTCAGAAAGTGCCGGGGCATTTATTGGAAGTATTCAGCAACAGGAATGAAAACAGGCTACATGAGTTTCTCGAAGGGATGGCGCCATGCACCAACATCGGCTCTAATTCAAAGAGCTTAGTGGCAGATTTGGTGATTGACAAGAAATTCGTGAGTGCGTTCTTCGGTACAAACTTGGCTGGTCAGTTGGCCATGATCGGTGCCGACACGGTTGTATTGTGTGGCGCAAAGACTGGAGGGGAGATTCGACAGAGCATACTAGATGCGCAGGGCTTGGGATTCCGAGGGATTGTGAGTTTTATATATATCAATTTGACAAAATCGTGAGGCTAATTGAGTCGATTACTGCAGGTTGCTGCTGAAGCGTGCGCGGACACATGCAGGGAAACTCATTTTGCAAATTTGTTTGATATACACGCTAAAATGGGCGACGTTCTCACCACGGATAAGGCAATTGAAGGTCTCAAGAACGGCTGGGTATGGAATACGTCCGATCAATGATTTCATAGTTGGATAACAATGAGATGTCTACGGATGGTTTCTTCGTTCAGGAACCTTCAAAGGGTGGCACCCAAACAGTGGGACACACTGCCGCGCTATGACTGCCTAATATATCTTGAACCGCGAGTGACCTGATGACCCATTTCGCGTCATGAAACGGCTTGATACTACAGCTAGATACTATCATTACTATCTAAATGACTTGAACTTTTCCTATCCACTCTACATCCAAATGAGCTTAGGGTTAGGTCGTTATTGTTATCTCTATTCCGAAGTGGGGGTAATCACGTGTAAGGACTCAGTGGAGAAAGAGAAAGCGGGGCTTGCTCTCTGCCTGCTGTTTCTAGTCTAGCGCCGGGAGAGAGTCGCGATAACTCTCTGTTGGCGGCCTGGGATCCAAGGCAACCACCGGCCGGCAGTTTTCCTACACTAGTCCTGCCTAGTTGGCCGAGCGGCTTCTTTCACTCTCCACCTTCTTATCAATCTATCGCCATTGGAAATACGTCGACATCAAACCACTTAATCAACGCATTGCCTCAAAAACATGCCTCGACGTCTGGCCACTCTCGCGTCCTGGCGAACCGCAAGACCATAATGGATATCCTCGCGCTCCCGCTATCCACATTACTGCCGCTCGGCGGCGTGATACTTTTCCTTGCTGTTTACCTTGTGCCAACCGTGCTGGGAAAACGAAAATACCCTCTGCCACCTGGTCCTCCCGGCGAATTTATCTTGGGCCATTATCGCAAAATTCCATTTGTGGCCGCTTTCAAGCAATATGCACAATGGGGAAAGGAGTACAGTATGGCATGTCAGAGTAATGTGAAGTTAACGCTGACGGGATTCCTAGGGTCTGACGTGCTTTACTTCGAGACCTTCGGTACGAAATGGATTGTGCTCAACAGTCTCAAGTCGGCGGTGGACTTGCTTGACAAACGGGGGTCAAACTACAGCGATCGACCGAGATTCATTCTGTTTGAGGAGTAAGCTTGTCTCTGATCGCCTAAATCAGTTTGAAGAAACTGACAGATGATCAAGAATGGGCTGGGCACCAACTCTTACATGGTTACGCTGGGGGCCGAAAATGCAGCAACACCGGAAAATCCTTCAGCCAGCATTTAGCAAAGCGCAGGTCCGCCAGTATCAAGGTAACCAGGAACGACAGGCTTTGATCTGTCTGCGAAATATGCTAGACGACCAGGCAAACTATCTGAGTGCCATCCGTAGGTTTGCTGTCGCGATTGTGTTGAACATTAGCTATGGCATTGATGTCGAGTCACCAGACAGCCCTTGGATCAAGATTGCAGATGACGCAGCTGAAGCCATTAGCAATTCTGGTGCGCCGGCAAGTAGCATCATTGATCGCTTCCCTGCGAGTAAGTCTAAATGATTTCTATCCAGATAACTTCCTGACCGTTCCGACAGCTCGTCATCTCCCTACCTGGCTTCCGTTCATGGAGCGTCTTCGCTACGCTCGTACGTGGAAGTGGGCAATAGAAACCATCACCAACATACCCTTTGCTCTCGCTCAGAAAGAAATGGTTAGCTGAACAAGGACAAGAAACACCGGCCATATGTGACACGCTAACCTCATCATCTTAGGGCGAGAAAATTGACCGCAAATGCTTCTCACACGATCGTCTCCACGTTTACAATGCCAATGCCGAGAAAGGAGAACCCAACGAATTTACTCTAGATGATATACGCGGTGCATCAGCTGCTATCTTTATTGCAGGCAATGATACAGTATGCCTGAAAAATTCCATTGCATCTCATCTACATGCAACTGACAATAACAGACTGCCACGACAGTTCAACTGTTCGTCCTCTATCTTATGCAAAACCCCGAAGCGCAAGCAAAAGCACAAGCCGAGCTTGACCGTGTTGTTGGCTCAGACCGTCTTCCTACCTGGGAAGACTTTCCGAACCTGCCTTACCTAAACCTAATCCTCCAAGAAACGTATCGTATGAACCCACTTTCTCCATTGGGAATTCCTCATGCATCTGTCGGTGATGACGTGTATGAAGGAATGTTTATTCCCAAGGGCACTATCGTCTACCCAAACGTCTGGGGCATGCACCACGATGAATCATTCTACTCGAAGCCATTCACATTATGGCCCGAGAGATATTTACCCAAGGATCAGGGTGGTAATGGAGAACCGTATCCTGTGGGAAACTTTGGTTTTGGCCGTCGTGTTTGCATTGGCCGAGTATTAGCTGAAAATAGCTTGATGATTGTGTTGGCCAATATGGTTGCAACCCTTAATATTCGCTATCCCAAGGGTGCCAACGGCGAGAGAACACCATTCGAGCCTGAATGGTCGTACATAGGGCAAGCGTGAGTTTTTAAAGGATCCCTCATTATGGGATGTTGAAATGACTAACAGACTATATTAGGCATCCGCTTTCCTTTCCTGCTGACTTGATACCAAGATCTCCCAAGGCAGAACAATTGCTAAGGGCTGCTGTCGGGGCGGCCCGATAAAAGACTCTGAGCATGTGTATACTCTCTAGCATAAACCAAAACTTTGATTGCGGTAGAGGAAATGTTATCAAGAGTTAGCGCAAGGATGAAGAAATTTCCTTTTGAAAATGAAGCTATTCGGGCATTCGAATGGGGTGTTGGACACCACTTTTGATAAGCAATGTTGACATTGTTTTGACATCTGATATATACAAGCAACTTAGATACAAATTGGTTTTAAAATATCAGATTTGTGCATTTATTTTATGTTAGTAAGTGTACTATTTCTACACTTCTGCGCCCCAAGGCGCGTTGGCTGGAAAAAATCTTTCGCCTTGATTGCCAGGTTGGTCCGGGTCAAAGTCCAATCGATCGGGAATTTTTAATCCAGACGGTAAATGATATCGAACAAACCAGACAGATACACCGTCACGATATAGCCAAGGGTCTTCTGTTCGACGCTGCCATTCTTCCAATTTCCCACGTAGATCTTCTAGAACGGAAGCGTGGTCGGGATCTTTAACCAAGTTTCGCAGTTCGTTGGGATCATTTTCCAAATCGTACAATTCTTCTGGTGGACGGAAGAAGTAATCTCTCAATTTCCGACCACCGATCAAAATATCCCCCTTGGAGGAGTCCATGTTGCGAATATCCTCCCAAGACAACGAACCGTAGAGATCTGCTGCGAAGGGAAAGTCAAGACGCCACGCCAGATTTCTGTGGTACTTATAGCGTCGATCTCTAATGAATCTGGTCGGCCAGTAGTTGGTTACCTCATGAAAGGTGTGAGAGCCAAAGACTTGATCATATCCCGGAAGCTGAGAGCTGTTGCCGAGAAGCGAAATAAGTGAACGGCCTAGGCGCTTTTTGGTCTCGTCCACCACTCCTTTGTGGCCCGCATAGTCCAATATAGTAGGAAGTATATCTACATATGAGATCATATTTGGACTGATTGCAGCTCCTGTGGATGGGTGACGGATAATCAATGGCAGCCGTACGCCCGCATCATATAACGTGGTCTTGGAATTTAGGAAAGGCGGTCCATTATCGCTTAGGAAAATTACCAGAGTCGAATCTGCAAGACCTGAATCTGCCAGTGCCTCAAGGATAAATCCCACGCCTTGGTCGAGTCGATGGATTGAGTTGTAGTATTCGCTGAATTCAAATCGTGAGCCAGGAGTGTCATTGATGAATGGCGGCACTTCCACTTCATCAGGTTTGTATCCACCTTTTGTGATGCGACTGTCGTACTCCTGGTCATTACCAAAGCCTCCCCTCGTCCGATCTCGATGGGGATCATGATACCCAACGGTGAGAAAAAACGGTCGCGTTTCTCTTTCGGACTGTTGGAAGAACGTTCTTGCTTGGTCGGCAATAACGGCAACATCACGCGTATCGCTTTCCTGTCTTTCTTCCCAGGGATACACGGCTAGCGGTCCAACGTGTATCTTGCCTAGTATTCCAGTGCGGTACCCAATCTGATTGAGAAGTTGAGGCGCGGTCTCAACGTGGTCAAATGTCACAAAGTGATGACGATGGCTGGCGAGTCCATATTGTCCGTTCTGGTGTGTATGTTGGCCGGTATAAATCACCGAGCGACTGCCACTACACGATGCTGTGCTGGCAAATGCATAGTCGAATCTTGTGCCTTCAGACGCGAGTTTGTCGATGTTGGGTGTCTTGATTGACTTTGCTCCGTAACAGCTCAGCTGCTTGCCTAGATCATCCGCTATTAAAAGCAGGACGTTCTTCTTGTCTGTCATGACCGAAAGGATGCTGCCGACAAATTGATATTCCAATTGAAATCACAGAAGGATATTCGTGGTAATAATAGTTCTGGTAAGCAGTAGCAGTCGCGGGGTCTCTCTCTCTCTCTCTCAGAGTCACGCAAGAGCCCCGCCTGTTGTCCCATCCCAAAGAGGAAATTCGGGCAAATTTCCCAACTAGGAAATACGAGCTCGCCATCTCAGCCGTCGATGATGCCTTAAGTTGAAAAATTGCGTATTGCGAACCTCGAGTCATGTCGCAAGCGATACGTACTATAATAACCTTCAGGCTAAACTACATCTCGCTTAATATCCGGATAATTCATGCATGCGTCAAATGCCTCGCTTTTTCCACGAATATTTTTGTTTAGGTTGAGATGAATTTTTAACGTATCAGCACACCTCCAGTTGTCGATGTCGCCATACTTTCGGGTTTTCTTTTCACATATCTTCATTTACGACGCAAATTCAGCCACGATGACTATTACACAGGGAAGAAGCATTCCAAGATTAATCGCATGGTCGTGAAATTGCTCGTTCGGGATCCACGGCGAATGAAATGAATTGTTGGTTTGTTTGTGGTTTACTTAATATGGTTTTATCAAGGACTAACCTGTTACTGTTCAATAAAAGCCAAATTCTGAATGGCTGCCAACCCGTACAACGCCGTGATATTGGTAGATACCCAGTTGGCTTCATCAATAGCAACTGGGACATCACTGCCTGAGACGTGCACTGATTTCCATGGTAATAATGGCGCGTATCCATCTCCTTCGTAAAATTCCTTCCACGCACGCTGAGCAAGGTCTTTGTCTCCCAATCCACGGGCTACATACGCAGTCAAGCGAGAGTGGCCCTGACGGAGTATGAGCTTAGGAAAGGCCACCCCGTATCGAGCTATCTGAGCACCTTTTTCTGCATTGTAGTACGTGCAGTAGTCATACCATCTGGATCGAAATTCGTCTAGTATGGCCTGTTTCTTGGGATCACGCAGTTTCAGATCAAGTAGCTCTGCACATGTCTCAACAAGGCCAAACATGGCCGACAAATGGGCCACCTGTACATGGCCGGCATTCTGCGGATCGCTTGGAGGTGGGCTAATATTCCCACTTTGTATATGCAAGTGTGCCTGGCCCGTAACAAATCCGCTCTTCAGCCGGACAATACCCTTGATAGAATTCAGCAGCTTGTCTCGGTATAAGTTCCATTCTGAGCCTCTCCTCTCCCATTCCATCATCCACGCAGCCGCCAGTGCCGACCAATCCGTGCCTAATGAGATGAGAAATCCTTTTTCAAGATCCAAAGGCACGCTATCTCGATCTTTGCGAACTTTTCTGTATGGATCAAGGGTGAAGTATGTTTTTTCGGCCTCAAGTGTCTCTCGTATAATCTCCCCAGTTCTTTCATCACCCCCAGTCAGGTAATAGAAATACTTCCGATAGAGCACATTGGAGACCCGACCCTGCTTACAGCTATCACTCCAATGTTGAACTCCGTGCCTTGTTCCAAGCCCCTTGTACTTGCCGAGATGATACATGTCAACCTCGGAGGTGTGTCGAGTTAAACTCTCCGCGATCCGGTAAACATCTTGTCGTCGCGTGCAAAGGAAGTAAAGCCACAGCCATAAATCCGGAGATAGCTCAGAGTTATCCCAAGCATATCCACCAACATCATATCGCCAGGTGTGCCTATCTCCGTCGTAGGTATGCATTATGTCGCCATGATCCCAGAAACCATACCATCGCCGTTGAGTGATCTGCTTCTGATAAAAATCAAATAAAAATTCAAGATTCTGCAGAATTCGATGAGTCTTTGATTTTGAGACGGGGGGAGACGATATTGAAAACGGTGACCAATAGTCTCCAAAAGCTTTTGTGTCATGAATATATTTAGAGTCAGCAATAAGAAGAGGCGGATTGCGCATTTCATTCACAATAGTCGATAGTGTCGTCGTACTAGGCGTAGCTTCGAACGCATACAAATACAATTCATTTGTCCGGGCTATACCGTATGGTGTTCCCATGCCTGGTTCCCAGTCTTCATATGTGATCCGCATCGCATCCAATTGATCATCATAAGTCTCTTCTCCCAGCCCGTCATGGTAAGGACGCATGTCCATGGGCTCGGCTGCAGGACTGTATAGCCATAAAGTAATATCTCCAAGATCTGTATCCGCATTTCTAATATCCAGTTGGGTAGGGTATCTTTCCCAGAAATGGCGCATTCCGATACCCAGACCTCCGCTCTGCGGTCCACCAAGATAGGCAAGCCCGCTGGCTTTCGTGCCTCCTGAAATGTTTACCCAGCTATATCCTTCTTTGGTTCTTTTCTTCATTGTATATCCGTCAGGGGAAAGTTGCTGTAAGGTGAAGTCACTCCACCGCGGAACCCATCGCAAACTGGACCTGAATTCGGGATTCCATTGTTCGGGAGCTGGGGTTGACTGGCCAGAAGTCTGCGCGGCTCGTACATCGTGACCGGGATCTTTCCAGAGTCCGGTGACATTCTGCACAGCTTCATGAAATATTCCGTCATCTTCACCGGCGAGTCTCACGTGTCGGTCAAATGGTGGCTCATCTTTTAAAGGTATGTGGAATCGAATGCCGATACCTCGAATGAAATGTTCTTGTGGATCTTGGTCATTGATTACGGTATGTACAACCCGAATCGAGTCTGAATTTGCGTAAAAATAGAACCGTAGGATAAAGGGAAAACATCCAGACTTGGAGAACGGTGTTTGTTCTGAGGATGCTAGTTGCTGATGCTTCCCTTCAATACGTACTACCACTCTGATAGGGCCATCCTGTTCAATGTCAATCTTCTCAATTTGTCCCTTAAGATTGTGTTGCGAGATCCGATTATCAAAAGCCTCATCATCAGTCGCCACTGACGATTGGTACCGATAAATCAAGTGTCCATTTTCAGCAACGATTCTTCCAGTGGTTAAATGAACTATCTCTTTAACTATAGACTCGCCCGTGGTCGAAAACGTTACTTTGATTTTCCCGGTGTCTACTTCCAAGTTGCCCGATACCGAATCCACCTTGATCAGTGGTATAGTCTTGTCAAGGTCGGCAGGGCCTCCTGTCGGAGCCGACGGCGAAGGAGTGGAATCAACCGAGAGGCTAGTAGGATACTTGGGTTTACCCGGAATTGCGTGACCGGTCCATTTGACCGAGCCATCCGGCCAGTAGGCAGTGTTCCATGATTGCAATGCTAGTTGCTGCCCATTCGGATCGAAGCAAGACAGACTACTGCAGTCCGAGAAGCATTGACCCTGTCCCCAAGGGACGGCAAACGTTGTGCCCGTGTTGGCAGGAGGACTATCACCAACCCAGGTAAGTGTAGGCATGGCTTTCAATCACAACTTCCGGGAACGCGTCTTGTGATGATAGGGGGCTTGCTAGCCTGGACGTATTTCAGATTAGTACAGAGAGCAATCGGGTTGTGATGGCGTCAGAATCGGCTCATTGTAGGAATTTATGAGAGTACACCGTTATAGGATCTCATCAAAAGATTGTAAGCACCACGCAGTAAGATAACGACAACTATATTAGAAACAATTAAGCTATTTGCGGCGTCGGAATGTCCCGACTGGAGCTTCATGATCCAGAAAATCTGCACGAGAGACAATAAGCTAATTGAAGATATACTTTCAAAATAAATCTTCCACCAATGTTAGACGCTGTGAAAGAGTCTCCCGGCTAATAGTTCTTTCTAAGGCACGATAGTATGAAAACGGTGGAGTACGCTGTGTGATTCGCGACTTCTGATTGACTCATTATTGACATCGATTGATGCCATCCGCGCTTACATGACGAACTGCGCTACCAACGCCCTAAACTGTTTGCTTTTTCAACAATCAGGTCCACCCACAAATCTTATCAGATATTGAAAAAATTGCTGGCCAAGTATTCTCTCGGGCTAGGTACTTGTGATTTAGATGTATAGTCAGTAACGTATGTGAAGCAGACTTGTAGGTAAGCACTCTAATCAATTTCGGAGTAGACTAGAATAGTGAGCCATCTACCATGCAAATGACACCATGTACGGCAGAAATTACGTACTGAACTCGTATAGATTGCCTTAACTCATCGCTTCAAAATTTTTCAAATCCTTCCAGTACTTAATGCGTTCTGCAGAGCCCATGGGTAAGTCCGGATAGCTTAGTTTTGAGACAGCATTTCAAGTCCAACTCTCCTGGCTTCCCAGAACACAAATCAGCGCGATTGTGTCTTTCAATTGCCGCCATGGGGACTCCTGATGTTAAAGTCGCGTCTGATTCCTCTTCAGAGGTCAAGGCGACCCAAAGTCCGAACGTCAAAGGCCAGCCGAGTGACCTTGCTGAGCCTGAAGAAATTCATGAATACCAATCGGTACTCACTTCTTTGTTTCAACGCAAAAGAAAGGTCGACCCGGATGCTATCGCTACAACTCGCAGTGTGTTTGACGATCCGTTACTTCGGCAATACTACCAGCCTCATCCCCAATACGAAAATCTTCACCGATTTGATATAGATGAAAGATGGACATATCGCGAAGAAGCTGCTGTGCGACGCAAGACCGATTGGACCATTCTGTTGTGGATCCTTGTCATGTTCTTTGGCCTCAATTTGGATCGAGGAAATTTGGGTAACGCCGCTGCGGACAATTTGTTGAATGATCTCAAAATCACCACCAACGACTACAACAATGCACAAAACATGTACCGTGTTGGCTTTCTCATTGCCGAGATTCCCTCACAGATGATAGGTAAGAGGCTAGGTCCAGATCGATGGATTCCAATCCAGATTATTGCCTGGAGTTTGGCTTCTGGTGGCCAGTTCTTCATGCACAATAGAGCTGGCTTCTTTGCATGTCGGTTTTTTATCGGCCTATTTATGGGTGGATTTATTCCAGACGCTATTCTTTACCTGTCGTACTTCTACACCAAGTCAGAAATGCCATTTCGTCTGGCCTTGTTCTGGTTCACTGACTCCATGTCTGGTGTTATCGCATCTTTTATTGCCTACGGCGTACTCCACATGCGAGGTGTAGATGGCCGCGAGGGTTGGCGATGGCTTTTCTTGATTGAAGCTCTGATCACCCTTGTTATTGGCTTCCTCAGTTTCCTCTTTTTGATTCCTGGTCCGACACAAACAAAAACTTGGTGGAATCCCAACGGATACTTCACGGAGCGAGAAGAAAAAATTATCGTCAACCGCGTTTTGCGCGATGATCCGTCGAAAGGTGATATGCACAATCGTCAAGCATTATCCTTGAAGATGTTGTGGCAAAGTTTGAAGGACTATGACTTGTGGCCTGTTTATATTATTGGCATACTGTTCGAAATTCCAACAGCACCGCCAAAGTCGTATCTTACATTGTCTCTACGCAACCTCAAGTTCACCACATTCCAGACAACATTGCTTTCGATACCTGTCACAGTATTCGCATCTATCAACCTGTTGATCGTCACATGGCTTACGGAGCGATACCATCAGATCTCTATTATCGGCCTTCTCACGCAAATATGGTGTCTGCCACTTCTAATCATTCTATTCAAATTAGCCGGGAAACTGTCCAATTGGGGTCTCTACGCAGTTACTTTTGTACTTTTGGGCTGGCCTTCTCCTCATGCGGCGCAAGTCGGTTGGTGTTCTCGTTTGAGTAACACTGTCCGAACGCGAGCAGTGAGCGCTGCCCTTTACAACATCACCATTCAATTGTCGGGAATTGCGTCCTCTAATATTTACCGCTCGGATGACAGCCCATTGTATCATCGAGGCAACAAACAGCTTATTGCTATCAATGTTGCCACCATTGTTGTGTATGCTCTTGCCAAGGTATATTATGAGGCTAGGAACCGGTGGAAGAAGGCACGATGGGAAAAGTTGAGTCCTCAAGAAAAGGCGCACTATCTGGAAACGACTAGTGATTTGGGCAACAAACGTTTGGACTTTCAATTTGATTCTTGAGTCTATCTATTTGCTTTGGATTCACTTCAAGGTCCGCCTTTCTACTTGTCGGTTACGATGACTCTACCCATTTGATATAGCAACGCACGCATTAGGTGCACATAATCGATGCTTACCATCTAATTAAACATAATGATGACTACTCTATAACTTCTACTATGTACGTCCTTTTACGAGTTTGTGAACCCAGTTTCAGGTGACTTTGCATGGATCAACATAATGGCATGCGGTCTATCGACCTGACGTCGCGAGTGAACATACTGTAAAGTAAATGCAGCACAAACTGTGAATGTGGTCAAAGTAAACAGTGATATCCAATACCTTCACCAAAGACTGTTATTTCGAGACTTAGTTCATGCTAAACATTCCCTTAATGGACATTAGCTTAAAGTTCCAAACCCACATCATTCAGATTGTACTTAATTGACATTATTAGATCTAATAACAAATAACACTGGTCCTAATTAGCGATCAAAACTTGTTAGTATATAATTTTCGGTTCTTACAATTTTGATATAAGTGAGAAGCTGAATTTTATTACCTTACTAGGTTGCATTTATACTCTTAGCAAATACGGAGGTATTCACAGGCTGAAGTCTCTAGTCAGTTGGGCTTCCCAGAGTGTAGACTAGAGATAGCTTACAATATCCAACATTTTCTCGAGCGTCTCTATTCTTTGCTCTATAATCATATACAGGGCTTTGAGCTCGGCAATATATCCATGTATCCGATAGAACTTCTGCCGAAAGTTCTCATGGAGAGTTCCGGGACAATCAAGATTAAGCTAGACACTGTGATTCGTATCAAACTCTCTCCATGTCATCACGCTTTTAGATGACGCAAATAGTGCAAGGATGTGGTCTCTGAAATATAGACTGCTGGAAGCTTCCCAAGTAATTGTTGATATGTTATCAGGACAAGATCTTGTCCGGTATCTATAGCTACATTTTATGAGCCGACGCCCCATTGAGGTGTATCAGTGAAAGCTCTCAACCAGAATGCTTATCGATATGTTCACCCGAGTTGCTTCATTGGTTGCTTCATAAGACTCGGGGGTAATACAAACGGGAATAGCGCCTTCCCCTGTAAGTAGTATCTACGAAAAGCATCCCGCTTATTTTTCTCTCTTTCTTTCTTCGTTTGTGTTATTTATTTGATTATATCTTTATAGTGGGTACTATGCCGCCCTAGCCTGTAACGCTACAACACGGTTGTTGAGAAGACCCTTCCACTTGCCCATCGCTTCGGTGAGGGTTCAGGGTATGAATTCACCACCACCACCACCACCACCACCACTAACTGTACACGTCAAAGCAAAAACCATTAACAAACAAAGCTAGAAGTTTCCATGTGCAATATCTTCTTCGTACCACTCCGGGCTGGCCATCATCCCAGATTCTTCTTGGAACTCAACCATTTTCCAGGTCAGGAACAAATCCTCCGGTGTAGAAAATGTGACCGCATTATTTGAAGTTGGCTTTTTCGAATTCCATAAATGCGTAAACGATCTTGAACAGCGAGGACAATTATTTTCAAAATGAGACATCTCTTGGGCGTTCCCAAATGATGTCCCCTTCCTCTTAAGGCATGGTTGGCAAACGCCGCAATATGTACAATAGAAGCCTGAATCACATAAGTGTCGACCAAAAGCGCAAACGAAGCGGCTGCATCCATTTCTTGTTATCGCCTGCCCTGGCTGGTAGATCCCTTTATTGACTCCACAATCGATGCAGAATCGACGATCACTCTCTGCGTGTCCTTTTCCTCGTTTTGCTTTTATCTGTTTGTCTGCGAAGGCACCTCGAAAACGAAGCTTTAGACATTGGCTGCAAGCGAAGTAGTTCTGATATCTAGAAGAGTCAGCTACCATGTTGATAGCTAGGTAAAAGATAGTACATGCCTAGCCCAGTTTTCTAGGGCACATAGAAGCAAAAGCTTTTGCTCTGGTGTTGTAGGCCTTTTAAATGTAACCATGGCTCTGAAGAGCTTGTTGCTTTGTGACAGTGCTAGAGATGATGGATAATCAACGCATTTGATGACTAGTTCGAGTAGCTCGATCGGTAACTCATCCAATCTTGAAGTGGAAGTCTGAGCCATAACTGTTTATTTCTTTTCCACATTAAGAATTCTGTAGAAGATCACTGATCGAAACAAGCAGCTGAGGTCGAGAGTCCAGTTTTACCCCACTTCATGTTTATTCCGTATATCGTTTGCACCGCCGCTACAAACGACTAGTTGCAGCACAGTCCACCAACATCCTCCTTTAAAGACATGGTGTTGAAAGTGTCTTTCGCTAAAAGCCCTTCACCGATATCACTGAAAGAGTTATGATGCGAGACTTGATGCCAGAATATTCAAATACTAAAGTTTGCACTCATCCAATTAATTCTTTGAAGAGGTTGAACGGAATAATCTGTAATGCTACTATTACATATCACTCCATTACTTTTGGTATTTACCATACCATCTCGTCACCGAAACTTGACAACCTTTTGAATAACCTACAGACATAGTTTAGCGTGTCAGAATAAAAACGTGCACCGTTTGGGCAAACAACAGTATATGATTGGGTTAGCAGCTCCGGCGAGTGATGACACTGAGAAATGGTAAATCAAAAAGGTCGCTGGGACCTGCCGTCCCCGGTTTTAGGCCGAAATTGGGGCAGTGCCAGGTTGAAAGAGCTAATCAGTATTCCAACTTGCATATATCAATCTTATATATGCATGTGTTATGTGCATGGTGAATCGTAGATCTTGCTCTGGTTGATTCATCAATCAGACCTTGACTCAATCAAAATATAAATATCCATATGACGAAGATAAAAAGGCTTATCCAATCCAGACTGGATGGACTAGACTTTGGAGCCAATTATGAATACCGCAGAAGAGACAGCCACACTGCGCGCAAGAAAATTTCTTTAGAAACATTCAATGTTTATTTTGTGCTATGAAAATAAAAGATTCGTACGCCTTTGTTATTGATGAGACTGGTGTAAGACCGTGAGAATTAACTTTAACTATAGACAGTTGTTGGCCTCATCATCCATCTAATCATGCACTAAGGTGATAGAGTGAATGTCCACCTTGCTGTAGTCGCTAGTATCTTGGTTGTAATCGCCAACTTTGAAGTAGCTGTCAGGATTACCGAACTGACTGGTATCGAATGTCTGTTCAATACCGCCGTTCAATGAAAACGACAAGACATCATTAAAGTATCGCGGCTCATAAGTAAACTTTGTTCCTTAGAAACATTTCCAACCGGGTTGAAGTCTGTGTCACCTCCAGTGGTAGTCTGCTCCACACCATATAGATGTCGTCGGATGGCTTCTAGTACAATTCAACAACGGGCTTCGAGTATTCAGCGGAGAAGACTTGTCCGATCACTGTTCCATAGTCTCCGTCGTCGGCTTCTGGAACTGACAATTCCACGATCATTAAATTTGTGCCGCTTGCCGACCAGCTTGGTGGGTTTTCTTCACGCAACTTGGTGCGACAATGCTTGCTGCCCGACGTTTTTGCTAGTCTGTCGAACTCGGAGTTGCTATCATATTGAGAAGACTGCTTGCCTCATTTTAATAGAAATAGGTAGAATCCCGGTGGCCGTCATCACCAGTGAGCTCTGAGCCAGAGACAAAAAGAGGATCGCCATTGTCGATGCTATACGGGAGCTGAAGTTGTCAATTTGAAAGATTAGGTATGTGGTAGCCAGGTGCGCAAACTGCCCATGCTATTGCCGCATGGCCGGCGAGCTATAATAATAGGCTCGACTGAGATGGTATGTCGGGAAAGGAGAGCTTTAGCATTTTACCTTGGTGAATCGTGATCCTACGAGATTTGCAGTTTGTTGAATTATGTTCAGAGGTTGCTACCACCTTTAGTAGGTACTTATCCTGTTATCGGAGACATCGCACCCACAAGCTTGATAACGTCGATCAACAAAACGGCAATGTATGATATGGACCAGAAGATCTACGTGGAAAAACTTGTAAACGAACCAAATTCGGCCACCCTATTAAGCAAGCCATGGATGCCGCCATTGAGAGAGGACCCCTTTGATTGTGAAACGTAGAACAGCGACGTTTATCAATACATGGTGTATCAATTACGAAATCCAGGAAGAGGAAGTTCCACGTATGTATGGAGTGAGTGGAGGCATCAAAATTAGTGCTTATGTTATGCTTAACTATCCTGCCTGCGTCGGCGTTCTCCCGGTCTGACCTGTATGACTCATTCAGCCACGCTAAACAAATTTACAAGCAGCGCACGCCGGTGAGAGCTCAAAATTTATCTCAAAGGCCAGTGCAACTGCTTCTCCTTCTCATCTAGTTTCCCCGATCTACAACTATCGATTGCGTCAATTGCCACCGTGTTTCGCACCTGGGCGTGGACGGAACTGTCAAGCTCTGCTCTACCTTTTATCAGTTGACCATTCAGTTTAAGTGCAATAACTATCTGTGTCCTCGGAGACTTACTACATGGCAAAGATGCGTACTCTGCTCCTCCTCGGGGGAATGACCCCTGATGTGACTGAGCTGTATTATCGGACCATCAACAATATCGTGCGCACTCATGTAGGCGGTCGCTCCGCCGCCCCTCTTTACATGTACAGCGCCAATCTGGAGGAGATGATACAGCATGCTTCAAAGAAGGACTGGTCCAGCTTTGCTTCCGTGTACAACGATCCAATCAAAGCTCTGACTTCCGGATCCCAACGAATTGACGGGATTGTCGTTTGCGCTATCCTTGCTCACAAAGTTACGAGTCGACTCATCGCCGAGTCTAAAGTCCCTCTACTCCACATAGCTGATTGCCTTTCGACGTACATCAAGAAGACTCACCCACATATTACGCGTCTTGGTCTTCTCGGTCCAAAAATCACAATGCTTGACTCTGAAGATCACGATTTCTTTGTTGGTCGCTTACAAAGCCCTCAGCATGGCTTTGAAGTAATCATTCCTCAGGGCGACCTTGACATCGAGGAGGTCAACAGAGGGATGCTGGAGGAAGTCGCAAAAGGGCGAACATGTGTGACCGAATCGACAAAAGCTATGTTTGTCTCGCAGGCACACCGTTTGATTGAACGAGGGGCTCAAGCTATTGTACTTGGAAGCACTGACCTTGGCTTTGTCTTTGAGAAAGATGCTCTCCCAAAAGATATCCCTGTCATTGATCCGGCGGAAATTCATGCGAAGCATGCTGCGGAGTGGATTTTACAGCTAAACTAAATCTGTCCCTTCCCATATGTAAAAAATTGCCCTGTCAATGAATAAGATCCTAGGTCTCTAATGAGAGGCTTTTCAAATTCCTAATCGGTTTTCCTACACACTGAATTGGATGTTCATGGCACTGGTGCGCGTGCTGAACTGTGTCTGTGGAGAAAGAAAGACCGGACGTTTAAAATAGCTTACTTGGTCGTAGAGTGTTCCCCTTTGATTCCTTGGCTGTTGGGCTTCGTGGGGGCTGAGGACAAGCAGTGGATAATATTCCCAACACCATGATGTCATTCCACGCTGTCCGTCTCGGTGGTTCGTCAGAATCAGAAATTGCCCAGTAGGATGGGCCTATCCACAGCCTCAACCCACATCTTGGCGATGAAACAATAATTATGGACTTTGTGATTTGAATGGGTATATAGAGCGCCACATCCATAGGCACATCCAGATCTCGTCAATCAGATATAACATGTGCCTTACGGATTGTCTCACATATATTGATTTCTTCCACTTGAAATTATCATAAATTTGTCCGAACAAAATGCCTTTGAACATCAGCGCACTCGCTCCTGGGCCGGCGGGCACAACAATGCTCGGAGAAAGAGGCGGCATTGAGGCGGCTGCGCAACGAGGCCTTGAGCGTCAACAGCGCGAGAGAGAAGAGGCAGCCGCACGAGAAAGCAAAGTGCTGAACGATGCAACGTCTGACTCTGGGACGACCCTCACTTCCGAAAATGTGGAAATGGACGAAGGCAAGCGAGACAACGATCCGGTCAATATGAAGTCTGATCTGGAGGGTGAGAAGATCGATCAGAACGCCTCATCACATAAAGAGAACACTCATCAAGTCGACGATGGATCGTCGCAAAAGCATAGTGAAGGGAAATGGGAGAGGTTCAAGAAACATTTCCAGTAGTCCGAATACCGACACAGCAACTACTATGGGGGCTCCGGCTTTAGTTTAGCCACTTCTTCTACACGTGCACGTGTCAACAGCACATTGAAATTGTCATAAAGCGTTTCATTTGTGTTGGATATTAACATAAATACAACATCTCAACCGTCACTCTCCGTTTCCCATGAATTATCACTTGTGGCAAAGAATCCCTTCGGCACAGATTCTGGATCCTCTAACGAATGCTGCATAATCATGTGAAGCAGTCCTGCAAACTGGCTCGGCCCCTGACCGTGTGCCTCCATAAACTCGTCATCATCTTCGTAATCAAAATCAGACTCATCAGACTCATCGGGCTCATCATCAAAGTCAGGTAATTTATATGGGCATATTCGAAAGTCTACTTTTGTTCCGTTGAACATGTTCTTTAGACTGAGAAAACATTGTTCCGGTGTTTGTCCCGGCGGAATAACTTGCCCTGACAACTTAATGGGCCGAGTAATGTCTGCTGCAAGTACCATAAAATCGGTCAAGTTAGGGTATAGATCTTTTTTACAGTCATTCGCGATATTCTTAGCCATATCCCGAATAGACAGATTGCAGTTAGTGATGTGAAGTGTTTTGAGCGATGGGGGGAATTGAGGATGTGGTGGAAGAAGCTCATGTGAAATGACAACGGTCTCGAGCACGCTGAAGTCGCGAAAAGAGCCGATTTTGACCTTGTTCGACACATACTCGGCAATGTTCTCAACATCCCATGGTTCCCATGCAAACGCTAGATGAAAGTGTTCCAGAGTGTCCTTGTGTCCAAGCAGGGCTTCGTGGGCTTGCGTAGCGTTAAACTCCGGCACATCTTTTGAAGTCGGCGTTCGGTGATCCCGTGGGTCCAAGCCAAAGTTGTCATACCCAAACGACTTCAATGTCTTACACGCTTGTAAAAGCTTTGGGAGGGCTTTAGCGTCAATATAGCAGTGATGGAATGCCAACTCCTCCATCGCTAATGTTCTAGGCGTCCAGGAAGCCGGGAACATGTCATCGTCGAGGTCACCATACTCAAAGTTCGCGTTAGCAAGCTTGGGACGGGTGAGCACTTCCTCGTAGGCCATGATAGGGTAGCCGGCACTTTCATCGTCAGCGTCGATCCAGAGAAGCTCGAGATTGGGCAAAAGTGACGGATTTTGGGCAAAAAGTTGGATGATAGGCTTCATTGAAAATTCACCACCGGGCAGGCACAGTTGACGAAGATTTGGGGTCTTGTTGACGATTAGGGCTATGTAGACGCTAAGGTCGGATTTTTGGGTAGCCGCAACCCAGACTCGCTGCTCCTGGTCGGCTAATCGCAACTTGAGAATTGCATCATTGAATAACTCGGAATCCTCGTCCTCAATATCCACATGAAAAGGCCCCAATGCCAATGGATTCATGATGGAGATGCGCTGCACGTGTTTTCCGAGCTCTGCATTGCGATAAAGAGATCGAGTAAACGAGACAATCTTCGCCATACTGCCAGACAAGCCATCCTCATCGAAGTCGCGAAACAGGAGCGGCTGGGCTAGCTCGCGGAAAAATTGCGAGACCAAGCAAACACTGCGAAGATCTTTCAGCTTGTCAAAATCGTCATCATTACCATCATCGCCGCTATCATTCTTTCCCAATTTGTCCTCGGTGGCATCATTCGCATTGTCGCCTCTAATGGGTAGATCCAAGGGTTCCTCCTCAAAGTCAGTAAGGGATTCGAAGATTTGTCTCAAAAGCTCTACTGGAAGGTTTTGGATAAGAACCATGGTCGGTGATGAATATAGATGGTTTAGAGCAAGACCTTTAAGCCTGAGTCTGAGGCGCCCAGAAAGTCGGTCAGGAGACACGCCGCGTTCCAACGCGTTGCGTGTGTTGTAGGCTAGTCTACGTTTGGATAAGTGTGGATTTGTACATTTTCAGCCCTAACCCTATGTTATATTGAACACTTTTCTAGACAGATCGCTCGCCGCTCACACAATACTTTTGCGAAGAGACTCGTTCGATGTTGCACGTATCAATTATATAGGTCTATCCTGGGTGTTTGTTAGTCAAAGACAAGCGCTGCTTTGATCACAGTTTTGTTCTTCATTGCGTCGAGACATTCCTGCCACTCTTCCACTCGGAATGTCTTGTTCACGATGCCAGTCACCTTGACCTTTCCTGTGTCTATTGCACGCTATCAGTACTATTGCTTCCGTAATGTTGATTATAGAAGGATGAATATGGGCACTCACCGAGGTAATCAATGGCGGCAGGAAACTTATACACCTGACTGAAAGAGCCGATTATGTTGATCTCCTCCTTGAAGATCTTGTTCGGTGATAAAAGGCACCGAGCGTCATCTGGATATACGCCGTAGACAACAAGCTTTCCCCCTTTTCGTACGAAATTGATTGAATCTTCGAGGACTTCAGCGCTTCCAGTTGCCTCGACAACAATATCGAAGCCGTATGGGTTCTTGCTTTTTATCCTTTCGCGAGTTTTTATTGCCGCTTCTTTGTCTCGAGGCAGTTCAACATATTCGTCCGCAGCATTGAGTGATCGTGCAAGGTCCATCTTAGGCCCACCAGGAGCAGCGATAACCAAGTGGCTGGCGCCATGAAGGCGAAGCATTTGTGCTAACACGAGTCCAGTTGGTCCGGCACCGAAAAGAAGGACCTTTGATCCCAACTTGGGAGCAATCTTATCCATGCCATGCGCAGCACAAGAGGCAGGTTCGATTAAGGTGGCATCGACATCGGAGATATTCTGAAACTGAAACACTCTGAACGAGGGATACACAGCATATTCGGCAAATCCACCGTCGACCATCACACCATGGGCAATGAAGTGCTCGCAAAATAGTTCGTCGCCGCGACGACAGTAATGACATTTACCACATAGCTCGGAGTTGTCTGCCACCACGCGATCACCAACTTTGAACCCTTTAACGCTGGAACCGAATGCTGCGACTACACCGACTGTTTCATGGCCAGGCACAAGGGGAAACTATAAATCAGCTGATTAGCTTTGGCTGACCACCATGGACTCGCTACGCTGTGAAAGCGGCTATAAAATTACCTGTGCTCCGAATTCTCCATCATGGATGTGCAAATCAGTGCCACAAACGCCACTGGCCTTCACTTTGATCTATGGCTTCACTTTCAGCGAGATATTCCCTCATATCGCTCGAATCTGTCTACTGACCAAAACATCATCATCCCGAATAAGTGGCAGAGGTTTCTGAACGACACTGAATTTTCTCGGCTCTGAGTATTCTACTCATCCGAAAGAAGTTATCAGCATCGATGACTCTCCCGTGCAACTTATGCGAAAATTCGATGACGGGAGAGAATCATACCTAAAGCCTTCATTTGCGAAGGCAAATTGAAAGAAGTCATTTTGATTTACGTATTAATGGTTCTGAGAAAGCTCTAAGAATCGAAGACAAGAAGTTTGTAGGAAATATTCCATTGTTGAGGCTGGGCAAGAGCAATGGAAATATTTCTAGTAAAGTCCACTTTGCCATCATTGGCATTCTTCGAGACGGGGGTTAGCAATTTACCCCGCGAACGCTTGTATGGAAGATGAAGCGCTCCACGCATTGCGGGAAGCTTTTTGTGTTGACGATTGCTTTCCGCCACTTACCAGGCGAACAAGACAAGGCTTGACTCGAGAATGATTGTAAAAACAACGCGTTTGAGTCATGACACCGTATATCACTCTTATCTGAGTGTGGTTATAATTATTGGCCATTTCCCTCGGTCACGAAAAATAGAGTCACGGTTGACGTTATTCGCAATGCATCTTTCTCCGAGCGATCAACACTCAAAAGAATTTACTACGGCCTTTTCAGTCCCTCGTCATCGACATTTTATCAGATATCGAAGCAAAGGTGATAGGCAATTGAAGATTGACATGCTTCAGAATGTGCATTTGTGTGTTCAGATGACTTCTCTTGGCCGAGCTTTTACGATCTGGATAGATGGCATTCACCTGATCACAAAAACAAGCAATCGGTGGCTTATTCGAAATGGATCATGAGATAGCGGAGATTGACCGAGATATCTTGTCATTTAACCATAAGACACGACGCGATGCGAGTGTTGGTCGTCTCGAGGGTCGGCGAGAACCCCGGCGTGGTTCGCCTTCGTCCGTATCAGCCAGGCGAAACACATCTTGTGCACGTCTGCCGTAGATGGGTTGAATACATAGCCATGAGATTTTCAAGTATATTATGCCGGCGTTTGCTTCTTTGGAAGAATTTGGGCAGCGAAGGAATATGACTGATGAATAACTTTCGAGTGATGGACTGCGGGCTTTCCACCGGCGCGACCGCGATCACGACGCGTCGACACGCTAATTCCATATTACATAATCGTTGTGACTAAACAATGAGCCCAAAAATCGAAATAGAATCTTGGGAATAAATCTGGCGGGGAAGAAGTGATTGTTTCAAAACAGCAAAACTCAGCCCTACAATCTCACGTCGAGTGTATTTGCTGCTATGAAAATATAGAAAGTGCCCGTTGACATCCTACAACAAACATCGGAAGTGGGAGAGCCACGAGCCACACGTCCACATAATTTATACACTGTTTTCATATCTTCGAGTGCTTAGATGAAACTCGTATTAGCTCCGGAATCTTCCAATGTCTGGATATATGTATCTTTCAAATAATCAATCGAACTGTTCGCATATATAACCGATTTCCACGTAAATATTACCAACCTTGGACGGTTGAGGTACATCGGAGAATAGCAGGCAGTTGGGCCTTCCGATGTGAAGATGGAGGTACATGCAGTTTGCAACAGTTACCCGCGTGATGGAATTGTTTTCAGGCCAGCGCTTATACCAGACATATTACGATATATCGAATCTATACCTATATTATGACGTTCTACAGATGTGCACTTGACGTGTGGGATGCAGTATGTAGGTGAGGAATACTGCATCAGATATATATATATTTCTACTGACCTATCGAGGCCGGCCGCCGCGAGTATTGACTTGCCGACTTGCCGACTTATGTGCCTTGAGGGTTCTTATTCATCAACTAAGCATTAAGGCGGCTTAAAAAAGGCATGATTACGTTCACAGGGACCCTATTAGGGTGTCGAGAAGTCTCGATTGAGGCTATTCCAAGCATTTGCGATGTCGTTGAACGCCGATAGTCGTAGAATGAACATTACATTGTGTAATTGAATTGCGGATGCTAGCCTAATATGGCTAGTACGGATATTATCTCCACATAAACAACGTATTTCTCTGTAATATAACGGTCACAAGCCTGTTTCTTCTATTATCTCAATTTCTAGGTTGCCGATGCCGATAAGGTTTATCATATCCGGCCGGATGACTCATTTCTTTTCATACTGACTCAGTCTGAAATACATAGTTATTAACTGACCTGATTTTGAAGAGACGGTGATTGAATGAGGCGGAGTATCATTTTCAGTAAGATTCAAGGAATAGCACAATTTTGACTTTACCAAGGCTCAACTGTTCACGATGCACGTTACAACCGGTGATCTCAACAACCCGAAGCTTCGAACCCTTCTCACCTACCACTTCCAAGATCTCCAGACCAAATCATCTCCCGAGACAAGTTTCGTGCTAGATCTTAGTGCGCTTCAAAAACCAAACATAACCATCTATACCGTCTGGGACGGCGATGAATTGCTCGGTTGCGGCGCCATCAAGGAGTTGGACCCGACGCATGGGGAGATCAAGTCCATGAGGACTGCGCCTGAGCATCTACGGAAAGGAGTCGCCAGGGCTCTCGTGCAGCATATGATCACCGAAGCGAAGCGGAGGCAATATAGCCGACTTAGTCTGGAGACTGGAACGGTCGCTGCGTTTGTGGACGCTAAACGTTTGTATGAGCGGTGTGGTTTTGTACGATGCGAACCGTTTGCCGACTATGTCGCCCACGAGGATAATATGTTTATGACGATAGAATTATAGGGAGGGTTGGACGCATTCCTGTATATGGACTTATAGAGATTAGATGTCTGTATGTTGCGCGCATTTGGATCTTGAAGGACCGGCAACCCTTGAAGCGCGGTGATGTCATGTAAATAATGCAACGCGTGACGCGGTCTGTCATTTCGGATTATTGATTCGCCAGGCTGCTTTTATTCTTTCATTGCCATACACACGATCTAAGAGTACGTACTGCTATTGATCACTTTCGAGCCCCAGATAGCCACAGAAGACTCCTGTCGGATCCCATTTCTTCCTAATATCTTTCAACTTTTTCTTTTGCTCATCTCCCCAAAATCGAGACTGTCGCGTCTGAAAGTCAAATTCACCCGTATAGGCACCGACCGAGTGTTGGCCAACCTGTTTCATGATCTCCGATACCCACGCTTGATTGCGTGCATCGTCGTCCTCATCTTCCCAGATACCGTACAGCGCAAAATAGTGGTCCGATTGCACACTCAACGCCATAGGCGGCAAGTCACGGCGGCTTGTAGGAACCATGGAGTTGTAGAGAGCTAGTGACTTTCTTGTGGGTAACGTTGAGAATGCAGATTTGAGAACGGATGCGACATCCGAATTGTCATTCAGAAACGAATTATCGGCACAATACCTGTGTTCTTCTGGATATGCCTCCCGTTTGTAATGGAATTGTTCATTGAAGTTCGTGTCATCGCAAACTGAGCGGACCGCTGCCCCGTCCGGGTGAGACTCGTCTGCACGATGCAGGACTTCTCTGACGCTTTCTTCATCGTGGCCAACGGCAAAAAGGGCAACTGTTATGCAGCACTCATCAAATCCGGAGGGATAGCTTCCGATCACGGCAATTTCCAGGCCGTCGTCGATGCCAGAGGGAATCTGTAGTCCTCGTTAGCGCCGGGAAGTGAGTTGTTGGTTTTATAGCACTGTGATTCAGTGGAGCATCGAGTATGAATAGAGAAGGTATTTGTCTCCTACCTTCAATGCCCAATTGAACACAGCCTGATATTGACTAAGGCTATATATATACAACGAGGACTTGATGACTTTCGGCAACGGTTTGGTCTGTAGATGAAAACGTGTTACTAACCCCGGAAATCCTGGACCGGCGCCTCGAGCTGCCCAGAGCAGGTCGCTATTTTGCTGAGAATCTGCATGAACAATTATTCCGCAGCTCGTGACTACATCAACAGCGATGACGTGTTCGCATGCCCAGCCCCAATTCTGTATCGGACCAGCTTTCCGTTAGCCATAAGCATCAACTGGCAAGAGACTGACCGGTTGGGTAGAAGGAGAAAGATATGCGAAGTGGAGGACAAAGCTAAATATAACCAACATTGGAATTCCATCCCATGCCACCACAGAGCAAGTAGCCCCCAATTCCCACGTCCGGACAATGTCCGACGGGGAAGATGCGACCTCTGGTATGCAAATAATCGGATAATTCTTGACCCGTTGTACTTGGAGACGCGCTAACCACACCAGTATCATCGTCAAAGCTGATTTCGGAAACATCACCTAGATCTAACAAGATAGTATCATTGCGAATGCTCCATACTGGCCAACTGTGCCCTCCGGCCCGGACAGAAACGGAGCATTTTTGATCGATTGCTAGCTTGACAGCTTTGACAATGTCAGACTCTGTCTTTGCAGACACGATACCACGTGGGTATCTTTTGGGCCGTTGGCAATTGAATACCCTATTCACTCGAGCTTCCTCGTAGAGAGACTCGTTATCCTCTCCACGCCAGACGATGGACAGTGGTGGTTCGAATTCAGTCCAACGTTCGAAAATGCTCAACGTGGGCGGCACCATGCTAGAGCGTATTGCTACCTGTGTCCACAGTCTGAAGGCAAGTGGTAGAATTGGAGGTCTCTCAAACTAGCGCTCCTGTTCTCCAATTTGACATGATGTTATGTTTTTTTTGTTTGAACGTCGGGATTGGGAGAGTTTAAGGCTCCGTTGCCTGCCTGAACATTGCCTCTAGTGCCATTTTGGGTTAGCTCTAATGGGCTCGCGTATAATAACAGTAACGAAAATTACTAGCGTGTCCCGCTTCAAGCCCGGATTGGTTGCTCTGACCTGCAGACGACCCAGAGACCGCTACGTCCTTCCTAATCAAAAAGATGCGATAACAGGAGATGCCAATGCTAAAAATACTAGCTCTTCTGTACTCTTGATATTTTTCATAGCTGTCTGAAAGTGCCATGCGAAGTACTAGGCCATCAAAAGAGAATGGTCACAGAGTTTGCCTCACTGCATGCTTTATGTGCAGATGCGTCAATCTATAGGAATGATATAATTTGCACCTTAGTCGTGTGCCTTATGTCGTGCCGGGCTCAAGGATTTCTTGAATATTAATGTTGATCAAGCGCTTCTCAACGAGATAAACAGAAGACAGGTGCAGACATCGCTCCCAATCACAAAGATATGATTTTCTCACATCCGGCCTATTGGCCTGTATGATGACTGCCTGATATAACCCTATTAATATTTGGTATCGCATGGATTGTCACTGGCTTGCATGGGTTTGCAGGCCCTCCTGCGGCCTAACCTGCCAAATCAGCGACTCGAATCGCTCAATCCGGTGAGGCAGCACGCTGACTAGCTTTAGCTTTGCTTTGCCTTCCATGACGATCGGCATATGACGTATAATATTCTTTGAATATAATAGCTGTGGTCTCTTGGATTGTTATTTATTGGAACGCCTAGCACTACATCGAAGAAGGATATATATGTGTTGAAACCTCACCCAGCCCACCATGCTGCATGGAAATTTATTCAGTGAATTGATCTTTCTGTAGAACTGGGGATCTGTTCGTAGAAGGTTCCATTTGTCCCATCAATTTGTCTTGAATGATTATGTGAAAAGTTACATATCTAATGTCTAGCGGATCATTTCTAAATATTCTATGTGACCAATCATTCCGACCAAAACCAATTTCACTCTAAAACCAACCAAATGCAGCAGTGAATATCAGCGACAACACTCCGAGAGCGACCTGAGGTTCAATTGCTATAGCTGCCCCGGTAGGAACCGCCGTCGAGCTTCCTGTATTTGATGCCGAGCTGACTACTGCCGAGCTGGATGCAATTGCCTTACTGCTGTACCCCCCAGTTTTTGTACTAGTGGCAGAGGCCACATTAGTCGCGTTATACGGTGCCGCAGTGATGGTATATGTTTTGTTTAGGAAAGTGACCGTCATAGTCTCACCACCTGGCGGGCTGGTGAGTGATGATGCCCCAGGAGTGTTGCTCAGCGCTTGAGTCTGGTTTGGTGGGAGATTGTTGACATCCACATATATGCCATTGTCAGCCGTGGGAATACCGAACTGACCGTAGCAGACTTCATATGTGAGAGCATCGCAAGAGCCGTTAGCGGCAATGTTCGCCTGGCCTTCCTCGACCAGAATTGGCACACCGAGGATGTCCTTTTCAGTGCCCGGACAGATGCCGTATGATCTAAGCAACCATAGTTATTAGCTTCCAATAATCCCGCTGTTTCCCAAGAACTTAAGATGGGCCACATACGCGCTCACGGCGGCACTGTATACGCAGCATTGGCATTCGTGTGATTGAGTTTTGTTGTTCATAGCCCAGCAAGTGTACAAAGTGTCATGGTTCAAGGTGGCATTAATCAATGAATTGCCGAGATTGCAAGAGCAGCTGTCGGGTGCATCGGCAGGKGCTGGATAGAAGGGKGCACTTTGGATGTGGTCTCGATCGATTGCGAGGAGGTACTCGGATGTGATATATTGATAAGCGCAAGTATATACCTGATCAACTCTGTTAATATTCTCTTGAACAATTTTATTGAAGTTTTGACTGGGAGATACCTTATTCCAGCAGCTGCCATAGTAACAGAGCATCTCATCAACGAGTGCCTGCACCTCACACGCGGTAATGCTGGCGTTAGACTGACTGGCACATTTAATAGCAGTGTTATTGGCATTTGTGAGGCATGATGCAAATTCAGTTGGGGCAACGCAACCCTTAGGATCAGGTGTTGTGATGTTCTGTGCTTGCACATTAAAAGCAAACATGGACACGGCAGCGCCGAACAGTAATGTACCAAGCATCCTGAAATTTAATGCCGTCAACTCCGAAAGGTACCTTTTCCTTTTATTTTCCTTTAAAATTTACTTCATGTCCCGTTACATCCACCACCTTATATACAAAAACCTGAAGGATTTTGTTTTCTTTTCATCGACCCTAAAAACCTTACTTGTTCTTTTGGAGCATGTTGACAATTCAGGCGTTAAACGATTTTTGATTGACTATCCTACATACGAACTCCTATCCCCCCTCAGCCCCAGCTAGGTCAACACATACTGGAACTCTGCCCCCATGTATAAGAACGATGTTAAACCGAGTAAATTTTACTCCGGACTAGGAACGGCAGATGTGGTTCGCTGATTTCTCGAACCAAACAACAAATATTAAACTTTGGAAATCCTGGTATTAGACCATGAGCTGACAAAGCTTGTCTCTAATACGTAATCATGCAACTTTATAAATCTAACTGGTCGAATTTTCTCTAAAATCCTCTCCCTCTACGGACAGTGATCAGGATTTTCTCTTCCTACCGGGAAAATACGATTTAGGGCTACAGAGCCCTAGCGTATGCAGGTGGATGCCCCTAACCCCTGCACTAGCGGAGCCTATTTTAGCTTGACGGGCTGGCGGACTTTCTAGTACTCCGCATGCAAGAGGTGGGTACACCAGAGACCCGCCCTTCCATGCTTGGAAGTCAGCAAGAGAGTTATGGGGGAGATACAAGATGGCCCAATCCATGAGCCGGTGCCTGTCTCTTGAAGGCTAATTCTTGCTCGAAATTTGAGCTGAGTTCGATTTAGCTAATATTTAGGTATTTTCATACGGTTCGGCCATTTGTATCTGTCTACTCTGGTTTACTAGCTTGGTCGCTGAACGTAATAATAGTGTGAGCTTGATCTATACGGTAATATTTCACTTGATCAAAAAGTCCATGAAGGGCATATTACAGAAAATCCCAATGACGAGAATATTGTTGTCTCTATCGACTGACGGAGCTTTGTTGTCGTTCAATTCAAGAACGTGACATCTAGTAGCAGAAAAGGTTTGTAGGAGACTATGCTATTATCTATTTCCACGTTGTCCTAACTTGGTATATTTTTATTTATGTGTGCTGAAGATACGTGAGATACTATGAATCGCAGTGGAAGTCTAAACTGCAGCACCAAATGTGTCCACATAATCAATTCAATCCAGGACGATCAAAGATATGAAAAGAAGCTAATCTATTACCAATCACATTCACCATCTCCGACAGGAACACTCTGGGGATTATGGAAAACATCACGTTCGTCATATTCCTTCTTGATTTGTTCCAAACGCGGAAGGTTGTCGGCCCAGTACAATTCAGGCCCGTTCGAAAGGAGAGGATCAACATAGCCTGCATAGGCGTAGAAAGTCTCGTTGGGGAACGCAGAGTAAATGACATCATTGAAGCCATCCAGGAAGTCAATCGTAGTGTTTGAAACGGGGCCACGGGTAGCTGCGTAGGCGAAAATCCAGTACAAAACGTCACGGTGAGGGAAAGCAGTAGCATTGCTAGCAATTTCGGCCATGGCACCAGAGACCAATTGGACTTCCAGCTCATATGTCAATGCATTGTCAGGCGTTGTAGTAAGGTATTCGAACATGGAGTCGATGGTGTCGTCGGAGAGTAGGGCATCTGGCAAGACATCCAATGACTTGGCGTAGAAATAGGCCGGTTTTTCTGCGTTCTCCGACTCAGTAGCCCAAATAGCCACCATATCCAACCAATTGGGGATCACCGTAACGTTGGCAACGGGGGTGATACTGAACGCTTGTTCAAGGCCAAGGGCGTTGAAATCCTCCAAGGAGCCAAAGAACGAACCGGTGACTTCAATAACGGTAGGAAGTCCTACCATCAAGATATAAAGCTCCCAAGACAAGCTGGGGTTGGAAATAAAAGTTTGAAAATCTTTAAAAACTTGTGCTTGTGCCGTGGCATTTAGGCCCTCAAAAGCATATGAGTACGAAACGCCCCCAGCAGGAGCAGCTTCGGTACGGAAAACAAATTCAGTCGCGACAAAAAAGCTGCCGCCTGCTCCCTTCAAAGCCCAGAGAAGATCCGGGTTCTCTGTTTCGGAGACAGTGACAATTCTACCGTCGGCGAGGACGACGGTGGCAGACATGACATGATCGATAGTTGCTCCCCACTGACGAGATGTAGGACCAACTCCACCAATGGTGGCGTGGCCTCCAATACCAACATCAGGGCATGAACCATGAGCAACAGCACGCCCCCCAGAGTTGTACAAAGCAGTCGTGACGCTTCCCAATTGAGAACCGGCACCGACGGTGGCATATCCCGTCGAGTTGTCGTAGGAATATCCATTAAGGTTCGCGAGATTAATCACCACTTCTCCACTTTCTCCACCCCAGCCTGTGGAATGCTTGTCAGTTAAAATGTACCATTGCAATTTTGTTACGCTATAGGCTAGCAGTTAAAAGTTATGCCTTACCGTAGTTTCCATAGCTGTGGCCACCACCTTTTGCCTGTACCTTATAATTCCCTTCGGCAGCGCATTTCACGATACCCGAAACCTGTTTTGTAGTGCTTGGATATGTGACAGCTGCAGGCAAGATCGGTATGTTCAAGTTGTAGATGGTAAGGCTACTGTTGTAGCTTGAGGAACTTGGGGTGACCACGGCTGATTGGTTGTAAGCGAGGGCTGCCAGGAGACAAGCAGAAAGTCTTGCGGCCATGTTGGGCAAATCTATCGATGCTTGTTTTTAGGAAGATAGAAAGAGGTGTTTTTCGAAGTGTCCGACCATACTTTAGCTGTTCGGATCGAAAACGGCGAGCTTTTGTATTTAAGGAGTTTCCCAGGGCCTAAGAAGAACTAGCATCTGCATCATGTCGAATTGCCTTCTTGAGTTAGCCTTTCAGTCATCCGCACATTGGCCCGAAGCGACTAGATGTTTGTGACATGAACGGACATAAACGGATATTTTCGACTACTCCACGAGCTGCCAAAAGCTGAGTGACGAACGCACGTGTTGGCCCCTTCAAGCCCTATTTATTAAACTGGATGGTCCTACTGGATGGCTGCCAGCAGGGGCCGAAGCGACTGCACTAAAACAAAGCCCCAATCCCCGGATATTAAAGCTTGCAGGCGCTAATGCAGCTGTGGGCAGGGGCCCAATCCCAGTCACGGTTTAATTGCACAACTCCGTACTGCTAATTGCTATACTCGGTAAAGTATTGTTGCGCCACCAGAAATATTGTCTAGGATAGCATGGCTTTACCTAGGCAGAGAAAGGTTGAGTGGTGGTACTGTGACCGGCAAATTGGACTAAAGATACACCATCGAGGCCTAACACTACGTGACGGATTTTGATGAGGGTTGTTCAAGGGCTGTTCATATGTCGGTTCGGAGTTTATACGTCCTTGTCTGTCGCCTTAGTGGCTGACTGAATTGTTTGTACTCAGCAGCTTCCGCACGCACATCCAGTAATTTTTACAAGATTGGATTCTCAGAAGGGATGATCGGTTTATAATGTTACGCCTTTTTTGTATTCACTTCTAATTCCTAACTTGGCAATCGCGAAGTGTACTTAGGGTTATATTAAAAATTTAAAGCTTGCGTGACGATTAGGGTTGATGTCTTGAGAGAGTCTATAGAAATATTCAAACCGAATCACTATACAATAACAAAGTAAAACTACTGAACACTTCACTAGCTACTACCCTTCAGAGGCGATACTTCAAGCAATGTGCGCTCAAGAGCTGAGTCGTTGTTTGTAATCCTCCGCTGTTTGCTGCACCATCTGGTCGATGTCATAATCCCAGAGCTTATGTGATCTCCAAGAGACCTCGTCCTCACACTTTTTCCTATCGCTACCAGTGGCCTCATGCTGCCACTGATAGATGTCGCCTAGGATGCGACTGCTTTCGACGATCCACTGAGATCGCTCCAGCCTGACCGTATTGTAAGTTGCGAGCGCAGCCTTCAAAATTTCCGATCTAGATTTGTCTCGAGACTGGTTCAACTGAGTTTGCGCAAGGTCAATGACGGTAGCCAAGACAGTGGCATCCTCAACTCCAGAACCAGCACCCGCACCGTGATGAGGAGAGGCAGCGTGCGCAGCATCTCCGGCAATACAAACCCGGCCGTCGTAGTATGTGGATGCTGGATGGTCGTATGTATCGAATATAGCCCATTCATCCAAGTCATCCGATAGTAGATCCATGATTGTACGTACTGCGCCTCCAAACTTTGAGAAATTTACGACTGCGTTTTTCTTTTCGGCTGGAGCAGACAGTTTGTCTGCATAGGGCCATTCGCCTGGGTCAGTCACGAAGGCGACCACATTCACCAGCTTTCCTTCAGCCACCGGAAATGTTAGCGCATGCGCATCCGGACCGAGATGCATAAATCGAGTGTTGACCTTGGATTCTCCAAGTGCGGGACGAGCTTTTTCCATGGGAATCAGACCTCGATAGGCCTTTTTATGAGTATATTTAGGGTAAGATGCAGGGTTTTCTTCGCCCAAGATCAATTGTCGCACACGCGATCGTATACCGTCACAACCAATGACTAGCGACAAGATGTGTCAGTAGATATACTTCACTGAATTCTTGATCTCCCCCTTGCCAGTATCCACGGGTCGTTTTTACCTAAATCAGTCTCAGCGGCTGTACCGTCATGGAATTTCAGTTGTATGGCCTCATTGTCTCCTCGGTCGATTATGGTCTCGAGCTGTGAGCCGTAGGTAACACAATTCTCAGGAAGGCGGTCAACAAGCTCCTTTAAAAAGTGTGCACGATGACAGCCCTCGAATCCACGTTCGCCTAGATACAGTTTGAACAAGAGATCTTCCTCGACCGTGTCTTTGTCACCATTAACGCCGCTGAAGCCGTCCACCCACTGGAACCAATCCGATGCATTTTGAACAGCGACGCTTTTGAATGCTTGATGAATTCGTGGATCTAAAGCAAGCATTGCGCGTTCGGCATTTGCAGTAAAGCCAATTCCCGCGCCTATTTCGCGAAGACTTTGTGATCGCTCGTAAATGTGGAACTTGATGTTTCGCTTTTGCAAACCCAAAGCCAATGTGAGCCCTGTGATTCCACCGCCAATGATGGCCACTTCAATAGGCTTTGCTGCCATTGTTGGAGGATAATTTGTGGAAATTCAGATGAGCGACAATTCTTCGATACGGCTGGGATGGGACAGATCGCTATAAATTGGAAACTACGCTTGGAATTTCCGGTGAAAAGTGCCTTCGGTAGATTTTATGATTTCGACTAGCTATTGATCATCCGAACCAGGAGGGGGCCTTCAGCTGATAGAATCGCTGCCCCTCCCGGCGTTAGACGGTAATTTGGATAGGATTGGCCCTAAACTGTAGACAAATCGGGGAGCCACCGTCAGCAATCGCTGTCACCAGCGCTGGGGCATGCGTATGTGTCAAACCCAGTCGTTATACAGCTTCGGTCTGCGACTTAATGTCCGGTGATCAGCGACATGCAGGCTTTTGCCCGGATTTTTCTCGCTTCTAACGGATTACCTTGGGATTCCGTTCAGGCTGTCTTTGGACGTCTCATTGGCTGACCATTTATGATTGCCTGAGCTCGATAGAACGACTAGAATTGTTGGTTTAGTTACGGAGTTACGGAGTAGTTAATTACAGAGTAACTTAATTTTCGAGTTCAGTGGAATCGTTTGTTGCCTACGGAGTTACGGAGCTACAGGGGCAAAGCCATTACACTATATCAAAAATGGAAGTAAATACGTCCACAATCAAAATGAGAATCCAGATTCAAGCTCCTTGGAATTAATCTGAATCAAACCAGGCAGCGCGAATGATGCCTCGGGCCATTGATCTTCTTTGGTAGTGCTTTCCGAGTGTATATAAGTGCAAGCCTCCTCAAGGCACGTTCCTTGATGAATTTCAATATACATTCCGATCATAGACGCCGTGGGCAACAATGGTATTTAGTTATGTGAGCGCTAGAACATGAATAATGCCTTCTATTCCCTGACCTAACCAATATATTCTACGTACGATGCCCACTCAGTATCATCTCTCAGTGCTGCGATATCCGCCTCTCCAAGACAAACAAGTGCATCCACGTCGCCCTGAAGTGTTTGCGGCATGACATATATGGTACTTGGAATGGGCGCGAACGTCGGTCGGCGAGCGAGGGTTGGCTGTCCCAAAAGACCGAAGTTCGCCTTGTAAAGTGGTACAGATGCCATGGAAGAAGTACCCATATCGGTATCGGAGTTGAACTTACCCGCATAGGCGATGTTCCTCTTATCTTTTTGACGCGAAACAAAGGTAGTGAAGCTTTGCACAAACTTCGCATCTATCTCATTCAATGTCTTACGTAGCTCTGAAGCTACTGCTGCCAGTGGTAGGCTGGTCACTTGCTGGAAAGAAAGCCAAGTGCTGGCATTGGATACTGAGACGCCCATGTAATCGAATGGAATTCCCATAATTTTACGGATATCGACTGCTCTTGTGAACTTAGACGTATCATCTGGTGTTTGGCGCCGACGCAAACGGACGGCTGTGATACGCTTCCAGAGAAAAGCGCATAGTGCGTCATCACGCGAAATAAATGGCACCGTCAAATGAGCAGGATCACTTGCTTCCGCCTTGATAGCATTCAGCTTCTCGGCTGAGAAGCGAAAGAAGCACCAGGTCAAAGGTGAAGGCGGTGGTGGTCTCACAGCTGGAGGAGGAGGTCTGATTAAGTGGCTATGATCAAGCAAAGGTTCTTCCGGGCCCAAAAGCGGAATCACTGTTCTGCGGTCTAGATTTGCCGCTTCAATCGTGCTAGCAGGGATCTCCTTTCCACGAAGAGCTGTTGCGATTACATTAAGCATTGCAAGAATACCACCGCCGTCAGACATGTTATGCTGGGCGGCCATATCCAAAATGAGACCGCCTTTCAAGAAACTGGCCTGGATAAGCAAAGCTGGTGCGGGATCTGTCTCAGAATCCTCGTAGCTGAGCGGGAAAGCATTCTTCGGTCCAATCACTGCGCCATCTAGCATAGATGCTGGTCCCTTTGCAGCCACAATTTCTGCATACGGGGAAAGAAGGTCCGTGCAGTCTTTCACACGGAGGATCGAGTTCGGAGGCGAGAATTCTTCACAAGGAACACTTTGAAAGATACCACTGCTATCCGGTCCACTACCCACGTTGACAACCTTGCCACCCAACCATGGAATAGCCGTGGTGAGCTTAAGAGTCGCAGATTCCAGTGCCTGAACTATCTCTTCACGGTTGCTGGAATCCTGCAATGGGAATCCAACCATAATGTGGTTGTATGCTTTCAATAGCGGCAATTGTCCGAGAACATCTTGAGTACATGCCGGGTCATACATGTTGGTAGATCTCCGTAATTAGTCGCTCTCCCGTTGATTTGATGTTGATATAGCGTTGCTTAGAGGCTGAGTCCACAATTCCGACCTTTGGAGAAAAGGCTGTTTGGTTTTTGGCAAATAAGGTACCTAAGCCAATCAACTAATTCCAATCTGAAATGCCTCTAAAATTTTAAAATTTTCGGACTCATCCTCAATATATATCCTGTAAACTAACGACCTGGGTATATATGATGACTCCTACCCAGGTGTCATCAAAGCTGAACGTATAAATCTAGCTACAAACCCAAATAGCTGACATTTAGACAATCAGTTTTGAAACATCACGGCCTTCAACGACACGCCTATCTTGCTGTGGGGATAACTCCGAGCCAAAACTCCGATCCGGGTTAGCACCCCTGGCCTTAGCGGCCCCGCCCCCTGTCGCGATCCTCATTTTAACTACGACCGGGCGAGCTACGCCGTTACTTAGCGGCTGCTATCAATCACTAGCCATTGATAGTGTGGCCTTAGTTTCGGACCCTGGCCAGGCCAGCGGGGCTAGATTGAATGTGTTACGTATGTAGATTTGGATGTGGTCTCGTTAATCTACCAAATTTATTTCCTAGAATCCTTTGAAAAATCAAGATCATAAAAATCTTCGATTTGCTTTGCTAGCAGCACTAAACTGGATGTCCATGTAGGCTTATCCATATTTCGAAAGCAGTCACAAATATATAAATAAGAGAAAACGAGTGCCCGCACGCGAGCATCTGAATCCTCCGACCTCTGGGATCAACCAATATTTTAGAGCGTGGTAATTTTTGACGCCTTGCAATCTACTTTTTATTCGGTTTTTGCGAAGTTGGAAGGCTAGTCATATTATTCCTTCGAGATGCCACCACCTCGCGGAACCCAGAATATACTGGAGGGCCCTGGTTAGTATTGCCCAAGGGGTTCATTTTGAAGTTTGAAGCTGATTTCACCTGCAGGTGACTACGACGTGACCTCAGTTGTGCATAGTGACTCCTACCCAGAGATCGACCCTCTTCAGTTCGACTTTTCCGGAAAAGCCGTTTTCGTTACCGGAGGCTCGCGTGGTCTAGGCCGTGCGATGGTGCTTTCATTTGTTCGAGCGGGAGCTTCATTTGTTGCTGCTGGTGCGCGATCAGACATGTCTCAGCTAGCCAAAGATGTAGCTGCCACCGCGCAATCCGCCAACCGAAAGCCTCCGAAGTTTTTGCCAGTGAATATAGAGGTTTCTGATCCCAAGAGTGTTGAGAATGCCGCTGCGCTCATTGAAAGTGAATTTGGTCGAATGGACATTGTCATCAACAATGCCGGCCTGCTTGGCTCTCATGGAGGAATTGCCGCAACTGATCCTGAAGAGTGGTGGAATATTATGAGTGTGAATCTTCGAGGGCCGTATCTTGTTGCTAGGTCATTCCTACCTATGCTAGCAAAAAGCCCCAACCCATACATCATCCAGGTTACGAGTGTGGCAGCTCACCTGTTGAACCCAACCTTGACCGCTTATCAAACATCTAAAGCATCATTGTTACGGTTTACACAGCTCATTGATGCAGAGTATGGAAAGCAAGGCGTAACTTCATTTGCTATCCACCCAGGAAACTGTCCCACAGACATGATGGGTGGACCAGAGGGATTGCACGACTTTGAGAAGCATAGTGAGTGACTTGATTCTATTTTCCATGTGAAACTTTGTCTCTAATAATTATTATAGTCTTCGTAGACTCGCCAGATCTTAGTGCCGATACACTCGTATTCCTCACTTCAGAAAACCGAGAGTGGCTAGGTGGTCGCTATATCAACGTGACTTGGGACATGCCCGAGCTTGTGGCGAAGAAGGACGAAATCGTGGAAGGAGACAAGCTCAAGACGAGATTCATATTTTGAATTATAAAATTTCCAGACCAAAGTCTGGTTTACTAACTGCTATATACCTATGTAGCAAGAGTAAAAGTACTTATGTAGGTATGGTGTATGCGCTGAAATAATCAACACTGTATATGGGAACATGAAAAAGGTCCTTCTGAGTACTGGAAATATACAAGTCCCTATGATGTAGAAATTCACAAAGATATCAGTTATGAAAATATCTATTGAACGTAGGACTATCATCCCTAGTTGAATCACTCATTTCGATTTTGAGATAGAGACGGGTGGTCTTTGTAGAACATTGGCCACATCTCTCGACGTATTGCTACCATAGTGTCAGCAAGCTATGTGCCAATCACATTTCCTTTACAACCCTCATGGTGAACTCCTTGCGTGCTACATGGTGGAATGAAACTGGTCAATAGCATGTATTACTAGTCTCCGAGGCCGGAAAGATAAAGACATACCAGCCACGCCCTTTTGACATCCGATTTTCGCATGTTCGCACATGAGGCGGATGTGGAAAATAAAATCTTGCTGATACGAGAAACCACATATGTGTGTCTCACTGCCCAATCACTACGCAAAGTACAATGAATTACGGCCCCAGCTGGAGCTGAGCCTTATATGGTGCTGAAGCTCACTAAGCCAGGACAACCAGCTCCGAGCAAAAACTCCGCCCGAATGTTCGTAATACAAAGCTGATGTTTAAGCTTAAATGATATCGTACTACTTTGACATTAGTATTCTTGAAGTTTGCTCGAATATTCTAAGCGCCCACATGTTTCTATGTGGAGTCGGAGGTATGTGGTACCCTTACCGAGTGGAATAGGATAGTGCTCGCCTCCGGGCCGATTCAATGGGCGTGTTAATTTCGGCCCCTAGTCAATATCGCGGGCCTGCATTGTACACGAAGAGCAGTTGAAGGAGCGGACCCTAAGCAAAGTAGTTGTAGCTGCCAGCTCGGTCGAATAGCGATCAAGTTGCCCTACTCCGTTCACATTCGTGGAGATAGGACCCGAAGTGGCCCGGAGTTTTTGGATATCTCTCCACCTAGCAGGTCGTTCAGTCAGACTAGCTGAGGGGTGTTTGCATACGAGACAACAAAATTATAGGCGCATTAGTAGCCTTTATCAATTAATGTAAATAGAACCGCAATGGACTTTATACATAGTCCATCAATCTAATACCTCTCAGCATAGACAACCAGAGCTCAACCTCGAAACTATTCACCGCACGACCAAGATTCCTTCGCCAATTTCCTGCCCTACCTTGCGAGCTGTGTGGTATTTTAACCACATTGATATAGCTTGGCCTCGTCCTTCATTTCCGGGTTCAGCAGATGATAGTGGTTTCTTGCATTGAACGGTAACACTGTCCGCGAAAATGGTTAGCCGGATAGTCAATCCCACTGAGGGGAACACCGTCCTCCTCTTCGGTCCCCAGGCATTATCATTCAACCAAGAAGCCTTCCTTAAATTACGTGCAACGATTCTGGGCTCACCTGCTTATCAATGGGTGCTCAACGTCGTTGATGAGTTGCCTACCATATGGACTACACTAGTCAAAAGCATCCCAAAATTAGAGGTGATCGATGGAGCGAAGGAGTTGAAGAACCTGAGTGACTGGATCAGATCGGGTGACATTTACGAAGATTCATTTCCCCTTCCGAATATTCTCCTCAGCCCGCTTGTTGTCATCACCCAGTTGACGCAATATGCAAATTACATCGAAGAACACCCAGAGCTACGGAAGTCGGATGACACAGAGACCCTGGGCTTTTGTACAGGTATTCTCAGTGCACTTGCTGTATCCAGCAGTGCTGACGAGGGTCAGTTCGCAAAGTATGGCTCGGTCGCAGTGCGCCTTGCAATGGTTATCGGAGCCATTGTGGATGCACAAGACGCACCAAGCGAACGGGGTCCTTCGAAATCACTTGCAACTGCATGGAACTCAGCCCATGGCGAAAATGAACTAAAGCGTATCCTGACCGAGTTTCCCGAGGTAAGCAAATGCCCTTTCACATATTGATTAGACTATTCTGACTTCCATAGGCGTACATTTCGGTGAGCTATGATCAGCGCCGCGCAACTGTCACAACATCGACCAAGACCATCGCGGCTTTACAGAAAGCTCTCCGTGGCGCTGGTATCATTGCAAATGAAGTTGGCCTCGTCGGCCGTTTCCACAGTGACTCGCACAGGAACGAAATCGATTCTGTCATCGAGTTTACCAATAGACAACCCAAATTCCAATTTCCGGAGTTGTCCGATCTACTTCTTCCGACGCGATTTACCAACAAAGTCAAGGATATAGCCAACGGCAAGCTTCATCATGCTGCTTTGCGCCAAATCCTGGTTGATAAATCGGAATGGTATCAGTTGTTTGAGTCTGTGCAAGAGACACGCTTGAGTGACAAGACTTCGCTCCTTCTTTCATTTGGCCCAGAGCGACCAGTACCTCCTTCCATCATGCGAGTGCTCAGCTCTCAAGTTGTTCATATCGCCGATGTGAGCGGAAAGACGGGCCAAGAGCCTGAGACCAATCCACATCTGATTGGTGATAATGATATCGCTGTCGTTGGCATGTCGCTCAAGGTCGCTGGCGCTGATGATGTTGAGGAATTTTGGGAGCTCCTTCTCAAAGGCGAATCGCAACACCAGGAGGTTCCCAAGGAGAGATTTTCATTTGAGACTGTCTTCCGAGATATTGACCCTAAGCGAAAGTGGTTTGGAAACTTCATTCGAGACCATGACGCGTTTGATCATAAATTCTTCAAGAAGAGTCCGCGTGAGATTGGATCGACAGACCCACAACAAAGGCATATGCTGCAGTGTGCTTACCAGGCCGTCGAGCAATCTGGTTACTTTCGATCAAAGAGCATCGATAAGAAGATTGGATGCTATGTTGGTGTTTGTGCAGCAGACTATGAGAACAACATTGCGTGTCACGCCCCGAATGCCTTCTCAGCCACTGGAAACTTGAAGAGTTTTATCGCTGGTAAGATCAGTCATTATTTTGGCTGGACCGGCCCAGGCTTGACTATTGACACGGCTTGCTCGTCGTCCGCTGTTGCTGTTCATCAGGCTTGCCGTGCAATCCTGAGCGGCGAATGCTCCGCAGCTTTGGCTGGCGGTACCAACATTATGACCAATCCACTTTGGTTTCAAAATTTAGCAGGAGCTTCTTTCCTCAGTCAAACTGGGCAGTGTAAGCCCTTTGACGCCAAGGCAGATGGATACTGCCGTGGCGAGGGTATCGCTGCCGTGTTCCTTAAGAAGCTTTCTTCTGCAATCGAAGACGGGGACCAAATTTTGGCAACTATCGCAGGCTCTGCTGTTTACCAAAACCAGAACTGCACTCCAATCTTCGTCCCAAACGCACCATCTCTCTCAGACCTCTTCCGCGATGTTGTTGGTCAAGCTCGCCTGGAGCCGAAGCAGATCACTGTCGTTGAAGCACATGGTACTGGTACCCCAGTTGGGGATCCCGCCGAATACGAAAGCATTCACAACGTGCTCGGTGGTACAAATCGAACAACAGCTCTTCAGTTTTCGTCCGTCAAGGGCTTAATCGGCCACACTGAATGTACATCGGGACTAATATCTCTTGTTAAGACCATTCTCATGATTCAAGAGGCCAGAATTCCCCCACAGGCCAGCTTCTCCTCTATCAATCCTCATATACACCATAGTCCGGACCACCACATGGAAATACCTACAAAGCCTTTGACCTGGAATGAGAATTTCCGCGCTGCATTAATCAATAACTACGGTGCTTCCGGTTCAAACGCTTCAATGGTGGTCGTGCAGGCTCCATTCACAGACAAGTCGGCACCAGCGGTGGAAGGATCCAAGTCCCCATTCTGGTTCACCGGTCCGGATGATCGCAGCTTGCGGGCTTACGCATCGCGATTTGTTAAGTTCCTACAGTCCAAATCTGTTTCGTCGAAGAACTTGACATTAAGCAATGTTTCCTTTAATGTGTCCCGCCAATCCAACAGAGTTCATGATAAGGGTCTAATCTTCAATGCTGCTTCTCTGCAGGAGTTAGAGCAAAAGCTATCGTCCTTTACCAATGGGCAGTCGGAGATTACATCTCAGTCAAAAGTTGCAATTAGACCTGTTATCCTCTGCTTCGGAGGTCAAGTGTCCACCTTCGTGGGTCTCGATCAGCAACTTTATGAGAACGTTACCATTCTTCGCCAACACCTGAATGACTGTGATGCCATAATAACTAAGCTTGGACAGAGCAGTATTTTCCCAGGAGTCTTTCAGAAAGCTCCTGTTGAGGATCCGGTGCACTTGCAGACAATGCTCTTTGCCGTTCAGTACTCGTCAGCCAAAGCTTGGATCGAGTCCGGCGTTGAGCCTGCAGCTATCGTGGGTCACAGCTTTGGAGAATTGACTGCTCTTTGTATCTCAGAAGCACTTGACCTTGAAGATACTATCAAGATGATAATCGGCCGCGCAAAGATTATTCGCGAAAATTGGGGTGCTGAGAAGGGCGCGATGATGGCAGTGGAAGGTGACCTAGACCAAGTTCAGAGCCTGCTTGCTGAGTCGGTCGTTGAAGGAGAAAAGGCAGCAACCATCGCTTGCTACAATGGACCTCGTAGCTTTACCCTTGCTGGGTCCGCGAAGGCCATTGAAGAAGTGGCCAAGACTGCATCCGCCGGTGCTTTCTCCTCGATGCGTACAAAGGTGTTGAATGTTACCAATGCCTTCCACTCTACTTTGGTAGATCCATTAATGGACGAGCTTGAAAAAGTAGGCAGTGAATTAACTTTCTGTCAGCCTACTGTTCGTCTAGAGAGGGCTACTGAGACTGGCTCCAGTGGATCCTTGACTTTCAAGTTCGTTGCAGAGCATATGCGCCACCCCGTCTATTTCAATCATGCCGTGCAGAGACTGGCTCAAGAATTTCCCTCCAGTATTTGGCTCGAGGCGGGATCCAATTCAACGATTACAAGTATGGCCAGTCGTGCTCTAGGGTCATCTGGGGAGCATCACTTCCAGGCTATCAACATCACGAATACTTCCGGCGGATTGACTAATCTCAGTGACGCAACAGTGAGTTTGTGGAAGAATGGCCTCGATATCTCCTTCTGGGCCCACAATTCCAAGCAAACCTACTCTTATGCACCGCTGTTACTGCCTCCGTATCAATTTGAAAAGGCACGTCATTGGATTGAGATGAAAAAGCCCCCCAAGGCCAGTACAGAGCCTACTGTTGTTGAAGTGGTGAAGACCACTGCGGAGGAAATCCCAAAAACTCTTTTGACTTTCGTTGGTCACCAAGATAGCCATCAGCGAGAACCTCGCTTCCGTATTAATACCATGATACCGAAGTATACAGAATTGATTACCGGTCATGTTATTGCTAATACCGCAGCAATTTGTCCTGCTACTGTGGAAGTCGATCTGGCAATCGAGGGTCTTCGAACTCTTTACCCAGATGTAACTGAAACAATGCAGCCTCAAATTCATTCAGTTGATAATCAGGCTCCAATCTGTGTCGATCCGTCACGCTCTGTTTGGCTCGAGTATCAAGCTCTCGATGACGCTGCTCATACCTGGAGCTTCAAGATCTTTAGCACTGGCTCTGGGAAAGCTGCAACGACCACTCATGTTACTGGAAAGATTGTTTTCCGAGGTTTGGATGACCCTCAATTCCAAGCCGACTTTGCTAGATACGAGCGTTTCGTCAGTCATGAACGTTGTGCAGCTCTACTAAAAGCGGAGGATGCGGACGATGTTATCCAGGGTCGTAACATCTATAAGACTTTTGGTGAGATTGTTGACTATGGCGAAGAATACCGGGGCTTGCAGAAACTGGTTGGTAAAGGTACTGAGTCTGCTGGTAGAGTTGTTATGAAGCCATCTGGTGAAACATGGCTGGACGCCCATTTATCCGATGCCTTCAGCCAGGTTGGTGGAATATGGGTCAATTGTATGACGGATCGTCAGCCGACGGATATGTTTATTGCGAATGGCTTCGAGCAATGGATCCGATCCCCTAAGGCGCGATCTAGCGCAGAGCGCCCCGCAACATGGGATGTGTTTGCTCTTCACCAAAAGCATGGCGACAAGGCATATGTTACCGATATTTTTATCTTCAATGGGATCAATGGCGAACTCGACGAGGTCATTCTTGGTATCAATTATGCAAAGGTTGCAAAACTTTCAATGAGCAAGCTGCTCAGCCGCCTGACGGCTACGGATAGTGGTGCTGGTTCTGCTGCTCCATCAGCAGCGGCCAAGTTGCATCCTGGGATTGCGATGGCTGCATCGGCTCCAGCCACATCGTCGAATGTTGCATCAATCCCTGCTGTGAAAAAGACTAAGAAGGCCCCAAAAACACCCAAAGCACCCAAGAAGAAGGTATCCTCTAGCCAACAGGACATCACGGGCAGAGTACGAGCAATGCTGGCAGAACTATCAGGCCTTGAGCCTGAGGAGATCAAAGAAGACGTCGAGCTTGCAAATATTGGCATTGATTCTCTAATGGGTATGGAGCTTGCAAGAGAAATCGAAAATATATTCAAGTGCTCCTTGCCAGAAGAACAGCTTGTGGAGGTGACCACGTTCCAAGGACTTTTGCAATGTATCCGCACCAACCTGCCAGCATCTACAGACGAAACCGAAGATGTTGAAGAAGAGGATGAGGATGAAGAGGATGACGACGATGATGATGACGAGTCTCTTGATGATGCGAGGGTGTTCACGCCATCCGATGCTGCTACTAGCGTTTCATCAACCAGCAAGGCAGATGTAATCGAGTTCCTCGTCGAGTTCTTGGGAATCGAGGAAAGCATTGTCACCAGAAGCACACTTCTTCGCGACCTTGGCGTTGACTCCCTGCTTTCTACCGAGTTGCGCGCCGATATCTCGTCCAAGTTCGGGGTCGATGTGCCCGAGGAAGTGATGTTGGAGGATCTGTCGGTGGAAGAATTTGACGTCCAAATCAACGGATCTTCTTCGGCAGGTGTGGCCTCAGAGCCTGAGGCACTCAAGTCTGCTCCGTCCATTTTGGCACCTGGTCCTTCCTCTTCAAGCGCGTCACGTGCCACAGGAGGCAACCTCGACCTCCCCGCCTCGACTCTCCTCGAGGCTTTCCACGAGACAAAAGTCCTCACTGACAAGTTCATCGAAGACTATCGCTGTGCCGGCTACATCGACACTGTTCTCCCCAAACAAGACCAACTCTGTATCGCCCTGGCTGTCGAGGCCTTTGAACAACTTGGAGTGTCGCTCAAAGCAGCTAAGCCAGGTCAGAAATTGGAGCCTATCAAGCACCTGCCTCAACACAATCGCCTTGCTGAATACCTCTACATGATGCTCGAGAAAGGCGCTCGCTTGATAGACATCGACGCCAATGGTACAATTACACGAACTGCAGTAGCAACCCCTACCAGGTCGAGCAACGATATTTGCCAGCAGCTGGTCAGGGATTACCCAGATCACAACTTTGCCAACAGACTCACGCAGTTTTGTGGACTTCGTCTTGCGGATGTCTTGACCGGCAAGATGGACGGTATCAAGCTCATCTTCGGGTCGCCTGAGGGACGCGAACTAGTCTCTGGCCTTTACGGTGATTCGCTCTTGAACAAGTTGGCGTACGAGCAGATGAAAGATTTCCTTCGCCGCCTTATATCCAAGTTGCCCAAGAACGAAGGCCCGTTGAAGATTTTAGAGATGGGAGCTGGCACTGGAGGCACCACCAAATGGATTGTGCCAATGCTGGCGGAGTTGAATTTCCCCATTGAATATACTTACACCGATTTAGCACCATCTTTCGTGGCTGCAGCACGCCAAAAGTTCAAAGCCTATCCCTTTATGAAGTTCCGTGTCCATGACATTGAGAAACAGCCTGCAGACGACTTACTTGGGACCCAGCATCTCATTCTCGCAAGTAATGCTGTTCATGCCACCCACAGTCTCACCGTATCTGCGCAAAACATTCGCAAGGCACTACGACCAGACGGCTTCTTAATGATGCTTGAGATGACAGAAACCGTATACTGGATTGACGTGATTTTCGGTCTACTCGAAGGCTGGTGGCTCTTTGAGGACGGGCGCCGTCACGCGATCGCTCATCAATCACGATGGGAGAAAGACCTAAAGTCGGTAGGCTTTGGACACGTGGACTATACTGATGGACACCGCCCAGAAGTTAATATTCAGCGCATCTTTATCGCGCTAGCTTCCGGCCAGAGGTACGACCGAATCCCTATCCCACCCAAGGCTGTTACGAATGAAGCTCCGAAAACTGACGTTGTGGCACGTGAAGCGGCCGTCAGTAAATATCTCCAGAAGGCAGTCAGCGGCTTCACTGCAATTTCTATCTCCTCACCTGCCCATCCAGTCATGTCAAATCAAGGCGTACTTGTCACGGGAGCGACCGGCAGCGTCGGGTCTCATTTGGTTGCCCACCTGGCCAATCTACCATCTGTCAAGACAGTCTTCTGTGTCAACCGAGTCAGTCGTTCAGATGCGCTAAAACGCCAGCAAGAAGCACTTCTGTCTAAAGGAATTATCCTGACTCCCGAAGCACTTTCAAAGTTAGTGGTGATTGAAACGGATACACACAAGCCTTTGCTCGGTCTTCAGCGCGGCGAATACGATCGTCTTGTCCGTGATGTGTCTCACATTGTCCACAACGCTTGGCCAATGAGTGGCAAACGGGCCTTGATGGGTTTTGAACAACAATTTGTTGTAATGAGAAACCTCATTAACCTAGCCAATGAAGCTTCAGCGAGCGGTCCTCGGAAAATAACCTTCCAGCTCATCTCTTCAATTTCCACTGTGGGCTATTATCCGATATGGAGTGGAGACCGCAATGTACCGGAAATACGTGTCGAAATGAACTCCGTGCTTGATAACGGATATAGCGATGCCAAACTCGTCTGTGAGCGAATGTTGGATGAGACGCTTCACAAGCACCCCGACAGATTCAGACCTATGGCCGTTCGATTAGGTCAAGTTGCGGGATCTAGCACAAGTGGTTACTGGAATCCAATGGAGCATTTTTCATTCCTGATCAAATCGTCACAAACGTTGAGGGCTTTCCCAGCTCTCGAAGGTGAACTGTCTTGGACACCTGTTGATGCGGTCGCTGGTACACTAAGTGATCTGATCTCAGGGGACCATAGACCATATCCAATCTACCACATTGACAACCCTGTCCGTCAGCAATGGCGGGACACAATCCCAGTACTAGCAGAGGCTATGGGTATTCCTTCAAGCAACGTCATCCCATTTAAAGACTGGGTGGGCATGGTGCGACGGTTCCCTGGGTCTGAGGTAGACAATCCTGCGGTGAGACTGATTGATTTCTTGGATGATAATTTCTTGAGAATGTCTTGTGGTGGCTTACTACTCGATACTACGAAGAGTCGTGAGCATTCCTCGACATTGGCAGCAGTGGGCCCAGTAACTGAAGATGTTGCACGACGATATATAAAAGCATGGAGAAATATGGGATTTTTGCATTGAAGCCTTTGACCTTAAATCATGTTTATGTTCTATTGCCAAAGAGTGTTCTTGATTCCTTTGTGTACCTAGATAGACCGTTGGATGTTGTTTTTTTTTTTCGTGGTGATTCAAATCATTTTAGCTGATAGACCAGTATTTCCTTGTTGTTTTGTATAAATTTATTGTTACATCCGTGAACATTCGCTTTCAATGTTTCTATACCAAAGTTGTGTCTTGTAGATTTCAGATGTTTGCTGTAGAAGTATTTAGTCATTTCTCAGCTCCCAACCGTCCGTACCTAGGGTTATCTATATTTCCCAAGTCTGCTTGTTTGATAGTTACGAGGACCTTCACTGTCAATCTCAAATCCGCATTCCTCCGATAATTATGGACATTTCTCGAAGCATGTAGAAGTCTTCTTACTGTAGCAAAAACTCGAACACTAGTATGAAAAAGTGGAAATTCAATATCACATTTCTTCGTAACGTTAATGCTACAAACACAAAAGGCATGCAAATTCCCCACACGGTGTCATACACTTCTTTAGCCTCTGTGATTGTTGTCAAATTCAGGACAAGCACGACAAATGAATCTTTAGTATGCAAGTATTGTGCCTTCTCATTGGCAACCCCAAAGACACTTGTGTAAGACTTGGGGGCTATCGGATAACGTTATCCTTCATTCCGAAGATACGTAGTCATATGGTAAGTAACGAAGTAGAACGAAGCATGAGCGACTTTAAGGGTGATATCCCATTGGTACGCCTTATTCAAGCGATGGCGAAGTATTCTGCGTTGGCGGCTAATCACCCCAAACCGACGAATACTTGAAAAATGATCTAGAAATAGTTAGTTTGACCGAAAATCTAGAACGATTTGGGGCCAAATCCATCCATTCCTGATGGTTCCAATCCCCAAATCCCCAAGCTAAACCCTTGGAGTCACCTAAAACATGAATTTATGCTTATATGTCTACCTAAACCTGTCTCAGTTAGCTTTATTTGGTTCAGTGGTAACAAGAATCTCCAGGTACAGGGATAATATCTGTGAATAATTCAACTAGCTATGACTACTGATATGTTCGTGTAGCGATATCTCCCGTCGAGTAAGACGCAGCCATTTCAGTGTATATAGTCTGCCTTTGCGTCTGGGAAGACCCAGATCCTTCAAAAGTTGCGATTTTACTGCGCGGATGACTCGGCTCCGAGGCCATTGCTATTGGTGGTCACTGGCTTAGAGCGAAAGTTTTGTTAGCTTCACAAGCCGAATAATTTAGCTGTTGCTGACACGTCTAGTGTAGTGGTCAAAGCCACCAGTGCTGTTTATTCAGTACCCTAGTACTTACTTTATACCGAAATGCGCTTTGCGCGAGGCCCACAAACGATATGCTTGTCTATTTCTAGTAAAGCCCGGTCAACATATAAATTGAACACATACAAAAAGCTCGTATTTGGAAGCATGGATGACCTACTTAGCTCCAATCTTAAGCGGCGTTGTGGATAATGCACTATACAGAAGACAATAGTGTGTAAGACTGCGACGCTGATATAGGTTTATCTAAACTCGTGTTGACTCCCTGGTAATGTCTTCACATACTTCAAAGCCAACTACTGAGATTAATTATTGCGTCCAGCCCACATCGCGAGTTTTGCCGTCATCGGAGGTGGTTCTAGCTTAAGCTATTGGGGTATTTTCCGACCGAAAATGCATATGATGTTTATAAAAGTTTAAGTTGACCTTGCTTGACCGTAAAAGGTAGGCGATTCGACTATCGGGTAGAATCGTTCGAAAAATTATTTTAAAATCAACAGGACCTAGAAATGCAGAATAGGTTAATTTCTCAAAATTTAGAGAAGATGAAAGTGGTGAAGGAGTAACTCGTATTGACCTTCGCTATACTCACTGTATGTCATATATATAGTGATAGTATTTTTAAACGGGAAAATGAGAAGGTCGGTCGAATCTTTCAAAGCAAGAGTTTATTATTGGTATCGAATATCATGTTGGTGTCATAAGATAATAATAGAAGCCATGTGAAAATAGAAGCATATACCCAGCCGTCTCACTAACGCCATTAATCCCTTTAGTCTTAGCAGTAACTTATAAATGGGGCATGAAACGTAAAAATCATGATAGAATGTGATATAATCGGTTAATAATGTCTCAGATTAGACATTACTGAACCCGTTATTTCCCATCCGCCAATGAAAATCTATCTGTCTATCATCTATTGTGTTTTGAAGGTCCAAAGACACGAGACCAGGTTGAGAGGCAACTTCAAACGCCGAGGGATCGAAGGATAATTGGGTACCATCTACGATGTCACATCCTAACGTGATGGGGTTACTGTTGGTCGAACTTGGACTGGAATCGGAGTCCAGAATTAATACAAAGTTCCGAGCGAGATTATTGACGGATTGTAGATTTCGCAGGGCTTCCATGATTTCATGGAGCTGTAAGTCGAGAAAAGAGTTGGCAGCATCGTCTCGGTGTAGCGTGAAAAACTCTGCGCAAATATAAAGACAAATTGGTGTAAATGGGTGTATCTAAGTATTTTAGTAAACGTGTATTGACGGTACAATATCAAGGTAGATATACCTTAGCTTGAGTGAAGAGAGATAGAGCTCTTGTGATACTGACAATCTCCCCAGCCGCCTTTACAGCTCGTTGTTTGTACTCAATCACGTTAGCCGAGGTAGTCGGAGTCTGACAAGGCATTAATTCGATGATTTTATAGAGGAACAGAATCGCAGTGTTGGCGACCATCTCAGTGAAAATAAGCATGGGATCGATATGCTGAGATGCCGGAGGATATTTCATCGTCAACATTGTGATCCTCTGAGTTAGAATGTTATCAATCCAGTGATGCCGGTCCCAGAAATCCTGGGATGTATGGCCATAGACACGCTCAACGGAGGCGCAATGTTTGTGCAGCAATGCTCTCCCGCAAATTGTGGCAAGTACAATGCATTCAGCAAAAGGCGACATGACTGTTGGAGTTGTCGCTGTGATCTCCTCGGAAAGAAATCCCATTTGTACATGCTGCACACTTTGAAACTCGGTATCACCGGCAGGCAAGCGAGTGAGAATCTATAAGGACAAGAGTCAGCATAAACACCAGATAAGTGGCCGAAGCTGTAAATCGAAAACGTACCACTTGTTCATTCAATGTCAGCGGAAGTCCATTCTGCACGCTAATAAATCGATCCAGTAAATATGCCATCCAAAAGGTTCGTCTCTTTTCCTCCAGCGTGACCCAGTCATCTGTAGTTGACGGTGATAGTATCCCACCAGTTCCATCAATTTCAAACAGTCGCATCAGTTGTACTAATCGAAAGGCACGACCCGCGCTAATCCAACCACGACGTGAATGACTCCTGGTAACCTCGTAGAGTACAAGTAGGATCCAAGCTTGGACTTGTTCGATCTCAAGGCCATCAACATCGCTATCTCTAGTATCAAGAACTTCCAGCATCTGTCGAGTCTCATTGTATAGCATGTCACAAACGCTCTGGAATTGCCTGGAGCATGAAGCTGCCAAGATCCACATGGTGTATTGTAGGCACGTTCGTGACATAGATTGCCCTGGTACTCTAGCCCAAGAGAAATATCGTCGCTGGTGAAGCATCGGAGCAATGGGGTGGATTCTATCAAAATATGTTTGATCACTATTCCCTACGTTAGGTGTGCAAGCCTATGTATGATTCATTGGACGCTGTTGCTTACAGTTCGGCTCGCATCCATTCCGGTATCCTAGATCCAGCTGTGTCGTGATCAGGCTGTGCAAGAGGCTGTTGACTTTGTTGCTCTGTGTTTTTTTCTATGTCAAGTGATGTTCTCTCTGGGGTTTCCTCTGTTACTTTCAAAGGTTCGGAGGTAATCGAGTTGTTTGTCTGTTCAGTTAGCCGGCTTTCTAGAGCGGCTATTTTCACTCTGTTAGCGTGAATGTCGGTTCCAAAAACACTTCTTGAGAGACCAGAAGTTTTCCATACCAACACGATTTTGAAGTGCTTTAAATTGACCTCTCTTAGGTCCTCGAGGTGGTCGGAGAGGGGTGATATGGCATTCTACTCCGGTTTCTGCACAGACGCCACATCGAGGTTGTTGACGATCACAACGTAGTTTTCTTCGCCGACATTCTTCACAGGCTGATCCAGGTTGTTGTCGAGGTCGGGGAGCCGTTCCTTGGTCAGAGCCAGGGGAGGAAGACATTATGTAATGGAAGCCTTGTTAATGTACGCGATGATCTGTTTTCTCAATTCCGGATGTGTTATGAAGTTTGGAAAGTCTCTATAGATATGGCGCAGTAAATTAACCTTGACCAGACAGGTGCCAGTAAGACTTTATAAGCTGTTATATAGAGTGCTGCAGGAAGTGAAGCTAGTAAGGTTCCAGAAGGTGTTTAGTTTGGCAGCCTGAAGTACGGCTGAGCTGATCATTACCATAAACCTTTAGCTTGGAACGCGGACAATGTACTCATAACATCTTTTGGGGTCCTCGCGTATCCCACGTGGATGGGGTGAACGTTCGTAGTTCTTGAGATGATCCTGGCCTCTGACAAGCAGACACCCCGTGAAGATTTGCCCCTCATATTACCTTAAGTGCTGCCCGCACGCGGTACGGAATATTACCACGCTCGAAGGATCTAGTGGTATGTTTGTAAATATGGCGCTAGAAAAATACAATATATTTCTATAGAATGTTACCGCATAAGATTAAACTATTCACCACATGCGGTTAGCAAGGAATGTAAGGGTCAACGTGAAGATACAGATCGGTAGCGCCGAGCTTGGGATACGAGCCTGCGATTCATGATGATATGGATGATTATTTTATTATTGTCTCAGAGTGACTTTCAAGCTGATCACTGACTCTCTTATCCACCAACCGCATCGAGATTTTCGTGTTCATATCAGCACCGCTGGCCCCATGGCAAATGCGGTATGACAACATAACCGATTCGCAGATTTGCTTACAGAACAGCAAGGACCGGGCTGTACAAGATATTTATATAAGAGTTTATTCTATAGTTACAGGTCCGTAAAGCTAGATATGGTCTAATTATACTATGCCCTTGAGCATCAACACATACATATTTAGGAATGAATATTAGAATGAACTAGTTTGACGTTTCTAATGTAGCAATAGATACCTTAAGCGTACCCCGTATTCTAAGCCACTCAGCATGTTTTGAAATTTTTCAAATAGATTCTCACCCAATTTCAGGCAACATATAAACCAGTAATTGAATGCAGATGAAGTGAGCGCGCCTTACGAGGGCTCCACTGTTGGTTTCGTGGTCCAGCTGCCGGGTAGTTGGCCCTATTGTGAATCTCTAAAAAATCTCCGCGAATCCGGAACTAGAAATGCTCCTTTGGAAGGACATCAAGTCCAAAATACTTTTTCTAATTTAATATGTTGGGCGTCTGGCTGATCTGCATCGCCATGTAGTCGAACTCAAATTAAATTAGAGACAACTCATATCACGATCAAATGCCCGGTGCGTCTTGGGATAGTCAGAACTCAATCGAAATATAAACATTGAAATGACAACATTCGAGTTGCTTTGAATAAAACGAAATTGTATGAGAGACCGAACTAAAATCTTCCGTTGCCACTCTAGCTTATCATACGTTACGGCTAGACCGAACAAACTACTCCCTGCTAAATCTATGCTCCACAAAGATAAATGGCATTTATCGGATGTGTAACAAGATATCGGGCGTAACAGTGGCTTACGGGATGAGGAGCATCATGATATGGCGAGTACACGTATCATTAACAAATCCGAGCTTGCATAATTCGATACGAAGTATATACAAAAAGGCCGCTCGAGGGGCCGTAGACCAATTGAACGTACCAGCAACCGAGTTTAGATATTGGTTCTGCTGCATGTACTTCGTTTATTTTGCTCAATTTCTGACTTGATGCGCTCATTCGAAGAGAACCAGGATGGATGACATTTAAACTTTGCACAGCTTGCAAAGGATCTGCTGGTTGTCAGCTAGCTGGCTTGCTCTGCATGTATGCGCCACGAGCACATTTATCAGGTGAGTCAACCACCTCCCTAGGCAGGTATTTGATGCAGGGTATCAGCTTGGAATACGAAGGTATCCAACTAAACGGCGAAAGGGCCCCAGCACTTGGTAACCTACCATTACAGACTGTACAGATCACTTCCGTGCGCATTCAGCGCAAGTTGACGAGGAGCGAGACGTATCGGCTAGGAATGGAGCCTAACGAAACATTCAAAGCTCTCTTAATTCCGTCTAGTAGACCAATCAAGACTATTAATTTACCTGCAAGTTGTTATATTGATACGACTCATACGAGCAAAATACGCGATATACGGTAACCGATCTCGGTCCACCGTGTGGTTCTATATCCACTGTACGTATTAGCGCCCGCAGGCTTAAATGCTTAAAGAATGGCCGCCCTTCAGCCACTGGAAAGCGGGTCTAGTAACGATATCTGTAACATTACAAAACGTCTCTGGTAATTTAGGTACGTTTTGATACTGAGCGGGCCGCCGGGATTCTCGTTAAGCCGAGAAAGCCCCACTGAGCGCGGAGGTAAGGGCGGAGCATCGGATGTGATCCATTCAGCCTAACATTCCACATCAAATAACCCTTCAATAATTGTTACGCGTTTTGATATCCACATGAGTAAGAGCTCACTTAGTGTCATTAGGTTTAAACTAGATGATGCATACTACTATTACTCTGACTCAAGTGGAAGGTGCCAGCGACTCGTCAGATAGCTACTTACGCGGCGCCCCAGCACTTCTCCGCCTGGAAAAGCAAGTAACAACCTCATTCTGGCCTCGGCCGTTCGTAATGGTGAGACTAGGGGCCGGACATTCTAGACTGGGGAGCCTTATCATCGTGCGACCTGAACGAGCACGAATTAGGCTATTACCTGACTGTACAGGATCCCTGCCGAACCCTGATCTTGTATATATTCATGCTCTACGTGTTGCCAAGGCTACCAGGTATGTAGGAAACACTCACCCGGTTGAAAATATACCAGCAAAAGGCCGAACTCTTCCGTGGTATTGTTCAACAGATACGATATTCAGCGGCTAAAACACCCTCTAACGATACGAGCCAACACCCAGAGGGTATAATAGAGGGGCTTGCACATAGGTACTGCATTCTTACCGCTGGTAATGACCTGATTCTCAAGGGGCCAAAGAGCCGGAGGTCCGCTTGTATGCCTTTTAGCCCCATAATCATCTATGAACAGCGATTTCTTTTGTTTGACAAATAGATGCTGTGTCTACGATTCATAGAAACCATTCGGTGCCCGGCACACAGCTTAAAGGAGGCCGCAAGTTATCAGCCGTGCACATTGCTAGCATAGGGCTTGTCGATAAGCTATGTTTCGTGGTTGCCCGAAATGGTAAGTCATTTAAGGATTGAGTCATGAAGCCTACTTCGACATCTCATTGCCCCGGCCAGCCCGCACGTATATCGTCAATGAGAACAATGCCCACTGATAGCACAATTTTCTATATTCTCATGATTAATTTCCGTTTGCAAGAACTCCTGAGCACGTGTCCTCATTCAATACAAGATAACCACAGTAAAAACAAGGCGAAACAAGCAGATGATAGGGAAATAGTTACACCAATAAAAACAGTTCTATGCGCGTGCAATAAAACATTGAAAGTCTAAACTGCAACCGGTCCGTGTATCAATTCCCCCAAGATAGGGCTTTTGGTCAACTCCAGCGCTTCCAGCAAGTAATCGTCGTCAATGGAGAAGGGTCTCGCCATTACGTTAGGAATCCACTTCCCCAGAATACGGTCCAAGTGTATGTTCTCTTCTGGGATTCGTCGCTGTAGGATCTTTCTATACGAGGCCACAGATTGACGCAAGAAAGAAGAGTGGAATGGAACATCTATCCCTGGGATGGGAATCGTGCCCTTACCACGCTTCAGTCGAATGGGGCTGGGTAATTTTTGTGCTTCAACAAGGTTGACAGCTAGCCTTTGGCCGATCGTCGTTGCAGAAAGATCGTCCTTGGTAGTCATGATTTCGCCCACCATTTCTGCCCCGTGGGGGGCCGTAGCCAGGTAGCTTAGGACATGTTCAAGAACATGCAGATTTTGTAGCTGGAAGAAAAACAAATTCCGTCAGCACTGTGTCTCAGACGATTAAGTTTCCTGGAGATCTGAGTTCAAACTTACTGTTCCCGCACAAACGTATTGCTCATTCTCTACGTTCAGGTTCACAATTTCGATCAGCTCGCCACTTTGATGTGCAATCATGCGAACTAATTGCCGCAAGGAAGTCTCGCTGAAAACTAATGACAGGGTTAGAAAGTTCGCATATTAATAAGGAGTTTGACGCTTGCGTGGCTCACATTTTCCTATACGCTGGGGATTGGCTGCAACCATGCCATAATTCGTCTCTCCATTCGAGTCTCTCTCCATGGCAAATTGTAGAGATAGGCCACGATAAAATGCCAGTTCCATCAATTCTCTCGTAGTCATAAACCCAGAGAATGCTAGAAGGGCTCCGTATTCGCCAAGTGAATGACCAGCAAAGTACGGACTCGAAGGAACTAATCCCCGACTTTTCATGTCTTCAAACATGATCTTTTCGACCAATACGATCGCAGGCTGTGCGAAACTAGAGAAGAACAGCAATCCAGATGGGCAGGAGAATGTGTATGAACGAGAGTCGCGTGTCAATCCAGGTAGCAATGTCTTTCTGATTGTGCGACCGTCTGGTGTCGTAATTTCTGTCTCCATGGCTAGATAGTTTTCGCGCAGTTGTCGTCCACGTTTGCCTCCGAAATGAATGGTCATGCTCTTCGGATTGTTTGAAATGATGTCAATGACCGACCACCCTATGATTAGTAGTTAATGAAAGTCCGATACTAATTTGTTTTCGGAGTCGTGTACTTACCAAATCTTTCGAAGATATGGGCATCGATCTCATCCCAAATACGCCGAGCCACTTCGCTAGTCTTGTATAGCTCCATACCCATACCAGGTAGTTGACTTCCTTGCCCTGTAAAGAAGAAAACGGATTGAGGCTGATCAACTTCCGCCTCTGCTTCCAGGACTATGTTTTCAGTGTCAGCCTTCAAAGCGGATACCTTGAATACTAGTCGGCCATCGATAGCTCCCACGTGCTTCAAGCGTATCACGAGTCGGTCGCCAGGGAGAACCATATCGGTGAAAGTCGAAGTGAATTTTCGTAGTCGATGTCGTTCGCCCTGCAAAGATAGATGTTCGACTGCATTGACAGCAATGGCAGAAGTGAACATTCCTTGACTGATAGTGCCGGGAAGTTCGGCCCAGTGTGAAAACACTGATGACATATGAATTGGATTGTAGTCTCTAGAGACACGAGTGTACATCTCGTTAGTAGTAGGCATTTGGACTTCTAGCGATGATACTCCAGCCCAACCGGGACTTGTGAGGTCGCTCTTTGCAGCGGCTGATGTTCCCTTTCTCTGTAAGAAATCCATGACTGGATTGCCGACGCATTTTCCATGTTCAAAGGTCACGCTGCCTATCTCCTGAATCTGTCCCAAGCTGTTTCTTTGAAATATTTGTCCTGATACTTTCAACGTGTCATATGTTATTTTATCTTTCCAGGTCACTTCTGAACACAAATTAAATAGCAAAGTCTTGCCGATGAGAGACAGGAATGGATTTTCTAGATGGAACCAATCGCGATCCTTGAGAACAGCCTCATCTTGCTCTGAAGCCACTTCAAAGATGATATCTGGCTCATCTGTAACTTTAAATGTAGATTGAAAGTCGTCAAAGGCACCTTTGAAGAGGAAAGTTGATGTGACCTTCATCACTGGTTCGTTATAGGAAAGAATATGTCCTTCGACTGTCACATACTTTCCGGCGTCCTCAATGTAAATAGCTCTAACATTGGCTTTTGCCTGAATAATATCTCCCACGCAAAGAGCCGCCGTTTCTTTAACGTACTCGAATGAGTTCGACTGGTGAACAAGCCTTAGAAGATCTCCGGGGACAGCTTTCAAAACGATAGGTTTGGCGACGGCATCCCACGCAGCAACTATGCCAATACTAATAGGAAACGTGTCAGACTCGCCGACAATGTTCTTTCCATGGGCATGTGTTCGGCCAATTGTATTAGCCAGATCTTCAAGCATTTCTGCAGTGAGAGTCATCTCTGGGCCCCAGATTGTTGAACGAACATTATCTGTAGAAGCAGTAACGTCTTCTCCGAACCACACCATGCTATAAAATGTTTTGATACAGTCATCACGTCTAGCCGTAACTTCAGCTATGCTGTACGGTGTCATTGCTTGGTCGTAACGAAAAGCAAGCGGTAGAACAGTTGGTTCCTTGCTGTGAAAGCCAGGGAAAGAAAGTTCCACAGAGATGTCTATGTCGTTTTGCGAGGAGATTTTCACGACGGACTTGGTCTTTGAGCTGTCTTCATTTTCGACGAATATGGTAATTAGTGATGTTTCAGGATCTACTTCCACAGTGCCTTTGGACTCCCGGTGAATCAGACGATGGAATGGATTGATTTTGCGATCGCGGCCGCGTAAAATATACTCATCCGTGAACAAGGAACGAATCCAAGGGTTGCCCATCTTCACGAGAATAAGTACCGTAGATAATAAAATGTCTTCAACACCACCGGCGAGACTATCAATAGGGGTAAGCGATACATTCCTAGTATCGGATTCGGGTGTCGCTACAGACCAGCTCTCGGAAGAAAGGCTAGCAATTTCAGGTTGTTTTATTAACCCGCCTGGATAGAAATCCTCTTCGACCTTCCTGATCAAACCCTGGTTGATCTGGTCAAGGATTTCTTTCACGGTCTCATCATCAGATTTGCAGTATCGAGCAGCAACAGGTCCATGAAGGATACAACATCGACCAGCATCCTGATCTATGACAGCATCGATATCCTCAGATTGCCACAAAGAGTCTTTCTTGAAGAATGTTTCAAAATCCTCATCAATTATAGGGATGAAGTTGACAGGTTTCTGACCACGCTTCTTGCACCGCAGGATGAAGTACTTCGCATCTTCTGGGTTAAGAAACTCCGTGGAAGCAAGAGGACAGCAGCGGGCAAATACTTCAAGCATATGCTGAGGATTTTGTAAAGAAGCTGTTGTAATCTCAATATCACCCTTTGCCGGAAGTCTTTCTAACGTCCGAGCTGCAATGTCCGCAACAAAATTTACGTAAGAAGGTGCAATCCAACGTTTCTGGTGAGCGACGTACATGAGAGATACCAGCCGGCGTAAGACCTCCATGTATGTCATTTCTGATATCTCTGCAGGTTCTCCTTGCGAGTTCTGACCAAACCATGGTTTAGCAAAGTCTGCGTTCAGTCTTTTAACGATATATGACTTCTTTTTCAACAATGCCTCGAGTCTATTTTTTCGTGGTAGGCTGAAGATTGTCTTGTCAAGCTCATGCCAGAAAAGAACACCTCTTGTGGCGATCTTATGAATAGGCTGACCCATCTCCGAGATAACAGTAATGACACCTCCTGCAGCGCCTTCGTAGGTCTTCTCCCATTCTGTCTCGGGAACTCCGGGAGCTTCGATAATTAACTTCTTCGCTGCAAGAGACGTGTGCGCCTCGCGAGCAACCATCATGCGACTTCCAAGAAGAATGCCATCAAATGGCATTCTAGGGTATCCAAAACGAGTGGACCAAATTCCAGAGAGATATGGATAGCTGTCTTCATAGCTCCCAAATCCACTCCCAGCGACTAGAATAATGTTTGGACATTTGCGAATGCTGCTATATGTACGAAGGATTGGTGCATGGAAATCTTCATAGGAATGATGCCCACCTCCTCGACCGCCCGTCCACTGTAAAATGATTGGAAACTGTGGCTGTGCTTTTGCAATTTCTAAAACCTCGCGGATAGCCGATATGGAACCAGGCTTGAGAGAAATGTGTTTCAAGCCCAGGCTAGTTATGTAATCAGTCATGATCTCTTGCGAGGGTACTCCGGCACCTATCGTCAGACCGTCGACGGCGACACCTTCTTTGGCTAGTCTGCGTAACATGGAAATCTGCCATGTCATGGCTTGTGGGCTTGAGTAAATCAAATTACAAGTAATGCCCCTTCCAGCTGGAACACTATTCTTCACTTTTTCAATAGCGGCAGACATCTCTCCTGCATTGAAATAGCCACCGCTTGCAAGCTCAACATGGTATCCCGCATTCATGACTGCAGAAACAAAGTCCCACGGTACTGTTGTCGGCGTCATTCCGGCAACAAAGACAGGTGGGACTCCCAACAGTTTACTGAGTCGGGTCTCCAATCGCAGTCCTCCAGAGGTAGGTTGTACGAGACGAGGCTGGAATTTCTCTGCCCAGCTTTCGACTTTGGTTGATGTAGGGAGAAAGCATGGAGAAAATATATCCATCTTACTTCCAATGTCGGCGTCCCGAGTTTCGAGATCAGATCCGCTGATGACCCTTACTCCTTTGCCATCGAGGAGTCTCATGATTAGGTCTGGCACACCACCGCTACCAAACGTCAAGATGTGGGTCGCAGTCGATGACTGAAGTACTGCTGGCCAGTCACAACAATCAACGCATATTGCATCAATGAGATTATCTAGCACGTTCGTCCCGTGTGGTAGTTCGCGCAAGTCGCGGCCGTTTCTGTTGTCGTGGACAGGTATTTCGAGCATTTCGGGGGATATATTTAAGGAAGACAGGTGCTCCTTTATTTTTTGAGCGGGTATTGACAAATACTCGGTGTGAAATGGTACAGTTATTGGAAGAAACTGATGCTGGATTATGGGTTTGCGCTTGCTGTGAGGTACACGATTTTGATCGATCTCCGGATCTGCCTTGATTGTTCGAAGGTAGGTGTCGAGTGCTGCCAGAGATTTGGCGGGACCGCCAACGACGAAATTATCCCTTGTGTTGATGAGGGCAACACCAATTTGACTCGTAGTTGGAAGTGACTTATTTATTATGACCAAGATTCGGTCGAGACGAGATCGTTCCAACCCAACGACGCTCAGCATGCATGAGGGTTGACCCGAGCCGTTGCTGACACTATCTTCAATGACTGAAGGTGACAGAGATGATCTCGGCGAGCCCTGGTTGCATTCAAATCCGATCCAGAAAAGACTTTCTACTGCCGTCAATGCAGCGCCGTAAAACGATTCCCATGAGTCAGAAATGGCTATGGCGACAGCTACTACAATCCCCTGAGAATGACCTGTAACGCCTTGGAGCAAACTTCGAAGATCACCTGGGGTCATGCCCAGAACCTTACATGTTACACAGTAGTGTGCAAGACTCAAGAGACCGACAATTGGGCAACTGACTGTCACACCGGAGACAAAGTCAGATCCTGGTACTTGGTCAGGATCGCGTAACCATGCTTGCAAGTCAAGGTATCGGCCACAGTAATATTCGCGTGTCTGAGGCAATCGGGAAAGACGACTAAGCAAAGCCCCAATAGCGTCGATGAGGTCTTTTAAAAACGGCGTATATGTCGAATAAAGATCAAAAAGCTCTTTCACGCATGTCGCGTTCGCTGTGCCTTGTCCTCCGAAGACGACATATGGCTTGATATGCCCGCTTTTTGCGACGCTTAATAACGCACTCGGTGCAATGTTTGTGGGCTCTGAAATGACTAGGGTGACAGCTTTGTAGTATGTGCTGAGCAATCTGTTTCGTGTCGGCTGATCGAGTTGTAAAGAATGTATAATCGAATGTATTTCAAAATCGAAGAGGTACTTGTTCTCGAACCCCTGGAGGAATGATCGAGTGGAGGAAGACACACCGCTGTTGTCTAGAAGATGCTGAAGAAAATTCAACGCTAATTCAATCTCCGAAGTAATTTGTGGTCGTGAAGCAGAGGTTTGTGCCAGCACAAACAAGTCTCTTTGATCCTTCAGTTGCTCTAAGTCTTCTCCGCTAACGAAGATTGTACTTTGAATATCATCGAGATGAAGAGAGAACTGTCCGTCTGGAACACCAGAAAATTTCTCTGATGAAGGCGTATCCATGGTTTTCCCCTAGGTGTTGAGAATCATCAAAAAAAAAGGCAGTTTAAACCGTGTGTTTGTATGAACCAAGTAAGCTATAACGTTCGAATGTAGTTGGTATGAGGGAGAAAAGCAGATCGATATTAGCTTTTCATCAAATGACAGCTATTGTTACATGCAAACCATGATCTTAGAAAGTCTCAATTCTGCTTTCTTCACGTGAGATCAAGTTAGGGGCTGCGAGTACCACGTTTCTCCGTCTGTAACACAGATAGAGGCACCGACACACTCAGCTTCACTGAACGCTCTTTGAGGACCACTTACATGCACAGCGACCACTTCAACGCAATACTCCGTATATCGCTACTTATTTGGACTGTCATTCAGCTATAGGGGCTCAAAATACAAGCATCTACAGCTCGGCACGTGGTGGTTCGAAGAATGTTCCACTGCAGTTAGCGCTCGCGTGTCCCTTACAGCATCAGCCACTGTTCATGAATATGTCCGACGGGCCGGAGTTCTATTCCTTCCAAGTATTTACCAGTGAAGCTCTATACTGTTATTGAGACATGTCGCCCTTCTTCGGCTTCAGCCTAGGGGCCGGGTCCGGAGTTTGTGTACCCGGAGTTTTTGCTGATCCGACCCCAAGCAACAGACAACAGCTGCTAACGCACCCAAGATATTTCCTAGAAGTCTTCTAGAAGCAAAGCCCAATTGAACGTCTGTGGTTTTAATGGGTCAGAAATAGATGGGGTCAAGTATACAGGGTTACTCTATCTAAATATGTACTAAGCTCAATGATTGGCGATTATGCTACAACTAAATACCAATATGAGGGAAGACGAGATCTATCAAGTGTCTCTTAATAGCACTCATTTGTTTCTATCTTGCATTACACAAAACACTAATTCTTTTAATATTGAATTGGCTTTCGTGACTATTTTTATATTCGCTATTAGACTGTGTTCATTTATCTTTAGGTTGCATGTGTATGAAATGCATTGAGCTTGATCAAAGCAAACTTCGGCTACCATCACCATGGCGGGCAGCAATCGAGATATCCAAATTATTGCCAAAAAGCAGGCCAGAAGTCCTGAAGATGAAAGAGCGATTGCGCACACCCTGCTCATAGAGCTCCTATCGTGAGTACTTACAGCTGGACTATGTGTAATAGCCCATCACGAATACGAAGCTAACAGAACATGCAATTACAGATATCAGCTTTCACTCCCCGTTCGATGGTATGATTTTCTGGGGTTATGCTAGACCTTCTTATTGATATATTGTAGGATCGAAACGCAGAAACTCTTGTTCGATGCTCCTGAATCTGTCAAAAAATATGTCGAAATTGGTGCCAAAACAACCCTGGCTACTATGGTCAAACGCATGGCAGATCGACAACCGGTTACAGAGAAATTATACAAGTCTATGGAGTTCTACTCTTACAGTGATCAGAAAGCGGATTTATTTTACGAGTATAGCCCAGATGCAGAGATACAACCTCAACCGTCAAAACTACCAGAGGCCCAACAACCTACATCAAAACTTACTGCTGCTGCCCCTAACACAAATACCGCTGCCCCTACAACCTCTGTTTCTGTCAAGCCTCCCATCACACAACCGAGCAGCTCGTCGTCTCCCAGAAAACCATCCGAAGCAATTCCAAACCTTTCGCCTACTTATATTGTCATAGCACTGACCGCTCAAAAAGTCAAGAAGACCTTTGATGTCTTACCGACACAGAAATCTATACAAGAACTGTCTGGCGGTAAGTCATTCAGCCCAAATCCAAGCTACACTCAGGGCCTCCTATGCTTCCTCGATCCAAGGCGGAAGAATGCTAATTTAAATGCAGGTAAATCAACCCTTCAAAATGAATTAATGGGCGACCTAGGCGTGGAATTCACTTCTGTCCCTAGTGGGGGTGAATACATGCCGTTAGAAACTCTCGGTGAAGCTCTTCAGCAAGGCTTCAATGGGAAGCCAGGAAAACAAATGTCGACACTCATATCAAAGTTTATATCGAGAAAGATGCCAGGCGGTTTCAATCAAGCGATGATGCAGAACCATGTTGAGACTCTCTGGGGTTTCAGCAAGGAGAACTCAATCATACCTGTGTGCTTTTCAATTACTATGGAGCCTTCAACTCGTCTTGAAAATGCGGATGACGCCAAACAGTTTCTTGATGATGTTGTGAATCGATTTGCATCATTCGCGGGAATTTCGCTATCTCCTCAGTCATCCGGTGATGGCAGTGCATCCGGTCAATCAGCTGTTATGGTCGATTCTACTGCTTTGGACAGCCTACGACAAGACCAACGAGACTATCAAATGAAACAATACAGACTTCTTGCAAAGCAACTGCAAATTGAGGGCCAAGCTAGCGAGGAGCTGGAAAACTTGATATCTTCAACAAAAGCCATGGAGGACAAACTTAGCCGGTGGGCCACCGAGTTTGACGATAATTTCTTCGACGGCATCGGATCCCTTTTTGATCCCAGGAAAACCAGGCAATACGACTCCTCATGGAATTGGGTCCGAGAAGAGACTGTTCGCTTGCTCAACCAGCTTGCGCTTGGTCAAATAGACTATCATGACCAGGCCCTCTTGCAGATCACCCAGAAATGGGATATCAGCTGTGTGGAAATTGCAAAAGACTTTCTTCAAGGTATGGAGAAGGCGAATCCGGAACTCCCACTCAAGTTGAAAGGATATATGCGGATTGATTCATCTATCCTGGGCGTACAACCTGTTTACCGATATTCTGGAAGAACCATGATGCCTCTAACTTACGTTTCCACTACCACCGGTAATATCGAATACAAAGAACTGCCACGAGAAATAACTGAATATGTCTCATTTTTGAAGCGTGGTCGAACTAATGTGCATGGAGAGGTTGTCCCTTATGTGCATCTCAAAAAACGACAACCAGCGAACGGAGAATTCAGATATGACACAGTGTCAACTAAGGCGCTCATGGAAACGTTGGAGTTGGGAACCAGATCTGGCATTACATATGTCACTAAGTCGTTCCTAGTAACAGGTGCAGGACCAAAGTCCATTGGAGCCGGTGTGGTTGAAGGGCTGCTGAGTGGTGGTGCAAAAGTCATTGTTACAACCAGCCGCGATATTTCAAAATCGGCAGACTTCTTCGCCAACATGTACCGAAAGCATGGAGCCCAGGGTTCGTCTTTAACTGTGATACCGTTCAACCAAGGTAGCAGGAAGGATTGTGAAGAATTAATCGAGTACATATATGGGGCTGATTCACCTGTCGGAGGCGATATTGACTACATTGTGCCCTTTGGCGCGATCCCAGAGAAAGACGATATTAGCAACCTGGAGAGCACGACCGAACTTGCACATCGTGCAATGCTTACAAACATTATGCGAATTATTGGTTTGATCTATAAGAATAAAAGGGACCGCCGCATCGATTCTAGACCAACAAATGTCGTTATCCCTTTGTCCTTTAATCAGGGTGGCTTCGGAGGTGACGGACTTTATCCGGAATCTAAGCTCGGTCTGGAGACTCTATTCAATCGTTTTTACTCTGGAAACTGGCAGAAATACCTCACAATTACTGGTGCAGTAATCGGTTGGGTACGGGAAACAAGTCTTTCTCAGGCTCTAAGTCTAGTCGGCTATGCAATTGAGCAGATACCAGATCTCAATGTCTGTACATTTTCCAGAGCTGAGATGGCGTTCAATATCTTGACTTTGATGACACCTGCAGTTACAGAACTGGCAGAAGATCATCCAGTATACGCTGATTTGACTGGTGGTGCCAAGGAAATAACAAATATCAAGGACATCATGTCAGAGTCGAGGGCCAAGTTTACAAGCCAGAGTAACATTCGACGAGCACTTTTAGCGGAGAAATCTAGAGAGCTGAATGTCCTAGCTGGTGGTGAAACGTCTGCCAAACAAAACTCTACCACCGTGCCCCAGACTCGACGTGCAAATTTGAATCTTCGGTTTCCTCAATTGCCTGGTCATGCGGATCTAACAGCAGATATCGCCAGCCTAGAAGGGATGATCGATCTGTCACGAACAGCGGTGGTGGTCGGATATTCCGAACTTGGTCCATGGGGTAACGCCCGCACACGATGGGACGTCGAACATCTAGGTGACTTCACTCTGGAAACCTACGTGGAAATGGCATGGATCCTAGGCTTGGTAAAACATCATGAAGGTGAAGTCAATGGGCAGGTGTATGTAGGCTGGGTTGACGCGAAGACCAAAGAGCCTGTTCGTGAAGATAACTTCAAACAATTATACGGGGAGCATATCAAGAAGCACTCCGGTATTCGGTTCATTGAACCTGAATTACTAGGAGGATATGACCCAGCCAAGAAGGAGTTCTTACAAGAGATAGTGGTTGAGGAAGATCTCCCGTCCTTTGCAACATCCAAAGCCAGTGCAGACGCGTTCAAGCTTCGCTTGGGAAATAAAGTCTCAATTGAGCCTGTATCTGGATCGGATGAATGGCGAGTGACAGTACGTCAAGGCGCTCATTTCATGTTGCCGAAGTCGGTGCCTTTCGATAGAGCAGTTGCGGGCCTTCTGCCAAGTGGATGGGATCCTATCCGGTATGGCATTCCAGAGGATATTGTACAACAGGTCGACCCCGTCACCCTGTATACACTTTGTTGTGTTTCTGAAGCGCTTTTATCTGCTGGTATCAGAGACCCTTACGAGTTCTACAACCATATTCATGTATCCGAGTTGGCCAATTGTATCGGTACCGGAGCCGGTGCCATGTTGGCTGGTCGTGGGCTATACAGAGATCGATTCCTTGACAGACCAGTCCAAAGTGACATATTGTCAGAATCTTTTTTGAACACCACAGCTGCCTGGGTCAACATGTTACTCTTTTCTGCATCAGGACCGATTAAGACACCGGTTGGTGCCTGCGCAACTGCAATTGAGTCATTGGAAATGGGCTGCGAAGCGATCAAAACTGGTAAATCCAAAGTCGCGATTGTGGGCGGATACGACGACTTTCAGGAAGAAGCATCTTATGAGTTTGCCATGATGAAAGCAACAGTCAGTAGTGAGGAAGAGCTGGCGAAGGGCCGCCGACCAGAAGAGATGTCCAGGCCGAGTACTAGCACTCGCAGTGGCTTTGTCGAGTCCGCGGGTTGTGGTGTGCAAATTGTCACGAATGCAGAACTTGCAATCAAGATGGGGATTCCTATTTATGCCGTCGTTGCTTACTCACAAATTGCAGCCGACCAGAATGGACGCTCCATTCCTGCTCCTGGTCAAGGTATTCTAACAGCCGCCCGCGAAAGGACTGATCGTCATGACTCCAAACTACTCGATTTGGCGTACCGACGAAAGCTCTTTGACGAAGATATTGCCACCATCGACAAGTGGTGGCAGGAAAAGAGCCAAACCCCGGGTATATCAGAGTCTGACTTGAACGAAATCCAGGCTGCGGCGCGCAGCAAGATCAAACAGTCGCAATACATGTGGGGTAATGAGATTAGATCACAAGATCCTCTCATCTCACCTATGCGAGCAGCTTTAGCGACTTGGGGATTGACAGTTGACGATATCCAGGCAGCATCTATGCATGGCACTTCAACCAAGGCCAACGACACGAACGAAGCACAAGTCATTAACGAACAGATGAAGCATTTGGGCCGTCGTCCGGGCAATCCTTTACTTGCAGTTTGCCAGAAATCGCTCACGGGACATCCCAAGGGTGCAGCTGGCGCATGGCAAATGAACGGTTGCATACAGATGCTACAGAACAGCATTGTACCTGGGAACCGAAATGCCGACAACATTGAGATCAAACTCAAACAGAACAAATACATTGTTTATGCGAAGGAGGCCATTCGAGTCCGAGAGGTAAAAGCCACGATGCTAACTTCATTTGGATTTGGTCAAAAGGGAGGCCTTGTTGTCGCCGTTGCTCCCAAGTTTCTCTATTCTGCCGTCGCAGCTGATACTTATGAAGAGTATCGTCTCAAAGTCAAAGAGAGACAGCGTACAGCTGACATTGCTTTTATCTCTGGTGTTATTGGAAACTCCTTGGTCAAGCTAAAAGATCACGCACCGTGGGGGAAGTCAGATGAGACGATGCGTAAAGTGTTCCTTGATCCGGCTTCTACTCAGTTTTAGACTTTTTTCTACTAGAGATTACTATTGTCTTGGTTTCAATTTCAGATAGTGTTTCTATTCGGGGTCACCAGAGATGTCAGGAGTTGTTTGAATAGATTTCTTTTCGTTTGTTTTTCTTCCAAGTTCCTTTTAGTTGTTTCTTAGTAAGGTTACAGAGCTTTTACAATTACATGTACCTAGGTTTTGATTGCTAACAATTCGAATGTATAATCATTCATCAATCTAATGATATTAAGCAATCCATACATAGACATTCGTACATGTTGGTGAGCCCAGTCCACCCATTAAATCAACTATCAATGTTGTGGCATTCACATACCTAGGATATCCACTAGATGTCAAATGATCTATCATAATAGAACCCCTATCATTTTATAACATATAGTGGCAACTTCCAAGGTTGTTACCTCCTCGGGATCTTCGACAACTTGGTGGTGGTACACGGGACAACTCGGGGGGTCAGGGAGATGTGGTACAACAACCATTTACATGCTCGCTATCATACGTCGGACTTCATCTCAATGTTCTCGAAGCTTTCGTCCATTTTCATAGTTCGACCAATCGGGGGGCTCCAGTATGTCCTGGAATTGTGTAGGGAGCTTGCCGGAGCCGATACGTAGTTCCGGTTGGCCAACCTAGGCATCTCACGGAGTAATTGGAATTACCTACTTTCGAGTATAGATAACGAAGACAAATGATAGAAGAAATATGTGTGAATGATAATTGTCAAGTGGAGGCGCGGGCAAGAGTAGTCTAGATATATAGCACAGCTGTGTGAAGTGCAGATGGTAATAATCCTTCTGCTTCAAGTAACTATTTTTGATAGCTGACACTCTAAATAACAATCAAGCGTAACATATGGAACGAACGATCAAAGCTCAGTGGATATCGAAAATAAAGCGCAACAGCCCTTGGAATATCTAGTCACCACAAGGGGGTCAAATGACGGGTAAGAAAAAAATGTAAAAAGGACTAGAGAGAGAGGTATGTAGGAAAAGTCAACATCCCATATGACTGTTTTTAAAACTTGACAACAATTTTACTTGCAGAAACCCCCTTCTTCTGCACATTGAAAGCCTCCTGGACATATTCCAGGCCGGTGCCAACAACCTCGGGCTTAGGAGCAGGAGTGAAAGTACCGGCAGCGAGGGCCTTTGGGAGGTAGTCGACGAAGATACCTCGACCAACTTCACTGTTCGTAATCATACCGGCATTGAGCATGTTGGACTTGATGCCCTTGACCAAACCTTTGACCTTGTATGAAATGATCCAGGAAACGAAAAAGATAACCGTGCGGAGGAAGATCAAGTTCGTGGGTTCCTTCTGAGGAACAGGGAAAGTGGCCAAAGCGACAAATTTGTTGCCCTGGCAGTGATCGAGGATCTCCATAAGCTTCTCAGCTGCACCTTGGCCAATAGACAAAGCACCGGCGGCAGTCTTGCCCTTCATAGCTTTGATTATTTCTTGCGCGACGGAAGGACTCTTGTAGTCAAAAACCTGGCTAGCGCCAAGACGTTTGAGGTATTCGTGGTTCTTGGGAGAGGCAGTGGTGAAGACTTCGTAGCCGGCAGCAGCAGCGAGCTGGATAGCGTTGACACCAACACTGGTGGATCCACCCCAAATCAGAACAGTCTTGCCATTGAACGGCTTGGCAGGCTCTGATGGTAAATCGAGGCCTAGTTCTGTCTTCTCGAAGAGACCTGCAGCAGCGGTAGCGATACCAAGGGGAATGACGGAGGCCTCTTCGTAAGACACATTGTCAGGGATGTGAGAGACCATGTTGGGGCGAAGAACAGTGTAGAGCTGGAAACCACCCTCTGCAGGGTCATTGACTTTGGGGTCGCTTCCGCGGGTGAAACCGACGACGCGGTCTCCGACCTTGAAGCGCTTGACGTCCTTGCCAACCTCGACCACTTCTCCAGACACGTCGGAGCCGAGCACAAAGGGATAAGCAAGGTGAGTGAACATGATATCGCCTCGTGCTTGGATCAACCAGTCAATGGGGTTGATGGCGACGGCGTTGGTCCTGATGACAATCTTGTCGGCATCGGCGGGCTTGTAGGGAGCATCGCGAACCTCGAGGGAAGGCGCTTTTTGGGCGGGKTGATAGGCAGCGCGATTGGAAGGCATTCTGGCAATACGAATGGAGGCAGATGTTAAGGACGAGTAAGATGCGCGAGACGGCAATTGAATCGAGTGAAGTGGTTGTGAGCACAATCGAGAAAGTCTTTTCCCGAGGATGGAAGCCAGTTTATACTTGAACTTGACACCAAGTGGATCAACGTTGATTAGATATTGTCAACTAAGATCGTAAGTACATGAGTAGAGAATAGCAAGGAGATACTACGGAACAAGCTGGAAACAATGCTTCAAGTTTATAGTAGCTGGTCTGATCGGCGGCCCCCGGCATGAGAGGCACGTTAAGCATCGGTGACATAATGGATCGGGCGAATCAATGCCCAGCAGCTGATGTTCCGGAAGGGCATGATTGGAAGACGGACATGAATTGGCCCTTGAGCTCTCGAGGGTGAGCAGTTCAGATAGAGGTTTGGCAGTGTTATTTTCTGGTTGCAGGGCGAATGAATGTCCCGACGCGGTCCAAAGGGTCCAACTGGCGTGCGGAGCATCGGAGCGGAGATTCTGGCATGTCCGCACAGCCAGCTCGGCGGAGTCTAGCGCAACAGATACTCCGTGCTCTCTGTCTTTATGTATTCTATACGCATAAACAGGTTGCGGATAGCTGCCTTTCGAGTGACAAGAGCTATCTGGCCCATGATTCTGATGATGACGATGACTAAATGTTCATTATGAGTTTTGTGCACTGAGGCTGCTGTCCAAAGGTCGATCTGGAACATCGTTGATCCGCCGTTATGAGTCTGCGTCCGGAACAACGTAATTGCAGGTCACGGGAATTGGGGTGTATTGTAACGGTATTGAGCCTTTAGCCTCACGGGAGAACTGATACGGCAATACACCGTGTTATTTTACAGCCGCCAACAAAGAAGCCGCAGGCGTGAGGGAAGTCACGACCAGCATCAAAACATTCACTGGTCGAGTTGCGCAAGATAGTACTTTTCCTCGTGTATCATCTCGAGCTTACTCAAAATTGAACAGCGCTTCGCACTTTTAATTCCGTGACGCCTAATCAGTCTTCCTCTCCTCCCCGTTCCCGACTCGTCTGATGCACCGCCATCCGCGCTTACTGCTATTGCGATGGCTGACGGGCAGCCCCAACCACAGCCCGCTGAGCAGCACCAGCCACGTCCGAGTCGACGACGAGAGAAACCGCAATTATCATGCACTTTATGTAGACGAAGAAAGTATGTAGAGGTAGCTTCCTACCTGTACCTTCCGTCGTGCAATTCGTCCTCATACTCTCGCTGATTTTGATATTCATACTATAAACGAGCAAGACTGACTTGAGATAGATTACGATGTGACAGAGGCGAACCGTGTGGGACATGTGTACGCCGCGGCCTGGCGTCGTCTTGCGCCTATGTCAGGTCAAATGCACAGGCCTCAGTAACTACGACAACTCAGCCGGTAGTCAGTAGTATGACAGATCGTATCGCTCAATTGGAGAGACTGGTGATATCCCTTGTTGATAACAACAAGACCACCAGTGTTCCAGAGTTTAGTGTTATGTCATCGCCAGTCACGTCCATGCTTCCGCCATCCCCTGGCAGACTAGCATCTGGTGATGCAGCGAGCTTCCAAACTCCCCGCCATTGGGGGCAGGTACAAATCGCGAATAACGAAACAACATACGTACCGGGCACTCACTGGACTGTCATTCTTGAGGAGGTAATTCTTGGAAAGGGGTTGAAGCAGAAGCAGTTGATGGCTGACTGTCTCGCCACAGATTTCAGAGCTGAAGAACATGTTGTCCCATGCATATGAGCCAGAGTCTCGCAACACCTCTCTTCCTTCAGTATCACCACCAGAAAACAACGAGTCTGGTATTCTCGTCGGAGGATATAGGCTCTCGAATAAGCAGGAGATCCTGGCCGCCATTCCATCAAAGTCCATTGTGGATAAACTGGTTGCGGGTTATTTCCTTGATCGACCCATCGTTCCCAGTAAGTACACCCGACTTGGTTTGAGCGCAAAAGCTGAGACGAGTAGTCATATTGCATGGCCCGACGTTCCTTAATGAGGTTGGTGTGTGACATGTTATTTGTTTGTGTGGTCCTAGTGCGCTAATAATAAAAGTATGAACGCTTCTGGCAAGATCCGTTAGACACGACAATGACATGGGTTGGCCTTTTGTTTGCAGTCATGTCTCTTGTTCTGTCCTATAGGCCCGAAATGATTCCAATGGTCCCGGACTGTGAGGACCTTGCGCGAGCATATAGAGAGAAGGTTGTACAATGTCTTCATCTTGGAAAGTATACGAAAGGCGCCCCATACAGTATTGAAGCATTGTTGCTTTACCTGCACATCGAATTGCTGAGAGGGGAAGACACACAAACCGAGCCTTGGATGGTGCTTGGTGTCATCATGAGGCTTGCATATCGTCTGGGTTACCATCGTGATCCCTCGCATTTCTCAAATATATCCCCTTTTGACGGAGAGATGCGACGTAGATTATGGTCTTTGCTTGTTCGACTTGATATACAAATATCCGGGCAGGTAGGCCTACCTCGTATGACCCGAGAAGACCAAGGGGATACCGCGGAACCGCGGAATCTGCTCGATGAGGATTTGCATCAGAATATGCAGGAACTACCTCTTCCTCGACCGGAAGCTGTTCAGACAGATATCCAATACAGTCTGTCAGAGAGCAAGCTGCTTTCAGTCCGTGGAAGAATTAATGACTGGACGGAGACTTTGACGAACCGAAGAATAAATTTAGCCATCGCCGAGGCCGACGTTTCTCGACTGGACAAGCAACTGGACGATTCATACGCAACGCTGCCAGAACCCCTTCGGATGCGACCAATGGCAAGGTCACTGGTTGACAACGCCGAAACGATCCTAAGACGTCTCGTCCTCTTCTTGCATATACAGGAGGCCAAGTGTCTCTTGCACTTTCGACATTCAATCCTGCTTTCGTCCCATTCTAGTCATGGAGAGAACCACGATCAACACATGTCTGTCCATTCGAAATATGTCGAGGCGTCGCTGCAAATACTTCAATGTCAACGAACGTTATATGATGAAACGCAACTCTCTGGTCGTCTATACAAAGAAAGATGGAAACTTACCCCATTGCTTAAGGCACCTTGCTTGCTGGCTACAGTTATCCTGTGTGCTGAGATTGACTCTAGCAATAACCAGTCTCACGATGCTTCTAGTCAACAGCCATCACAAGATAATGGAGGAGACACAACCCGTCAAAATATTGGATTGAATGACATAACTCCTGAAAAGGTGAACGAAGTCGTTCAGGCTCTGCATGAATCTTGCCTCGTCTGGACTTACCTGAGCGAAAAGTCACGAGAGGCTCAAAAAGTTGCGGAAGCAGTCCGCTCTGTTCTAAACAAAATTCACAATACCGATATTAATCTATCACCCGCTCTTGATACTGGATCCATCCTAGATGTGACCATGAACAGTTCCATGATGATTCATAACAATAGTGTTGCAGGAAGCTCTGCAGGAAGTATGCATTCCTGTCATTCTCTCTCTACGTCTAAGCCGTTCATGTGCTTACGCTAATTCCTGGTCTTCAAGTGCTTCATCATCTTGACCAGCAGACTAATGGTCTTGGATCAAATATTTCCCATGGGACTACCGCTCATCACCTCCCTAATCCCTTGGCACAGCATTCGGGGTTAGGTGAAGAAACTCAGATGCAGTACGACCCGCTCTCACCGAATCAAATCAATATGGTAATTATTCGCTCTTATGGAAATATTACTTGTTACTGATAGTTCGTATCAGCATCCTCAGAGACTAGAACAGATGGAAAGAATGGCCAAGTACTTTCCCAAAAGATTTGCCTTCCCATTATAGGTTAGCAATAAAAGATGCTTAGGCTCTTGACAATGAAGAAGACCATGACATCCAATACGAGTTTCAAGGGTTTCAATATCGTCGAGTAAAATGGCTTCAATCCCACACATGTGAGCCCTAGTCAACTAGCTCCCCGATAACTCGCGACTTTCTTGAAGGTCAGGAATCCTACGTCCGTGCGAAGATGATGAATTTATCGTCAGTCTAAATTTGGGCGCTAGAATAAGCTCATTCATACTCTGTACGGTACCATCATGACCGTGTTGAGCGCTCGGATCTTTCCAAACTACGGTAATCTTGAAAGTTGAGGTCGTATTTTCAGCGTGTACTATGTACGAAGCATACTGAATTGKGGGACAAGCCACAGTGGAGATCTCGGAGCGTCGGTCGGTCGGATACGTGGCCGGTACTCTGTACAGTCCTCCGTAACGTAATGTAAGTATTGTAAATATGGTAATGATTACAGTACGTTGTTCCTCCGCCTTATTTCCCCGATGCTCCGCCTGTTGTCTCCGTGGAGCCCGTGCGAAGGAAGATCAAGATGAGCCGATCGTCGTTCTGACTAGTCACGCCACTATGTCAAAGCTGACGGGCGGTCATGCTCTAGCTTGGACGCCTTATTCACAGCTGGGGAGGTCAGAGTGATTGGTGACCATTGACTACGTGAACTCGCACAAAGATGAGTAGTCCACTGACTTTCAAAGATCGACTCCACGATACGAAATCAGGCTGGCAATGGGGGTTATCAATTACAGGCAGCCGCAAATAGAGAATCAGAATATTTATAGTTTGCATTTTTTGCACAGAACATTCAGCCAGGCAGCTATGTCTTAGTTGTTGGTTTGTTGGTTACACGACTCTGTCGACCTTGCGTGCTGCATGGCCCTTTAGCTTGAAGGTAGTACATGAATTTCGTATTGACTGGCCTGGGGCTGTTTGTCGGCCATCCAATTACTCCTTTCGTGATAGATACTTTTTAACCATTCAACCAATAACAGTCCAACGTGAGCCTGGACTAGGATGCTGTCTCGTCGCTAATTAATTGCCTCGTTAGGTGATTTCTGCACACCGGCCGAATCGCTAGCTTGGTTGGGCTACAGATAGAGCAACGCTAAAAGAAGCTTGAATATTGATCCGCCATTGCTCTTTATTCGTGGAGAATACGAGAGCCCCGCTCGACTTTGTGGGCTTCGAGTCTTTGGGCAGTTTGAGTCCTTACTAACCCAGCAATATGGATTTTTCGCGGGGCATATGTATGTTTGAATTTCAAGGGTACGTACTAACATTCCTGGCTGTATCCATCAAATTGTTAGTCGTCGAAATGGTCCCGAAAATGTCCGTCAAATTATGCGCAACAGCTAACTATCATGAACTGTTGGATGTTAGTCAAATCCTATTCGTCACTTATTTGACTTGTCCATACGCACTTCCGAAAGACCACATTGAGAACGACCCCCGGGAAATTTCCCGGAAACAGATCTGCTTGTAACTATTCACCAGCTTCTGAAGGCATGTACAAAAGCGTAAAGAGCCAGTGTATACTTAGCTAGTATAACCTTTCCTTAGTAATATGAATGATAGGACCAACTTCTTATATCGTCATTCACACCAATAGGCTAAAAACACGGAATTTAATACCAAGCCGCAATCCCGGCATGTCAGATTCCTCCCCTTCTGGTTTAGATCTAATGACGTTGATGAATGGAGTAGGTGGAAGACCTAGCGAATAAATATGGAATTTTATGATTGTCTCCATTCCAGTGAAAAATCACAGGACTCAAGCATATGTTGTTATTCTTGTGTTATGTATATTGGCTACCTAAGTACATGTCCATCATTCTTTCTTCTTACTTAGCGCGATCTAATAAAATGAGACCCATACTCCACCCCGATAACAAACCCAAGGATATATATCTAACAAACGCAGGTGGTAATTCAACGATCTAAAAACAGTCAAAACGGCAGCACTTGGCGTAGTTCCGAATCTATGCTATGACGGTCCGCGGTCTGTGAATGGGCATGGAGTCAAGTGCTTGGGCTTGTATGATGATATCCACGTCAAACTGCTTGGTCAATACACCTGTTTCGTAGGCGACATCCCAAATGTTCCGTACCAACGCGAGGACATCTTTGGTCTTGATAGGCACTCGATGGTTGCCTTCCCACTCCATGAGTCTCGCAGTGCCTTCTTCGCAGTATTGTGTCAGAAGCTTGCGGTGCTCATTCAATCCAACGTCCAGGGTTCCGTGAACGTGAATAGTGGGGAGATAGAGAATATGCTCTGTGCTACCTCGAAGTATATCATCTGGTAACGCGGTCATGGAAGCTTCGGATGCATCGAGAAGGGCAGGGGTCATCAACAGTCGATGATCGAGTGAAACCAAAGGTCCTCGGCCTGCGAGGATCACCGCGAATCGCCAGTTTGAGCCAGCGCGATGTAAGCCGAGTCTTTCTGCTCGAACTTGCTGGCGGAACAACAGACTGGCACAAATCTTTGCTCCCTGGCTAAAGCCTAGAAGACCAACCCATTCGCCGCGTCCTCCGAGACGGTCGTCTTCGTCCATAGCTGCCTTGAGACTACGGTCAATAGCCTTGACAGCATCATCTGGATGAATTTGGGGGTGAGATTCTTTTGATCTTAGCCATCGCTTGAAAGGACCGAACTCTTTATAGACTGAAGTCACATCAGGACCAGCGTCGGAAGAGAACGGTGCCTCAGCAAAGACAAGTCGAAATGTGGTCGAAAGATACCGTTTGACAATGCGGCATTGTGCTCGGAAGATCCTGGCATTTGTTCCACCACCGTGTAGACAGAGAATCCTCGGTAGATGGACGGTGTGGTCGACTCCAGGAGTGTTATGTTCGATAATCATGATGCTGGCGTTGAATGTGCGGTGAAGACAAAACGGCAAAAAGGAAGCACAAAATTGAGAGGTTGTGATTTTAATTATTCTTCAGTAGCGAGGTTTAGGTTGTTCAAAAGGTGATTGCTCAACGGGATCAAAAGAAGGATTGCATCGACGATTGTCTTTGGGCTTGGATAATAACAACCACCGTGACCTCGATACCTTAACCTAAACAGATGGCAAAATGAGGAACAGCCCGCCGAAGACACTATGTCTCGCTCGGGTAGTCACTTATCGTAAGTTCTTGTGTCAGAATCATATGTGCAATGTTGCGCTGGCTCGGCCCCTCTCTGAGAGATCTAAGAGATAGGTGAACGGACGGCCGGTTTTCTCGCTAAACCCGCGACAGTAAGGCATCTAGACCCAAGGAGTGAGACTAGATTGATGGTGGGTTTAGATAGCCTCTTACCTCCTGTTCATTCGTTGGCGAAGGCACGAGGTTCACCGAATGCTGGACGCCCTTGTGGCCTCCACGTGTAGACGACCCAGTCATGCATTCTTCCGATATACGGATCATTATAATGACTCACTGTGATATGGTATTGTGGTGACTGCACATCATGCTAACCAATGGTTTGAACGCAAGTCATGACAATAGGCGGTAGGAAAGTGGGTATTGCTCGCTCGGAGATTTAGACCATTCCATGGCTTCTAGGAAGTTAGGGCTAATCTTCAGCCCGTCGCTAATCTTAGTTTACCAGCCCTGCAGCCCCTAGCAGAAGGTTTCTAGAAGCTAAATGCCCTGTCGATCCTTCCAGCTGTCTCGGCTGGCTAGTGCATCGGGCAGTCGGACTTTCTATTCAGGTCTGGCTAGTTGCCAAGTTGTTTAGTTGAAGCATATACATGTTGTGGCTACCTAAGGCGCATGAGTGCCAAGACCTCATGTCCTGGATGCTGCACCCGGCTGAGTGGACGTTTGAGAATATAGTTTACATATTGGATATCGTAAAGTGCTTAATTCTAGACTGCTGTAACACATGTTTCTAATTTATCTTGTTACCTTCCTGCTGTGTCGTTGCTTCTTCTACAAGTTAGCAGGGGCATTTTAAGGGGCGAAAAGTCCGAGCGAAACTCCGATTAGCAGAGGACGAGGAAACGAAACTACGGCTATGAGCCATAGTCAGAGTAAACGGTGGTCAAATGTTCTTTTCTGTAGTTCGGACGTTTTGCCCAGGTTTATGCTTGAAAGAAGCCCCAATACATGACTGTTGATGCCACTTACCATTCGTTGCTGGTTACAAAACGGAGATATGTGGAAAGTCATCATGAACCAAATGTTTGGCCCTTAAGTTTCACTGTTTTGCAAAGACGTTTTTACAATACATATACAGCTGTGGGAATTTTATATAAAACATTTCAATAAACCTATTAAATTAACATCGCTAGTTGAATCAGAAAAAGCATTGGAAGTGTTTGCCCCATTTCCAGTTTTTTTCTCGCGCATAATCATTTCTTGCTATACAATCATAAACGACTCATTCAAAATAACACCGGAATCATGAGTAACGGAGTGACACCAAAGACCAAATTCCCCATTGTCCTCGGCTCTGGACTGTATGGAAGTTATGATCGATTTGAAGGAGCTCGCGTGAAGACGGTCGAAGACGCAAAGGCACTGTTTGATATTTTCCAGGCACATGGTCATACTGACATTGATACTTCACGAATTTACTCTGCTGGATCATCTGAGGAGTATTTGGCGGCAGCGGACTGGAAAGGACGAGGGCTCAACGTTCGCGACAAACTCTACCCGACTAAGGGAAAGCCACTGGGTCATCTCGGACCAGCATACAGCCTTGAACCTGCGGATGTGCGCAAAGGGTTGATGGACTGCCTTGAAGCTTTGAAAACAGACACACTCGATCTTTTCATTCTTTACGCCCCCGATCGTAAGACACCTTTGGAAGATACGTTGCGTGAGGTGAACAAACTGCATCAGGAGGGATATTTCAGTCGGTTGGGGATTGCCAACTACATGTCCTGGGAAGTGGCAAAAATTTGTGAGCTCTGTGACCGAAATGGATGGATAAAGCCCGTCATCTATCAGAGTCTTTACAACGTTCTTTCTCGCGCAATCGAGCCTGAATTGATCCCATGTCTGCGTGCGTACGGATTGGCTTTGCACACTGGACAACCTCTCGCTGGCGGTTTTCTCACTTCGCGATACACTCGCGATTTTCCTCTTACCGAGCACGAGGCCGGTTCCCGATTCGATCCAAAATGCTTCCATGGGAAGCATCACAGATTCCGCTACTGGAATGATACCAACTTTGACGCTTTGGACATGATCCGCGAGGTGGCCAAGAAACATGATCTTACTGAAGTTCAGTGTGCTATGCGCTGGTTGACTCATCACAGTATGCTGAACAAAGATTGTGGCGACGCAATCATCATTTGTGGTGTAACTCCGCAACAGTTGAAGGAGGATTTGGCGGCTTTGGAAGAAGGGCCTTTGCCGGAAGAGGTGGTTCAGGTATTGAATGCTGCGTATCTCAAGGTTCGTGGTCTTGTAGGACCTTACAACCATTAAATTATCAATGAAGGCAAGTACTTTTTCTTGTGTTTGTCGGATGTTAGACTGCGGGAATAGCTACCCAATGACTTTTTCACATGTATTCTCATCAGTGTGATTGTTTTTGATAGCTATAGGGCGTAAAGAACAAGACCAAGTGAATTCAGCACGACTAGGAAGGAAAGATTGAGACCTCAGAGTTGAGTGTATTCACCTAAGAATTTCGTGAACCTTCTGGAAACAATCAATCTAAATACTAGTTTAAGACCATTAGACGGTCTAATCTATGTAATAGGTTGACACAGAAAACGTGTGTCTGATTCTCAATTGCGAGAATTTCAAATGTACTCAGGTAACAGAATTCATGCCTTGATACACGCCCGTGATGCTTGCTACATACACTTTTATTTAAAATCAATTCATCGTAAGCAAAATATGTTGCTTTTCTGGAAACTGCAATGCTCTTGTAACATGGAAATATTCATAATACAGCTCGTACAAACAAGAAAAGTATGAGAAAACTCTTAGACAAACCTAAACATCAGTCTTGGGTCTATCCTCAGCAGGTGGAGGTGGCTTTGCGCCTCCGGGTCCCCCTGGAGCTCCTGGAGGCCCTTGTTTCTTCCGTATGTCTACCCAGCCCATGCCCCAACAAGTCAGAAAAGCGGCACATGAAGCTCCTACTGCGAGATAGAAGACATGATCAACACTCGTGGCGTAAGCGTTCAAGACAGCTTGCAGGTCCGACGCTGGTACAACAGATCGGAATGCAGTGGCACCAGCTTGAATGACTGCCTCGACATTGATATCGGGAGCTTGTTGCGGGATGATCGTTCGGAGACTATTATTAAAGATGACATCTGCAAAACTGAGGAATGTTGCTGAGAAGAAGGACTGGCAAAACATGATCAATGCCATCGCTGTCGGAACTTGTTGCAACTTTAGTGTATTTTGCACCGCGATAATTGGCTGGATCAGTTATATTAGTCTTGTTCAGAAGAGATGAATTAATGTGGAATCATGAACAGACCATCTGTAATCCAATGCCGCGACCTACACCCAGAATAATTTGATATCCGATCCATCTTCCTGTGCTGGTTGTCGTTGAAAAGGTCGAAATCAGCCCGTTGCCTACAGCGGCCAGAGAAGCACCAAGGACGGTCAATGGCAAATAATAACCGATTCTTCCCACTATAACGACTAGTTAGTGGTTGTGCACATTTTGAACCTGGTTTATACATACACAGCTGTCCGGATAAGATAGCAGAGATCATCTGACTGATAATACTCGGAAGAATGTCAACACCACTGATCATTGGGCTAGCATTTTTGATAGCCTGGAAGTAGATTGGCAGGTAGTAGGAGCCGCAAAGCAAAAGAGCTGCAAGGAAGCCGTAAGTGACGCAACTAGCCCATACTGTTCGGATTGTAAAAATGGAGTATGGAATCATGGCATTGTCGCCGACGCGATATTCCCAGAGCATAAAGATGATGAAAGTCACGCCAGCGCCGACGAACAGACCGATGATGGTAGCCGAGTTCCATGGGTCAGTGCTACCACCGTATTGTAAAGCCAAAAGAAACATTATGGCGGCAGGGGCAAAAAGCGTGAAGCCGATCAAATCGAGATTTCCTAGAACTGTGCTGACGCTTTTCAGCCCTTTAGGCTTTGGGATTTGTTCGGGGATACTGAGGAAGACTAGGAGAACTGCAACTAGTCCTCCAACCGGGAGATTGATATAGAAACCTTAAAATAGTATCAGATAAGGCTTGCCTTTCCATTAACCCAATAACAAAAAACAGACTGTTGACTTACACCATCGCCATGAAACGTAGGAGGTCAATGCACCTCCCACCAGCGGTCCAGCAACCATACCTAATTGCGAAACTATGAGGTGTCAATAGCGACCATTCATATCGTGCGACTAATAATACTTACTTCCCATCAGGAGACCCATAAGAGCTAAAAAATGTTGTCAGAAGTTTTGCTGAGCATAGATCGTTCGGGCATACCTGGTCTTCTAGGCATTGGTACTGCTCCAGCGACAATAGTGAAAGCACCATTTTGAATACCAGATCCTCCCATMCCAGCCACTGCACGACCGACAATCAACATTGTAGACGAGGTTGCGACGGCGCAAATGAGCGAGCCGATTTCAAAAACAAGAAAGAATGATAGAAACGTCCACTGTTATCGATCAATATTGGTCCTCTTTGTAGACAATTGGTAACAATGAGTTTGTCATACTTTTGTGTTGAATGTAGAGTAGAACCGGCCTGTGAGCGGTTGTAGAGATGCACTGTTGACATACAAATCTTGTAAGCAATGTGATGGAAAGAGAGGAGTCAAAATATTTTACCTTGCCAGTTGATAAGCACTACCATACCAGCCCACATCATTCAGCGAATGGAACTATATGATAACATTGTAAGATAACCCGCCTCGTTCTGGAGTCTCCGACACGTACTTCACTAGTAATTCGAGGTGTAGCCTGCAAAGAAGTCAGCTCAAAACATAGGGCCGTTAACATTCAATGAATCTTACTGTCGAAATGATAGATGTGTCGAGTAACATCAGGAACGCAACCAACGTAATACCAGTCATCATGAATATCAACTTCGGTCCTTGAACCCACTCATGGCTCTGCGGTGGACCTGCTGGTGGTCCTCCTGGTGGCTTCGACCGTTGCTCTTGTGTTGAAGGGAGAGATGCGGACTCGGCGGAGTTCGAGCCATCTTCGAGCTCAATGTCGTCAAATCGCGAGGGATCTAATTTCAGATTACTTGGTTCGTCGCCAAAGTCTATCACTAATGTGGTTGAGGAGGGTCTCTGACTTGGTGGATGAGATGACATTTTGTTGTCTTTCTCTATGATTTTCACACCGAAATGTGCAGTTCGAAATCAGGAATCGCAACGAAATAGCAGGAAAGTTGTCGTATATATTAAACCAAGATCATTCAAGACTATGACGAATACTAATCAGTCAGACGAATAGAAAAGAGTTTTTGTGAAAATCTCAAGAGGAAAAACAGTAAAGCATAAGATTCGCAGATCGGTAGACGGCAAACTAAGTCACCGTGGACAGCGTACTGCTGAGTAAGGCCAATAATGTGAGCGAGCTCTAGCATTCGAAACTGCAAATTTAGCCCTATAGACTACGAAGCTGCATGATAATACATGCGAAGAGTCCGATGGTAGAAAAAGCAAATTGAAAAGCTGTTCAGTCAAGGCTAGGGCTAATTCTTTGTAGATCGGGAGGCAACGGGCCAAAGCTTGTTATATTACGAACTTGTGGTCGATATACCCTGCCAGAATTCGATGCGACTAGGATCGAATTAGTACTAGATCGATGTATAATTCTAGAATAATTTTGTTGCATGCAACAATAATGTATATCAAAGATACACACTAGGGAAATAGTGTATTGTCGACTTCTTCCGTACTCCGTGTTTGAGCGGAGATACTCTGCAATGTCCGAGGTTCCGCCCCCCTTGTTAACGCTTTCAGCGGGGGGCAGCAGCTTGTCTATTGTTTTTATGTCCGGCTGTGTTTTTATTAAGCAAGACTACCTTTGGAAGGTTCTTGGGGCTTTTTTAACTTATGCTGTTCAAAGAGGTCAGCCTTCGACACTGAGACGAGGGTGCCAAACGAGTTACCAGCCAGCCGGGCAGAGTAATAAGCTCAAATGACGTATTTGAAATATCTTTCTTACTGTATAAGCACATCTAGCGTAGCTAGAGGTAAATATTAGAGAAACGCTTATTCCTTTTATTTACTCTTATGCACAGGTTTATGCTTGCATATAGTCAGAAGGTATTCGGCTGGCCAAGGACAATCCAAATCGGGGCCTTGTATACACATTGGAGTGTACACTTCCATATCATTCTAGAAAATTATAATCCATGTGCATACACACCACATTCAATCGGCGAGTCGGCAACTATGTTCACCGGCGAAGTAGATCATGTGGCAATTACTCGATCTATGGATGATTTTTACCTTCTGTCCCGAATCGAAGAATTCTTGCGTGGCTCTGACTATTTTGACGATCGTTTCTAAAGAACGTGATACACGTGAAATCGCCACATGGGATTGATTCTAGGCGATCGCTTACAGGGTACGGCACCTTCAATTGATCCCTATCCTATCAGCGATGATGAACTCCGCTTTCTATTGAAATCCTCGGCAATAGCATTCTGCTTTGTCTTGGATACGGAAGGAAATGAAGCAAATGCCTTCATAGAGCACTGAGATTGCTGTTTCATAGTTGACTTTGAGATTTCTAGCTATCCTTTTCAGTGGCTAATGTTAGGATAGATATCCGAATGCACGTATGCAGAATTCTATTGAGAATCTAGTTCGTTATACTATTGTAAAGCAAAATCATATACATTCTAGTAATTAACAAACAATGTGCCATCTTGCGTATAGAAACCTTCATATAAGTCACGGCCGCATTTTAACCAGATAAAACCAAACGGTCTTTGCAGGCACTCATTAGAAACACCTCACAAGATTAATGACCCTCAACCAGACAACGCATTCCCCGCGGAGTGGCCATAAAATACATCAACGGATTCATTTCTTCCAAGGTCATGCCGTCGCGAGTCGACATGTGGGCATTGGGGAACTTCTTGAAAAAGAGGGCAGCTCCCATGCGGATTTCGATTTTGGCGAGATGCATGCCAATGCATACTGTATCATATTCATTAATTGACTGTCGAGTAATTGAAAGGAAAATCACAGATTTTCGTAAATAGGAAATATTTGGACTTACCACGAGATCCACCGCCGAATGGCAGGAAGGCATCTTTCATTTCACGATTTGGGTTAAACCAGCGCTCAGGTTGGAATCTATTTCGGGAAGTCAGTAGCTATTCATGACGGCATTGTAAAGGGGGGCATACTTCTCTGGGTTTGGGAACGCATATTCATTCCTGTGCAAGCTATAAGCCTGACTCGAAACGATAGTACCCCCCGGAATATTATGACCGGACAACTCAGCGCCTTGGTCAGGAACCACACGCGGCAACGGCGACGGAGTTGCAGGATATAAGCGCAGAGTCTCGTTCAAAACAGCATTCAAATAAGGCAAATCCTGCACATCCTTATGCTGCAAGTTATCTGGCAAGCCAGCTACTTCGGCCACCAACTTCTTCTGGACCTCAGGGTTGATGCAGACGCCGAAGATGAGGTACGTAAGTGTCACGGCAGTTGTGTCGCTTCCAGCTGCAATGTAGCCAACGGCTTCGCGGACGATTTCTTGATCTGTCAAGCCTTCCTTGCCATCTCGACCAGGATTGTAGAGTTTCGTGAAGAGCGTTGGTTTGGGATCGATGGGATTGAGATCAATGATGCCTTTGTAGCGTTTGATGGACTGATCGGCGTAGTTGCGGATACGAGCGCCAGCTTCGGTGGCCTTTTTGAAGACTGGCAATGGGAGAAACCTGACAACAACTTCGATGAAGGGGAAGATTGATCGCAGAGCCATCAAGCGGGAGACATTTTGGAGATCCGTAATGTATTGCGTTTTCTATGCCTCGTTAGTGTATCTACCTTGATGCTAGGGATGGGAGAAACTACCTTTCCAAGCTCCAACATACGGAATGATTCACCAAACGACAACTCTCCAATAACATCTGTGGCCATAAATGTCCACCACTTGAAAATATCCGCCGCACCAGTCTTTTCAATCTCCTCTTCGATCCTGGCAATGGTCATATAGATACGCTGGTTGATAATAGGCTCCATCTTGAGCAAATTCTGCTCGGAGATTGGGCCCGACAACAGTCGACGACGCTCAGCATGAAATCGCGGATTTGTCGTGCTGAACAGTGTCTCGGAACCTTGATACCCAAGTTTGCGATACCAGTTGGACTTCAAATAGCCAGCGCCGACTTTGTGGATCTCTCGTGCCGCGCTGACGTCGGAAAAGTCGAGCTCATTGGGACCGATGCGGACGACGGGGCCTGCCATTAGTCAGTTGCATGTCCAGACTTCTTGCGTCTATCCGGTCATACCATAGATTTGGTGTAAGTTCTGGATCCAGCGTGGCCTGGTTCCCTTGATGAGTTGATATTGGGCATACCAGCTTGTCCATTTGGTGATCTCAGGACCAGGGATCCGGGCAATTGGGTTTGTGTAAGTCAAGTAAATTACGCGCTATTTGAGTACAAGAAGTGTTAGCCTTGACTTCACTGAACGCTCTAATTTCAAGCACTTTTATATAATCGAGAATGAGGGCTACTGGACAGTCTTACCAGGATATAGAGGCCGATTAAACCACCCAACACAGCGAGTGTGGGTGCCAGACCCAACGATAAAAGCGCCATAATGAAGACGACTTTTCTCTGTGTCTATATTCGCAAGATGTACACGGGATAGGGTTGTGAAGTCTTACAGCATGAACTTTGCGCCAGCTCTGGTCTATTTTAAACAACGTGATTGTGATAGCTTAGCTATTCGACGGTCATATCGGCTTATACACTGCCCGTGGTCAAGAAAATTATGTAATATATCTACACAATCCTAATGGGCATCAGTCGGTCAGAGTGACTGTTTCAGGGTCTAGTCACGATGTTTTTGTATAGCGTATGCAAAATTACTCCGAACCGAACGGACCATCCGCTTGCATGTCCTTCGGCAAGCTGATTGGAAGGAGCGCGGTGGTCGGTAAAACGGCGTTCCTCATTGCGATTGACCTTTACAGATAATGTAGTTAATATTTGCTGTTTATGGGGGCGATAACAAAGGTATTGAAGGCAGCACTGTCCAATCTTCATAACTGTTGCACAAGGTATGTAGAGGGGCGAGGGTGAGTGATTATATTCTAACCGGAAAAGAGCTTGTGGGCGAAGATCCAGTCAGATGCAGTATCGTACGATAAGTACAAATGCACAAAATCTTCCATCGAATAACTATTGTCGGTCGGAGTTTCTTGGGCTACTCTCGTACTTATTAAAGCGTTTCACGAAAACCAATCCCCAAGAGCATAGCCCTTGAACATTGGGGCTGCAAATAAACATAAACCACTGCAATAAGTATAGACTCCAAGCTCAACAAGATTTCAACTGATAAAAACTATATAGCGTATGTCTGTGGCTGTAGACCAACATCCCATTTCTCTACCCTTTCATGATCGGAAACGTAGCATCGATTTACGAGACCTAAAAAATTAGAAGTACCAGCACAGAAAGACCCAAAGTCGGCGACAAAAAGGTTCTACGGACAAACACAGAATGACTACCACCTGGACTGAGACGGCACCAGGAGTGTATGAAGCTAGCTTGGATGGTGCGGAAACCGTATACCGCAAAACAGCAACGGTATTTGCGCCGCTCAAACGCGAGCACTGGAGGCTGCACACAATCTGCCGCTTTAACTTTGGACCTGGTTACAATGGACCAGCCGACAAGGAGACTGCTCTGCGTCAGGCATGGAAAGCACTTCGATATGAATTTCCTGGCATGATTGTGGCACCAAAGGACGGATTCAAGAAAACTTACACGGCTCCGACCGCGGAGTCAACACAGAAATGGCTAGACGAGACATTCTTTGTAGAAACAAAGAGAACAGCAGATGAGATCATCTCTGAAGCCGTATCTCTGCAGGAAGTCCCAAGTCTCTACTATCTCCCAGCCACATCAGAAATTCTGTTCTTTATCTCCCACTGGCGCATCGACGCCATGGGATCATGGATGGTTACCGACCGATTGTTCCACCATCTTGCTCACCCGTCCAAAGAAGATTTGCCAGAGGTGCCACCTGCTGACGAGATCAAGAAGATTTCCCCGAGCTTGGAAGATGCAGCAGGATCACCCAAAGTGTCGACACCGGAAATGGATAAAGTGGCTGCCGACCACATTGCCGCGCATCACCGAAACGCCATACAGATGGGTGGCATGCCTTACAAGGGCGACGTCACGACACTCCCTGCAAGTCCCAAACGAGAGGCTCTGATCTTCACACGGGAAAGCACTCAAAAGGCAATTGCTGCATGCAAAGCCCGCAGCATCACTGTGACTGCTGCTATTCACGCCGCTCTAGCAGAGACCGTATTTGCCATGGGCTTGCCTGAATCGCGAGAAAATGATTATGTCACTGTCATGCCAGTCAACTTGCGAAACTACCTGAAGGCACCTTACAATGGAGATGGACATGCGCTGCAGACCTATGCCGGCAGCATCACACCTCGAGTCTCTCGACACGCCACCTTTGCCGAGCGAACATCCTACCTGGTCGAGTATTATAAGACTCGATACGATCCAAAGCTTATTGAATGTCTGCGGCCCATCTACAAGTACCATGCAGAAGCGCTCTTCAAGCCACGACCGGCACCGGCAGCAGCATCAGGCGACGCACCGGCACCGGCGCCGGCTACCAATGGAAACACGCGTCCTCCTCCCGGTCCTCCCAGCGGTATTTCCATCAACAGCCTCGGCGTGGTAGAAAAGTACTTCGGCGGAAAATACGGCGATGCGGTCGATGTCGAGACATTTACATTTGGTGTCAGTATGATTACGCGTCAGACCATGTTGTATGTGTGGACGTGGAAGGGCGAATTGACGTTGTCGAGCGAATACAATGCGGCGTTCCACGATGCGGAGGAGGTGCGCGAGGTGATGCTGTCGATCAAACGCGTACTAGAGAAGGAGTTGGAAATTAGTCTGGAAGAGGCATCGCATTAGATCGAACGGTAAAAAAGTACGGTAGATACTACGAGCTGTAGAAAATCGAAACAACGTTGCCAAGCAGACTCCATATTGCTGATTAATTAATTGATTGTCGTACGTACTCCAGACGCGTCGGGGCAAAGTGGAACGGCAATTGCCGGTGTCGATGACGCCACGATTCAATCCAGTGGATTGTCCGCTTAGTCACACCATTGAATCTAGGCCTGGCCAATGAACGAGTCGATGATGGCCCTTAGTCAGGGTAAGTGCCTCAGGCTGCCAAGAATTAGTAATTTGATAGGGACGAGACCGGCCGCCCCGCACGCCGACGGAGTTGACGGAGTGAGTCTGTGGCTCTTTGCGGGGTGAGTCCGTCCCACCAGATAAGAACTTCCACTGGAACGTACATAATGAGGAACTTCAGACTGAATCAGTTGATGGCTGTTTCAGGGCAGCTTCAGCTGTGGCATGTCTTGCAATTAGTGTAAACAATGTACCACAGATCATACCACGCAGAGTGTAGTATATGTATGTAAGGTTGTAGCGGATAGAGACCTGGCATTCAATGGCTGTCTGCTTATATCGTGGAGATCGCATTCCAAACGGAGAGGAATTGTGCAATACGTGGTGCCAATCACACAACCCAATTGGCTCGATTCACGTGCAAATGCTCCTGTGGATCAGGTGATTTACGTATTGGATGAAGCAGGAGCGAAGCTTCTGTTTGTTTGTCACGCCGGGTGGCTACCTTCCTTCCTTGCTTCGTTCTTTTCTTTCCTTCCTTCTCCCCTCACCCCCTCCGACTCCCCCCACCTGCCGAATTGTCAGCGTCTACTACTATTTAATGCCCACTTCCTCGCCACTTCTCCTCTCTTCGCTTGTCTATATTTCTTCGCCTTGTACAACGCGTACTCCTATCCTCACTACCGAGTGAAGTATCACATTCCAAGAACAGACATACAAGATGGGTGAGAGCCAGTGTCCCGCTCACCAGCGTGTCTTGAAAGCCAATGTCGCTGGTGCTGGTACCAGCGTCCGCGACTGGTGGCCAGACCGCTTGAAGCTCAACATTCTCCGCCAACACAACCCCGTATCCAATCCTCTCGGCGAGGAATTCGACTATGCCGCCGCATTCAACAGCCTCGACTACTATGCCCTTAAGAAAGACATCCAGGACCTGATGACTGACTCCCAAGATTGGTGGCCTGCTGACTTTGGCCACTACGGTGGTCTCTTCATTCGTATGGCTTGGCACAGTGCAGGTACCTACCGCGTCTTCGACGGTCGAGGTGGTGGTGGCCAGGGTCAACAACGTTTTGCTCCCCTCAACAGCTGGCCCGACAACGTCAGTCTCGACAAGGCCCGTCGTTTGTTGTGGCCCATTAAGCAGAAATACGGAAACAAGATCTCGTGGGCCGATCTGCTATTGCTTACTGGTAACGTCGCCCTCGAGTCCATGGGTTTCAAGACCTTCGGTTTTGCTGGTGGCCGTGCCGATACTTGGGAAGTAGACGAGGCAGCCAACTGGGGAGGCGAGACTACCTGGTTGGGAAATGATGTTCGCTACTCCGGTGGCCAGGAAGGTGTTGATGCTAAGGGTGTCGTTTCTGGCGACAAGCATGGTTCTAAGGACATCCACAACCGTGAATTGGACAAGCCACTTGCTGCTGCCCACATGGGTTTGATCTATGTCAATCCTGAAGGCCCTGATGGCAACCCCGACCCTGTCGCTGCTGCCAGAGATATCCGTACCACCTTTGGTCGTATGGCCATGAACGATGAAGAGACCGTTGCCCTCATTGCTGGTGGCCACACGTTCGGTAAGACACACGGTGCCGGCCCATCAGACAAGGTTGGTCCCGAGCCAGAAGCTGCAGACATTAGCCAACAGGGTTTGGGTTGGAGCAACAGTCACGGATCCGGAAAGGGTCCTGATACCACAACCAGCGGTATCGAAGTCACCTGGACCAAGACTCCTACCAAATGGAGTAACAACTATTTCGAGTACCTGTTCCGCTATGACTGGGAACTCACCAAGAGTCCTGCTGGTGCCAACCAATGGGTCGCAAAAGACGCAGAAGACATTATCCCCGATGCCTATGACCCATCTAAGAAGCACAAGCCTCAGATGCTCACCACCGATCTTTCCCTTCGATATGACCCAATCTACGAGAAGATCTCTCGTCGCTTCTTGGAGCACCCTGACCAGTTTGCGGATGCCTTTGCTCGTGCCTGGTTCAAGTTGCTGCACCGTGACCTTGGCCCACGAGCCCTTTACCTTGGTCCTGAAGTGCCTGCAGAGGTTCTTACCTGGCAAGATCCTGTTCCTGCCGTCAACCATCCCCTCATTAACAATGACGATGTTTCGGCCTTGAAGCAACACATCCTCGCCACAGGTGTCAAGCCATCCAGCCTGATCTCCACTGCCTGGGCATCGGCTTCTACCTTCAGAGGTAGCGACAAGCGTGGTGGTGCCAACGGTGCTCGCATTCGTCTTTCCCCTCAACGTGAGTGGGCAGTCAACAAGCAGCCGTGGCTGTCTGAGACCCTTTCTGTGCTCGAAACCGTACAGAAACAGTTCAACGAGTCCCAGTCTGGAGGAAAGAAGGTTTCCATTGCAGACTTGATTGTTCTCGCCGGTTCCGCCGCCGTCGAGAAGGCCGCTCACGACGCTGGATTTGCCATCACAGTGCCTTTCACACCTGGTCGTACAGATGCTTCCCAGGAACAGACTGATGTCCAATCCTTCAGTGACATGGAGCCCATTGCCGATGGTTTCCGCAACTTCGGCTCATCCACGTCTCGCGTTCGCGCCGAGGAATGGCTTGTTGACAAGGCACAGCTTTTGACCCTCACTGCACCTGAGTTGACTGTTCTCGTCGGCGGTCTCCGTGCTCTCAACACCAACTACGACGGATCCGCTCACGGTGTCTTCACCAAGCGACCTGGCCAACTGACCAACGACTTCTTCGTCAATCTCTTGGACTTGAACACCGCCTGGAAGTCCGCTGGTAGCGTCGACCTCTACGAGGGTACAGACCGCAAGACTGGTGCCAAGAAGTGGACTGCCACTCGTAACGATCTCGTCTTTGGCTCCAACGCTGAGTTGCGTGCTGTGGCCGAGGTTTACGGTAGCTCTGATAGCCAGGAGAAATTTGTCAAGGACTTTGTGGCTGCCTGGGACAAGGTGATGAACTTGGACCGCTTTGACTTGAAGCAGAAGCAGTTTGCTCCTGGCCACCGCCTTTAAATGAGTAGTTTCCAAATTAGTTGCGTCTCCACATCGTGTTTGCTTGGAGTTGCTTTGAAAACTATAAAGAATCCGATGAAATTATGCAAGTCATGAATAATTTGTTGTTTTAAGCTCCGTGTTTGTGCTAGTTGAATGTACCTAAGCAGAACATCAGACAATATGAACATTCTCAAATTTCCAAATTTGATGACTAGGTAGATAAGGGTAGTCGTATTATTTGTTCAAGGTTTGGTGTCCCGCACTCGGACTTTGATAATGATTACGTCGCTCTGAGAACGCTCGGTTAGGGCTTCGGGCTGGAGTAAATTTGCCCCGAACAACTCCTCCCTCGATGTTGATCAAATGATCTTCTTTATCGAGTTGTGTATATGCATGTCTGCATCCAGGTCCGATTCGCTCTATTCTCGAGTTACCAGCCAGTGGTGATCAAAACCCACCGCAACGCAAGACTCGATGAAAAGGCAGCAAAGTCTTTTTGAACTCAGGTTTTGGCTGATTGCAGATGGTAGAAGGAATGACAAAGAAAGTTGAGTTCAAATGATCAATTTCCAGAACTCTTAGCTAACCAGAAAATTATTCTCGTGATTTCTAGGAAAATACCAACGCGAGGATACTCTGGATTAGTAGTTGGCGTCAAGTTTATCTGACTCATACGCCCTATCCAAACATTGACTCTTACCATTCGTCTGAAGTCCTCCAAACAGGCTTGGTATTATGTTTTCGTATATTCAATTTGAGAATATACCATATTTAGTCCCGCTTCTTCCATCTTTGTCGCCAATGCTTCGGTATTACTTATCTGATTGCTCAATTTGGCTGTCGATAAAAGATAATATGACCCTATCAATCCTTTAAAGGTCTTGTTGTTAATGTTGCGTTCTAAAAAATTCTCGCCGGTCCATGTATCTCTTCGCAACTGATGTTGCTAAAGAAAATAACCTCGGATGAGACTTAGAGCAAGCTCATGCCGGCAACGAGGGAAATGAAATTTGGACCAGGACTGCTCAGCAACGATAGGTCGGGATGGGAGGATGTGTACCTTCTTGTTCCTCATCGCTTATCTGGGTTATGAATCAACATTCATGCTATTCCGACTTTGATGATTGAATGCCTGCTCATTGATATCTTCTTCGCTTTACAGCGCCGGTATTAGCCCAATGAATTCACCTGTGTATTTTGTCCATGCCCAGAATACACGAGTTATCTGTTGAGTAGATTCTTGCAAAACGCTCCAAACACAACCCATTGAATATTCGATAAAATGAACGGTTTATATCACTTACTACTAGAACAAGTAGCTAGGCCCTAAGTCAACCTTACTGTATCTGAGAAAATGGCACCCCTTAAGTACACTGGTTGCAAAAACAAAGTGTTGCTGATGATGAGTCGGTATTACGCCCAAGCGTTACTAACATATTGTGCATATGACTAGGGCAGCGACTATCGAAAAACAAGAATGTTATCGGCAGCAAAGGAGCCTAAAAAGCAAGCTTTTATCCAAAGCTTATTTGTCAACAACAAAAAACCAATTATACTAAAGTATGTAGATGCAGTAATAGGAAATTGATGATCATAAAATATCAATACAAAGCCTTATTGCGCTAATCAAAGTGTGATACCCAAGTCTTCGGCAACAAGGGTAGCAGCCTTCTCGCCGATGGCTAGAGCAGTTGAGTATGTATTCGCTGCGACATTTTCAGGGCAAATCGAAAGATCTGTCAAATTGCAAGTCAGTCATATACCCTCAAAAGCAGTATCTTGGAAACACCAGGGTAACTGAACGTACCGACAACCTTCAAACCTTCAACGCCGTAAACGTTGAGCCTTTCGTCGACAACGCCACCATTCTCCCGTGTCTTCATAGCACAGGTGCTCATACTGTGCCATGTAGTCTCCACTGATTGGCGAATATAATCCCTAATAACATCACCGTCCTCGGGAGTATATTCAATGGGCACTAGAAATCCTTTCTCGGCAGAAAGATTATCCACATACTCGTAAGATGCCTTCGATCCAGATGGAAATTTGGGATGTGTGCTTTCAAGAGGTCCGCGATAGTGGGACAAGCGTCGCGCAATTTCTCTCTGAAGTTTGTAACCATATAGCATCTGCTCAACATCCGCTGGGTCGGACAGGTAGCCTGGGTTAAATTCCGGTGCGTCAAATGGAGATGTGGATTTGATGTGAATTGAGCCTCGAGAATAGGGGTAAGCAGTGTAAGGTATGCAAGTAAAATATTGCCCGCTTTTAACAGTTGAATGGTCACCGAGGTAGCCTGCAATGGTGGCAAGCAACATCATAGGTCTCTCTGGGCGGTCTCTGAAGTCTCTGTCGTAAAGCTCTTTGAATGAAGGCGCAAAGGACTTGATCTGCTCTTCCGATGGCCGAAGTTTTCCAAAGCAATCTAGACCATTCCAGCCAAGAATATACCGTTCTGGAGTGGTAAGTTTCTGTTTGAATGCATTTTCAAGGCTGAATCGCCCGCTGAGCAGTCCATCTATGGTTTGTTCCTCCGTCGCGGCGGACTTGTAAGTATACAAGACCAGGTTGTGATCTTGATAATCGGACCCAACACCCGGCAGATCACTTACTAGCGGAATATTCAGTTGTGAAAGCAGGCCCGAACTTCCAACACCTGAGCGTTCAAGGATTTGTGGTGACCCCAGTGCACCTGCGGCTAGAATGACTTGTTTGCGAGCATGAACAACTTGTGGTTCAGAGCTTTTCCCGGAGAAATATTCCACTCCATAAGCACGATTAGTTTCCTTCTCAAAAATAATTCTTCCAACTTTTACTTCTGTGGCAACTTGTAGCCCTGTATTGTTCGCATCCAGAATGGGATATAGAAACCCATGAGGAACATTTTGACGGAGTCCATCGTTCTTGTCGACCCAACTGCACCATTTCTTGTAAAATAATTGATGTTAGCTTTCGAATAAAAAGAAATTCAGAAACTGGGTAAGCTTACTCCGACAGCATTTGATGTTTTGAAGTCTTGAACATCGGCTACTTGGTCAATACCGATGGCTTCACAAGCCTGGAAGAAGTCTTGTTGAAATCCATCCTGCGCATTTGAACCCGCTGAAATACTCAATTCGCCACCATAACCATGAATGGAGGGGTCAACTTGGGGATCGGCGTTCTGAAAATTCTCAAACTGTATCGATAAACGTTAGCATGAATCTATAATTGACGATAGTAGAAGTAAGCATCGGTGATAACGAATATGCCAACATAACGCACCTTCTTGAAGAATGTGATCATCTCTTTCCCGGACCAGCCTTCTGTCATCCAATCATCAAAATCAATCTCCTGCGGCCGAACATAAACAAGGAAATTGATCGAGCTGCCTCCACCTAAACATCCTCCTATCGGAACAACAACTTGTCGACCGTTCAGATACTCAGACGGCTCAGCAGTGTAGAATGTAGCTGTCTTTGATCCTGGTAGAATATTGGTAATGAAAAGTGCCGGATTGACGATTTGTGGGTTGTCACGAACATCGGGGCCATGTTCGAGTATGAGGATTGACAGAGTTGGGTCCGCTTTGGCCAGTCTTGAGGCTACGACGATGCCAGTTGTTCCCCCTATCTAATTTAGGATGCCTGTTATGATATTGAATATAGACCTAAAGGAATACTTACCACCGGCAACCACAATATCGACTTCTTTAGGGATCTGATTGCTGATTGACATGGCCCTAGTATTGAGTGATAACCGACGAATGATGTGTATAATTTAAGAATTTAAGAAACAAATATCACTCGGGATTCATGGCAGTGATGGGTATGGCTATGTGCCTGGGGAAGGAGCCTTATATACGTGAATCACATGGTGACAGCCATGTGTAGTATATCTCTCACAACCACATATTTCACGGAATGTACGTACAGGGATCTTAGTAGCCTACCGCTTCTCTCAGACCCCTCATCAGATTATCGGAAGGTTGCTTCGACAATATGACAAGGAACAGTCAGCAAGACTGGGGTAAGAAATTTATGTAACGGTTAAAACTTCGTGTTTCAAGATAATTGGCTCATTCGGGTACAATTCCTATATCGTCTCGTTGTGATCAAGTCATTAAAAAGGAGGGGAAACGAGCTTTGCCGAGCACGGGATGGCTGGATTTGGGTGCCAAGGCTCTCGCTGCATGTTGCAGGGGATACAAAAGTTGTGTTGGCGGGGTCAATAGGTGATACTGTAATACTTTCAGTTGAACCTTCGAGGAATAACAAATACAATGTATTGAATTTATTGTGTGCTTGATCAATCTGATATTGCTGTTGAGCTCTAACAGTGACAGAAGAGAGGAAGGGCAAGTCAACCTCGAGCAGTACAGAGTTCTTCTGTCGAAAATTTATTCAGATAGGTTTCAGCTGAAAGGCATTCTTTGAACCATCCCAGGCTGATAAGACCCCATGGACGGGCTCTACCGGGTTATTATGCACGCATAACTTTCTGGAAGATGGGCACCCTACTAGTCCAGCTGCGACATCGCTTGCCAAAGATATACATGGGTATTGCCATAAGACAAATGAAAACATGAATACCACCGATGATGGAAAATACCTCCCGGGGACCCTGTGAAGAAATCCAAGATGCCACGAAATAATTCATGCCGAAAGAATAGATGTTTCTCAGGTTGATCGATGCAAAGGCTTCCGGAGCCTTGTCTCGATGGCAATCGGTCAGATATCCGTACACCGCAATGGTCATAAATCCGACGCTGAAATATTGCAGACCGTAAAAGAAGACCGGACCGATCCATGGATCTTCATTTTGCAAGGATATACCAAAGCCGAAAAATGACATGCCACCAAGGATAAGTGGCACTATGATAATAACCAGGCGGAACTCTGGTTCATACACACCGCCATTCTTCCGGCTCATATAGGTGATTACCTTATCAGCTGTAGGCCCGGAGATGAAAGCACCGACAATTGCTCCGATCAGAGGTGATATCGACACCAAGCCAACTCCCGAGACCGAAAAGTTGTATGGAGGAGCCATGAACAACTCTGCGAGCATACTTCCTACGACAATGAGCCAAGACGAAGTCAATCCGTATGCGACAAATGAGAAGATAACTTGTGGGAAGATCAGCATCATGATAGGCCTGGCAAGAACTTTGAAGAACGAATCGTCACAAACGCGACCATGATAGATCTTCAAGTCATACCAGTAGCTATGTTTGGCTTCAACAATATCGGTCGAAGATGCGCTTGTCTCGATATCTTCAACATTGGTTGCCTCCACTTTGCTGTCATCTATAGCTTGAGTTATCTTATCTTCTGTGCCTAAGTCCGTGTCGAAACTCGAGGGTCGGCGGTAGGCGGTCTCGGGGCAGAAGAAGAATAACACTATGATCCAAACACCGTACATAATGGCGCAAATTCCATAGGTCCAGTTCCAACCGAGGTCTTGAATAATATATCCTGAGATAATCGTTCCACCACCGACGCCAACTGAGAGACATAGGCCCCATGCCGCTAGACGGACGCCGCGTTGGTGCACGAAATACATATCAGCAATGGTCGACGTGACTAGCCTGCATTAAGCCGATTGATTAGCTATGTCTGTAGAGTTATTGAGATTGACGTCGTACACTTCAAAAGGCGACATTCCAATGCATCCCACTAGACGCGCTGCCAGGAGAGACTTGTACGAGTTTGCGAAATATCCCCAGGTACTGCTGATGAACAACAACAGATTGCCCAGGAGAAAAATAGGTCGCCGCCCCCAGACAACGGCCATTGACTGTGTGATGAAGCATGAGAATGCAATAACAAACAATCCCCACCCTAATCCACCATTGAGGGAATTGTACGACATGTTGAATTGTTCAGCCATCAAGGTATAACCAGGCGCAATCATAGGGCCCTGAATGATAGTTAGACTAATGTCCCCATTTATCTTGCGGAGAGCACAAAATGCCAGATGAAACCTTACCCAGGCACCGACAACTGCTGTATCTATGCAAATCAAGAAAAGCATAAAGTCCTTCTTCCATAGTGGCCAATTGAGGGGATCATTATGACTGTTTGATGGTTGAGGAACGAGCAAGATATCGGAGCTGCCTTTGGCATGTCGTAGTGGCGATGTGTTGATGCCTTGAACATCGGTCAATAGTGCTGTTCCAGGAACATGTTCCAGATGGCTGTCGTCTAGCACACCGAGACCCATTGTTAATTTTCGCTGGTAGTTCAGACTCTGAGAGGGGTGTAAGGAAGCTGTCGAGCGAGCCTACAATACATATTCCCAACCCGGGTTGGGGTACAGTAATATACTGACATCCCAGTGCTCCACGCCATTTGTCTAGACCGAGCTTTGCTTAGACACGGAGTAACGTTGGAGATTCTGGGGTAATCTGGGGAGAGAGACCCATTGTGGGGCATCGCATATGGCAGACACCGGACTCTAGAAAATGTCCCATAATGAACGTACTGATCGATTCAGAGATTGACATGGTAGAGTTGAAGTCAATATTAATCAGACTTCCAAGAGAACCCCACATAAGCTATAGGTCCTTTTGGGAAAATTCAACAAAATGGGGAGCTGGGGCTTGTAGGTGGTGTTCCAGCTCGGGTAAACCGGTTCTACCGGTGTTGCCCATATCTGATACACCTATCACTAGCACTAGTTCATCTGGACGAACGCCAATCAGAGCTGGGATCGAATTAAGAGCTCCCACGGCATTTCAAAGGCAGTCGATACAGCTCTCAATGCTTAGATCCGGGGCTGGATCGGGATAGGTATCCTCTAAGGCTGACTTGATTGTATTGAATATCATCCACGTGCGTCAAAAATACGTTCATCATTTTGCCGGGAATATGCTTTCCCGAGAACTAGGCCTATCGGTTCTCGGATGAAATCATGCCAGCTCTCTTCCAAGACACTCAGAATCGTTAGCATTAGCTTTGCCGCTCCTCCTTCGTAATACCAATAACGCTCCATGCTCTTGAGAATTATGCAGTAATATGCTAGAAGTACCAGACCCCCCGGATGGCGGTTGTAAAGAAGTGTCATAAACTCGGACTCTACGCGCATAGGCCATAATCCTAGGATTTTCCAGGTAGTTGCCCAAGAGTCGTTTTGCTGACGATCCATGGTAGCAAAGCACCGTGCCAGCAATAAAGATGCGTCGCCATATATTCGTACTTCGTCGTTTGACCAGAAATTCCTTCTAGAGGCGACATTCGAAAAATGAGTCCAGTATGGGAGATCATTGCCACCGTAAATTTCCGACTCCCAGGCAGTAGTCAAAGCGGCAAGAGGACCATTTTCAAGAAGATCCCATACATCGCAAAGCATCGCACAGCCATCCCGAAGAAAGAMAAGCCATAGTGGTACTATAGGGTCCCCTTCGGAATGTTTTACACTATTTGCGACAAAAAGAAGAGAGTCGGATGAATTGGCGGAAGAGGTGGCAAATGTGTAGACGACCAACAAATATGAAAATGTCATAATAGCGTCGCAGTTGTTGTTTGTCGGATTATCGATTGCTTCACGAAAAGCTGGAAGGGCACGATCTTGATGTGAACAAGCTCTTAGGATAAGCTCTTGTCGTTGCGGATAATTCATATGGATCATATATTGAGCCGTGCAAGCAAGGAGCCCATGTAGTAGGAATTTATTACTGTATGCAAGATCTGGAACAATATTTTTCCAGATATGTTCGGTTTCCTCGTCGTTTGTGAAGCTCTTGTAACTGGAAACCAAATATTGGGTTAATATCCAACAATCTACCGAGTCCAGACTGTATTTTTGCTGGATTTTGCTAATAAACTGCAACTCAGATGGTGATATGGTCTCGTCTCGAGTGTTTGAGACTATAGGCTCCAGACGCTTTGTAGGAGTGATTTGGACGGTGGCAATGCGAGATCTGGAATCTTTACTGAAGTACTTAAGCATATTACCCCGGAAGAACGTCTGAACTGACGTAGAACTCCAATCGCGGGTGGAGACACCCTTGCGGCCATGCTCTGCAGGCCAGTGAGTCTCCATGCGCTTTTTTGAGACGCATAGATAATCACAGCCTGCGAATTGGCATTGCCATCCCTTCTCAATCGGTAGGTAAGGCACTGGAAAGTCCTGCGGGAAAGGAGGGTGCACATCTTCTGGATTCTTCAGGCGTAAGGTATCCTTATACTTAACGAGCTGTCGGCGTTTGTTACTAGATAGATGATGAATATCCTTGAGATGACGAATTATAGCCGTTGGCTGCACGGCGTAACGACAGGATATACAAATGAGCACCTGGTGAGCTTCCAAATAATGAAAAAGATCAGTTGAAGACATATCGCTCAAATTAATGTCAGAAGCCGGATCTCAATGACTGGGGTATTGTCTGGATGCCTGGGCATGCCATCGGAGAGGAGATGTGCCGTGTGGGGACGCTATATCACGTGATCCAATTTTGAGCAAATCACATGGCGAGTGAGGGTCAGGTGCCTACTCTAGCCCTATTGAGGCCTAGTAGGATTTTGAACCCAAATAGCCCTAGCTCTAATGAATCCGAAATCCGAAAAGAACTTATTCAATAATCATTTCTTCATTCTAGGTCTGCTGTAATTTTTAACGAACGTTAGAGCTATGGGGCCATATCCTGACGAGTCTCGCTCTGAGTTCCGAGAAACAGTTGATCCTGGCCTAGCCCATCAAGGCCGAAGCTGGAAAATAGGGCATCATAATTGTCATCGCGGAGAGCAAAGTCAGGATTCAGCAATTGATCGATCGCATTTATACTTATGCCTTCTTGATTAGGCCATGTTTGTTCGAGTCTGGCAGGTTCGTAACCATTGGAATGTGATATGGATGGCATAGAATTATCGATAGTTTCAGGAGACGTGTAAGGCCTGACCATGTTATCTTGTCGTGGAAGTTCAGGCGGCCTCTTTACTTTCGTTCCGTTGCTGCCATTCGTATAGCTCACCGCTTTCAATATGTTTTGAGCACGTTGGAATAGCCGATACATCACCCCTGCGCTCCAGTAAGTGTCACTAATGTTTGCAAGGAACAGCATGCACAGCTGCAATTTGTTGGTTGCTAGGCCACTTTGAAGAGCGTTCGTTGAGCGAGAGTCATGTAAGTGAATTTGCATAGTTGGGATCAGTGCCGTAATTCTTTCAAAAGCGGATTAGTAACATCCAACCTGACCGTTTGGCTGCAGATCACTTCTTACATCATTGGCTTGATCACGTTCAAAACATTTAGCTGTATTATCTTTTCTAATGTCATATTTGTTGCTGATGCTGCAGCTCGAGCGCGTGTTTTTGCGATTTCCTGCCATGGAGCATTGTCGTCTGGCGTAAGTTCTACATTTACGTTAAGAACGTATGGCCGATATAAGACGACTAGCGTGCCCCTAAATCAAAAGTCAGTATCGGTAAGCACTATGAATGATATTGAATAATTTTGAGGCCATGCCAGTGAACATCCAATATTAGAAAGTACAGATACAGAACACTCACTGGTAAAAGAGATCCAGGTGGTATTTGTGGATAAGGACAAGGTCATCCGTGCTTGCTTGTGGGACTTCCATCTGCCCAACCGAATGTAAATCGCTCGCTAGCTTTTCTATTTCCTGTGGAGACGGCTTCGGACCTCTGACGCGATAATAGAGTCGTAGAATCTGTCCGAGATAAAAGCTGGTCTTCATGAGGCCGATCCATGTCTCTGCTAACAAATCAAGTTGACTTGGAACAAACACATCTCGGATTTTTGAATCTATGGCATACAGTTCATGAAAGATATCTTCTGCGCGTGGCATTGGAACGTCACAATCTTCGTCATGAATTCGCATAGGGCGACCTTTAGCAAGCGAAAGCCAGCGGTCGCGTATCACGCACGACCACCAAATTCGACAAACAAGAGGTCGTGACTCGATAGGCATTACATTGTGTGTAAATTGCGGGTCGCGGTGTATACCGATGCTTTGGGCGAGGGATATGGCGATACCAACCCAGTACCAAGCGCCAGTATGGTCTTGAGGATCGGTATACCAAAAGCTCAAGAGTAGCACGGATTGTATAAGTATCAACTTATCTGTACCCCGGTCTAGATCATATAGACACTGACAGACCACCATGGTCAGTCGAATGTTTTTTGAATATCTGTCTGCTGCAACCTACTTTTGCTCGTCCATACATGGCTTCTTTCATTGCTTTTCTCGACGCAAAGCCCGTTTTCTGTAGAGTTTCCTCGTCTAAAAACTGTAATCGAGATTAACCGCTAGATTTGACATAGTATTTAGCTGTTATGCAATTGTTCTTACATTGGCAGACGCCAGACACATGCTCCACATGAGTAGAGGGTTGATATTCTGGAAGCCATTATAATAGTACTCATCCAGAAACTCCTTCGCGTTGAGGATGGGTATCAGAAAGTGTACATGGCGAAAATAGCACCGGATAATTTCGTCTGGCACATCCTTAGGCAGGGTCACGAAGGCCCCATTGGCCCGAATCAGTTCTACTTCATGTGGCTTATGAGCTTCGGTTCTGGGTACCCGTGGACCTGTAGGGGGCTGTGCATCTTGAGGGGTGCCAGGATGGCAAAGATCGTAGACTGAGTAACGCGGCCCACGCTGGTCGCCTACGAGGAGACGTTATTCAGACATTCTGGTCAACATTTGGTACTGATCGAGATTTACCGATATAGGAGGATGGACTATCATCCGGTAAAAACTCTTCTTGGTGGACCGGTTCTTGTAGGTCATCGTGAGTATCATCGGCTATATTTGAGTCGGCGACATTGTGCGGAGCAGTAGTACGTGGGCGGCGTGGTCTCAGTCCTAGTTAGTATAACACAGCAGTTCATGTTGCTATGCTATATCTTACCGATGTTTTTTGCGTGGTAATACTTGACAAACACCGCTCTCATACTGGCAATTTGAACAGGGAGAGCCCGTTTGCGACACATCGCAGCGTACCTTGCGACGATGACACAGCTGACATGCAACTTTGGAACGTAATCGCTGAACTCTTCTGGAGCTATTGCTCGTGGCAGAGCTATCAATCTGGGAGGTAGCTCTATCCATCCAGTATAGCTCTGTGTTATCACTTCACCAGTCTATGGTCGATTCCCCCTCTTTGCCGCGGTAAAAGAGGAACCAGAAGGTCGGGAATCTGGGGCGGTCACGGCAATTATTTAAACTAGATATGTGGAGCAAGAACCCCGCGTTTTTTGTCGGTGAATTCGGTTAAGTCGGCACTTTTGTGCAGACTTTCGTTCTCCCACAATCTAGGTATGCAGTTGTTCGTAAGCTGATATCTCTAACAATGTTTGGCAAACCTAATTTTGTACTTCGTATTGCAATGGCTGCTGATTTTCGACCAGAGCTGAATATACGCTACGGATGTTTCGGTAAATAGCCGGCCATGTTGTAGCGCGAACAACATGTGGTCGTTTCATGGCATCGAAAATCTACCGGAGGGCTACCTAATGAAAGGTAGTACATATAAGAGTGGAGGAGATTCATGGATTTGTTCATGAAGTTTGAATGCTCTGCACTTGCCTGAAAACAGTTACAATTGTCGGGTAAATGCCAGATAAGTCACCATGGTCGTAAACGATCGATTTGAGAACCTTGAACTGCAGGGTGGACTAGCGAAGGACACCATTATGCCTGCAGTCGAAACAGTCGAAAATATGGGGAAGGAAAAGGCACACAAGGTCTTCACTCATGTGGAAGAGCGCAAACTCGTACGAAAGCTGGATCTCTGGTACGAACTGTTTCTTCAAAACTCTTTCGAGTCTCCTAACTAAATCATCACCAAACACAAAAGGATCGTCCCTCTCATGATGTTTACATATATGCTGCAAAGCTATGACAAAGGAATTTTGAGTGCAGCAACTCAGTTCGACCTCAACGCCGATTTAGGCTTGACTACAGTGATTGGGTATGAGGCGAATGGGACACCGATTACCAATAATAAAAAGTATTCCAATGCTTCTATGATTTTTTATGTTGGCTATGTTATTGGCACGTACCCGATGTCATACCTAGCGCAACGATTTTCTATTTCACGGGTCATTTCTGGTGCTACTTTTTTCTGGGGCATTGTGGTCATGTCGACCGCGGGTTGTATAAATTACGGTGGTATTATTGTCAACCGTCTTGTTTTAGGCATCCTGGAATCCGCAGTGGCCCCAACTTTCACTGTGCTGGTCACGTTTTGGTGGACGAGGGAAGAACAGGGTCTACGAACTGGTCTTTGGTACTGTTGCGTTGGGGTTGCCACCGCTATTTCGCCTCTGATCAACTATGGGCTTGGCCAGATACATGGGCCCCTAGCATCCTGGAAACCGATGTTCCTAATTCTAGGCGCCGTCACGACTCTGTGGTCGATAGTTCTCTTCTTTGGACTCCCCGACAACCCGATGGAGACCAAGGGCTTAACTGATGCTGAGAGGGAGCTTGCTATTCAACGCTTGGAACGGAACAAAGCTGGTACTATCACCCATAGCTTCAACAGGGCGCAGTTCCTTGAAGCATTTCGAGATTACAAAATGTACAGCTGTAGTTTGCTTATCCTCCTTACCGGGGTTCCCTCTGGTGCCATCGGCACATTCGGAACGATTGTGATCAACGGGTTCGGTTTCAGTCATTTTGAATCTCTGGCTCTTACGTGCCCAATCGGAGCTATCACGGCTCTGAGTATTCTCCTAGTCAGCTATGTGAGCAGGAAGTTCACAAACACCAGGTATCTATGCATCGGAATCTGTGTTATGATATCAATCGCCGGGACCTTAATCTGCTGGTTGGGTCCACGAGATAATAGAGGATTGTTGTTTGCTGGAATATTTCTCATTGCCGTACAGGTCGCATCGGGTGGATTGGCTGTTTCTTTGGCTGCATCCAACATCGCTGGACATACCAGTAAGTTCTACCCCCTGACTCATTGCGGTGTCTATCGAAAGCCATTGTCTAATTTTGAATGCATGATACAGAGAAAGCAACTACAAGTGCATCTACTTTTGTCGGTTATTGCATTGGCAACATCATTGGTCCCTTGATCTTTGGAGCTTCCCCAGGTCCTCTTTACCGTGCTGGTTTCATTGGCAGTTTTGTTTGCCTATGTTTGGTAATCATTATTGCTTTTGGCACTTATTTTCTCTTGAGGATTGAGAACGCCCGTCGCAATAGAATTAGCAGCGTGGGAAGCACACATCATTCTCTTGACGAGGACTTGACTGATATGGAAAACAAGCAATTCAGATATGTCCTATAACCTAGCATTGAATTGTTACACAGCTATAACCAATGAATTGTGATTCACTCTTTCAAACCTTGCTTATCTAGATTCGGCTTTTGCTGGATCACGGAATGCTAAAGTATGAGAGACCTTCGTAATCAGGCTGATACAGTACATTGAAGGACATCCTTCGAGATAACAGTAAGCGGCCGAAACGGTAACGAGAGCAGGCACCTACTATCTTATTCACCGGCGAACTGCGGTAAACTCGGCAGAACCTCATTTCCCAAATGCTGTCCCTCATTTATATGGGGCCTGCTGTACTTTAGTTTAATCTAGCGGGATGAATATCCCCGCATAAATCAACGTTCCCCGCATCCGAATATGAAATTAGTGAAACTGGGGCAGATGACCTTGAGAATTAAGAATTAGACCATTACTGAAAGTTTGACCAGCTGCTAGATAGGACTTTCCGACGGTTATACTGTGAGCTATCTTAGAGTTATTTGCTTATTGCTGGGACATGGTCACTAGCATATTACAGCCAAAGTACAATACTAGTGAATTTTTGATACTCTTCTGCGGTAATTACATTATGTCTGTCGTTCTGACATGGAAATCCGCTTGAAACTAATACAGTATGTAGGTACCTGGGTATGTGTCAAGCAAGGAGGTTGGTACATTCCGAATGCATAAATACTGAGTATGAGCCTCTTCATTCTTCATGCTTCATACTTGTTGAATATTAAAAGCCACAATCAGAAGTCTCAAGTCATAGTTGCTCTCATTCCTTCTATAATTTTCTAGCCCCAGTCGTTCTTCATTTGTTCCATCTTTGAATCATGTTTTGCCATGCTAAAGTGACTACCTGGTTGCTTGTGCTGGTATTATCAGTTTGCTCAAGTCCAGTCAGCATACGCGCAAACGGTTGTGGAAAGAATCTACCATCCGGCCAGGCAAAAGGAGGCACTTATAATGTCACAATAACCAGCACTGGATTGGAACGTAGCTACCTGGTTTTTATTCCCCTCGACTATTCGTCAGATGCTGAAACTCCGGTCATCTTCTCGTATCATGGAGGCGATAGGACGGCGAAGGATCAACTGGAGCTTGATGAGTTGACCAGTCCTGAATTCAATACACATACTTTGGTAGTCTACCCCCAAGGGATCAATGTATGTAGCTGACACTATTAATGGTACGTACACGACTAACATTGACCCAGGAAAAATGGCAAGGTGTTCCAAATGACACAACAAACGACATTCAATTTACCACGGACATTTTAAATCAAGTTGAGAGCCGTTATTGCATCGACCAAGGTCGAGTTTGGACGACTGGAAAATCGGATGGTGCTGGATTTTGCAACATATTAGCTTGTGATTCGGACCTTTCTCTTCGGTTCTCGGTCTTTGCCCCCGTCTCCGGAGCGTATTATGTTGACAGTGAAACTTGTGACCCGGACACGGTTTCAATTCCGTGCTCTCCAGGACGAAAAGATATACCTTTTCTCGCGTTCCACGGGGGTAATGACACCACGATCGCATATGCGGGCGGGGAACGAAAGGACGAGTGCTTGCCATCCATACCACACTTTATCCAGGAATGGGCAGCAAGAGATGATCTACCTACTCACAACATCACAAAACCATTAGCCACTGACACTGTGGTGTACAGTTTTGGTGATGGTCTTGTTGAGCTTGTGTACGATTCTGTTATTGGGCATGACTGGCCTAGTACGGTTCCAAATTCAGATAATTCGGTAGCCGGTCATCATCCAGCATCGTTCAATGCGACACCAATAATAATGAACTTCTTCGAAGCTCATTCTGTTAGCAGGCTTGGTGCCAACTATTAGCAAGCCGGCAATTGCCTGAATATATGAAGACCCGTCTTAGCTACGGGGCTCGTGCTTCGATTGTTGCTTCTAGTTCGTAGGAATCATTACATTCATCTCTTAAAGAGCTGGACAATATTTTCTTTTTTGTCTGTCATCAGGACTTATTCTAAGCATAGATTCCAAAGTGTTGATTTAAAAAGTTGGAATGAGCCCCACAACGATCAGTGTATATATTTATCTCGATGTGCGTCAAAAACCAGTCCCTTTCAAACTCAATTATACTCGGAACTCAAAAATGATTCCAAAAGGAGGATGCACACAGTATAAATGTAGAATTCCGAATCAAAGTCAAAGAAAAGGGCAATTAAAGCGATTATCTTCAAACTTGTACCGAAGTACCGATCATTGACACCGCGGCAATTTCGGCAATTAAACTAGGGTTTGCAACCACGACGATAAGTGCCCGGATTGTCAAGCTTCTTGACAACAATTTATCATATGTAGTTCTCGCATCATAACAATGAATGAACGCATAGAACTTTCAACCTAATTTAAACTACCACAAAATGGAGCCGCGCTTTTCTCTCCCACCTAACACGCCATTATCGAGCAAGAAAGAGCTGGTGATTGGTGGAGTTCGAGTCTATGTTTACGGCTTAGAGGAGTTGAAATGCAGCGTTGATGATAATATTGCTATACTATATCTTGCACATAATAGGACTCGCACCTATAAAGTCACAGAAGGCGTTGCACATGAAGTGCTACATCGATATCAGACAGATGGGAAGCAGAAGAAAGCGCAGCTCATTGCTGTGACTATGAATATGAGAAACCACGGGGATAGAGAGGTAAAAACATATTTTACATGCTCCAAGTTTTAAATCCTGTGATATTGATCAGCATTCCCCCTTTAGATTTCTCCTCAGGCAAACCGAACTTGGGCGGACGGGAATGAGAATCACGGGTATGTGATGTACTAATCAAATCTCGTTTTCACACATAGGCCTAACTTTTGTCTTAGGCTAGACCTTCTCTCTATGATTGAGGGATCTGCACAAGACTTCAAACTGATCATGGACTTCATACCAGCATACCTACCACAGTGTGCCTGTATATACAATATTATGGGCGGCATCTCTCTGGGCGGTCATACTGCATGGCGCATTGCGTCTCTAGCTCCGGGTCGACTGCATGGCTTCGCAATGGTCGTCGGCTCACCAAATTTGGCATCGTTGCTTCTCAGTCGCCTAAACATTCAGACTGATATATCGGATATCGACTCACTAGAATACAAGGAATTATACGAATTGATGAATCCTCAGCAACGGCGGATGTGGCCAAACACCCTCGACAAGCTGGTTCGTGATGGAGACCGGGTAGTGACTGAAAGCTTCCCGACTGATGTGCCCTTACTGTTATGCAACGGGAAATACGATACATTGGTGCCGGCAAAATACACGGAAGAATGGGTAGCGAGGAGGAAACAGTCTAGAAATATCAAGTTATTTGTACAGGACAACACCGGTCACAGTTGCACGAAGGAGATGGTCGGGATGCTAGCGATATGGCTCAGTGATATGTTCTGCCAAGATGCTTCTGCACGACTTTGACGACAGGCCATTGAATTTAGTGGCAGAAATTATGCTAATCAAATGGTGTGCCCTTTTAAGGTGCCKGATTCGTCGCATAGTTATAGAAGGCTCCTCGCTAGATAATTCGGCCACCGAAGGAGAGCCGCCATGGGAAATTGAAAAGAATATCAGCCCCTATAGAACCAGAAATTATTCTGACCTACGTAACTTATTCATTCACCATTTGACTCAAGGACAATGCGAATACCCTAATCCTGGAGCATGTGTTGTCGCGCTATGCCGGAACGGGACCGTCGCCGCTCTCAAAGCAATCATTATCATTGCACTCCCTTAGTGCCAGGGTCTCCACTATGTATCCACCGCGACCTTAATAGCGGCCAGCGCTAACCGGAACGGCACCGACTGCTTTTTACTTTGCATTCCAGCATCAACATCCTGAATTTATTCTTCGAAGTACATCGATTTCTGCAGAATTAGGCAACTGAGATTATGAATGTGCGTCTCATTGGTGAATATTCAACACACGAACGAATTGACGGTCCTTTTGATTTGAAATCAAGTGAACCGGCTCGAAAGATGCTGCAGCATAAATATCCAGCCTCTCCTTCTCTCGATAGTCAGAGTTATAAGTTCTCTACATCCCATACAACATCGACGTCCTTATTCCTGTACAGACCCTGATATCTGCAACACTACCTATATAATCAAGGCTGAATCTCCATATCAAGAAAATGCCCAGCAAATTCCATCGAAGCGTTCTCGTCACAGGCGGAACCGCCAATCTCGGATATCAATGCGCGATCAACCTTGCTCGGAAGTATCCCGACTATCAAATCGTCATAGCATCGCGATCCGATCCTAATTCTTCCGCCGAGAGCATCAATCGCTTACTCGGCCAGAAGAACGTCAAGTTCCTGCCCCTAGATTTGTCTAGTCTTGCTCAAGTACGATCCTTTGCGGAGGTGTGGGAAGCCAATCAGTTCCCTCCAATTTATTCGCTTGTTTTCAATGCGGCACTGCAATTTCCTGGGGATGTACAGTATACCGGCGATGGATTCGAAAAGACCTTTGCCATCAGCCATATCGGCCATGCTCTTCTTTTTTCTCTTCTGCGCCATCACTTAGCCGATACGGCCAGAGTGGTCATTGTCAGTAGCGGCACGCATGATCCAGCTCAGAAGTCTGGTCTGCCGGATGCGCATTACTCATCCGCAGAAGAAATCGCTCATCCCAAAGGCGATGCCTTAAAGAACAACGGCCGTCAGCGTTACGCTACAACCAAATTGACCAACGTGTTGTATAGCTATGCCCTCCAACGACGATTCGAAGCCATCAACAAGAAGACAGGAAAAAAGTGGACGGTCGCGGCATTTGACCCAGGTCTTATGCCCGGCACTGGACTTGCACGAGATGCCACTGGGCTCGAAAAATTCCTGTGGCTCAAAGTTCTGCCTAGACTCATGCCGCTCCTGCGCCTCCTGATCTCACCAAACATCCATACTGCGGAATACTCTGGGCAAATGTTGGCTCGATTAGTGACTGAGTCAGATGAGGAGATTGGTAGTGGGAAATACTATGAAGGAAACAGGCAGATCAAGTCGAGTGACGTGAGTTACGATCAGGACAAACAGGAGGATCTATGGGAGTGGACGGTCAAGACACTCGCGAAACCCGACTCGGAAACATTTCGTTTTGATTTGAAGGATTTGCTCTGATTTAATTTTCATATATCATCTTTCAATGTTTATTTTCTAGATTTTGGGTTTTGTATGAATAGCTTAATGAATGGATCAATGCGGACTTAATAACGGCAAAGTAATTGCCGTCTTACAGTAACTAGTAAGCACGGAATTAACATGCAATGCCCGAGTGGACAGAAGACACAAGACTGGAAGCATGATCTCTAAGTCCTCCTATGCTGTTAATACACGATCTAATACTCGATCTTTTATTCAATCATTATAAGTTGTCACCATGACGGATAACATGCGAAGGGAAGAGCGCTCAACGCTAGCCTGATTGGGAAGTGAAATCCGACTCATTCTTATCAGATCGAGATTAGCGTTGCGCGATTCATATAATCTCAAACTGTCAACACAGTGTATATGCAACAATCTTACATTCTGGTATCATCTCTCATCCGTTTTATGGCAGTGCCGACCGATACTTTCGACCGACAAGATGCACCTCAAGGGTATAAATAGGACCTTCCACCCCCTCATCCCAGATTTCTATCTCATCCATCGATCATAATTCCTTCTTTATCTGACTCCAAATGCTGTCTTGTCTAAGACGATCCGCTATATCACATTTCCCCAGACTCTTAACATATACATATCTTCCCAGATACATACATTCTCAACCATTCAAGATGCCTTCCAACAGCGCCGCCTGGATCACCGAGGCCAAAAAGGTCCCTTTCGAAGTCAAAGAAGCTCCTCTGTGGACCCCTAAGGAGAATGAAGTTCTCGTCAAAAACCACGCCATTGCCATCAACCCTGTCGATGGCAGTGTCCAGCAGTTCGCGTATCTCCCACTCGAATATCCATCGATCCTCGGCACTGATGTCGCAGGAGAAGTCGTCGCTGTTGGACCAAACGTCACCCGCTGGAAGGAAGGTGACCGCATCATTGGTCACGGTTTGGTTCTCTGGAATCTAAAACCAGAAGGTGCGGCGTTCCAGAACTATACTATTGTGGCGACCAACATGGCGTCTGAGATTCCGGCGAATGTCGCGTTTGAGGATGCGGTTGTACTTCCTCTCTGTCTCTCGACGGCTTCGACAGGTCTTTTTCATGAGGATTATCTCGGTTTACAGTTGCCTACGTTCCCAGCCCAGAAGCCCGTCGGCAAGACTCTCGTTATCTGGGGTGGCGCCTCTTGTGTCGGTAGTAATGGTATTCAAATAGCCAAAGCTGCAGGTTACGAGGTTGTTACCACCGCATCAGCCAAAAACTTTGACTACGTCAAGAGCCTAGGCGCAGATGTAGTTTTTGACTATAACTCCCCTACTGTTACCAAGGACATCCTCACCGCCCTAACCGGTAAGACTCTGGCTGGTGTTCTCGACTGCATCGGCTTTTCCGCAACACCGCACTGTCTCGAAATTGCCGAGAAAGCCGAAGGAACCAAATTCGTGGCTACTACCAAGCCTCGCTTCCCTACTCCACCTGAAGGTGTTGAGATCAAGCACATCCGCGGTGATCTTCTCGTTACAAATTCGTTGGGAAAGTCGATCTACGAGGACTTTTTGCCAAAAGCGTTGGAGGCAGGATCGTATGTGGTGGCCCCAAAGCCGACTATCATTGGAAAGGGATTGGAGCGTGTTCAGGATGGCATCCATGCGATTATGAAGGGTGTTTCTGCGACTAAAATTGTTGTTACTTTGTAATTCTTAGTTGGATCTGATGTACATTGACCTCTACCTTCTTATAAACTCGAATATTGTGTTACAATCTTGTTTATTGAATGTATCAAACGAGTAGACCAACCAGAAGTATCATACAACTACCAGAAAGGTACTCAAAGTCTATGTTCGGAGCCTATGATGTAAATTAGCAGATGTTCCATTTTTCCCAGAGACGTAGATTAAGAGGGAACGCACTTGAGCCAGGATTGAAGCCTGCCCAATTCCCATATTCTGCGCTATCCATCCCAGGCACCTCTTTAAATAATCCTGTGTTGGTTGATTGACAATATCGAGATGCGAAGTAATAAATATGGAGTGCATAAGCAACAATCCGCCTACTGCTCTTCCTGGATTCTTGATCGATGTTGAAGTATGTACCTCACGCGAAAAACCGTGCAGATCTTCAATTAGATGGAAAGGAATCGAAGACAGCATGCCGTCAACCAGAGAAGCGGCGATCTCACTTTCGGCGTCTGGACTTCTGCCATCATTGAGCGCATTTGACAGTTTTAGAATTAAATCGACCAGCAACAAGCGACTGGCGCGGTAGACGTTCCACACAGTAGACATATAAAGATCAAAGTAAGTGTCTACCTTTCCGGGCCAAAATCCTACGTTACACCAAGATAGTCCGTGATTATCCTCAATGTGGAAAACTGTGCTTGGGTGGAATGACTTTTCTCTAGTCTGTTCCCACGTTGAGAAAGCATGATCCAGATCTACTGCTTCGTTTTGTAGTTGATAGAGTGTGTCACCGAGGAAGGCTGGAGAGCCTTCAAGGAGGGTATTTGCACGTTTCAAGAGCGAGCCGAGCGAAAGGAGAAGATCATCCAACCTCCTAGCGTATATTGATGAGCCCGGTACCGTAAAAATAGCATCAGTATGCCTCTAAACGCGTTTTAGTTTTCACTTGACACAAGAGAAAAGAAATGAAATACCTTGGCTCCTTTGTGTGACAGGGCTGAATGACCACGATGCACCGCTTCGACTAGGTGAAGCGGGGAGTTTTTTATTCCAAGCAAAGCAGCAACACCCCTAGCGTGTGCATTGTGGTATCCTGGGTACAGTTCATTTCCAACAATAATCTAGTTCCAAAGTTAGTTGCAAGTATGGTAAGCATTAAGAGAATAGAATGCAATAACTACCTCATAAAGACCTAAAAGCATTGCTACACATAAGGAATTTTCACGTTCAATTGACCCTGAATCATGCATTGCAACGGTGAATCGCGACAAGACATCTTGATATAGTACGGCCGATCGATGTGACAATGATGGGCGATTAAGGCTGACTCCTGTGCTTGCATATGCAACAGCTTGACAAGCTATCTTAAGCAGGGAGTCGGGTGCAACGTCGTAAAACTTCTGTTCGAGACCCCTCAGAAAGCCCGGAGATATGCTGGTATTAGATGATGGAATGCAATATTCGTGAAAGAATGCTTGCAGGGCATATTGATCGGCCCTTTCGACCTTGATTTCCTTGGGACAGGCATCAGGCGGGAGAGTCGACATGCCAGGGAGAAGTTCTCTCTTCGGTAAAGTGCATTTCCTTGCTATTAGTTTTTCTAGCGCCGAGCCGTGGGCCCGTTGCTGTTTACTGCCGTATTGGCGAATCTGATAGTCTTGAGCGGCGTGTTCGTAACCGCCACATGTCCGGTTTGAATTGCGACATCGCAGGCAGGACTGTGTTCAGGAGTCAGCTGTTTTGTGTCTTATAAACCATATAGTGGGCTCTAGTTTAATATCTGCATGCGCATAAGAGCCAGGACACATACCGGACGAGTTTCGTCGCACTACAGGGATCAATGAGTGGATCAGTCAGCTGCTGAAAACAATTGCCACTTCAGATAATCGTAATGTGCACGGGCAGACATACCTTCTTTCGACGTCTCTTGCATGTCAGACAGGCCTTGGAGGGCCCTAAGTTGACCATGTTTGTTTACTTGAGTCACCGGAGTTTAGCGATCGATCATATAGCCCGCAGACCCCAGAAAAGTCGCGAAGCAGTCACTAAGAGTTACGTATATGACCGCTCGATAGAAGGGCGGAGAGTTTGCGGGAAAAAACCACGTAACTCCGTGAAGCGACACGAGATTGTAGAATAATTTGTTGGTGACCCGAATGACTAATTGATCTTGTTGTTAGAAGCTGAAACTTGAGAAATCGGGGCAGGAAGGCCTGAGGCCATCACCTGAATGGGTTAGGACTGAGAGTCTGGTGCGCGGACAGAACTGCTAAAAGAGGCTAGCGTTGCGCAATGCTGAAGTTTCTGTTTGTGGTAGTTTCAGCCGCATCTCCAGATATCTCCGAGAACACTGATACCATTTTACCTTTTGACTGATGCAATTTTTAAAAAATATCACCAATTCTGGGTTCAAAAAAATATATTGCTTTATTAAACTTTCAGAATGGTGCAACATATAGCGACTTGGCCATTCTATTCTCCATAGATTCTCGTCAAACAGTCAATTCCTGCTATTATCTATATAAGCAATGCCTTCGTTGCGGCTCSTAGAGGGKACATGTGTTCATTGACGGATCATAATGAATGTTTGTTTACTAAAGAACAGATCGGCTCCGGACAATCTGTAATTTCCTTCATAACTTTACCTTTGTTCTGTCAGTTACAGCCTTCAATTGCGAGACCTTGAAAGCTTGTTCAGAAAGCCGCAACATTTCTGCATCTGAGCGTTTGCTCCGATAGCTTTCCCAGAAACCTTCTTCCTCCATCCACTTCGAGAACCATTTTTGAATCCAGCCAGAAGCAACAGTCGCACTCCAATCGACATCTTCTAGTACAAGTGTGTGAGATCCTTTTTCCAAAACAGCTTTGGCAACCATTCCCTCTTTGACACCTCCACTGCCACCAACTCCGGTGCCAGTAGCATTAAGCTTCGAGTCTTGCTCGTCGAGAGGTGAAAGGTAGCTTTTCCCACCATATACCCACAACACACTTGGGCGAATATAAGGCAAATTTTGTGCGGCGATATGGCATTCCGGTCGAGAGTAAATGTAATTACGTGTCGAGGCAAAATTCCAGTCAGGCAGCAGAAGTCTGTCTAGACCAGCTGACTCGGGCTCAAGATTCGGTATAGTGTAACTCCAGGCCTCCTGATGCTTCGATGTTGTTAAAGTAACAGCAGCTGCGGGCACGCTCGGATCAGTGTCAGGATTGTATAACCGTGTAGGTACTGATCGAAGTCCGAAGTCAAGGTATCGATCAACTACACGAGAATCCCATTTACGGAGTGATTTGCGCAGGGCTTCCTGTGCTTCCTGCCTCGATGGCCATATATCTCTTTTCACGGCAGCGAATTTGGCGGGATTGGGTCCTGGAACGGCTCTGTCGACGATCACCGGTTCATATAAAATTAACGTGGATAGAAGTCGTGGATGAAGAACAGCCAAGTGTACGCTTGAAGCTATGTCAATTTAAATCTCCAGTGACGCATTACAGAGGTACAATGGCACTTACAGCTGGGCACATCCCATGCTATGACCAACGCCAATTATTGGTCGAGGCATTTCCTCACGAAAATGGTTGATCATGTGTAAAAGATCCCGAGAATGATCAAACCAGTTTGCTAGAAAATCTATTAGTAGAGGGTTTGGTTCACAGATGTGAGGGCGATGTAATGATTAGAGTACATACTCGTATCACCTTGAATATCCTCATTCAAGATGCCGCTTGCACCTTGATTTGATATGTCGGCGACCCATATTGCACGGAGAGGAATTGAATTTGTCTTCAGTTTGGTATATAAATCCTCCCATAATGGTTCGTATAGTTCCTTCTAGCTGTCAGTACGTGATTTCACCCGGATCGAAAAGAGAGCAGAGTAGAAACAAACCTTCGGAAACCCCGTCCCGTGAGTCCCAATGATAGTGATTGCATTTCTTGGAACCAGGCTGGGCCGATCCTTAGGAATATATTGCTTGATAGCGAGTTGTACAACAGTCTCTTGAGGGCCATTGATGCTATGAACATACTCGCGAATGTGCTGACCCGGTAGGACGTGCTCCACAACATTGAATACGAAACCCATTGTTTAGGCGGTTCGTGAATCGCTAGTTTAACAACAGATGGAGCAACTGCAAATGCTGTCTCTAGATACCTTTTGCGGAGAAGAAAAATACAGGCTCAAGAGCTCGGGGCTGATGGTGGCCCTTTAATGAGGCTGTCACTGCATCATCGCATTTTCTTTGTCTTGAGTGCTAGAAGTTCCCCCAGATCTATATTATTGGTTAGGCTTCATGAAGCTAGACCCATCCGAGACTAGCCTTTCCACTTTGGGCAGTTGCGCGACACTTGGAGCAGGTTCCAACATGAACATCTTATTTTTCTTTGATCCGATTGGTTTGGTTTTCTGCGGCTGAGATTTGATCCACTCTTGCAAACATTTAGCGTGGTTGCAGCTGGGATGTTTTTTCCAGCTTTGTACGTACTACGTACTCAAGCATCGCTGGACGTCTCAATTTGACGAACACTCTTTATCACTACCAGATATATGGCTTCAACGTACGACCATACTTCGGTCAAAATCGTGGATATATTCTGAGGTTGTGGGCAACGGCATGCACAAAAAAAAAATAGAATACTCTACTCTAATACGGGTAAAGCAACGCATCTCACCCATCAATTGATCTTCCAGTATCTCCAAGCAGAAATGCAATCATGACTTCCCGATCATGGTATCAACAGCGTCCTTGACACAAGTCTGCAAGTCTTTGTATTCTATACCTAGCATACGCTTTGACTTGCTCACATCGTAGCTGTAGTAGTTCTCCGGAAAATCGTCTGGAAGCTCTGGAAGTGGGAGCTTATCTTGTAACTCGGGGTAGAGCTCACGAATAACATCTGCAATTCGTTTGTTGCTGAATAATCCCCCTACAAGCATGAAACGCTGACCGCTCGCTTCCGGGAGCTCCATGGCACGGATATGCGCCTCCGCGACATCACGTACGTCAACAAAGAGGAACAAAGGCCCCGTCGGCGTGATTTCTTCTCGGTTCTTGCCAAGCACAAGGTCACGGATACGGTGGTTGCTGGTATTGAGGGCATCAAGACCGGAGAGATGTCTGGGTGGAGGTCCAAAGACGAGACATGGATTGATGCTGACTAGGTCAAATGAGGGCTTTTCTTTTTCGATGAATCCAAATGCCGCACGCTCAGCATAGATCTGTATGACAATAATCAGGATTTATTCATGCCTTTCTTTTGCGAGGAAGCATACCTTGCTAGCACGATAAGTGCCAGTGCCGGATATAGCTTGCTCCCAAGTCGTCTCGCCATATATCTCTTCAGTATATACTTCGGGGTGGTTAGGCGGATTCGTGATCGTTGCCGTGCTAGACAACAGCACAACTCGTTTCACGCTTGTTGGCGCATACTTTTGGACCGAATGTAGAATGCCGGTTGTTCCCTTGACGGCGGGATCGATAAAATCTCTGACAGGGTTTTCTAGATTGAAGTGATACGGAGACGCGGTATGAATCACGAAGTCAATGGTAGAGTTTTTTTTAATGGCCTACTTTGATTAGCTGCTACACCACTCTCTGCAACTGGAAGATATCTTACCTCATCAAATGCATTCTCCTTCGCGATGTTTTCCACGACTTCATATGAGGCGGCTGCTTTGAATTCTTGGGGCAACGCAGAAATAATGGCGTCTCCTTTTGCGACAGATCGGACGGAAACAACTACTTCATACCTGGCCCATCATTGTACTGTTAGCGAAAGATGTGATATTTTTATTTTGCCAAAGTATGATCTACCCGCTGGAAAGAAGTTGGTCGAGAATATGAGATGCGATGAAGCCACTTCCGCCTGTTCTTGATTAATCCGTTTGACCTATTGCTCAAGAGTTGCCAGAAACTTTTTGAAAATCGACTTACCAGTGAGGAATACCTTTCCTTTGGGAGCAGTAGAGCCCATTGTGATTTCTGATATACTTGGACTGATTTCAAGAATCAAATGAATAATACAATCGCTTCCTATTGTTATTGAAAGAGTAGTGAATCGAACATCTGAAGAACAATAACTTTCCAATTGCAGCTAATCGATATAACCCGGATCTCACATAAACCCCACTATGACCGGGGATGTCGCTGTCGGGGTTGCACAAACTGGATTGACAGACTGGTTCCCGAGTACAGCTGAATATCGTATGTTAGCGAGGGAGGTAAATACTACCAGTTATGACCCCACATATCGACGAAGTGGCTCGAAGATATTCAAAAAATTGTTTTTTCGATGGTTTCTAGTTCGTAGTCCACGCCTAAGGACGCAATGTTGATAGTGATGGTCGTAGAAATTAGGGCATTGATACTTAGTGTCCAGATATCGGATATCGGACATCCATACAAAACAAACTCCGATTACAAACTCCGGCAATCGTAGAGCGAACATATTAGCTTATTGGCTGGAAATGGTAGATTTCCACCATCAATCTGTATTAAAACGATATAGTCTGATTATCATCAATATGAAATATTGAGAGCTCACTAATTGAATGTCTGTGCAACATCTGAAAAGATGCTGGCTAGATAAGTGTTAAACAATCAACACAAAACAAGTTGTTCTACCTTGAGCCTAAATGTCCTACTCACAAGTAATTTACTTTCGACTGGATTGGACAGCTATGAAAATTGCATTGGTCTTGAGTCATTCACTCTGTTTAGAATTAATGTCTTGAGAGGGAAACCCATGTAGAAACACTCATTAGATAATTTATTCGTTCAATCTGATTATTATAGGTATAGAGAGAAAAAGTCATCAAACTAGCATAAACAATATGAAGATCACAATGCTACACATTGCCGGCCACAAAGACGTAGTTCACAAGTTCCCTAACAGTTAAATGTAGTCCAAAGTCCCAGTCACCAAATTGGAGGCTGAAGGCATCCTCAAAAGACTCCCTTAGTTCAATAACCGAGAGCGAGTCGATTCCAATGTCTTGTAAGCTCACTTCATCTTTGATGTTGCTTACAGACTCTCCAGAGTTTTCTGTAATTAATTCGAGGATCCGTTGCCTGATTCTTAGATTGGATTGCGAGTCTCCTGCCGTGACTGGAGAGTTAACTGCTGTGGGAGAGGCTGGACCATCGAGTTCAATTTCGTGAACGTGATCGATGTGTACAGATTTGTTATTTGCCGTTGAATCATGCGAAAATAGCTTGTTATAAAGATCTGCTATCTGGGAAAGATCTTGTGTTGGGGAGATTTCGTTGCCCACTTGAGCACGTAGTTGGTTCACAAACTCAAGCTTGGAGAGTGAATCTAGCCCCAGAGTACCTAAGTCACCATCGTTGTTGATCATGGCTGATTTGAAGGTGGAAGGTCGTCTTGAAGCACTGTCCTGTGCTACAAGAGTCTGCTCATCGAACTCAACAGCCGTACTGACTCTCAATCCATGTCTGTTGGCGGGGGGTTTTGTATGGAAATTTGTATTAACATGAGCCGTAGGGGACGACGGAGCAGACACTCCCCTTCTGATACTACTATTCTCGACCGGTGATTTGGGGGCGCCCATTCCGATGCCTTCCAACACTTTTTCAAGCTTGGAAATAGGGAAACGACTGAACTGGACACCCGAACCAGTGAATATCAGTTTGCCGTCTTTTGTAAAAACAAACATGTCACCAGCAACATGTCCTTCACTGCGTGTATTTGCCATGGCGTAAACTTTCCATGTGTCGTGTTGAGGGTCGGAAAAGTCACAATCTTGCATTATGATGCTGTCAATACCGGTAGCAATAAAAACTTCATCCACAGGACAAGTTTCACTGCTGTTGATCAAAAGACCAACGACCTGGATGAATGTGTCCAATGTTACTGTATCACAAACTCCGACCGCGGTACTCTCGCTGGAGCTTACGGACACCTTAGGCCGGCACACTTCCGCCACTGCATGTCGGTTGTTGAGAATGGTGATCTCTGAGATGCCACGCAAGGTCACAGCGTAGTTGACCACCCGGGAGAAGAGTGTGTATGCTCTGCCCGCCATGAGTCTTTCAGACTGAGGATGAACTAGAATCTCGTTCATTCGGTCTGCGAGCATTCGCTCATAAAGCTGAAAGTCGATATGAGATGTAACACTGAATCGTCCCTTGGCGTGAGTAGTGGGCCTGCCCTTGGAATCCTTGACAGTGCTGCGGACTGTGAAATTCCAGGCCAAGTATTCGCCGTCACCTTCCATAAGTAGGGAAACATCCCGATTGTAGTTAATACCTAGCGCTCCCTGGAAAGAAAGATTTTGGAAGGACAGTGACTTGACAGAAACACTAGGCTCTACCATCTGTGCTGCCATAACTACACATTCCATGTACATTGATGCTGGGCATAATGGTCGGTCACGAACTGCGTGGGCAGATACAATATCCGTAAATCTGCTTGTCTCACTATGGATAGCAAACTCAAGCGATGACCAAGATTCCGAATCCCGTCTACGCGCTGTGACCAGTTTCAATGCTGGAGTTTGAGGTTGGCTGACGGCAGTTCTGACTGCACTGGCTGAACGAAGCTTTGCTTCGAATGTCTTACGCTCTTCTGTCACCGTATCCATGTATTGTAACCAATGCCGAGTATGTTGGAATTGGTACGGCGGAAGCCAAATGTGATTGAAAGCATTGGATTTGATTCCATCCGGTGGGTTAGAGTAGAATCCATCGAAGCAAGAAACGGAGATTCCTTCTTGCCACAGGCTTAGAGTTGCTTGCGATATGACATCAATTGGACGAGCAATGTCCTTTGCCTTCAGCCCAAGGAAGATATGCTGAGATGGGTTCTGAGTAGCCCTCTTCACCATGGGAATAATCGGTGAATCGCTACCTGCCTCAAGCCATATGCAGGGCCCCAGACGTTCTTCTAACCTTGAAATTGCATCTCCAAAATACACAGGTGTACGAGTATGCTCCACAATGCGGCTGGGCTGAATAGCCTCGTTATCTTCACTGAGAGGCCTTTCTGTGCATGTTTCGAGTGGGAAGGAAGGTTCTCCAAATTGTAACTTTTGGGCTACTTCATCAAGATCTTGCAGTATTGGTTCAGTGAAGGCGGAGTGAAAGCCATGACTCGTCTTGACTCGAGTATAACGAATTCCTTTGAACTGATTGTCGGTCGCAATCAAGCGCTCGACTTGAGCAATGTCTTTATCAGTTCCAACAAGCACATGACTCTTTTGACCATTATAACAAGCAATCTCAATATTTTGATTAACAGCATCAATAATATGACGTGTTGTGTCGAGAGTGGCCTCAATTGCAAGCATGTTGCCTCTTTCCGGACCCCATTTTGTTTGCATCAGGGAAGCCCGTGCTGCTACCAAATTGAGGGCCTGTTCAAGCGACAAAATTCCCGTAACAGCCATAGCTGTTAATTCGCCGAAGCTGTGGCCAACGGCGGCCTTCACATCCAATCCTGCATCGATCCAGCACTTGGCACATGCAAATTGTACTGCGAAAGTTCCACATTGTAGGGCAACTACATCCTCGACAGGATCAGTAGCAAACACCGCAGGCAGAATTGCCGAATAACCCAATCGCATGATCGTGTTGTTGCATAAGTCGATGTAGTGTCGGAGACGTGAGAAACTGACGTACCACGACGGGTCAAGTCCAATCGTTTGCTTACTCTGGCCGGAGAAAGCCAAGACCACAGATTTGGAAGAATCCGGTACTTCAACGCCTCCCTCCACTTCATCTAGTGATTGAACAAGGAGCTCAACGTCATTTGCTAAGCCAGCCCATTGCACCTTGTGATGTTTACGGCGATGATAGAGAGTGTAAGCTACATCGGCAACGCGTAGCTTATGGTGCCGAAGGTATGAGGCAAGCTTGGTAGCATTAGCCTTAAGGCTAGCATTGTTCGCAGCGCTCAGGAGGACCGGATACTGTAGATGACTAGTTTCATGACAAGTTTTCTCTGTAAATGATGCACTAGTCATGGCTGTAAGTGCCGGTGCCTCACCACATATCAAAGCTGAGTTACTACCAGCAGCTCCGTAACTGTTGACACATGCTGCTCTAAACGACACATTCCAGTCTTGAAGTTCAGTCGGGATACGTAGGTAGTCGGGTTCGAGAGCAGGTATTTTGGGATTCAGTGACTTGAATCCGGCTAGAGGAGGAATCTTTCCGTGCTTGAGCATTGCAAGAACTTTCATCAAACTACCGATTCCAGCGGCAGTTTCACTATGTCCAACATTGGCTTTCAAAGAGCCCATATTCACAAACTCGCTTCTATCGGGACCACCGAAAACCTCACGGACACTGGATATTTCTATTGGATCACCGACCTGAGTGCCAGTGCCGTGTGCTTCAACGTAAGAAATTTGTCCAGACTTGAGACCGGACTGGTTAAGAACGTTCTTGAACAGACTGACCTGAGCACGATAGTAGGGAACGGTAATTGCTGGAGAGAGGCCACCCTGGTTGGTGCCAACTCCCATAATAACACCAAGAATATTATTCCCATCAGCTACTGCTTGACGCAAAGACTTTAAAGCCACTAGTCCAACTCCATCGGCACGGCAATAACCATCTGCAGTCTCGTCAAACGGCTTGCATTGTCCTGTAGTGCTTAAAAATCCTGCTTTACCAAGATCGAGGTAGTTGTTAACACCAGTAATGATATTCACGCCACCGGCGAGAGCCATGGGGCATTCGCCAGACTGGATAGCTTTGCAGGCGCGGTTGACAGCGACAAGTGATGCAGAGCACGCGGTATCGATTACTTCAGAAGGCCCGCTCCAACCAAAGTGGTAGCTAATACGCCCACTTTGGAAAGCTCGGATGGTCCCGGTGGCCGTATAAGCTGTCGGATTATAAGAACTGGTATTTTCCGTGTACTCAGTATAGCTCGCGCCGATAAAGCAACCGATATTGTCAAAGTTATCTCGACAATGTGTCCGCAAATATCCACTAGCATCTAAAGCTTCGTAGGCAGTTTCAAGCAGTAAACGTTGTTGTGGGTCCATGTACGTGGCCTCACGAGGACTGATGCCGAAGAAGTTGCTATCAAAAGATTCGACATCATCGAGGAAGTTACCGTAAAGCTCGCGCTTGGCGGCCTGTTTGGCGTCCGGTCCTACAGAGCCACGAGATATCGTTGATAAATCAAATCGCGATGATCGTAGCTTTTCGACTCTCGACGCTCCAGCACTGAGTATTTCCCAAAGCTCGTCGATAGAATTTGCGCCAGGCAATCGGCAACCAGCACCAACAATAGCGATGGCGTTTTCGGGATACTGATCCAGTGTCCGTCCGTCTCTCTGAATGTCAAGGTTCTCGACATAGTTCACGACATCCACTTTGGAGATACGCAGTTGTCTTTCTTCAAATGGCGTTGTGGGAATGCAATTTTTTCTTCCTGTACCAAAAAGAGCGAAGGTGTGCTCCTTGTCTGCACTTCTAGTTTTTTCAAGATCTTCAGCCATACCATTCAGCAGGATGTACCATTCGCATTTATTTGCTAAGGTATTTTCCAACACCTCGATAGACAGAGAAAGACTGTTATCTGCATTTCTCAATTCCATCCCACTTTTATTTGACCGTAATGAGGTCTGCAACGAAGCTGTAGAGGGGAGCATCAACAGATCAGGATAAAGTTGGCATAAATTGCTGAGCTCTTGGCACAAATCCTCATTTTCGGGATTGTGAACTTTGCCTCTGAGGTGTAATTTGGTGGCTTTGATGCCTTGGCCTTCGGCGTAGGCTCGAAGTTCCTCCACAACTTTCACAGGCCCAACAATACTTATCGTCTCTGGGTCTGTCACAGCGGATACATAAGTCTGTTTGAAGTTGCATTCATGATAAGTATCGAATTGTAAGAGTCATTGTGAAAGTGGTGACTTACTCCTGGAAATCTGGACACTATGTCCTCCGCCTGCCCCGAATATTTTGTCCGGAGCACAACCGTTGTCGGGCCAGGGATATTCTCATCATCCCCTAACTCTGCATAAGCACCTATGGAGAGTGCCAATCTCAAGGCAATACCCGCATTCTTGACAACTTCCTCTTCATCGCGGGAGGCTGCTATCGCGGCTGCGGGCAACAATCCGCCACAATAGCCTTGAGCACCACCTATTCTAATTTCTTCAACAAATTGTGTGTGACTTATCTGTCGAGTTTCGAGATATTGGAAGTATTGAACAACTTGCATTATTGTGAGCAAAGGAAGTGAGATCATTCCAGACATTGTTTCCATCCATTGCATCTCAGTTGATGTTGATGGTGACTCTGTAGCAGCAATCCAGTCATGGAAGTATTGTATGTATCGAGGTCCTTGCATCATCGCCGCGATGCCAGGATTCGTCTTTGCGAGAATGTTCCATGTTGTGGAGAGTGACTCAAGTATAGCTGTTCGGAACGGTTGAAGAGTAGCATTGCTACGTAGATAACGACGAATGACGTCGAGATAATTTGGTTTTGGTGGTTTGTTCTGTGGGCAGAAGAATGCTGCCGAGGGCCTCGTGTCTGAGGACTTGTGATCCATGTTGGCGATTATAGCAATCCGTAAAACAGGAAATGCTGTGATACTGAAATTTTTGAGAGTGATATTAAAAGACGGGTAAGGAATGAGAAACAGAGGACAAAGCGTCAAGTCTCTGTGTTAGCGAGCACTGACTTGAAGAAAGGAATGAATGCCTGGATTGGCCGCTCTGTAAGACAGTGGAAACAACCAGATTCCGCTGTGTTCGGGAGTTGATGTGATTTTATTACATATATATGTTGGAAAGCAACAGCTGGTATATAAACACTTATATTTAAGCCCTAACATTGATATCGCATGATCCGGAACCCTAACCGCGATACATAAACACTGAATTTGAAGACGAACAGCTCTCAGCCACTCAAACGCCTGTTCTATGGAGTGGAAACTCCGGTAGTCACACAGTATCCATTGAGAAACTTCATGTCTTATCCCTTTTTCGAATCGAAGCCATATTGATTGAGAAGGTTCGTGTTTCGTACCGATAAGTCCGAGATCATCGGTCGTAACGATCCCAATATAAACTCCGCAACCATAGTTGGGATTTGCCAGGTCGTGATAGACTGTAAAATAAGCCCATATTCAGACAATCTTGATGAATGATAGGCCTTCGTGAATCGTATTCGAAAAATGAAAGTTGCCCCTTAGGGATTATCTGTGGGTATGTGTTTGTTCTAAACATGATGTCTTTTGACGGAGCCTCCGAGAATCGGATTGAGGGTTGGACTGGTAGACCAGACCAGAGATACGGCTGTTAGTCCTTACGGAGTTACTTTGCAGAAAAATCTGTGGATAGAAGATTGGGAGAAGTATCCGCAACGTGCATGGCTGAAGAATTCGTTGATTTTATACCTGATTGTCCCATCCGACGTTAAAATGTATTTTTTTGGCGATCTAAATCAAGCCTATGGTTTTAGGTGATGTGTTCGACATTCCAGCTTATCATGAAAGATCATTTTTAAATTACAGGGAAGGGAAGTGAGCGTCAGTTTACGCTCACTAACTTTGAGATCCATCAATATTTAATTGTTAGCTTTTATGCCCATATCTTGGTATTCAGCAAGTACATGCAAGCCGATTCTCTGTAGTATGAAGTAATGTAATATTATTGACAAAGTTATGTTCACGTGCCGCTTCGGTTGAGATTACTTTGAACCCAGTAATTCATTTTCTAATACATCCACCATGCTGTTGAGCATGTTTCGGGCATCGCTGGAGTTCTGGAACGCTTCGTTGTAGACAAAACTCAGATCAAGTTGTCCTCTATGCTCCCAGAAGAAAAGATATGGCTGGGGCGTCAATGTCTCGACTCCCAGTCCCACCCTCAAGACTTTCAGTGGTCCATGCTTGGTATCGAAGACAGACTTTACAATATCATCAACTCCAGTCACAAAGGACATATCAACGTAACTTGGGGGTGGATTTGGTGGTGGTAGACCCTTTTGGAGACCCCCAAGTGCCATGATGGCAAACTGGCGGCGGGATTCGATGAATTCTGGGGTAACTCCTTTATCGTATTCACGTTGGTATTTCTCAGCGATCGTGCTGAAATCGTCGCCGGCGGTAACTTTGGATACGTAGCCGCCGGTGTAGAGACCAGCTGCAACCGAGGGATTGTCGGTAAACGGGCTAATGAGATGTGGTCGCAAACTCATTCGTATCGCGCTAGCATATTCCTGCTCATTCCTCGCGCTGTTAGAGGCTGAAGAACTCGCGTACTGAAAATTTACTTTCGCCAAAGCAGCATGTACAGCTGAATACATATCGAACGGTCTCTCGGTTGTAGCATTCTTGATTGCCTGGGTGGTTTTCGTACTCAGCTGCATTCGAACAGATCGTGTTCCACCTGGTTTTGTAGTAGAATCGCCTTTGTATGGTATTCCGACACTATCTTTGACGTATGTGTGAGTACTGGCATACTTGATAGCACTGGCAGTTATTTCTGGTGTTGTTGTTTCAGGCAAGTTCAACGCGCTTTCCACACTGGGCACGAGACGAGCAACTTCTTCGCCCCAGAAAATTTCGGGTAGGCCGTCGTTGTCGACAATCGCTTTTACCGCATCAAAAAATGCGTTGAGTAGGTGAAACGCTCCATAGCCATCCGTGCGCCAGTGAGAAGTATGCAGTACGATTTCCCAGGTATGAGGCAGGAAATGCAAAGTCATGAAATGAGATGGTTTTATTTCGGCAATTACATCTTCTGAATCTCTCCCTTCAACCACATCATATGACCTCTGTATCCAGTGTTCCAAATCTTTCTCACTTGGTATAACATATTCCAAGCTATCGCTTTCCCCAGCAGGAGTCGACGCGATGCTAGGATGGCGAAAACGCAAAAGCTTCCAGGCATCACGAAGGGTTGTCGCGGCCCATTCTGTTGCTGATCGATTATCGCATGGTGTGAAGGTTGCCGTCGATGTGACTGACCATTGTTCGCGGCCTGCGGTATGAGCGCGGTCACCAATGAATTTGATGAGACGCTCGTTTTCGCCCAGAGGGCGCTGGAAACGATTACTGGCGACCTCTACCCAGGACATTTCCAGTAATGATATAATATCGTATACAGATTGACTTAAATGGTTGTTAAATTGTGAAGATTTCGTACATGGGAGTTATATCCAACGATACTGCAAGGGGTGGGGACTGGATGATTTTTGTTTTCACTTCTTCTACTCCTGTTACACATATATTGAGCTCAATCCCGAAATCTATTCGCTTACCGAGTGGTTCCTAGGCGCATGAAGCGTGTTATGTCTTCTATGCTTCCCAGAAGTCATTACTAGTTGTCCGGGAGATATAAGTTTTCCCACGCGGACTTTTGTTTACTCCATCGTAGCACGAGCATCCGCTTCGCCAATTCATTAGGTATTGTGTCTGTCGTCTCTTTGTACCAATTATAAATTATTCAAGCACTAGACAATATTCAAAAATTACACAGTCCAGACGAGAGCTTTCTTCACTTGCCTTTTGAGGTAGACTGCCGCTTCCTTCTTGCCTTAGGGTTACCGGCGTCACGTGTTTTTTTTCGGGAAAAGAAGCATATTTCCCCCATTTCCGATCCATCCAAATGTGCACTAATTGCAAAGTTCATTTTACCTAGGTATGGTATAATTATGCAATCTATGGAAGTCTAGCAAAATATTTGGTTTATGTCCATGAATTTTTGTGGCGCCACAATTCCTCAAATTTCAGGTGGTTTGCTGTCTCCGTTCCATTTCACCATTTTTCGCATGATCGACAACGAATCATTTTAAGGGGCGCTATGTGAAGATCTCCAGGGCTGAGTTTTATTTTAAGGCTGTATGTGTCGTGATGTAACTAAAATCAATAGCCTTGTCGATCACTTTTGATTTGGTAACCGTTGCTGTGGCTCCAAAGTCCTGCCGTACTTGTTATACACGAGACACATTGTACGACGGAGTATAGAACGCAGAGCAGTCACGATTATTTAGTGCAGAGGACATGGTAACGAATAACAAGCCAGAGTTGCCTCACACCGCCACGATACCTGTAACTACATAGTAGGTGTCCGATGGCTATTGATACATCCCCACCTAAAGTTACATCTACTTTGGTTCTTACGGCTTAATGGCATACCCGCGAAGACAATGCAAGCCTAATTTGAGATACTTGAGCCACAGTCGCTCCGACTTTAGTGCATAAGGTGGCATTACTAAAGCAGGCGGCTCAAAGAAGAAGAGTCATTGATGTATTCGGGCAATTCGAAATAGTTTTCATTTGACTGGAATTCTTCACAATATGTGGATAACTTTTTGCACTGCAAAAATAGCGTAATATAATTGGCTGTCTCGTCTACTTTTGCTTGTGAATTGCATTAGTGGAGCCGGAGTTTAGCGGACTCGGGAATTTCCAAAACCGGAGACATATTTTCCCCTTTGGGCGACAACTAATTTGTAGCTATTGACTCCATTGATCCATCAATAGTAGAGGAACAACAGCAGAGGAGACGCAGGGCTATTACTGGCTTCTTACTAAATATTGTCTTTTGTAATTTCATCCCTCCCTTGGCTATCGTGCCAGCCTTTCCCCGAGTCCGGATTAAGACAAATTCTGTCCTGCCTATTCGGGAAAATATGACTCCGTTTGCCATTCGCCCGACTGCAATTTCTTTGTTATCTGCAGTCATTGTCATTTGTAGTGTCTTGCTTATTTATTACCCCTCATTTATCTCGGTCACTCTCGATCATGTATCCTGTCGTACCACTTCATCCGTTGCTCAAGCATTATCGCCAATTCCACAACAGCTCTTCCCACCCAGATATTTGTTGTCTCAAATCCTTAACAACATGGCTCCCGCCAATAAAGCCGCTTGGACCACCGCTGAGAAAGCCTACCCTCTCGAGATCAAAGATGCCGAATACACTCAGCCTGTCGATAATGAAATTGTCGTCAAAGTCCATGCCATCGCGTTGAATCCAGTCGATTTTGCCCGTCAAGCCATGGGCTCCAAGCTTTTCCCTTGGACTAGATACCCTACAGTCTTTGGCACCGACGTCGCTGGAGAAGTTGTCGAAGTTGGTTCCCAAGCTGCTGGTAGCTACAAAGTTGGCGACCGAGTTGTTGGTCTTGGTAACGGTTTGGAGAGCAATCGTCCTTCCGATGGCGCTTTCCAAGAATACGTTGTGCTTCGTGGAGATTTGACTGCACACATCCCAGACGGTGTGCCCTACGAGAAAGCAGCCGTTATCCCTCTCGGTATTGCAACAGCCGCTAGCGGCCTTTTCACCGATGACCAGCTCAAGCTGGACCTTCCCACCTCGCCTGCTAAGTCGACAAAGGACGAGTGGGTCTTACTCTGGAGCGGTGCATCTAGCGTTGGTAGCAATGCTATTCAACTAGCAGTCGCAGCTGGATATCACGTTATCACGACCTGCTCACCAAAGAACTTCGATTTCGTCAAGAGTCTGGGAGCCGACTACGCCTTTGACTACAACAGCCCCACTGTCGTATCTGACATTGTTGAGACCTTCAAGGGAAAGAAGAGCGCCGGCGCCTATGCTATTGGATTTGTTGCCGCCAAGCCCGTTATTGAGATCATGAGCCAAATTACTGAAGGTAGCAAGTACGTTGCTGCATCCAACATGCCACCATCAGACTTACCAGAAGGTGTTACCTCCAAGATGGTTTTTGGTAGCGCTTTGAAGAACTCTCCTCTCGGCAGTCACATATTCAATGACTTTGTGACCAAGGGTCTTCTGAGTGGAAATTACAGGACTGCGCCAGAACCCAAAATTGTTGGTCAGGGTTTGGAGAGCATTCAACAGGGGCTCGATACCCTCAAGGCAGGTGGTTTGTCGGCAACAAAACTTGTTGTTACCTTGTAATTTTTGTATCATTCCAGCGAATGTTTCATTTCATTGCAAGAGATCCGTGGTCGGAGTGGAACTTTGAAACGGCCTTTTCGGGATGCTTTTTAGTAGAAAAGTTATACTGTTCTTTTGAGCTTCTACATGTATCTGAGAAAGTGTGCAATCAAATAGTAAACTAAATGATCATATCTTTGATGAGATTTATTGAATAATTGTCACAAAGCTACGAAGTGTTTGGACCATAATCTTATAACTAATACACTCCGTGGAAATCCTTATACTACGAATATTACTAGTAATAACTAGCTAACCACAGGCAGGTGTTCTGTAGATTAAAACATCTAGATTTAGTCTCGAAAAGTTGGAAGCTGGCAATAATAAATTGTGACACTCAAAAATCTATTACTCTATGCTACTTCATAGATTCAGGTTCAGAACAGATTATTACGTGTTTGAGGACATGGGTTAGTTGAAAGACGTTCATATACCAATCGTAAAGCTAAATACATCTTTCCAATACCAGGTTGAGCTCTTCTTCCAACTTCTGCTGAATCCGAAGAAGTACCTTATCAGCAGCGACGGAGTCATAGTACGCGTTGTTGTAGTTGATAGAAAAGTTGAGCTGTCCACGGAAGGTCCATGGATAGAACATTAATTGACGAGTCAAGACACTGACGCCGAATCGGAAGTCCGTCACCTCGATAAAAGGAGCATCGGCAGAGCTACTGTCCTGATCGCCGCCATAGTATTTTCCTTTGATGAATTGGTCAACAACTCCGAGATTACTGTGCGTAATACCACTGGGAGGACTGGGTGGAGGTCCAGCCGGTCGGGGTGGGGGTGAAAGGATGGCTTGTGCAGCTCCACGATAAAGTTCCCGTAAAGCGCGAGACATCTTGTCGGTATGCCAATTTTTGAACAATTCTGTGAGACTAGCAGTCTGTTCCTCGAAGCTGGCGTTTTTCGAGACCTCCGGTGCTATACCAGTGACATAGGTACGGCATGCATGTGCTTCTGTGTTGTAGGGCTTTTGAAGATATGGTCTGAAGCTCACAGCCATCACCGTCACGTACTCATCTACTTCTTTTGCAGAAGTTAACTCGAAGGCAGCAGTTGCCAGAGCTGCGTGGATCGCTGCGGCCACAGTAATTTTGCGTGCCCTGCATGCCTCGATAAGAGCCTTTGTGCTCTCGGCCGTGAATGTAGTACCGTGCGCCCCAGTCTGACCTGGGAGCGTCGTTAGGTCACCATTGTAAGGCAGGCCAATAGTTTTTAAAGTCTTCGCGCGAAATTTGCTCATTTCCCTTGCAGTCTCTTCAATTTCCGGGTTGCTGACCATCGGCGCCCCAGCTGCATCCTCAATGCTGGGCGATATTTTGGCCAAATCTTTTTCGACAGTCCAGTCATCCGGCACGATACCTGATGCCTTAGTCGACACCAACTGGAACAGTCGGTTGAGTAACATGCAGGTACCAAGACCGTCACAACGCCAATGTGAAACTAGTAGAACGACCTGTGATGTTGCAGGCAGCCAAATTAATTCTGGCAAATCGTGTAAATTGTAATCAGCAAGTATCTCCTCCACGGTCAAAAGAGGGTCGACTCGAAATGTCTTCTGAGCCCAATCATCAACGGCGTCCTGAGCAGCAACTTTCATCTCCTTGCTGAGACCAGGATAAACAGCTTCATAGTCGTCAGGGATGAGAGTCAAAGCAGGAAACTCAAACCGCAGTGCTTTCCACGCATTACGAAGCGCAACGATTACCTCATCCGAAGAAATATACGCATTGAATTTGACCTGACAGGCCGTATAAAGACCCCAGTGCTCGTGCCCTGTTGCACGAAAGATAGTAGATGTAAATCGGTAGATTTTCTCCGCGCCACCAAGGTCTTTACGCCATGTGCCTTCAGGACTTTCTTTCCATTCCATGATCATATTCGACCACATATACAGACAAAATAGAGATCGTTCGGGGGGCGGCCTATGTATCGAGCGAAGTATGTGCTAGACATATATTAGAAACACGCCAGGACTTAACCTGAATTCGGTGAATCCTCTATCCTTCTATAGTCGACTAGGAATATCAAATAAATTTAAGTTAACCCCGCAAGGAAATCGTAATACCATACAAATCACTCGCCCTTCACAGTAGATGTAAGTTATGCTTGTCCGACACTTTGATCTCCATAATAGAAAGTCCGGCAGTGCTTTCTGGACATGAAGCTTTGCGCTCGGTGTCCGTAGGAACAGATCGTGTCCTGAAGAAGCAGCTGATGAGGTAACTGCAAAAGATACGGCATATCTGGCTATTGATTAATTACATCAGTGATTGAAAGTGTTCTACAGACTTCACTAATATGCAAAGAAATATATCACGCTGATGTGATCGACGCAGGTCTAAATTTGGATGGCTTTGTATGTTTTTGGGCAATACCTCTCCACTAAGTTCAAAAGATGTACTTACATTGCAACCCCGCAGGATTGAGTAATTGACAAAAGCATGAAGTACATTTCAGGAAGAGCCAAGCTCCAACAATATTATTTTATGACAGCTAGACTACCACATTGGCAACGAATCAATCACAAACATAGTTAATATCGATGAGTAGAAGATAGAACTCATCCAAATAAGAAATTTTAAGTAAGATCAACCAATATACTCGGCCCACTTCCTCCATTCTTCATCCTTCTCCATTAGCGTAGCAATCTCATCTTCAGGTAGACAAACCCATACATCACAATCACCCCTGGGGCTACCGGGGAAGAATACCAGGAGTCCGGGAAATGCAACACCAGGTTTCGGTCTTCTGACAAACTCTGGTTCCCCTAAGATGCCAAAATTAGGGAATAGTATCTTCCCGAGCCCACGTACACTGGAGCATCCAACGTCAGTTTCGGGATTAAATTGCCCTCCGTATGTGATTGTCGACTTATCAGGCGTCTTTGCAATAAACGTGGCAAAGCTTCGAATGTGATAGGCTGTGTTTTTGGCGTTGAGATGCTTTCGTAAATGCGACGCAATTCGAGAAAGAGACCAGGTAGTCAGTTGCTCGAAGGTCAGAAATGTCGAGACATTATGGATCACATCGCCCATATAATCCTTTGATATTTTCAATGCTGCGCGGCCATCTACAGCGCGAGCAAAACGCGACTTTGTCTGAAGACTGAATTTATGAGCGCGTGCGAGGGTGAAATGCTTCCAGCACAGGGCGCTTAATGCATCATCGGTTGAAATGAAAGGTACATCGGAATCTAGCTCTTTGCTTGCTATATCCTTCAACATTTCTAGTTTCTCTGCACTGAATCTTATCACATGGTATTTTGCTGCATTTGGATTTGATGCAACTAAAGGTGCAGCGGAGGTAATTGGTGGACGAATGTGACTGCTATGGTCCAGCATTGGCTCGTTAGGATCCAGCAATGGAAAAAGATTCCTTCGATCTCGATTTGCTTGCTCCAGTATTTCAATTGGAATTTGTTCACCACGCATAGCCATTGCAATCATCTTGATTGAGCCGAAATGTCCTCCGGCATCAGCAGTGTTGTGGTGAATCAGAAAGTCGATTACCAACCCGCCTTTGATGAAGACGGCATTAAGACGTAGTACCCGCGAGGGATCTTTTTCTGAATCTTCGAATCGTACAGGAAACCCAGGTACTGACGTGAATTTTGCAGAGTCTAACATTGAAATGGGTGCTTTGCGCATCTTGAGATCTTTGTATGATGGGCAAGTCTCATCATTGGCCAAGTCTTTGACTTCTATCTCATAAAGCGGTGATTCACAGGGAGCCAGTTTGTAAAGCCCGGAGCTAGTTTCTGACCGGCCATCATTGACCACCTTAGCTCCCATCCAAGGTACCACCTTTCGAACGCTGGCAATTGCTCTGGAAAGATCGTTGAGCACCGCTTCACAGTGTACATTCTCAGGCAGTGGGAAGAGGTAAAGAATATGTGCATAGACCTGAAGCATTGGGAGCTGGCCGAGTATATCTTGATAACGATCCAGGTCTTGCCAATCTGGGAGCTTTTCGTTGGACGCCGGTGGTGTGGAAAGGCCACTCTCAAGAGAGACTTCTTTTTGGAAAAGAGATTCGTGCTTCCGACGCGAAAAATTGAATTTATTAAAAGGAAAGTAGGGTTTTGCGGATAATATTATCCTTGAAATTGCAGAAACAAACAGATCAAGTAACCAGGTTAAGAACGACGCCATGGTAAGGAGCAACAATTAATGATGGATCGAGGGAAGAAATTCAGCGTGAGGTATTGCTTCTGATCAATCCTGTAAAAGTCAAGGAAGAAGCTAGGCATATAGAATGTATTCGACTATTAAGCTGGGTTGGAATTGGCTTCTTGCCTTTTTCCGAAGCAAGACGGGATCTTCTTCTGCAGCCTCTTCGATTTAGATCTATGCTCAGGTGGAAATTGCCGATTTTCGCAATCTATTCAAAATTCAAATTAGGCCGTGTCCGAACATTAACAGAATGGCTTTATTTTTACAGTGCTAGTATATGTATAGCTCGTAGCAGTGAGGTATCATGTCAGTCATCACGCGGAGTTTTACTTATTCGGCGGCACGGCCATTTGTTTAGGGCTTTTGACCGGAGTTTCCTGGTAGCCATTTCCACACTTTGTATAAATGATTGAATACGATTGGACGTAATTGAGATAAGCTTGAAGAATATCATTGAGGTACCTTACATTTGAGTTTGATCCACGGGTCCCACTGACTATCAATCATAGATTCGGTGTCGAGCGGTAATTGTTCCGATATAAATTAAATTCATTTATATTCAATTTTGAGCTGACAACAAATGGAAGATAAAACAAAGCACAGATCTCCGTCAAGTCAAAATTTCAACTTTATCTTTGCACTCTCCCAACAGTGCAGCGCGTTCGTTTTGTCACTTTGCACTTGTTTCTACATGCGTTACTATTTCCACCTTCCAAATTAGCCCGATTGAGCATAATACATTAATATCATCCAACATGCGGTCCTTAGCACAACAAGGTGACAGGCTACTTGTCTTTGGGCCACAGGCACTTTCTGTCAATGCCAACGACTTTCGCGCACTGCAGTCTACGGTGAAGCACTACCCATGGATTGCGGATACGATCAAGCATCTCCCAAATATCTGGAACGACTTTGTGAAATACTTTCCCAAATACAGCGTGATTCCGGCCGATACTTTACTACAAGGTCTAGCCAAATGGGTTGAGACTGGAAACATTGATTTGGGCACTCAGAACCGCCTCACGAACATCACTCTCAGTCCTCTTGTCATCATCACACATATCACTGAATACCTCGAGTATCTCAACGCCGGTGCTCGACAACCCAGTCAGGTGTCGTCAACTGAGACTTTGGGATTTTGCATGGGATTCTTGAGCGCATTGGCAGTGTCAGTCAGCAAAGAAAGTAATGAGATTCAGAAATATGGAGCGACCGCAATCCGCCTAGCAATGATCATTGGTGGAATTGTGGATGCACAAGACGCTCTTGACACTGAAGGACCATCCAAGTCTCTGGCAACAGCTTGGGTTTCAACGGAAGGAGCGGAAGAGCTCAAGCGGATAGTTGGCCGTTTCCCAGAGGTGAGAACTTTCCAGTATGTTAAGACAAAGAATACACGCTAAATTTTACAAGGCATATGTCTCAGTGTCGTATGACGACCAGCGTGCGACAATCACTACGGCCTCTAGAACCGTTTCTACCTTACAAGCGCAACTCCGTGGTGCTGGAATCGTCGCAAATGAGATAGGTCTATTTGGACGCTTCCATAATGAGTGGTATGTAGAGGATGTTGACAAGATCATTGAGTTTGTATCGTCACGGCCAGAACTTGTGCTTCCAGATGCCACTGATCTCATTTACCGAACACGATCCAACTCAGGCACCGGTCTTATAACAAGCGGAAAGCTTCATGCCCATGCCGTAAAGACCATTCTCGTACAACACTCAAATTGGTATCAAACCTTCAAATCCATCCATGAATCCCAGCTCAAAGATTTTAAAACGGCCGTCGTTGCCTTTGGTCCTGAACCCTGTGTTCCGCCATCGATCCTACGCGAGATTAAGCAAAATGTCATCAATGCATCGGCCATTCAAGCAACACTACCTCTTACTTCGCTACCTCAGCAAGTCAAGGATGATGACATTGCTGTTGTTGGTATGTCGCTGAAAACTGCAGGCGCTGACGATACTGATGAGTTCTGGAATTTGTTATGTGCGGGACAGTCACAGCACCGAGAGGTGCCGCGCAATCGGATAAGATTTGACAGTAAATGGCGCGAAGTCGATCCTAAGAGAAAATATTATGGCAATTTTCTCAACGATCATGATGTTTTTGATCAGAAATTTTTCAAAAAGAGTGCCAGAGAGGCTGCTTCGACTGATCCCCAGCAGAGAGTACTGCTTCACGTAGCCTACCAGGCTTTAGAACAGGCCGGATATTTCAACTCGCCAGATCAGGACAAAAAAATTGGCTGTTTTATCGGAGAATGTGCGAACGACTATGCAGACAACGTGGCATGTCATCAGCCTAACGCATTTTCCGCTACAGGTAACCTGAAAAGCTTCATTGCCGGAAAAGTTAGTCACTACTTTGGTTGGACAGGTACTGGGTTGACTCTCGATACCGCGTGTTCATCATCTTTGGTGGCTGTCCATCTCGCGTGCAAGGCAATCCTTAGTGGTGAATGCAATGCTGCGCTAGCGGGTGGTGTAAACATGATGAACAGCGCTTTATGGTTCCAGAACCTTGCTGCGGCATCTTTTCTTAGCCCTACTGGACAATGCAAGCCTTTTGATGCCAAAGCAGACGGTTACTGTCGAGGAGAAGCCGTGGGTGTGGTCTTCTTGAAGAGAATGTCCGAAGCTATTGCCAACGGAGACCAGATCATCGGTACGCTATCCAGCACAGGAGTGTCCCAAAATCAAAATTGTACGCCTATATTTGTACCAAATGCCCCTTCGCTTTCATCATTGTTTCAGAATGTTATCGAAGACGCGCGAGTAGATCCCAAAAACATCTCCGTTGTGGAGGCTCACGGCACTGGAACCCAGGTGGGCGACCCAGCAGAGTACGACAGTATACGCAAAGTTCTCGGAGGCTCTCATTTGCGCTCCAAACCACTTGCATTTGGATCTGTGAAAGGTCTTGTTGGTCATACAGAGGCGACATCTGGTCTCGTCTCTTTGATCAAGATCCTCCTAATGATCCAGAATAAGACCATTCCGCCACAAGCAAGTCACGAGTCACTAAATCCGCATTTGAATGCTACGTCCGATGATAAAATGGAAATAATTACCAAAAAGACAAATTGGGAAGATGATTATAAAGCGGCACTAATCAATAACTATGGAGCATCTGGTTCCAACGCTTCCGCCGTCATCACTGAGGCACCTCACCTTCACAAGCCAACTGCCCGCATGAAGTCATTCCCTACAATTGACTATCCCTTCCATATCTTTGGGAAAGATGACCGAGCGATTCGCGACTATTGCGCAAAGCTTGTCACCTCATTGGAGTCTAAGGGTGTTGACAACGTGTCCATTTCAGATTTATCATTCAATATCTGCAGACAGTCGAACCCAACATTGGATCGTGCGTTGATATTTACTAGTCGATCAGTAAAACAGCTAATTGAGAAGCTACATGGGTTCCAGATTGGCGACGCCAGTGTCGCTTCCACTATGGCGCAACCCAAATTTCGACCAGTTGTTCTGTGCTTCGGGGGCCAGATTTCCACTTACGTCGGCCTAAGTAAAGAGGTATATGAGAACGTGAGAGTCCTCGCCAATTATCTCGATCAGTGCGACTATGTCTGCCGATCTTTGGGATGCGAAAGCATCTTCCCTGGTATCTTCCAGAGGAGTCCCATTGAAGACACCGTCAAGCTCCAAACGATGCTCTTCTCAATCCAGTACGCTTGTGGCAAGAGTTGGATAAATTGCGGAATTCAACCTGTTGCTGTGGTTGGACACAGTTTCGGCGAGTTAACATCTCTTTGCATCTCGGGTGTTCTCTCTTTAGAAGACGCATTGAAGATGATCGTTGGTCGTGCAACAATTATTCGAGAGAGCTGGGGTAGTGAGAAGGGAGCCATGATGGCAATTGAAGCAGACCAAAGCGAGGTTGAAAATCTTCTTGCTGAAACAGCTGTACCATGTGCGGATGCTGGTGAGCGAGAACCGACAATTGCATGTCTCAATGGACCCCGCAGCTTTACTATTGCTGGGTCATCTCGAGCCATCGATATCGCCGGTGAAACTATTTCCAAGAATCCTGCCTATTCAAGGTTCAGGTTCAAGAAGCTCAATGTCACAAATGCTTTCCATTCCACTTTAGTTGAACGCTTGATGCCTGATCTAGAGAAAATTGGAAAAGCTTTACAATTCAACGAGCCTTCAATCCACCTAGAAAGGGCAACGGAGTTTTACTCTTCAGAACKATTGGCTCCAAAATACGTCGCTGAGCATATGCGCAACCCCGTCTTCTTCAACCACGCCGTTCAAAGGCTCTCCAAGAAGTATCCGGATGCGATTTTCGTGGAAGCTGGATCCAACTCAACCATCACCAATATGGCAAGTCGCGCCCTTGGTTCGCCAGCAACGTCTCATTTTCAACCAGTCAACATTACCACCGACAATGGATTTCAATTGTTGGTCGATTCTACGACATCGCTATGGAAAGAAGGCCTTATGGTGCCATTCTGGGCGCATAGCAGGTTACAGACTTATGAATACAGTCTGATGTTCCTGCCTGCATACCAATTTGAGAAGTCTCGTCACTGGATGGAAGCAGTTCCCCCACCAACATCCTCCAAGCAAGCTGTAGGCGAACAGTCGGACGAGCCGAAAGGATTGTGGAGTTTCGTGGACTACAAGGATGAGAAGAAGCGCTCCGCGAGATTCCGCATCAACACAGAAACTGATAAATACAAGGAGTTCGTGTCTGGTCATATCATTGCACAAACTGCTCCAATATGCCCTGCTACGGTAGAGGTTGACATTGCCGTTGAAGCACTCATTAGTCTGTATTCCGAGTTTCCGACTTCCGGCTTGCAGCCTCGAATTTGCAATGTTGACAATCAGTCTCCAATTTGCATTGACTCTTCGCGCTCAGTGTGGTTGGATGTTGAGTCACAAGAGTCGACCCCCAATAACTGGTCATGGCAAATTGTTAGTAATAGCGAATCATCCAAGGCCAGCACAATTCACGTCACCGGTCAGATAATTTTTGTGTCTACCGACAACGCAGAATGGCAATTGGAATTCTCTAGATATGAACGACTTATTGGCCATCAACGCTGCGTTAGTCTTTTAAACAGCAATGATGCGGACGATATCATTCAAGGCCGCAATATCTACCGCTCATTTGGCGAGGTTGTCGACTATTCCAGTCCTTACCGAGGCTTACAAAAACTTGTTGGGAAAGGAACCGAATCTGCCGGTCGCGTTGTCAAGAAATACAACGGAGAATCCTGGCTTGATGCGTTGCTTTCAGATACTTTCAGCCAAGTTGGGGGAATTTGGGTCAACTGTATGACAGACAAGGACCCCGGCGACATGTATATCGCTACCGGTTTCGAGAAATGGATGCGCAGTCCAGATGTAACTGCTGATTACAAGCGACCAGAGACGTGGGACGTCTTTGCCTACCACCAAGAACTTCCTTCGGAACATTCGTATCTTACCGACATTTTTATTTTCGACGCAACTAACGGCAAGCTCACGGAAGTCATTCTCGGTGTCAATTACCACAAAGTCGCGAAAGCAACTATGAGCAAGATTCTTGCGCGACTTTCTGGACTACCAACTAGTTCAGCATCGTCTAATGTGAAGTCTAGTTCTGCTGCTACTGAGGAACTTACAGCTGCTGGGAACGGCGCCTCAGACACTGGAAGCAAACCAAAGAAAGCCAAGTCGAGTGCAGGTCCAGACGTTGTTGGTAAAACCAAGGCTCTTCTTGCTGAGATCTCCGGCATGGGAATCGAAGAGATTTCTAACGATGCGCAACTTGCTGATATCGGCATTGACTCCTTGATGGGTATGGAGCTAGCTCGCGAACTCGAAGGAATGTTTAAATGCACACTACCAAGCGACGAATTGATGAACGTGACAGATTTTGCCGGACTCGTACAAATTACAAAGAGCACTTTGGGTGTTACTGATGACGAGGACAGCTCCGATCAAGAAGGATCCGAAGCCAGTTCAAATGAGTCTTCCACCACATTTACACCTGCAACTACGGCCACTACTTCTGTGTCTGATGCTGAGGATCACGGAATTGATAAATATGCTGGCAAGGAACAATCTAGTTCCTATGTTGGAGACCTTCAACTTCCCTCGAGCACAATTATTGAGGCTTTTGAAGAGTCGAGGAAGCTCACAGATGACTTTATCGTCAACTACAGGTGTGCGGGATACATTGAAACTGTCCTTCCCAGACAAACACAACTTTGTGTTGCACTTACTGTTGAAGCATTCGAGCAGCTTGGTTGCCCCATTCGTTCGGCCAAAGCAGGCGATACGTTGACACGCATTCCACACGATCCGCAACACGAACGTCTTACTAATTATTTGTACAAGATGCTGGAAAAAGAAGCACGAATTATTGATACTGATGGCTCAAAGATCACCCGCACAGCAATTGCACCTCCGTCCAAATCTAGCGATGCCATTCTTGAACAACTTTTGAGAGACTTCCCAGACCACGAGTGGGCCAACAAATTAACACACTTTGCCGGTAGCAGATTAGCAGATGTGTTGAAAGGTGAATGTGACGGTATCAAACTGATCTTTGGAAGCGACGAAGGAAGACGACTTGTTACCGGGCTCTATGGTGACTCATTGTTGAACAAACTAGCAAACGTACAGATGCAAGACATTGTTGCCAGAGTTGCTTCCAAGATGCCTAAGGACCAAGGTCCGCTGAAAATTCTTGAGCTTGGCGCTGGTACCGGTGGAACAACTAAGGGAATGGTCGCATTGCTCTCAAAACTAGGTGTTCCTGTTGAATACACGTTTACCGACCTTTCGGGCTCATTCGTGGCTGCTGCTCGAAAGACCTTCAAAGAGTACCCATTCATGAAGTACAAAGTTCACGATATCGAGAAGCCTCCACCAGCAGACCTTGAAGGTACCCAACACATCATCATTGCTAGCAATGCGATGCACGCAACCCACAATCTCGAGATATCGACTGCCAACGTACGAAAAGCTCTACGCCCAGATGGTTTCCTAATGATGCTTGAAATGACATCACCAGTCTTCTGGGTGGATTTAATTTTCGGACTGTTTGAAGGTTGGTGGTTGTTTGACGATGGCCGTGAGCATGCCATTGGACATCAGACGCTCTGGGAACGTATCATGCGTGCTGCTGGATATGGTCATATTGATTGGACTGACGGCAATAGTCCGGAGCTTGAAATCCAGCGTGTTATCATAGCTCTCGCATCTGGTCCTCAGTATGACAGGCAAACAGTCGCTCCTCCACCACAACCGGAGATTCAACTTCAGCCTGCTGCCGGTCGCAAGGCGGCCGTCGATGGATACGTCCAGAAGTACACTGAAGGTTTTAACCTTGGTCAACCCATCAAGGGTGCAAATTCTCCTACTCCTTATGAGCAATGCGTTTTGATTACTGGCGCCACAGGAAGTTTAGGCTCTCACTTGGTGGCTCATGTTGCTGCTCTGCCCAATGTCAAAACAGTTGTTTGTCTTAACCGACGCAGTGGCAACGACGCAAACGCTCGTCAACAAAAGGCGTTGGAAGATAGAGGGATTTTGATTGATGCCGCATCTCAATCAAAGCTTCAAGTATTCCAGGCGACCACATCAAAGCCAATGCTTGGTTTGGAAAAGAGCGATTATGAGGAACTCATTGGAAAGGTAACCCATATTGTCCACAACGCATGGCCAATGACTGGCAAGCGACCATTGTCTGGATTGGAATCCCAATTCCAAGTGATGCGCAATTTGATTGATTTTGCCCGCGATATTTCAGCACGACGACCAGAGGGTTCAAAGGTTACCTTGCAACTCATTTCCTCCATTGCAGTGGTTGGACACTACCCGCTTTGGAGCGGAAATGTGGAGGTACCAGAAGAGAGAATGACACTCGAATCTGTCCTTCCTAACGGTTACGGTGATGCCAAGTTCGTTTGTGAACGGATGCTTGATGAAACTTTACACAAATATCCTGAACAATTCCGTGTTATGTCGGTGCGTCCAGGACAGATTGCTGGTTCAAAGGTGACAGGTTATTGGAACGCGATGGAGCATTTGTCATTCTTGTTCAAGTCATCGCAGACACTCAAAGTGCTTCCAGACTTTGAAGGTGATTTGTGCTGGACGCCAGTCGACGACGTTGCAGGCACATGTAGCGACCTGCTCATTTCCGATCGTCAACCGTGCCCTGTTTACCATATTGACAATCCTGTACGCCAGCCTTGGAAAGAGATGATCCCTCTTTTGGCTGAGTTGCTTGACATTCCTCGAGATAATATTGTTCCTTTCAAGGAATGGGTTCGTCGAGTACGCGCTTTCCCTGGATTAGTCGAATGGGATAATCCAGCCGCTTTACTTATTGACTTTTTGGATGATAACTTTCTTAGAATGTCATGCGGCGGTCTCCTCTTGGGCACTGCTAAAAGTTGCGAGCATTCGTCAACTCTTGCTGCTGTTGGGCCGGTGAGCGTTGAAGTGACAAAGAAGTATATTCAGTCCTGGAAGAACTCCGGCTTCTTGCACAAGTAGGGGAATATTTCACATTGAAGGCCGCGAAGAAGATATTTGAAAGGCTTCGAGTAGAGGGTTCACTCTTGGGTTCTTTGATTGCACTTAATAAATTCTGTCACTATTATTAACCTGGCTAGCTGTTCACTCACTTGTTCTGTTGCCCTTCCTTTACATGTCCTATATTTATGTATGCAATGTTATAATGCGGTAAAGCTATGAATCTTCCGATGGTCAGATAAACTAAGTTGACTGAGTTATGCTTTTTTACCAAATAAGGGAAAAATTACCAAATGAGGTAGGTCACAGATAACGCAGAAACGCCTGAAAAAAAGTATCAGCACAATGTCGGAAAGCCGCAAGGGTTTTCGCTTTCCGCAATAACGATACTTGATAAGAGATGAGAATGTTCTCAACTTCTCGAGTGACTGATAGGTGACTCGAGGCCGCCACCAAGATTCTGGCTACATTCGTCGTAGTGGACTCATTCTGCTACTCTTAACACTGATCCACTCTCCTGAATTTTTTTGTTTCTTCAAAGGATCATGATCCATGAAGAGACTCCAATCACTAGAATAGATATTTGTATATATCCCTGTGTAGTCGGCAGTAATTGGAAAACGGGAATGCTAGCAGGTAGGACAATAATCCGCGCCTTGTATCCACATTAATTTAGGCATGCTTCGGGAGGAATTTCTCACGACAGGGATATTCTGATTTTATCGAATACAAATCGAGGATGAAAGAATCAGTAGGCAGAAGATGTGAACCTGGTTGATTTTGCGCAAAACATACATTGGTTTGAAGGATTCCAGCCAATGTCGGAGTTTCGATGACGGAGTTTCTAGCCCTAAAAGCACCAAGTATTGATTCCAGTAGCTGTGAAAATCAACATAGAGCTTTCCGATTTGAAACTCTACTTGTAGATAAAAATGTAATAATAGTTAAGGAGAATCTGATATTCCCATATCGGAGATGGGAAAAGAACAACCGGCGACATCGGACTGTGAAGTCTCTTGTAAGTAGTAGTCCCTTAAGGCTTGATGCTGATATCGGAAGAGACAGCTCGCTTTCAGGGTCGCATGTCAACGGGAAATCCGTGTGGAGCTTTGTAATATTTTTGACCTTTGACCATATTCCTAGGTATCAAATAGGTCCAATGTTGTCAGCAGCGGACTGAGGATCACGAGCTAAAAGGACCGGGAAGTTCAACACATTCGTATAACCTCCTAAACAATCTCTTTCTTTAAGCGACGCTCCTTGCGTACTTCATGCACAATGCCTAGCTGCGACATAGATCTCGATCTTCCTCGCATTCTTTGCCTCCACGGTGGCGGTACTAACGCCCGAATATTTCGATCGCAATGTCGCGTGCTCTCAACACATCTTAAAGGAAAATTCAGATTGGTGTTCGCAGAAGCGCCTTTGCAATGCCGTCCTGGTCCCGACGTTCTTTCCGTGTATAAAGAATGGGGTCCTTTTAAATCATGGATCCCATCGGCATTGGGCTGCCCGGAAGTTGATAATCATACGGCCACTGAACTCTTCAAAGAAGCGCTAGACAGGGCGATGGATGAAGATGATGATCTGGGAGCAGCTGGTCCATGGATTGGGTTGTTGGGGTTCAGTCAGGGAGCGAAAATGTGTGCGAGTTTACTGTATCTTCAACAATTGCGGCAGATGCATCGATTGAATTTGAACAGAAGGTTGGATTTTCGGTTTGGCATTCTGCTTGCTGGACGCGCACCGCTTGTTGCTCTCGACATGAATCTTGCCACTATATATGCATCAGATGATATGGAAACTCAGGAGAAAGGGTTTCCAGCAATGCTTGTTGATCCCAATGGACAGTCTGTCGCTGGAATCAAATCTTGGCTCAGGCGTACCAGCTATATCAACCGGTCTGATATTCGACTGCAATTTCCAACAACACACGTTCATGGAAGGCGAGATCCAGGGCTTCCGTTGCATCGGAAACTATTCGAAGAATGCTGTCAGAAGGACAGTACGCGGCTGATGGAGTGGGATGGCGATCATCGTGTTCCGATCAAAACAAAAGACGTTACGGAGCTGGTTCAGCATATAATGGCTATGGCTTTTGAGACTGGAGTTCAGTGTTGATGGACCACAAGTTTTATTAATGTGTTTCTACGTTGCGTTTAAATGTGTACCATGTTATGTATGACGTTGCATTCTCGATTGCAAAGCAGCTCACGATCTCTAGAGCTACATGATAAATTGCTCCATGTAAGCTTGGGGTGTATCTATTGGTCTTTTCCTGTCCTCGTGTACCCAGCACATCAGTCATACAATATCTGCAGAATAAGTCGTACCATTCATATTGTGGGTAATACGGCATTTTCAAGATTCACGTTAGTCACCTTACCAATACTGAGTTAGTAATTGATCTTTCGATCATGCTGAGGCTGTTCCCTGCAACTTGCGATTTTATAACAGACTAGGTTATCATCAGGTCGGACCGAAAGATCGATCAGATCGATCGCGACTGTCTACCTACAATAGACAGCAAATTTCCATACGAGAGGTCGAAAACGAGAAGATGATCAAATATCGTTTATTTTCAGCCCAGCTATGTTCTCAGCAAACTATTGAATTTGCCCGGCCAATTATTGCATAGCGTTACGTGGAAGTATTCTCAAATGAGTACGAATCGGATAAACATCTGCAAACGCATGCATGCCGATCAGCCTGTTTCTTGATTCTTCTGGACTTGAATTGATTAACAAGATGTTTGAGTAGAAGAGGTCTTGGTATTAGTTCTGCGGTAAATTGTGAGAAATTTAAGTCCGAAGCCCGGACAATATTTTACCTATTCTTTCCTTTTCTTTGAGTCTGAAGAACTGCCTGATTTGGCGCATGTACTTATTCCGAGTCTTTATGCGTTGTTTGATGTCATGATCTTGCGATTGAGTACTTGCTTTTTGTCTCCTGTTTGTTAGACTGTTTGAAAAATACTAGGATGAGGACAATTCTTCTCTAAGATCAATCCCTCTTCCTGCATTCTTCGAGCGACGACTGATCAGAAAGTATACATTCAAACACATCGGGTTGTTTTTAGTGTATTCAATTCTTCACTGGGAGATAATTCTGGGCCCTTCCTCGTGCACGACAGACCAATCCTGCAAGCATGGCTTTTCCTGAAAAGCTACCAGACGATCTGGAACACCAGACCAGCATCACAACATGTAATTCAGACGACATTTCGACGGTCGCAGATACACATTTAGGGTCCGACCTAAAACCCAATCCAGAAAAGACACCATCATCACCAGACCGAGATGCAGAGGCGGGCAACAAGTCAGATGAGCCACGACCAGTACCAGTTCCTAGACTTAAACGTCGCGGCCTCTTTGGTCAGCTCACATTGGTTCCTGAAGTTGAGAATCCGAGGGCATATTCACGGTCGACGAAATGGGTTTTGACGTGTACTGTTTCATTGGCAACGCTTATTGCGCCTATGGGGACCTCCATTTTTTACCGTAAGTGAACACTTGAAAAATTAAGAACGAAATCAGTAATTGAAAAGTTGAAAGCTGCACTACGTGAGGTTGAAAGCGATTTACACACCAATGCAACCGTCACCAATCTATCTCTAGCATTTTACTTGTTAGCAATGGCCATCTTCCCACTCTGGTGGTCAAACTGGGCGGAAGCATTCGGACGACGCACAATCTATCTAATATCCTTCGCACTCGGAGTAGTATTCGCCGTGTTGGCTGCCATCTCAAACTCGATCGGCATGCTCATCGCCGTCAGATTGCTAAGTGGTGGCTCATCAGCTTCTGTTCAGGCGGTCGGGGTCGCGTCGATATCTGATCTGTGGGAGCCGCGAGAGCGTGGACGCGCAATGGGTATATTCTTTCTGGGTCCGCAGTTGGGTCCGTTTCTGGCGCCTATAATCGGCGGTGCTTTGGCGGATAGATGGGGATGGAGAAGCACGATGTGGTTCGTCGTGATTCTGGCCGCGGCTATGCTGCTTATGTTGTTCATTATTCTGCCAGAGACATCTACGCGAAGAGAGACCACATGGCGCACTCGAGTCAATGAGAAGATCGGTGAACGGAATGCACCCATGAGAACGATCTTACTACTGAGAATCCTCTTGATAGACCCCTTCAGCGCGCTCCTGGTACTACGATACCCAGCAATGTTCCTGCCAATGTTCTACATCGGAGTTGTCACCATATATTTCTACATTGTCAACATTAGCATTCAAAACACGTTTGCCAGCCCACCATACAATTTCAGCACGTTGATTGTGGGACTGTTGTACATTCCGTCTTCGTTAGGATATATTGCCGGTAGTATCATTGGCGGTCGATGGATGGACTATGTGATGCAGCGGGAGGCCAGAAAGGCGAATCGTTTTGATGATAATGGAAGACCCAGAGTCTATCCCGAAGAGCGGATGAAGGAGAATACTTGGGTTGGGGCGTTGCTTCCTGTTGCTGCGTTACTGTGGTACGGGTGGACGGCGGAACATGGCGTATATTGGCTCTGTCCGGTAAGTCTGTCCGAACTTTATCGGGATGTTTCATGCTAATATAAAAAAGATTATTGCAAACTTCTTTACCGGCTTCGGGATGATCATCATCATCAGCGTCAGCATCACCATGATCAGCGAATTCATGCCCGGTGACCCTCGAGGTCTAGCTGCATCTGTTTTTATACGCAATGTTCTCGGGTGCGTGGGGACTGTCGTGGCAGCACCGATGCTTAGTTCATTGGGGAATGGATGGACTTTTACACTCTGGGCATTGGTGGCCCTGGCGAGTGCGTCAGTGATTGTTGCGATTACAAAGTTTGGTCCTCGATGGAGGGAGTCTATGGTTGCTTCTGGTGAAGTGGCAGCTTTCTAGAAAGCATTAGGCAGGTTATTAGACGCTATGATCTCTTTCGTTGAATGTATAAGAGCGCATCACCCTTTCACTAATAATGATGTATGATAGATTGCCTGTTGATATTCGATTAGGCGGCTTACTTTCTATACCACTCAAGGTCCAGATATGTACAAATAGATGAAACATATACTCCTCCATACATCAAAAAAATATAACGGTCAGGTTCCGATAAAAACACTATCTCGAGGGTGGCAGATTTCTTTTCTCCTATGTAAGAGTTGAACATAACTCGACCGTTCTCGCGATCCAAGCTTAACTACAAATTAACTATACCATTCTCGAATTTCCATAACAAGAAGGCTTCCACGACTTTCAATCGTGTCTAGTATATCTAGAACAAAATAGCACGACAAGCGCATCCAACCACCCTATATCATAACTTCAATCCTCTTCCCTTCAAAGGCAGTCTACGGACTAAGCCCAAGCGCATCCGCAAGCGCAGGCACCAAATCCGTCAGCGTCTTGTATCCTTTCTCGCAACAAAACGGTCTGTGCCTCTCTTCTCGATACCATAAGCTGCTTTAATCTCGTCAATAGTATCCTCGATATCAGCCAACAGGGCGGAGACGTCGACATTATCGCCGTCATCGCGTTTTGCTACAGAGTTGGCAGCAAAGTTGTTTATCTAGTTGATACATGTTAGTCTAATTGAGGAATTCGATTGTCTGGGAGATAAAGGTTACCGGCTCAGCGTTGCGCTGTTGGAGCTCATTGTCGTTGGATGAGGTTGCCAGGACGTTGCCGGCCAAAGCGCTGCCGATGAGGCAGAAGAAGGAGAGGTTGTAGAATTTCATTTTTGAATAAGCGCTTTTTCACTCTCTTAATTTTATCGTATTTTATAAAGTGAAGTGTATTGGTTATGAAGTTGATGTATAGGTAACTGAGAATGCCACTGCCAGTGACTGCGCGAGGGTCCGGTATATAAATGTTCAGACTCAACTCACTTTTCAACCTCATTTTACCACCATCACTCAATGACACCATACTCTCATCAATTGCTAAAATATAGCGAGCTCAATCTTCTGACAATTACATTCAAGCTTCTCAGATCCTAGGGTTTCACGCGGAGGGTCTTTGTCCATAAAAGACGGAACTGCCTATTCCGGCGACATTCCTCGACAAACGCAGACGATACAACGCTGGAAAAACTTTCCCTCGCGATTATATCGTTTTCCCAGATTTTGTGTCTGCAATATCATTGATGACTTAAACCGTTGCAGTCGTCGTTTATGGTATGGTTGAAATTTACGAGTCATGGATAGTGCTGGAATGGGGTTTTGGTTAGTTGTACTTCGTACTTTGTTGCAATCAATGAATCATCACAAATCACAAATCACTGTACGGGACGGTTTTGGAAGCACTAGCATTAAAGTGAAGTCTCGAGTCAATCTGCAAAAATTGTCATTGGTTTAAGTACATGCCTATGGTTACATAGAGAGAAGCCCGAAATAAGAAGTCAACGCTCCGGAAACAATCGTGAACAACGCCAAAAAGTCGAGAGAAATTGTACACAATTTGGGTGTCGAGATCAAATGCTAATGCTAATACTAAGAGTGGAAAGCATGCTCGATCAATCAATCCCAAAATCCTGGTGCCAATGTGCAAACAGCCGTGTATAATTAATCTGACACCGATTCGCCTGTAGAGAAGCAAACAAGACTGGAAAGAAATGCAAATTGTATGGTCTGGTTGAAGAGTATGTATTGGGTCTGAGCTCGCCAATGGCAAGGACTGTATGAACATTGTATTGATGTATGTAGAAGGTTTATGCATACAGCTTCTCGCTGTCAGGTTTATTGGGTTGGCGATTCCGATCCGAGTTGCTCTTTGGGTGTAGCACCTGGCGCACGATGAATCCCTTCTCAGACTCTGGACGAGGACGCGCACTGTCGCCGTGGTAGATTTCGCATCGGAATTTTAAGAATTGTCCGCCGTTCTGCCAGATGGTGATGATATCGCCGGTGTAAATTTTACCAAAGATCCAAACCTCGCTGCCGTTATCCATAGTCGGGCCGCGACGAAGCTCAATATCATTTACCCAAATGCGATTGCGTGTCTTTGTAGACAGGATCGTCATGACATCTGGGATTTCTAGCCAGTCGGCTCCTTCATCGATCAACATTTCGAGACCTGGGCTCCAGAAGGTCACTTCAATCGCGTATGCTGGAATGCGGGTATCCATGCGATCGGGATAAACGAAAGTTGCCAAAGGACCGCGACCCCAAGATGTCATGCGACCTTCCAAGCGTAGATTGAGATCGAAAATTGACCCAGGTACAGTAGCCAATCTACCAAGCAAAGGTCGAGGCTTTACGAAGTTGGATGGTGTCTGGCTCTGAGGGATTTCGCTAGGCATTGTTCTAGTCTCCATTGCTTGACGGTCGGAGTAGTCGCTGTCTGTCGTCGGGGGTAGTTCGTCCGCGACTTCGCGGCCAGTGCGAGCATCGATCGTGACAGCTAGCTCGTCTTGATTGTTGTCGTCACCGTCACTCGACGGACCCTGGAAAGAGTCACTTCGCGGTATCGAGCTTTCGCTGGCAGTATCGGGAAGTGGGAGGTCGATACGACGATGAAAAGGTAAAGCTTTGGGCGTGACTTCGGTTGCGGCGGAATATTTGTCCTGTGCTGGGTCTGCGCTTTCCTGATTAGCGGGCGTCAACTCTCGTGCAGTACGGCGCTGGGGCGTGCCAGGCTTGCCCTCCGCAGCCCCAGGATCATTTGAAGAGGTATCGTTGGGTGACATGTTGAGTTGTCCCACTAGGCTATCAGCTCCCAAGAGACTGTGTGCCGAGCTAGTGAAGTTGGGTATGGGAAATGAGTACACTCCAGCAGACAGATTGTCAGAATCCACCTCCATCGACTCACCAGAAGATTGATCGCTTTTAACATCAAAGTTGCGAGAGCTTAGGCTGCCAAAAATGCCGGAGCTGCGCAAAGCAGATGACGTGACTTCGCCAAAAAGTCGATTCGCTGTTGCAGCCTGCAAATTTGTCGGCACTTCTAGGACCGAGAAGCTGTCAATAGGCGGAAGCGATGGATAATGGATGGAAGTTTCCGCATCGAGACGCGGGCGCTTCAATAATGTCTCTTCTGAGTCACCACCAATCACAATCTCATTATAGCCACCATGGTCCTTGATTGACAACTGGGAGGCGTCCAACTCCTCTTCTAAAGCTTCAGTGATGATTGCCAGCTGCTCATCCTCCAATTGTATTTCTTCCGAGTCGGGGTACTCGTCCACGTCCGCAACATCTGCGATCCAAGGGTGTTTGAACAACTCCCTTTCGGTGGGACGCTCATGTGGGTCTGTGCGTAAAAGCCTCGACACAAAGTCTATCGCTCCCTCGGAAACACCCTCCTCACGCAGGAGGTCATATTCTACGTCTGTTGTCATGATAGTACGAAGCATCTGAGCTCCCCTGTCGTCTCCACGACCGGTGTATGGCGGCGAGCCGCAGAGAAGGTGGAACAGCACAGCCCCAAGTGACCACATATCAACAGACTGATCGTATGGAGAAGTTCGTGGGGGTCTAAAAAAGTTAGTTGGGCGGTGAGTATAAGAATAATGAAGGGAACATACGGATCACCAAGTCGACGACGCTTTCTAGCCACACCTTGCCGATAGTTGTCGTATTCTGGATAGACTTCTGGCGCACAATAAAGCAAAGTACCACAGAAGGTCTTCATGAAGGTCTCCTCTTGAACAACCTTTGAAAGACCAAAATCAGATAACTTCACTCTGAGAGGGTCTACGGAGGATATGAGAATGTTGTCTGGCTTGATGTCTCGATGTGTGATTTTGCGCTTGTGCAGGTATTGCAAAGCGTGTAATAGCTGCCGAGCAATGCTTTTGACCATGTCTTCGGCAATCTTTCCATTGCTTGCCAGATATGCAGACAACTCGCCTCCCGCAATGTACTCCATGATGATGTAAATCCAGCGCTCATGTTCATGGTGGTCAACATATTGCACAATATTGGGCTGGAAGAGTTAGCAGGGGACGCGTGTCGAGTTCAAGATCACTTACATGGCGAAGATCTTTCATAATCTTCATTTCATTGTCCACCTTCTGGTCAAGAATCCCGTTTTTCATGAAACGGCGTTTGTCAAGTTCTTTGGCAGCATACACAATACCATCCTGCTTTGTTGCTAACTTGTATACAGTAGCAAACGCACCCTTTCCAATCTGCCCAGTGACATTGTATATCGAACCACCTGTCCAATGCATGCCGTAAGGGTTTCCCAAAGTCCACTGAAGGGCCTTTTGTGGTGGCGGAGCTCGGGCCTGCAAATTCTTGACTTTTGCGTTATGTCGTCCAACTCGATCCAAATATGCCACTAGGTTCTGAGTGTACTGGACTTGAAAGCCATCTCGAGAGGGGATGCGCACCACAAAACGCACTTCCTTGTTATGCTTGTTATCTGAGGCGACGATGATAACCGAACCGTTGACAAGCATACGGGTAGTTTGAGTGTTACGCTTCCACAGCCGGGTATCATCTACAACGGTGCCATTTGTTGACAAGTCTTGAAGCATCAGGATTCCATCCTCGTTCACAAATATGCGGAAATGAATGTTGGAAATGTGTTTTGATGTCACCTCAGGACTCAGAAGTACATCGCATTTTAATGGGTTGCGTCCAAAAACGAAACCCAAAGACAGGTCATGGACTGAGGATGACATACGAATAGCGATATCACGAGAGGATGAATCTATGGAGTCGAACTGGAATTCATCGCGTTGGAGGATATGCTGGTATCCCTTGGGCTGGCGAGATGTAGCATCAACGGCCTCATGAGCTGGATGAGAGCCGGGGTGCAGAATACAAATGATATCTGACACATCTTGATCTTGTAAACCAGAGTTATGCGAGCCAATACGGCGGGGATCTGAGTACGGCTGCGTGGACTCTTGAGTTGGATTCACCTCCATGATGACAGATGCTTGATGAATTTCTGAGAAAGAGAGAGGTGGGAGCAGCGTGGGTTTAAATACTCGTACGTAGGGCGGTGGGAAGTCAGGTGAGTCGGAGCGAGTCCTGGCTTGTACTCGTTGTCGGCCTGGCCTGCAGGATCATTGACAAGCTACCCCTCCTTGTGTATTTGTACTTCTTTCCAAAAAAAGGCTCCGACGGCCTCGACCTCGTTCTCACTAGTGGCTTGTGCGAAGCGCACTTGCGGTTTCATCGATTGCTTCACACCCTGCTATCCAATAATATGAAGCTTTCCAAGTGTTTGGGGGGAAAATATTCTGCTCTTATTTGCGTCTGATGCTTTTCAACTGATCACCTGCGGCATGATAGTAAGGACGATTCTATCAAAAGATGTGACGAATTGCTGTGTAGCTCATGGGACCTGGTAATCTGGTATGCACTTGTAATCACATTAGAACATTTTGAAGGACACTTCCGCAGAACAAAGAATTGTCAAACGGCATACGGGAAAGACCGATATCCAATTGTCTCGCCCAACTTCCCTGCCAGGCGTCCACGGAAGTAAGCGTCCCGACCCGGAGACTGTTTCTCTGGAGATGACCGAAGGCGGGGAGGGATGTGGGTGTCTGGCAGGGTCGCTGTCGTCAGCGTCGTCGTCGCTATCGTTGTCTAAGGAACGCGCGGATACAAAGAAGGAAAGGCGTGACTGTGGTGAGGGTGAAGAAGAGACGAAGCTCAGCCTCTTGACTGGCTAGCTTGGACAATTGGCAGTCTCGATTGGCCTGCAGCACCATAAATAATGGCGCTATTTTTGTTTATCCGTTCCGGGCGGCCCAGGCATCAACCCCTCGGAGCCTCAGGCTTGCGACTAGCTGCGGAACTTCTCCTTGGCACTGACGAATTGACGTGCTATGATTTGCTGCCCCTGTTTTTCAACCCACCAACCGGCGGCTCTGCTCCGCTGGGCCGGGTGGGGATGGATTTGCGGAAGGTGCTTCTTACCTCTTTCGTCTTAGCGCATGATTGTGCTGCATGACTCGACCAAGTCGTACAGACTCAATGTCTAGCCTCCGCGACATGGCTCTTTTCTTGCGCGGTGTTGGTAAAAATCCTTAGGATTGACATGCAAATTATTTATTTTGATTTATTCCGACTATATACATGGAGTTCACCACACCTATCGCGCGCCGTATGGCTTGCTTGTGTCGGCACTAGCATCAAATTTACCACTTAGAGCTACTTCAAAGGCCTCATCTAGGCGTCGGAGAGCTTCCTCAGAGACCTCTGCGATTAATTAGCAATTGATGTTCTTTGTTTCTGTGGTACCGGGCAAGAAAACTTACGGTAATGAATGATCAATCTGTTTCCAAGAAGCTGCAAGCCTTTCTCCTTTCCTATCTCCGCGAGGTCGTTCAAACCTAACCCGGATGCAGCAAGATCCAGCCATACCATGTTTGTCTCTACGGGATTTTGCAATTTTCCTCCTTTTGAAGTCCACATTTCTGCGACGCGTTTGGCGTTGACGTGTGTATTTTTGAGTTTACCACCATCGCCATTAGGATCAGGTCCGAATGTTTCTTCAACGGCAACCCTGGCTGCAGACGATATGACACCAGCCTGACGAGTGCCGCCACCAATCGACTTACGGAACCATCGGGCCCGTTCAATGAACTCTTTCGAGCCCACTATGATACTGCCAATCGGTGCTCCAAGACCTTTGGAAAAGCAGAGACTGACACTGTCAAACAAGCTGGTGAATGCGTCCAAACTGCCTGCACCGGAGACAACTGCCTCCCACAGCCTAGCTCCGTCGAGATGTACTTTGACATTTTTGGCGCGTGCCCATTCAACGATTCGCTTCACTTCGTCTAGCGGCATTACCATTCCGTCGAGGGTATTCTCGAGACTGATCAACTTGGTCGGACAGTAGTGGATATTGGTTGGAGCAACGAACTTGGCCTGAAGATCTTCAAGGGTGAGGTGTCTGCCATTCGCTGGTACGATGCCTTGGACAGTAGCTCCGGTCCACATACTGACACCTCCGGCCTCGTATTGGAGGATGTGGGAACGGTGATCGCACAGGACGGAATATGGAGGCTGGGATAGGTGCGTACGAATGGCTACTTGGTTGCCCATCGTTCCTGACATAACTAAAAGAGCTGCTTCATGCTTTGTGCGGTCCGCAATATACTGTTGCAACGAGTTTGTTGTCGGGTCTTCGTTGAAGACGTCGTCGAGAAGGGAGGCTTGCGTAATCGCTTCGAGCATGGATACGGTTGGCTTTGTCATCGTGTCACCTAATTTACCTATTAGTCAATGCGAACTCAACAGTACGATGAGGTACACACTTCGTAAGTCAAACTCAGCCGCCCCCAGACCCTGCCAGGTATTCGTCTTGCCATTCCCACCGGCAGGCTGCAGATCCGTCGAACCCATTGTTAATTTGCGCAAATAAATAGGCTTTGGAATGACCGAGCCGAGTATAGAACGATGGAAGTGTCGACCGAGTACCAATGCGTTCCTCATCGAGAGATATACCTCTGCATATATACGTAGGAATGGTCTCCGCGGGGAAGAATTTATGTCCCGGTAAAGCTTATCGCAAAAGAAACAAGCTTATCTCGGCCGGGCTTGGCACGCCTTGTTACAAAGCGAAGAGTGAGCGCTCACCGCCTTCGGACCGCGTACCCAAAATCCTAAACGGCAACCCGAACTAAAACGGTGATCTTCATACTTCCCTGTTTTCTTCGCGTATGATATTTGCAGCCCCTCTCCATCTTTGACGAGGACTATTATAACGTGCTATCCGATGGCGACTTTCCTCAGTTGACACGCAGACCGTTTACAGTCACCATGAGCCTCGCCCATCTCAGCCGCCCCTCGATACTCTGCCAGTGCTCGCGCTGCTCCAGCTCCGTGGCAGCATGCGAAAATGAGTGGGCCAGATTATCAGACACATATTCGACGGTGACGGGATGGTTGAGCATCGACATAAACCGGATCAACATCTCTTCTGAAAAGAAGCAAATTCCTCAGTCATCCGAGTTGGAGTTTGTCCGGGGTCGCGTGGTCCAGGAAATTGTGTGCAGGCTATGTCACCAGAAGCTCGGAGGCTTGGTGCATCTTGAGACAGAGTGAGTACTAAGCTCCAAGAAAAGTGTGATGGCTTGAGCTAATCCGAGCAGAGCAAAAGTGTTCTGGAAACTATCCAAAATGTCCTTTAGAGAAATCATATCGATGCGCGAGTCGAATCCTCTATTCGTCGAAGGCTCCTTGTCCTGGCTCCTAGCACCCGTCGAACAAACTATTGCCCCAAACGAGTCTGCAAGCAATACGTCCCTTTCCGCAAGCCGTTCGGACGCTGTGCTCAGCCAGACGTTATACAACCAAGGGGCTAGCCTCAATCGGATATCTAATACCGTTGAGGAATTACATGATACCATGTCCGATCTCAAACAATCATTCCGGGCATTACGACTTGAGCTCAATACTACACCCTCAGCTCGGAACCCCGAATATCACGGAGACGAGGCCATGGAGATGCTCAGAACAGTGTTGAAGGAGCTACAACACAAAGCCGACGAAATAGAGAAGTTGAAACTCGAGAATGAGTCGTTAAAGTTAAAGGCCAAGTATTGGCAGGKCCGCCCGACTGGTGGTGCTCCCACGACACCGCGGGTTCTTGAAGATGCTGCCATACTTGAAGTGCAGAGTCCCGGTTTCATGCATGATAGTGGGAAAAGAGGCTTAATAAGTGAGACTACTCAACTGCAGATCACACATTCATTCGACGAAGAACAAGAGCATACAGCAATGGATCATACAGCAAGTAGTGAGGTAGTTCACTATGAAACCGCTCCGGTAAAAGTGCCCTTGAAACCTGCCGCCGAAATTTTGTCCGAACCACAACGACTCGCGCAACGCGAAGGTCTTGGGGTTACAACTGGATCTCGACGTCGAAGAGAATCCGGCGAACCAGCCGCGAAACGACCAAGGCTCGCCTTGACAGAAGACCCGGAAAATCCAGAAAGCAACGTGGACGTCGAATCGAATCCGCCACCCAGGAAAAGAGGCAGACCTAGTGGGCGAAAGTCTTTGCAAGCAATCTCGACAACTCCACACACACCGTCAGTGTCAAACCTGGCAGCCAGCACAAATGCAGACGCAAGCACACAAATACCCCCGACAGAAGACAGACCAGAAGACACCCCTGATAGCATCGAAAATCCACAACCCCAGAGAAAATCACGCAAAGGTCGATCGCGAACCATCACATCACGCTCGACCTCACAACCAGCTTCACGACGATCCTCACTATCCCCGCGATTAACCCGCGGCGGCACGAAACTGAATGACGGGGATGCCGCCGCCACTAAGCCACCCGAAAAACCGAATCTTGAGAATCGACTGCCGAGTCGGGCCGGTGGATTCGAGATTGCAGTGAATGTAGCCGAATTAACGCCTGAGAGTGTCGTGAATGAGGATGAACTGTTCGCGCGTATACAACAGAAAGAGGATGGAGCAGGAAAGAAAGCAAGCAATGACAGCGAGCAGCGACAAGCCAAAGTCGCTGCTAGAGAGATGATTGTCAAAGCTGCCATGGAGAGGGAGGAGGCTATGGCTGATGAATAGGTACTACACTACAATTGTGACAATAGAGAGAAATTCATTAAAATCATCCAAGACCGAAACGACTTTTCTCGTTCCTTCGTTGTTTGATATTTCTCAAATGTACATTCATCTTCGTAGATGGTAAGACTATTTAACACACATAAACCCACACCCCTCCCTCGCCCTCTCACACGCCCTTTTGAGCATCTGCTCCTCTCTATCGGTCCACTGAACGCTCAGTTCGTCCCATTTCTTTTTGGCGTTATTGTACTCGTCGCGATATGTTTTGTGCATAGCGTGGAGACGGGTTACTTCGCGCGGGTCGCCAGTTCCTGAGTATACAATAAAGAGGGTGCATGATGGCAGGGAGTCGTAGATGCGTTTTATGTTGTGGACTGTTGCGGCGACTGTTGATGCTAGGGATGCTGCAGTCGATGTGGGTGTTGTTGTCGAGGGGACAGGAACAATTTCCTCGCCAGGAGGCAAAATTGCAGTTGAGACATTCGCGTTGTTAGGATCAGGGCGCCGATTGCACCAACCCCTGACAACTTCGAGTTCTCTCAGACGCGCCCATGCAAAATCAACACCGTCGCCGGGGATAGTCATCTTCGCCTCGTCGCCGCCGCGCACGGCAAGCCTTATTCCCTCGACGACTTGATCATCGTTATCGCATCCAATCGCAACAGTAGCCTGCGCACCAAACCCTCGCTCAGGACTGCCCCAATCAATAATCGCACCCGTCCTTCCCTGCGGTTTCCCCGTCTTGGCGGCTCGACCCAATCGACGGAAAATGCTTTCCGTGTTGGCGTCAGATGTCCCCCATCGTTCACCCTTTTCACATTTTTGTTTTACCAACTCCAAAACGGCGCGGGCGTCCTCTATCGAGTCATGGCCTGTTTGGCCTTTTTGAATTTCTTTACCTAGGTATTTTTGGCAAAGCCATTTCAGGGAGCTTTTCAAAGGGGGCCCACGAGGGTGAGGATATATGATGGCTGTGTCGATGATGAATGGGTGTGTGAGCTTGAGGGCTGTGAGGTCGGAGTTTAGGGAGTGTCCGACTAGGACTGTGCGTGGCGTGAGTAATTCCAAGAGTTCTTTCTGGATATCAGCGAGCGTAGTCGTGACGGGATCGAGCATTTCTTTCGTAATTCCTGAGAATTGTGTCAGGTAGTTGATGATTGGTAAATCAGGCTTGACAAGTTTATCCAAAACAACCTCGCCATCCCAATTCACTAGACTGATTCGTGTAAGTTCAGACTTTCCACCTTCGGTAATACACATCTCGCAATCTAGGGCGAGAACTTGTCGGCCAGCTGTCATGCTGCCTTTTTGCACTTCAGACTCGGGAGGTTCACCATCGGTCAGTGACTCGACATGTGTATCGACCCAGCCGTGTTCGGCTGTTGTGCCTGCACGCTCTCGTATTCTGTGTTCTGCCGCTTGTTCGGGTTCGGTGTCGAAATATACCGGATGTAGGACATAGTCGTTTTCGCGTAGTTCTAGCTTCGGGGTGATAAACGCGGTAATCGGTGTGCGTTTCGATATGAAATGCTTTTCGTTTCTTGGAGGTCGCGGACCCTTCATCTTGGCCTCTTCTTGCGTCTTGGGTAGTTGTGATAGTAGTATAGCTTGTAGCGGAGAATGTACTTTGTTGTATTTCGTGTCGCCGGGCGCTTTGACCGGCCAGATGTGAGGGAACATGTCGGCTAGCTCTTGTAGAGGTTCGGGCAAGTTTTCCCGGCTGAGGCTTTGGGGATTAAATCGATGCGATCTGTCGGGTAGAGGGAGACCCTTTTTCCACCGTTCAAATTCCTCGTCATGCGAGTCTTTTTCATCTTTTTTATCTGTTTCGTCTCCATTTTCGTTTGCAGCTTCCACCTTGTCATCCAGAGGTACCGACCCGTTGAACATTCCAATTTCCAGTCCAGGAACCATCAGAACGACCACCTTCCTCACATGCCCAGAATGTTTCATCGATATCCATTGCGGCGCAATTCCATCCGCAAAGCAATACAGCAACAGACTTTGCAAGTCGGCAATACGAATTGAGGACTGTAACCGACCCTCGACATACGTCAAGGTGGGATATTTCGTCTTTTCTCCATTCTCGCCCCTTCGTCGCTTTTTATGGGATACGCCACCGATTGCCGGTTCTGCTTTTGTCGTTGACTCGTCTTCATCGACGGTAGATGTAGGCGAGGCCGAGTCTTGTAGGCGTGACAGTGTCTGACCAATTCCGAACCCGCCGCCTGAGGAAGGCATCACGGGATCGGCGTAGTCATCGGGATCGCGTTTCCGCTTGGCGCCATGAGGCATGGTCGCGGTTGTTGTCGAGGAATTATTGGAACTGTGAGTGCGATAACAACGCTCATCAGTCCGTAGGGGAGATGCGGAGATTGGAGTTGTAGCTTCAGCAATTTCAAAATTTACATATAAGCAGCCCGCAGCCGCTTCATGCAATCTGTGAAAATGATTGGTGTACTTGGAATCAAGTGGGGCACTTGATCTAGAGAGGATTATTGTTGTTCCGGTATTGTAATTTATCTGTATTCGGATTGAAACATCGTAATACACGCCGCTTTAAAAGGCGTCCAGTCACACCCAGCCAATACATCTTATAAGATTGATAAGCCGCTCTTTTGTTTCCGACGCTGATACGGAATTCTCACGCGAGCTATTACATTCACATTTTACCAACATGCATATTTCTTAGAGATGAGTAATCAGAAAATGCCTCATTCTAGGTAGCGGTAAGATGGTCTAGTCGTTTGTTGTCACCGGCTATTCCCTACCTAAGAACGTACTTTGTAGATGATGGCGTCAACGCCGTAATAAATCTTTTCCGGAGCCGAGCGCTTTTTCTGTCACTCCGCGGGGGTCCTTGATCGATTCCATTGCTTCTTCTGCAGACTTCTTCCTGTTCAATATTCTCCTCAACACTCCGTTTAGCAGCCTACACACGGCAATCCACGAGAAGACAGACTCCTCCTACATAGTCAAGTCTCGTAATTCACAATTGGGTTATCGCCTTAGCTGACCCCGCCATTAACTCGCCTTCCGCATTTTATATCGAGCAACCAGAATAGAACGACGAGATGTCGACTCTTCAGGAAATCACATCGGAATCCGAGTTCGCTCAACATCTCTCCTCTCTTCCTCCATCAGCACTTCTAGTCCTCTCATTCCACACACCATGGGCCGCACCATGCACTCAAATGCGCACAATCCTCAACACCCTTGCCGGAGGGTACCCAGTCACCTCGCCACCCTCAACCTCCTTCGTGAGCGTAAACGCTGAAGAACTTCCCGATATTTCAGAAGAATACGATGTCACCGCCGTCCCGTTCTTGGTGCTCATCCGCGACAAGAAAGTGCTCGAGTCGATAAGCGGGAGCGACGCAGTCAAGGTTCGCGATGCGATTGAGCGTCATGCCGGTCAGGCTGCTTCCTCGGTGCCGGGATCAAAATCGACTATTCCTCCTGTTCTTAATGCGACTCCCCGCGAACCCGTAGTCTCAGGCGCAGCTACACATATTCCAGCCGCTTCTGGTGCTGCACCAGCCTCCGCCGCACCCCCCGTCGCTGCCGCGGCAGCTGCACCAGCCGCCTCTGCTGAAGAAACCAAAGAAGCCCTCTTTGCGCGTCTCGCCGAACTCGTCAAAGCCGCTCCGGTGATGCTTTTCATGAAGGGTACACCAAGCGCACCCGAATGCGGATTCAGTCGTCAGCTTGTCGGAATACTGCGCGAGAATGGAGTCAAATATGGATTCTTCAACATCTTGGCAGATGAGGATGTGCGTCAGGGTTTGAAGGAGTTTGCAGAGTGGCCTACATTTCCGCAGTTGTGGGTGCAGGGTGAGCTTGTTGGGGGTTTGGATATTGTAAGTTCTCTGCTTTTCTAATGCTGCGTATATGTATCAGCTTGCTAATGGATTGTTTGTGCAGGTCAAAGAGGAAATCAGCGCCGATCCTGATTTCTTGAAGGCTTATGCTGTTCAGCGGCCGACTGCTACGGCTTAGATAGAAGATATAAAAGATAGTTATACCCCGATGATCCATTTCTAGTTGTACAATGAGTTGAATGAATGCTTCAATCATAATATCTAGCTTATTTAGGACTTTTTGAAACATGATCTTGGAGTCAGATGATCGATAGGTATATAGTGTACATACTCTTACCTCGAATCGTTGAAAAACTCCCCCGCGTTCCTCCTCAAAGTAAACATCTTACTATGCACAGCATCCTCATCCACATACGCCCCAGCCAACCACCTTTCTCCAGAAGTCGTATCAAACGCGCGCCGCGCATGCAGCACTCGCCTGTTCTCAAATATCACACACTGACCAGGCTCCAACTTGAGCTCAAAGATGCGCTCAGGATCCTCGATTCTTTTCTCGAATTCAGTGATGGCGGAGAGGTATTCTTTCATTTTTTCGGACCATTCAGAAGACTCGGATAGGTTGATGTGGTATGGTCCTTGAAAGGGAGGAGAGTAGTTGACGTGGGTCAGTGTTCTGTCCTCGGATGAGGCGGCGGTATCAGGGACTTCGAGAACAGGGCGCGTAGTGCGATAATAATTCTCCTTGTGATCGTAGTGATATGGAACTTTGTGCGATGCCAGTGTCTCCCACGAACTGCGATCTAGATCCCTCGCAGCGCCAAAGGCGTCTACGAACAGGGACTCGCCACCTTTGCATGAGTTTTTGAGACAATGCAATAGCTGAAAACCCGGCGGGTTGTGCACATATAACAGGTCCATGTGGAACCCGAGATTGAGGTTCGTGTATGCCACGTTCTTCGCTTTGAGGTCATTGCGCACATCCCACGTTGAGCCGTAAAAGGTGTTGCGTAGGGGGCCCATTCGAGTGGCTATTTTCGAGACCAGTTCGCGTGAGTCCGGGATATTGTTGACAAACAACAGACCATAGAGGGACAATTTGTTGAGGGCTTCTCGGAAAAGGTCATCATTTGTCATCCAGTCGTTGTAATCAATCCAGCATTGATCCCGTTCCATTTCCTTGCGGTCCCAGAATATTTGACGTTTACTGGTTCCCACGGCTTTGTGGTGGAAATGTGCTGCTGGGTGTGTGATATCGTCTGCTGTGAGTCGAGTCACATGTGTTTTGTTGTCGTAGCCAGGGATGTCCTTGTTCCACCATATTTCCAGAATTTCGCTGCCCTCAAATGAGGTGTCCTTCACCCATTTGATCTGACGAGGAGTCATGTCCTTAGGGATGTCACCCGTCCTGAAAGAGCGCTGTTTTGTCTGCGGATCAACACAACGGGGGCATTGACATGCATCGCGCAGTTGGATGTAGTGAACGTCAAGATCCCGCTCAAGACTTTGATTCAAAACAGTCGCCGGAAGTTTGATTGCAGCTTTGTCTCGACCGATATGCTTTACGAGCCCTTTGTGCTCGTCTTTTGTGGCCGAAGCTTCATCTCTAAATTGCCGAGGTTGTGAATATCCTCTCACCCAGGTTGGAATTGACACTTTTGCTGTGAGAGAAACAGGCCTCTTTATTACGGTAGAGGTCCATGACCGACCGATGGATAATTGAGGACGAAACATGATTGCGATCACTCAATCACACTCGATTATAGGTATTGCTTTTTCCGAGTGTTGACCCCTCGGCCATGGAGTGATGGAGAAATGCGGAGAAAGATAAGCGGCATTGATAAGGGTTACCGGCACATGTATGGAACTTGTACTCGATGGTTACAGCCTTGATCAAGGGTTTTATTCAGCCTACTTCGTTTGCACACCTTGGTTGCACACCTTGGTGTGCAAAATCAATCTATATCGATCATCGTGAAGACAAAGTGCTGAATTATATCATCCCTTATACACCACTTTATAGTGCATCGTGGCTCCTCTGTGAGGCTCGCTCCACCGGATATATAACTTTCCTACTTGGATCGCAAGTTAGGGCAAGGGCTTAGGGCAATGGTCTCGGACATGTGACGTGAGTCAGCCCCTGTCAAGACTGGATGGTTGTGTCCGTGAACTGCGGCTACGCCAAGGATAGATCTTCTTTCAAAACCTACCGCAAGGTCGGAATATCCGTACAGAATTACGCTGCTGTCTCAGATATGGTGCATGTTGCTGGAATCGGAACAGTTGAGTTGGAAGTACAGGCCTTTCGTGAGACAGGATCGCCTATGCGAAATTTGATGATGGAAAAAGTGCTCCATATTCCAGATGCTATCTGCAACGGATTTGCTTTTATCGAATATCACAAGTTAATCGGAAGTCCAAATCGATTCAACACATCCGAGGGGGTAGACGAGAAAGGTATTGCTCTTTGGTGTAGTAGATTATTTCAAGGAGTGGCTCSCAGGCTGGKATTKCCAGGAAAATCTCGAAGCAAGTCATATTCAAACTTTGATCTGCAATCAGTCGATGTTTATATTGAGAATGAAGATATGCTTGAGATTTTAGACCAGCACGGGGAGGGTTCTGAAGGTTACGACGATCATTATGACTCTGGTTTTGATCTTATCTAGGGTGTTATCTTTGTTTTTCGTCCTCGTGATATGCATTTTAAGTTCTCCGACTTAGCAATTGATTTCTACGAGATAGTTGGGAATTTGATCTATATGGATTTTGCCCATCTCCAAAGCCGCGCTCTGTTTGAATTACTAAAGCCTGTCTATACCTAGGTAATTATCTTGAATGAAACGTGTCACTTAAGGCATGTAGGCAGCAAAATAGCATATCTAACAAATAATTAAGGTATTCTTCAACCCTTAACATCCATCAGAAAGCTTCAATAGCTCTTGTTGAGGGTCCTTCGTCGAAAAATTCGCGTTGCGTCCTGAATGTTTCCTTTTTGTAATACCTCTTCGGGCCAATTAATAGGGCAGGGTTTAAGACTCCACGGCAATATCAACATGCACCTCCTTTTTGGTTTTTAAAAAAGTAAATATACCTATATGGGCATCATATTTCCAGTTCTATATACAAAATTATTGTATTATCGGGGATGGTCATTATATGCGCTTTATGAATCAATTGATCGCCCCAGTGTACGGAGCGCCTCATCCGCGTCCTCATGATATCATCCCTTCATTTTTCATCAGTGCTGCAATAAGTATAGATAGATTCTAGGACTAAAAGTTATCAGTCCTATCCACAGGCAACTCTAAAATTTCTAGCTTATATACCTTTCATGATAGTTCTCACCACCTGGGCAGCAGCCTTGAAGATGATTCATGCAAGTGAGAACCTGAATATGTGCTCGAATATGGACGGGGATACATGCTCAAAATATTAGACACGCTAAGCATCTTGGTATACTAAAATAAAAAACGATAAGAGCTGGAAATATATATTATTTCCTAATATAGTTAGTCTACCTAATCTAGCACTAAAGGCCAGACTGAAAATGCATCTTTAGCCCTAAAACCAAGCTTTGCAACCCCAGAGATACACGAATGATAATGGATAGAATAGAACTAGTCTAGGCTAGGCTAGCATGAGCTGAAAAAATGCTATAAATACAATGTATTGAATGCAAGAAAGATATACAAAGTCTGCATAGTATTCCCCCATTAGGGAAAATTAGCCGAGAACATAGTCTTAGGCCTTTCTGTCGATAACGACGTGTATTGGTCTTATTTGACACAACTAGATGCATAAAGTATAAGCCTACATGGAGTCAAAGCAATTTCTACGTCATGATTACTTGAGATATCTATTATTGAGTATTTATAGCATGTGGTACTAAGATTGAACAATCTGGAGGGTAGAAAACGTGCCGTGATGCTGGCAAGTGGAGAGTTATGTATCGCCTGGGTATGGTACAGAATTCCCTCTCTCTAGTATGATAGTCAATTTACTCAGCTGAGAGTTATCCATCCCAGTCAAGAGTGGAAATTACTGAATAATGTTCGTTGTCAGGCAGGACGAATCTGGAATGTACTTATAGTACACCTTCACCCTCAGTACACGGACACAGATAGGCGATAGGTTAGAACGAAGATGGTGGAAAGATTAATCTGTCTGTTGATACACCATAGATATTGTGCAGATGGTCATCAAATATGTAGCAAGATCGAATCTTAGAGCTTTCCCTACAACAGGGGTTCCTGAGACCCTGTGAAGTATGTGCCGAACACCAACTTTGAGTAGAAATTGAGCCGATGCAGGCTTGAATTTGTCCCATAGATTTGTACCTGCTTTCTTACCTGAAGAAATATCTCCTATCGATGGGCTAGCCATCTGCGGGGCGCCATTGTATAGTGTTTGCTAGTGGTGGTCTATAAGAGGTGCTATAGCTTGCGTTTACTGCAGGCTAGGGCCCCGGCCCGACGCACTAAGCTTGTGCTTGGTAAGAAGAAATCGGTTAGCTGTCTGGATTACTATCCGGAATCTTACATCTTCAGCAGCGATCTTCCTGGTCGTATTAACCCCATCAGGCATTGGCCTTTTGCTGATGTTGCCAAGATGTGATTTCCCACTGCCAGAGAGATTCAGATATGAAAGTCCCTGTGTACGAAAGCACCTGCTTTCTTGGCCAGGCACCAATCTGAGGCTCCGTACGATTGTTATCCAGCATCTGGCCCCCATGCCTTCTGGGTGTTGCCATATCTCGTATTCAACGCAGAGTCACTCATTAATTGCCCGTTCATGTAGCGAAGCAACCTCGATGGGGGAGTTTCAATTACTCCATTCGGTCAAGATCCAGCAGCTTGAACTCTGCACAATTTAGGCTCATGCACCATACCAATCGACGACAGCCCTACCTGTTCTTGAGCACGTTGCAACAACGTTCAATCCCGGCCGTCATCAGCCAAGAGCTGATTGTTCCTCATCACTGGACAGAACTTCGCGCAAGTCTGTCTAGCTTTATGAAACAGTGGGCCGGCACGGATTCTTAAGGGCGATAATGTCGTTTAAACACAAAATATCGTATCTGTTTACGGTTAAGCTCGCGAGCCTGACATAAATAACAGAAAACAACAGAGGTATAGTGGTCCTTAGCGTCATTGAAGGCGATATTTCACAAATGACTTCTTAATCCGAATTCAATGGGGATGATTCTGCCCGATACATTATATCTGATCCCGCGCTGCCTCGGATTTGATTTCTTCCTTTTCATGCCTCCTCCATTTTCAAACCAGGAGAAAAATGTTGTTCAAGGAAGCTATCACCACTAGTACAGATCATGGCACTACCGTGCAGAGTAACGCAAAGATGGGCGTCAAGGTGTGGCTAGTGTTACTAGTAGGATCCTCTCCTTCCGTCCTGATTTGAAGAAGCCACACACAATCGATATGGTTATACTAATTACCTTTTTTAATCAGTCAGTAAATATGATCTATTTTACTCAGACTGCGAACATCGTAGGTTCAGGTGCCTTAACGACACATATTACGACTGTTTTGGGTAGCCCAAGCGACGGAGTATGGTTCACCCAGGTTCTTGCCATCCTAACTGCGATTCTCAGCATCCCCGTTACCCAGGCAGCGGATTTATGGGGTAGAAAGATTTTCCTGGTCATACTGACTACCTGTGGCTGTATTGGCAGCATCGTTGTCGCTCGCGCAAACGGGATAGGCGCCGCCATCGCGGGTTTCGCTATCACCGGCCTTTCATTCGGCGCCCAACCACTCCTCCATGCCGTCAGTTCCGAAATTCTAGCCCGCAAGTATCGATCGTTCGCCCAGGCTTCAGTCAATGTCGCATCTGCTCTTGGTGCCATCGTAGGTCTTGTGGTGGGCGGTGCGCTCACGCGGACTTCTGACGCTGGTTTTCGAGTATACTGGGGCATCATCGCCGGTATATATGCTGTAACGGCAATAATCTGCCAACTGTTCTATAATCCGCCTCCAAGAAAATTGCAGTTTGAGCTTACCTGGAAGGAAAAAATTAGACGCCTTGACTGGATTGGATACTCTATTCTAGCTCCGGCTTTGGTTCTCTTCTGCATTGCCCTTTCCTGGTCACAGAATCCCTACCAATGGGCAAATACTCATGTGCTGGTTCCATTCATCCTCGGGATAGTGCTTGTGATTGTGCTTGTCATCTATGAGATAATTGTTCGGAAAGATGCCATGTTCCCCCATGATCTGTTCCGCCACCGAAACTTCCCCATAGCCTTGGGCTGTGTTTTTGCGGAGGGTATTGTTTTCTTCTGTGGAAATAACTACTTCGCTTACGAAGTTAGCGTTCTTTTTTTCACAGACAGCCTTATTACTGGAATCCACTATGCCATTGCATTCATTGCGTTTGCGATATCCTCCCTTTTAACGGCTTTATGGTCATCGAGAATCAAAAAGGTCCGCATCCCATGCGCTACCGCATATGGCACTTTTGTTATTTTCAATATCTTGATGGCCACTGTGTCGCCTTCCGTCTCAGAAGCTCAGATATGGGTTTATCCGCTGTTTCTCGGGACTGGGCTTGGAATGTGTTTAACAACCCTGATGACGGCAGCACAATTTGCAACGCCTCGTGAACTCATAGCCATCACCTCCGGGCTCATGATATCCGTTCGAAGCCTTGGCGGAGCTGTGGGATTAGCTGTCTACAACGCAATCTTTTCTAGTGGATATGCCTCAAATTTGCCACGAGATGTTGCCAATGCGGTCCTTCCTCTGAACTTCCCGGAATCGCAGTTGCCACAGCTGATCCAGGCTCTAATCGCCGGTGACAATGTTGCGCTTTCCAACATTACCAATGCCAACTCCGATATTATTAGCGCCGCCGGTGAGGGTCTACGTCAGGCGAAAGTGCTGTCATTCCGCTACGTGTGGATGAGTGCAGGTTTCTTCTCACTTGCTGCCGCGATTGGTGAGTCCACTTCTCTCTGACACTCCTTCCTTCACATATATGCCTGAAATGGTGTACCTCTCGTATTCCCTTGACTGACCAACGGCTAACATTGAAACCTCCATAGCTTGTCTATTCTTCCATGAACCCACCTCAGAATTCAATTCTCAAGTTGATGCGCCTGTATTGGTTGATGACGTTGACAGCAATTATTCAAATTCCGCGACAAATTCTAAAGCTGTCGTGTAAAGTCTTTTTCTTAGTTCGCCTGGTAAGATATGTTTAGCTTCATATCAGAAAACCGCATCCTTTTTTTGAAACTTGACATGTATCCATGGATATGAGGGTTAGCTTGTATAATATCACAGTGACCTGATATTCGACATACTCACAGGTCCCTCTTGTTGTGATGCATTTCAAGATGTTACCGGATACGTTATAGATGGCGTCATATGTTTAATCCTATTTACCAGTTACGATAACCCCTTTATTAGAGCTCTAACAAGTTGATTCTTCTGCAGAATTCAATATGTGTCAAATAGTAAGTGAAATACTGCATGCTGGACAATAGCGGCTGCATCTTAACAGCACTATCACCCATCCAATGTGCGACACAGAAAGCTATTGCTCATAGCACGTAAAGTGCTACACTTGAAGGGATGTTAGGACTTTAGGTGGAGTTTTTGAGATTACGGAGACATGAACTAGTATAGACCCTTACCCGAGTGACAGGATATATTGCTACCACGGGAGAAAGTTCTAGCAACATATTTAAGAGGTTTCCTTGTGTCCTTTAAAAACCCTCCTGAAGTCAAATTCGTTCCAACGGACTGTCGGCTTCAAGCCCGCCAGTCTCCATTTCCCATCTATATTTTTATAACTGTGTCTGATTACTGCGTGCCCATGTCCTTTCGCTTCGACCTCTTCCTTATCCAGATTCTTATATCGTTGATGCGCAGCACGTAATTGGTGGTAACCTACTACCTCTATGTCTGAAAGTCTCTCAAACTTAGAAGCACCAATGAAATGTTGGGTGTCCACCAATGGATCGCCGACGAAGCCTTCGTCACTGACCATCGACACAAATTCGTCTTTACCAATATCTGCCCACTTTTCGCCAGTAACATCGGAATAGTCAATCTAAAATTGTTTTGAGCATGGTCTCTGGCCAAGAGTTTTCCGACTTATCACTTACGGAAAGGTTCTCCGCTAGAATTGCTCTCAAACGAGCCCAGTCCTTTCAACACAAAATTAACAAGCAAAACCTGGCAGCAAAAGGCTCAAACATACTTTGGTGTCATAGCTCTCGCCCCATTCAAACGTTATCTCCTTGAGGATATGAGCCACTAGGTATGCGAGTTAGTGCAAACTACTATCAGCGTCGCGATCCAAACGCACCATCAGCGCTGACGGAAGCTATGATTTCGGTGACTGACTGAAAATGCAAGTAACGCGCTCTCCAATACATACAGGTTGATGCTATATATATTCTAGACGCAGGCTTATCGGCCCCGTTTCACTGCATGTGGGAGCCCTGGGAAATAGGGTTTTGGAGCATAGGCACCCCGAGGGCAAAATGCATCCGTGAGCAAGCACCCTCAAGTTCGTATATGCAAGTCTCCATGTGAACAAGATACAGAGCCCTAGAAGGATTATCTCTGTTGCCCCATGGAGTAATTTGCAACCATGGGGGCCAAACGAAAGCATCGGGTTTCGGCTAACCAGCGTCTAAAAGTTGAGCCAAATCTCTCGTCTAGTTTGCGGTACCTAGAAACTCTATGATTCACTACTTGAGGACTGGTGCAGAGCCGAAGACCAAATGGGAATATTGAAAGAAAGAAATATTAAATAAATGTATATACTACTTACATATAAGCAGAGGCGACGATGTCATTTCTGTTCTCGCGGAGGATTCGTTGAATCATCGTTACTGTGTACTATAGCTTCACTAAGGTCAAAATTCGTATTTTACATTCTTTAAATTTGCGCACATAGTTTGACGCAGAGTTATGATTGGCCGAAAGATTAGGTTGACCTCTTTCATGCTGTCGAACTACAACGTAGACGGCATTTCCACATACTCCGTACATTCACCAGGGTTTCAAGGGATTGCTAGAACAATTATGGCCTCGAAGATGATTCCTAGTGAGATCCTAGATTTGGCGGTACATCTGAGGTTCTTTTGATAGATATTGATTGAAACTCACTGCGTGAGCCTACTTATGAGTTCATTCCAAGAAGCGGCAGTTTACTAAGACATGTGCCTAGGTTACTAAGAAAAAAAGAGCCCGAAACACACTTCTACGATTGAAGAAAAAAACAACTCTTCTAACATTCAAGCCAACCTATAGCATATTTTCAATATCAATCTAACCTTGGGCGCTTATTTCCACCTGCAGTTGGCAAGATACCCTCCATAGGCAAGGGTCCACCCATATCCCAGGGGTGCTTGAGCTAGTGCATCTAAAGATACTCAGCCTTGTGGTCATTGTGTCTGACAGGACTCAGAGATACCACAAAGAGTACATTGGTGAATAATAATGAAATGCGAAGAAAAGAAATCCACCAAAAGCTCACATTTAGTTCAATCTTCAATCAAATCTTCCCGATCTGGAAGGCGCACACCTTGTCAGGAAACTGGCACGTGATTGGTCGACAGCTACGTAATTTCTGCTGGAGCTAATCAAGATAAGCAAGAAAATAACCTCACTTCGCTCCCTTTTATCTCTCATTCTTCTCTTAGCGCAAGATCTTTCTGTTGTCATATTAATAATCTCTGCGCTCGACCGTCTGCAACTGGATGTATGTCTCCCGGCGGCGAACGACTCAAAGATGAAGGCACGCGGACGCAGGTCGTCATCGCTGGCGGTATAGCCGGACTTGTCTCGAGGTACTTCCTTTCACCACGACTAGTTCAACCAGAATACTAACCAGATTGAACATTGCAGATTCTGCGTCGCACCCCTCGATGTCGTCAAAATCCGTCTTCAGCTGCAGGTCCACTCTCTCTCCGATCCAACCTCACATTATGGACTCAAGGGGCCGGTATACAAGGGCACGCTTCGGACGATGCAGGCCATCGTTAAACAAGAAGGAATAGCCGTACGTCAATGCACGCTGATTTTTAACAAAAAAATAATTTCTGAAATCTGGCAGGGTCTATGGAAAGGCAACATCTCCGCTGAATTACTCTACGTCTGCTACGGCGGCCTCCAATTCACAACATACCGCACAACAACCCAATTACTCCAAGAACTACCCACACGACTCCCGCCCACCGCTGAGTCGTTTATTTCTGGTGCCGTGGCTGGCGGTATAGCGACGGCAACTACATATCCACTCGACTTACTCCGCACCCGATTCGCCGCGCAGGGAAACGAGAAGATCTATACTTCCATCGTCGACTCAATTCGCGATATAAACCGTACAGAAGGGCCACGGGGTTTCTTTCGCGGGTGTTCCGCGGCTGTCGCGCAGATTGTGCCGTATATGGGCCTCTTTTTCGCGGCGTATGAAACCCTTCGGTTACCGCTAGGCGAAATGTCGTCTCTTCTACCGTTCGGGTCTAGCGATGCCGCTGCCGGCGTGTTCGCAAGCATAATCGCGAAGACGGGCGTGTTTCCACTTGACCTCGTACGGAAGAGATTACAGGTGCAAGGTCCGCATCGGGCGCGATATGTGCATACAAATATTCCGGAGTATAATGGTGTCATCAAAACGATTCGGCTTATTCTGAAAACGCAAGGAGTGAGGGGGTTGTATCGTGGGCTGACGGTTAGTTTGCTCAAGGCTGCGCCTGCAAGTGCGGTTACGATGTGGACGTATGAGAGGGCACTGAATATCATGCGTGCGAGGGAGTAGATTTCTCTTCTCGGGCGGGCTAGATTTTCTCGGCGATATTAGATGGCGGGATAGATTTGTTCTGGGTAGATGGCGTCGGTGGAGTCAAGTGTACGATATCATTTCTACGATTCTTATTTTCAAGACTTGCTTGCATTTGAAGGTAAAAAGAATGAATTATTGGTTGGAAATCAATATTTTTCCTCACTGAATTCTTTGCTCCAATGATTGAAAAGATTTGACGCTAAACAGAGACAGTATTTGTCCCAAGAAACTCGTTAAAACAGGGGGGGATATGTGCGACACCATAATCTGTTGTATCTAACCCAATAGATACAGAAAAAGTGGAAGGATAATTATCTGACAGAAACAAAAGAAGGAAAAGTGACTAGTTTAGTACTCAGCATCACCCTCAACATCCTCCTCAATACCATCGCTAGCAACCTCTTCGTAGTCCTTCTCGAGGGCAGCCAAGTCCTCACGAGCCTCGGAGAATTCACCTTCCTCCATACCTTCACCAACGTACCAGTGGACGAATGCACGCTTGGAGTACATGAGGTCGAACTTGAGGTCGAGACGGTTCCAGGCCTCGGCGATGGCGGTGGTGTTGGACAACATGCTGACGGAACGGTCGACAGGGGCCAACTCGCCACCAGGAACGCGCATGGGCTTCTGGTAGTTGATTCCGAGCTTGAAACCAGTGGGACACCATTCAACGAGGTTAAAGGAGGCCTTAGCCTTGACAGAGGCAATTGCTTGGCTGCAGTCACGAGGAACAACATCACCGCGGTAGAGAAGTGCAACAGCCATATACTTGCCGTTGCGGGGATCGCAGACAACCATCTGGTTGTTGGGCTCGAAGCACTGGAAGGTAAGGTCGCTAACCTTGAAGCTCTCGTGGGAGCTCCGGTTGGCAGAGACCACAGGAGCGTAGGAGATAAGAGGATAGTGAATACGGGGGTAGGGCACCAAGTTGGTCTGGAATTCGTTCAGGTCCACATTAAGGGCACCGTCGAAGCGGAGAGAGGAGGTGATGGAGCTGACGACCTGAGCGATCAGGCGGTTCAAGTGCTCGTAGCTAGGACGGGGAATGTCCAAGTTGCGACGGCAAATGTCGTAGACAGCCTCGTTGTCGACCAAGAAAGTGCAGTCGGAGTTCTCAATGGTGCTGTGGGTGGAGAGAACGGCATTGTAGGGCTCGACGACAGCGGTCGAGACACGGGGGGATGGGTAGACGGAGAACTCGAGCTTGCACTTCTTGGCATAGTCAGTAGCAAGACGTTCGAGCAGAAGGGCACCGAAACCGGATCCAGTACCACCGCCGAAAGAGTGGAAGATCAAGAAACCTTGGAGGGAGGAGCAGTTGTCTGTATGATCATGAGTGAATGTACTCCAATCTTGTTAGGGAGCGCAACGAACCGGTAATGCGGCGAATGCGGTCAACAACATTGTCGACCAATTCTTTTCCAATGGTGTAGTGACCACGAGCGTCTATTCTCTGTTAACCAAGCTATCCGGCTTTTAATCAATATCGGACGTACAGTTGTTAGCGGCATCCTCCTTGCCACTGATCAACATCTCAGGATGGAAGAGAGAACGGTAGTCACCGGTGCGGATTTCGTCGATGGGCTGGAGACAAGTCAGTCACCCATGCTCACCGCCCACGTGAGGTAGCTTGGAGTATACATACAGAGGGGTCCAAGTCGACGAAGATGGAGCGAGGAACATATTTGCCGCCACTGGTTTCGGTGAAGAAAGTATCGTAAGAACCGGCATCGCCAGCATTCTCGGCAGCTTCTGTGTCAATTGTTCCATCATGCTTGAGACCGTGCTCAAGGAGATAACTATTTATTTGCCATTGTTGTTAGATTCGCTTATCAATTCGAACTCGTCCATGGTGCGACGGATGGAAGAATGGCGGTGAGGACGTACAGCTCCCAAGCACTGTTACCCAGCTGGGTACCAGCCTGGCCGATGTGAAGATGGCAAATCTACGGATCCCAGTTAGTTATAAGCTTGGTATAAAGTTATTGAAATAGCAAATATGGCGATTGGGTGATAGCATCAGTGTCGACGCTGTCGATATTTGGATGGTTCAGGGGACGGGGAATAGTGGGGGAGTAAACAAAGACTCGAAACACAACATTGCACAGGAGACGACTTACCTCACCACGCATTGTGACCGATGGAAGATAGATGGAGATACAAGAGAGGAGACAGAACCCAAAGCAACCTGTACACGAGCAGGACACGCAATAAGAGACAAAAAAAAAAGAGGTTGAAGTGTCGACTGAGCAATGGAGGAGTCGCTGGAGGAAAGAGTCCGTGCCGGGTCGATCGACTAAACCGACTAGCACGAACACTGGGTAGCCTATCAGCACGCTTCAAGACGGGGCTTGCTGCACCAGCTCTCTTTTAGGTGGTGAGTGGAGAAAAGACGACCAATCAGACTCGTGATGGCGTTTCCCCTGGCCTGAGGCCCCACCAGGCATTCGTCGGGCCTCAGGCTCCGAGCTTACTCTAATTCTTATTCTTCAGACTACACTATGCAATCAGCCATTATAAGATTCTTTTTTTTATTCTCTTTGCTTGAGGCCATCCATCACAGACTCAGTCTAAGGGCGGATAATCGCATTACATCCAATCTAACCAACAACATCTTCCAGATGATCCGCATCAACCTTGGTCCCCAATGTCTGCATGACAAGTCCATTCCCACCTGCATTGCCAACAACTTCAGCCTCAATCAGAACCTGCTTTCTCGCTTGTTTCAGAGTCATCTTGCTGTCTTGGCCCTCAGAGTACACCTCAAACAGGCGGTCAATCTGTTCGAGTGATAGCTTTGATGTCTCGACATAGAACAACCACAAGACAGGCAACATGGCAATATTGAAGAACCCAAACATCAGATAAAACCTCCACGACAAATTTGTTATTCCCAGCGGCGTGACCGGGACAACCACATAGACGAATATCCAGTTCGTGGCCGTCGATATGGATGTACCGACATTACGCATAGCCTGCGAATTGATCTCGGCGGGATACAGCCACGGGATCGACAGGAACGAGATACCAAAGAAGAAATTGTACACGAAGATAAACACAATCGTGAAAATAGACATGGAATAACTCCCAACCCGGATGCCGATTGCAATCATAAAAAATGCAATACTCTGTCCAGCGGCACCGGCCAGCAACAAGTTCTTTCGTCCGAATGAGTCGATGACAAGCATGGACGTGGTCGCCCAGATCATCAAGGCATGACTGTAAACCGCGGAGATGATCAATGCAAGACGGTCAGACAGGCCGACAGATTTTGTGAGTACGACGGGCAGATAGTTTGCAATGATGTTGACGCCACATGCTTGCTGCATGAGCGCAATACCCGCGCCAAGAAGTATACGGCGGAGGTTCTGTTGAGGTCCATTGTGGAAGATGTCGGACATGGCGGCACTTTCACTTTCGATCTCGTGGGCTACAGTCGCTGAAAGGACGCTTAGAGACTCGGTGACTTCGGGGTCATTGTCGTCTTTGGACATGAGACGGGCGAGGATATGTTTTGCTTCATCATTGCGGCCTCGCAGAACTAGCCATCGCGGAGACTCTGGCATGACAATGGTAAACACGAACGTGACCATGGAACAGAACGATTGGAACGCTAGCGGAAATCTCCATGACACCGAATTATTTGGTAGATAAGTAAAGCCATAGTTCATCCAGCTAGTCACGGCGATACCAAAGATGTTCAACACTAATTCCATAATCACCAATCGACCACGATGATGCTGTTTACAAGTCTCGMCCTGCCACATCGGAATCGCCGTGGTATTGAGGCCAGTCCCGAACCCGCCCACGATTCGACCAATAATCATATGAGGTAGAACACTCGCAGTGGCCTGGAGGATACCACCGACGGTCAAGAAAGTACATCCGATCATGATAGCCTTGCGTCGTCCGATTTTGTCTCCGATAAACCGCGATAAGATAGCACCAAAGATGGCACCAAGGTAGTAGGTAGAGGTAATTTGGCCCTGAATGGTGGCATTAGGGTCATTGAAAGTTTTGAGAAAGTTTTCATTGGTAAGGATTCCGCCAAAGACACCTTGGTCGTAGCCAAAGAGGAAAAATCCGGCACCACAGGCGATTGTGATGCCTCTTGTAAGGGCACTGCCTTGAAGATTTGAAAATAATCCCATGATAGCGACTAATGTCTGGATATACTCAATTATTCAACAGGGTGTGCAAGATTGATTGATTCGCTCAGCGACAAGGCCCCGGTTTATATACAGTACAACACCCCCAATCGCTCTCCGAGGGGACCCCGTACCGAAATCTCCAAATTCAGTGGAGAAGCGAATCTCTGATTCTTGTCCCAGAAAAATGTGCCAAGTTGTGGAGGACCTTCTCTCAATGTGTGGTGATTAGTGGTTCGTTTGGGGGCAGTCTCAGAAGATCGTAAGCCCTAAACGGCATGGCTGCCAACCACCTTCCCGGGGTTCCCTCCGAAGCATGACTCAAGTCGCAAACGCGGCCAACTTTTTGACTATACTAACGGTTGTCGCTCTGGTAGGATAGTGAGAAACGGGGAAGTGAATATCCGATTGTCGAATAGCGTGTTAAGCACTGCCAATTATGAGTGTCTGATTGTCGTTGTGGAATGTACCAAATATTCACCGTCGTTCCTTCGGCGTATTGCTTAGCCGTATAGATAGTCACTTTCTCAAATCTGGAAGATATTAGCGACTTCGGCGAAATAGCCTACGTACATATGACAGTCTGATATTTGCTAGTAAGATCAATCTAGAACTAGCGAGGAAGTTCTCGAAGAAGGAAAGAAAAATCAGCATGGAAATTCCTCCTTTTGCCTCTCTCCCCCTCAACCCCAACCACCCACCACACTCAGCATGGGCTGTTTGGGGTGAAAATGACGAACTCGGTACCCTCAACCACCTTACCAATGATGTCGTGGTAATGGCAGCCCGCGAAGAGATCCGTACGGGAGCTCGAGTAGGCCTGAACTGGTCTTTACAGCAGATGCGAAAACCGCCTTCGTTTAGGAACGTGTTGGATCATAGAATTGGGACTATTGAGGGAGGTGTCATGCATGTAATACTTCCTTCTCTCCAGGGGGTTTTTTGGATAGGTGGAAGGTGCTGATTTGAATAGGATGATACGCTTCATTTCAATACGCAGACGAGTTCGCAGTGGGATGGGTTCAGGCATTGTGGATATGCGGATGGGGCGTTTTATAATGGGGTGACTGGAGTTGAGATTCTGGAGAAAAGGAGTGATAGAATTGGTATACATGGTATGTTTCTTAGCATTCTGGTGACGGATATTGGGAGCTAAATGGCGATAGCTTGGTGCAAGCAAGGAATAGTTGGACGGGGGGTCCTTGTCGACTTTTGGTCATATGCAGCACGACACCAGATCCCCTTTGACCCGTTGAATAGATCAGTCATATCACTTGACACGATCAACCAAGTTTTAGAGGAAAGCAGAATAACAATTCGGAAGGGCGATATATTGGTCATACGCACAGGTGCATCTATCATTCCATCGTTTCCATTGAACCTATTCTAACAAAACCGGATTCAAGGCTTTCTAAAAGCCTACTCAGAGGCAACAGAAGCACAACTCGAGCAAATTATGACCGCAGATCCACTACAATACCCCGGCGTCGAAAACTCGATTGACTTCGCGGAATGGTTATGGAATTCAGGTATCGCGGCTGTGTGTACTGATTCGCCTGGATTCGAGGCAATGCGTATGTCCCCTTTTACATTCTAGATGTTTTTAAGGCTAATCATATGCAGCCCCTCAAGGATTTTTCCTCCATCCAGTACTGCTAGCAGGTTTTGGCATGCCTATCGGTGAGTTGTTTGATTTGGAAGATTTGGCAGATCAATGTGAAAAGACTCAGAGGTGGTCCTTTTTCTTTACTAGCGAGCCACTTAATGTGGTTGGTGGAGTTGCTAGTCCCCCGAATGCGTTGGCTATTTTTTGATATCGACTATGTAAAGGAGTCATCACTTCTCCGCTCTAATTTACAGATCTTAGCATGGTGGAGGTTTTTTTCTTCTCATGTCAGGGGGTTAAATGTATTATGGGGTCTTTTAATATCGATATTAAATTCTTTCATTAAAACATGACCAAAATCTGCTTCAAAGAAACTCTCCTCTCGTGCTAGCCAAATTATCCTGAAGTCCTCATTCGCCCCATCTGCCTTTTGAACCGGACCCGATTTTCGAAAGTCGTGATATCGATCGAAGAAGTTGTCCTGGTAGTAATATGTTCCCCTCTGTTCAAGCCCCAAAGCAAAGTTGACTCAAGATCTATCAGGCAGCAATGTACATAGTATTTTTGGCTCTCTTCAATTTCCTCAGCCATCAGTCTGGAGTGTGGATAGGATTCAGGCGTGTCTCCTTTGTAGCCTGTGTGATCCCATCGAATGTGACACCCCTTCCCCAATGCACCTGATCCGCAACATCTCGAGCCCTGCAGAACACAGTCCACTCGCATTTAGCCAGAGCCATTGTATATTCCTTGATATCTGCTTGGAACACTGTCATTGCGGCAGTGTATTTTGTGGAGTTTCTGACCCATTTCGCGGAGGCCATAGTGCTGGTTTCTGATTCTACATAGAACATGATAGCCCCATCGCTCTTAAAAAAGTCACCGTCGAAATATCGTAAATCTAAACCATTGGCAATCACAATGACACGGATAAGACCCTCTGGTGTCGTGTTCATATCAAATCATAATGTACATCCTCCGTGGTCATGCCAACTGTGAAATCCTTGAGATATTAGTATTTATTGCGGTTATACTTTGGCTCAAATGGCGGAGAGGAGGTTTAAAAGGTAGATCCTTGAGGAAAAAGTGAAGATCTTGATTTAAGAAGTGGAATAACGCAACGTTAGCCACAACGCCCGAATCAAGTGTGATTTCAATTTTCAATGGCAGCTTCGGCATCCTGCATGCCAATGGATAAAGTGGCATCCTACACGTCTGACTAGGTATCATAGATCTTATTTAAATCCAGTCACTGATCAGTGCCTCATTTCGTGCATCATTCCTGGGCATCGTCAAAAGCTGGCTACTTGCTGCACTTCCTTCCTTTTGAAAATCGCCAGCGCACCCACTGGAGTAGCAATGGATTATTCTTCGGATAATTAACAGGACGAATCTGTTAATTATTTTTGTCCTAGATACTATACAACAAGATATAATGAGGAGCGTTTCATGGTCCGAGCTCCATTCTACCCATGAAAGACAATAACGTTGCGATATTTGGAGACATCTCCTACGGGCTCACCACCCCATACCAGCAAAGACCCAAAACAGCCCCAATCAAAATCGCCGCCGCAGGCGGCACACCAAACCACGCACTCTCGGTATACGTTACAGTCGCAACAACCACCCACCAGGGATCCAACGCCAGACTTTGGCCGCTTGTGGTTTCCGGCGTAAGGTACCCAATATTCCACAAACGGTAAACAGCCGTGAAGACCAACCCGACAGCAGTAGCATTGAGGCCATGCAAGAGATTAATAACCCATTTGTTCTTGCGCATAACGCGCCAGAAGCTTTGAAGGGCAACTGCCAACGTAATTCCGGGGATAAATATTCCCAAAAATCCGAGAATCGCGCCGAGAACTGTCGGATAAGGCGAAGCGCGTAGCGCAAGTGCTCCGAGATAGACGGCAAAGTTGAAGTTGGGACCTGGCCATGCTTGAATCATAGCGAGACCGAGGAGGAAGTCTCGGCCAGAGACCCAGCCGGGACCAACGACGTAAGAGCGAAGGAGGGGAATGACGACCGGTCCACCGCCAAAGATGATTGTACCAGCGAGATACATGTTGGCGAAGAGGTCCAAAGTAATGTCGGGKGAAGCTTTTACGCCACGGCTGACGAGAACGCCGATGAATGAGGCTACGATACGATTAGTGCTTCCAATATATTGAAATTTTGTAGCGCTATTACTTACCAAAAAACACAACTGCGATAACGATACCCACGCGGATTTTGATGGCATGGTCCTGATGTATGTCTTGTTGAACCTGTTGCGTTTCCTGCTCTTGCTGCAAATTCTGTGGCGGCTTCGAGCCTGGAATCGGCGTCGCTGTGGCACCCACATTTCTCCTTTGAATACTACTAGCATCAGTCGGCTGGGCTCTCTCTTCTAGAGGGACACTATCTTCGATCGAAGCCTGCTCAACCTGCGATTCTGTATTCGACTTTCTCCGCTTAAGCTTGGATTTCAGCTTTCCGACACTTTGCAACATCCATCCGTACCAGACAACAGCTGCAATACCGCCGATCACCATGAGCACGGGAAAGTACCACAGCGCATTATAGCACATGCCGGCGCAAGCACCAAAGACGACCAAAATACGAGAGAATTTGTCCTTGATGGCTTTGTTGGCTAGTTGAACAGCTGCAAGAGCAATGATCCCGACTGTGGAGGCGTTCATGCCGGTGAGTAGGCCATAGACTGGTCCAGGAAGGACTTCATTGATGTGTTGGACGCCAAGGGCTAAGGCGTACATGGTAATTGCTCCCGGAAGACTATACAAGGGATCAGCAGTATTTTTACTCGTTGCTTTGATATTCCTACCTCCAAATTAAGAATGTTAGTACGGCAGGAATGAAGCCAGCGTGCAGTAATGCGAGACAAAACAGCATCTTCGTGCTTCCCGGCCCTGGAAGTGCTTGACATATCGCAAACAACTCTTGGTACTATGATCACTCTGTTAGCTCCCACAACTATCAGCACCAGGCAAAATGGGAAGAAATGCCTTACCGTCTGCTCATCAACCCATCTCTCTCCAGTTTTTGCTTCAACAAAGCGCTGATGAAAAATGCCAAAGTGGACTGGCGGACCTCCGAAAGCTGTAAAGCCGAGGTCCCAGGKGCGCAGAAACACGTCTAAAAGACGACTGGGTAGAGATTCTCCGCCATGAGTCTCAGTCTGCACAGTTCGTCTCGATTGATGACGAGCGATCAGAGACTTCAAACCGGACAAATTCTTCGTGATTGATGTTGAATGCATATTGTATCCTGCAGGTTCCTACGATTCATCAAGCGAGTATGTAGAGACGAGAGCTACAAAATTTAGGATGACTTTTTGTAATCGATCTAGGGTTACTTAGCTTTAGCCAATAATCATTGAAGAAGATGTCACGCGTCAAGTGTGGCAATTAGGCTCATGTCTGTGCGTATGCGGTTTTTGGTTCTCCCATTCGGCGTTTACCCTAAGGATCCCGCGTAACCCTATAATTCCGTCATTTGGCGTCTTCTTGACTGATTTTGACTAATTTTGACTAATTTTGGAGACTACCAATTAAACACCATGTATAATAAATGTCATTGATGTTATAGCTCCTTGTATTCACGATACCGATGTCGCACCGGTCAATTGCGCTGGCTTGACTGCTCCAGATGAATGTCAACTTCACCACCTGGACATCCCTGCGGCGGAATCTTTACTTATATATAATGACATGCAGAGGGTCGTTCATATCTCAACCGGACCTCGGAAACAGCAACAACAACAACAACAACAACAAGGAACAAAAATCGATTGCTTAATACGACGGAATGATTTGAAGTAATATGTATGGAGTTCGCAGCATTACATCTCCATCCGGCATGGAGACAAGTCGCTGAGTTTATCGTAGCCTGATCAAGGAATTGCTACGATATCGCTGACTTGCAATTGCTCCCCACCGGAATACTAATTCTGTTCGTGATCGTGAAAAGCTCGTATCTAATCAAAGGGTTGGATCGTGACGGGGGAATCGTTGGCAGCAATTCATCTTGGTACCGGAAGGCAGCACAAGTCCATTGGAGACGGAGAAAGAAATTATTGAGAACATACAAAAAAAGGGGTACCAGAAGAACTTTGTATAATACGATGTAAAATCATCAGTCCAACCAGAAAAAAGTAATGACCAGTGCCGGGCTCGATCCGGCGACCTTATGTGTTAAAGTTACTGTGTAATTCACGGTAATGTTAAACATACGAGATAACCAGCTACTCCAACCGGCCATGGAGACAAAAGCAGATTTTACACCATATAGACCTAATGGACAGAGTCTCGGGGTCCGTCACCACAAGAGAGGTGAGAAAACGTTCCATATTACTTACTCATCATGTATGAGTTATCTCACCTCTGTGGTAGTGTTGTGGCTGACCAATCGACCTACGACCCGCAAAACACCCTGTAGGCCAATTATTTTTCGTGAAGCAAAAACCCCATACGTGGAGGGCCTGAAGTAATAATAGCAACTAACTTTTGTAAGGAGCTCCTCTACTAATCATCCGGTGTACTAACGTCTCGTATCACAAAACATAGGATATCGTAAGGTAGCACGGTTCAAGTGCCCTACGCTGCAAGAATACAAAGTCTAGCGCCATGGTATTAACGCTTTTACTATCACTGTAATTCTGTATCAGGATGTTGAGTGGCCAGTAGTCTTAGAACTGACTCTCAGAGCTCGTCATGCCGTTGATATTGACAAAGACTTCCAAACGTTTGATCTTGCATGTCGCGATAAGCAAGTGCAAAGCGCGCTCCACCAATAGAGGCGAGTAGAATGCCATGTTGATCACCGCCCTTTATGACCATATCTCTGCCCATAACATTCTGAACGGCCCGTTCGATCAACTCGCTATCGGAATAGCTTCCTATGATGTACACTGTGTCGAGCCGTTCACGACATGATCCGGAACTACAGTCATTTGTGCATTGCGCCTCTATACGACTATGTTAGCATGATTCCTTGCTGCCACAGCCGACTCGAAGTTGGATAAATACCTTGAAACTGTTCTACTGCTGCAGCCAGGTATTCCCCTACCCATTGCACGTATTCGCGTTCTATTTCTTGCAAATCATTCCAGTAGAGAACAGCGTTGATCCTCTCGTCTGTTCGCAAGGCATGCGGCAGAGCTAATGGCCATTCTTCACAGTGCTGGGTATCGTCTGTAATGTTGGTCCCAGCACAGCTATAATGTATGAGGCGACGTGCAACAAAGACCGAGTGAGCTAGCTGGCCGTATAAACCTCCATGCTCCAGTTCCTGTTTGAGCGGCGCATTGTCCATCAAAATATACCTCATGGTCACTTCTTCGGCGATTCTATAGAAGCCTAGATGGTCCAAAGCGCGATTGTACAAACATGGACATCCCTTTATCTGTATGTCCAAGTACCTTTCTCCATAATCTATCATAAGAAAGACTTTACAGTTCGACTTTTGTTGTCGAATCAGTGTGTCCATTTTATGGTAAGATTCTGCAAGTTGTGGGATATTCTTCAAGCTTCGGAAAAGACTGCGAAATTTCTTCGTGCTCTCAGGCGGGTTCTCATATGACTGAACAGCTGTTTTCCTGTCTATCAGGAGTTGTGGATCGATACCGGCGGCGACGACTGCTTGCATCAAAACCTCGTTCATGGTTGTGTTGAAAAAGTCCGGGCCAACAATAATCGCTGATCTTATTTCTATTCCCGTATTATTGTGGGATATTTCCTTTACCAGTAAGAATGCCTGGCGCATACTATCCTCGAGCTCCGCGGGGCCAAAGCTAATGTCTAGTCTGGCCTCTGGTGTCGGTGTGAAAATCGTAATGTTTAAAAAAGATATTAGAATATTATTTAACCCGAGATCATTCCAAGGAACGAAATTAAAACCCAATCTATGGGAAATATCCTTCCAGAAATCGTATAAAGCAACAAGATAGCCTCGCGAGATCTGCCATACCCGGTGAAAGGGTCCGCTACGCTTCACAGATTGTCGTAGCGATTCAACGCTTTGACGAAAATGTTCCAAACGTAATATGCTGATGTGCTTCCCAAGTTCTGCAAGGCCTGGATTGTTTGTGTCTCTGTAAAGTACGGCTGCTAATGTAGTGACATTTGAAAGAGAATGGGCATATGAAATCGTGCTACATAAGTGTCAGCTTTTATCTCGAACAAAAGGAGAGCCGAAAAGAATCTGACATCGTATCCCCACCCAGATGAATTGCGATAGGTTGAGGAAGAAGTTCTTTGTCGAAGCAGTCGGTGGAGAGTTTCTGAGATGCAGCACACATTAAATTACCTGTCAGTAAAAGTAGGGTGAAGAAGATATAACGAGAAACTGATATGAGCATTTTGCAGTTGATTATATCATCTATGATACCAAGAGTCCATCGAATTTCTCTTGCTGACAGGTAGTTTGGCTTTTGGAAAACCGAAAATGACAATGCGCGCTGAAAATATTAAATGGCGAGATGTTTGAAAATGGAAAATGAAGCTTGGTGTTAAAATATAGCTGTAACGCGAATAGGAAAGGTCGCTCTGTAACAACAAGAAGGTTAAATATGAACTCACACGCTATTTTACAAAACCAGAACGCCATCATTGGTTTCAGGCAAGTAATTAACTCAGACAGACGTAAAATATATACATTCCCAAGTGGAAAAAAAAAACCAAAAAAAAAATAATGACCAGTGCCGGGCTCGATCCGGCGACCTTATGTGTTAAATATACCATGTAATTCATGGTAATGTTAAACATACGAGATAACCAGCTACTCCAACCGGCCATGGATTGGTGGGCCGACTTTTGTCTATAGAACCCTGGCCTTCATCTTGTCTATCACTTAACTCTATACAAGAGCTTGAGAAAGGCAGAGTCCATATAATTATATAGCCACCTCTCCCTCCTTGTCTCAATCTAATTGACATGGTTTGGCATTGCATGAAGAATTATCTTCAGGTTGATTTCTCTGAAAATATAACACTACCAGAGCTTAGGGTGGCCCTTACAGAGGCCTAGGATGTTATTCCAGCTGCCAAGGGGCTTCCTGCAAGATCACTGAAATTCATGCCTGAACGTCGCTTTGCAATTACTGAGCCAGCTGGTGGTCATACCAAATCTTGATATCAATGTTCTTTGTATTAATATTTCGTGCGTGTATACCAACATCAAATTCATCTCTACTTAATAAAGAAGTAATGTCTGACAGAGCTATTTACTTGAGATGCCAGTATGGGAGTAGACTCTTGTTCAATCCTGGATTGGTATATCACGATACGACAAGGCAGAGACGCAGCTGAACAGAACAAAAGCGACATGTTACGTGTTAGTCTACGTGGAAATCTTTTGGGACCTCTACTTGTCTATCCCTCTAAACTTCAATCGGCCCTTTTCATTAATCATTGTGTCTTGGAGGCGATCTCTAGACCACATGACCGCATCCATTGCCTAATTAAAAAATCGTTGGCCTAGTAAAATAATGTCAAAAAACTTAAAAGTGCCGAGCCGTTACTAGTTCAGATGCCAAATCCTACGCTAAACGTAGTTTCCGATCTGACCAGTCACAGCACGGCGAACAGTTCCACAGTCATCCTTTTGCTTCGTATTCGACGGCCTAGAAAAGTCATTGTTCAGTTCGGGATTTGAAGAATATGAAATCAAGGAGATAAGTGATGAAATTTCGCTTCTAACAACCTAAATCCGGGTAAACATCGCACATGAATCTTGGTCAGTACTTTGGGAAATACAATCCGGCGTAGATATGACTGTTACCTCCGAAACGTTCACCGACGACAACGTACACATAGACCTCAGTAGCGCGTAGAAGCAGACTTTATAAGGATGCACAAAGCCCTCCAAGAGTCGAGATACATTTGTCTACAACTACGAATTACACAGATATACAATATCACACAAACTACATAGTCCCACCGAGTCAATCATGTCAACGACTTTGAAGAGACCTACCGCCCTCCAGCCTGGGGACCGAATCCTGGTCACCGGCGCAAATAGCTATCTTGCTTCAAACATCATTGATCTTTTACTATCCCTAGGATATTTTGTACGAGGCACAATCCGTACTGAGAAGCCCTGGCTTGAAGAGTACTTTACTTCAAAATATGGCGCCGGCAAGTTCGAAAGCGTCATTGTCCCCGATATTACTCTCACAGAATCCTTGGTGAAGGTATTGGGTGATATTAGCGGGGTGGTGCACGTGGTATGGAATAGCCTCAACTTGGATAAATAAGAACCTCACTACAAGTATATATGGGTAAACTAACGTGTTTCCCCCAGGCTTCGGATTTGTCTTTTAGTGCAGACGCAGACAAGGTCATCAATGGCGTTGTCAGGGCCACCCAGTCTGTTTTGGAAGCAGCTGCCGCCCAGAAATCCGTCAAAAGATTCGTTCTTACTTCATCTTCCGCCGCGGCTACACTTCCAAGTGTCAATATCGAGGGTAACGTCGTCGATGAGAGTTAGTTCTATATGTTCCTCCACTACCACACTGTCTCGTCTAGACTAACAAATGCAGATTCCTGGAACGATAAAGTTGTTAAACTTGCCTGGGATGAGAATGACGACCCTCGCAAGCCTTCCTACGTCTACGCCGCTTCCAAAACAGAAGGTGAACGATTCGCCTTCAAATGGGTCAAAGAGCACAACCCCCATTTCACTCTGAACACTGTTCTCCCAAATCTCGCTGTAAGTGCTGCGCTATGGCTACCATATATCTATCTACCCATGCCCACTCGCACTATCTGTGCCGGGGTTGTACAGTTGTTGGTGCGAGTAGGCAAAGGTTTTTTTTTCTGTTTCTGACACAACATAGATGGGACCTTTCCTTTCTCCTGATTTCAACGGCTCCTCCGGACGACTTGTGCTCGATCTACTACATGGCAGTACCATGATAATGATGGCCGCGGGACCGCGTAAGGTCTCCAAAATCCCTTGGCCATTGGATCTATGTTAACTGACAAAACCCGGCAGAATACTATGTCAACGTCCAAGATGTAGCTCGTCTGCACGCCATAGCTCTTCTTGATCCAGAACTCAAGTCTGACCGATTGTTCGCGTTCGCCGGTACTTTTAACTGGACTGAAGTTTTTGGTATTCTACGCAAACTTCGTCCCAACGCCAAGCTCCCACCGGCTCCTGAAAATGAAGGCCGGGATCTTAGTGTTATTAAGCCCGCAAAAAGAGCAGAGGAGTTGATTAAGACATGGTTTGACCGACCTGGTTTCACTTCTTTAGAGCAAACTCTCAAGGAAGCGGTTGATAGTGCGGGTCTTTAGATTTAGCGGTAACTGGAGAATATATTTATCTTTCATGAAAACCTTTTGCAAGTGTACAGGTTAGAAGTGTCTTGCTAAATCCTAAATGTTAGGGACGCTGATGGTTTATTTGATTATCGGGTCGGTTCCAGGATGACGTAAATGTTGGCCTTGTACATGGGTATTTTGTGACTTTCGTTTGTGGCGTCTAATAATCTTATCCGATCAAACGTCTCTGATTTGCTCTATCATCTTTTCGATGTCCAGCTATCTGACACGATGCAAAGTTTGATTAATTTAGTTCGCCGTCCCGAGCAGTGAATTAGTATTGGATGGCTCTTCTCGGTGAGACTTTCTCTTTTATGTATAGGGGAATGGTCGATTTCTTAATCCTTTTTCCCCATCTTTTAGACAAAATCTTCTTCACAGCTACGATGAACCTAAAAAAGGACATATTTTCGGTCCTCAGTAAACTGGTCGTCAGCTACTATCCCGAATCCTGACGCGAGCGAAACCGCCTATCCCGTGCGATGGGCTGCAGTGTATCCCGAGGTTATGTGGGTCTTGTCTTGATATAACCGCTCAGTTCAAGATCATCTTGTCTTAGATTATGATTTTAAGATTAAAAGTAATACTCTTTAGCCGCTACAGTGCACCTACCAGAATCGGAGTGGAGCGCCTGAGGGATGTATTGATTTCATATTGAATTCCAAAAGTGCAAATTGAAGCATCAAAAGGAAGCCATCTTATATCAGAAGGCTTCCAAAGCCTTCCATATTGTTTTGGTTTTCATTACTCTCACGTTGAAGTCATAATTATGTTGGATAGAAAGGATGCGACGAGTCAAAAAATTGTAGCATTTGCCCATTTTTGAAGCAACCAAAACGTGTAAAGGCAGCGTGAATCTCCAGCGAGGAAACCTGAGCATGCCAAGTGATGCGAAATTTTCAAGATGACAAAGCTCCATGCATTTCTTCACGACCTAGATATCGTTGTCTCAAAATCTTCCGGCTCGCGTCCCAGTAGCTCTCCAAGGAGAGGGGAAACGAAAGCCGACTCTCCACGCCGGAAGGCCTCAAATGTGGTCGCCCACACCTTCGAATGATCCACTCCATGGTAGGTGAAGTTCGGTGCGAGCTGAGGCTGTTTCGCATACTCGTCCACGGAAACCTGGCGGATGCGCACAGGATGCTTCGCAATCCTTCCTAGGATGGCGACAGTCTCCTCTAACGTTAGTGTCTTGGATCCTGATAGGAGAACCTTTTTGTTTTTGTACTCGAAATTTGCCGGGTCCTTCACAAATCTCTTCAAAAGCTCCGCCGTGCCCTCTCCAAGCTCTTCGCGTTTAACCCAAGCAATTCCAGGGCCCGATCCATCGTGTGGGATTATGATTTCATCCACAGGGTGTTTAAGATCAAAGAAAGCCGTATAGAGAGGGTACGACTCGGAATATAGACCCTCTCGAATTACTGTGTATCCAAAGCCCTCGTGCTGGTGAGTGCACTCGTCGAGATATCTTTCAGTATCTAGATGCGCTTGCATGACATGGGCGACGGACATGTTATTATCTGGCTTGCCACCGAATCCCAAAGAACCGTAGAAGATATATTTCACTCCGCTCCGGATTGCCAGGTCAATCGCAACACGGTGTCGCTAGATAGACCGATGTATGATGTTAGAGTATTTCCTACTTTTCCGTGCCTCAAGCGGATCTCACCTCAGATCGATGCTCATGCTCTACCGACGCGTAAGATATAAGGAAAAGCGTATTCAATCCATCAAACGCGTGCTGAAGGCTCACGTCGTCGTCGTAGTCTGCTCGACGCAGAACTGCTTCTCCGAGGGGATGGTATTTCAGCTTTTCTGGGCTTCGAGCGATGAAGACCAGGCTTGACGACGGAAGCCGTGGCAGGAGATGTTTAACGGTACTTCCACCAATTCCTCCTGCGGCAGGAAACACTCCAACAATGTGGTTCACCATATTAATAAAGGATTTATGTGGAAGGCCTGATACAGAAAAGATCAGGAACGATTAGATCGTCTACCTTTAAATGATAATCGGCCGAGTTCCAAGCCATTTCGGAGTCTTTAACGATGAATTTGTCATCGTTGCGCAATCAATTCATTGAGGAAGCTTGAAGAAGATACGCTGATTCCGAATTCAATACATTGAGTGGTTCGAGGACCGGTCGATATCCAATGAGAGCCCCACGAGTGGATCTAAAATTGTATACGTCGCCATGACCATATCCGGAATAGCCGTAAGGTAACCCTGTCGATTCAATTTTCATTTAGCACTCTCACCTCGCCGTGGTGCCGGCTGGGAGCCTGGAGATACATTACCTGCTGGTATTTGCAGAGCTGAAAAGAGTCAGCGCGCTGTCCGCTGCCTAGGGCTCTGGTTGGGATGACCCCACCCACAGGCGACAAGAGAACACTTTGAAACTCACCCTACACACGACTGCGAAACAGATCCTACAGTCAGTGGACAGTTAAATTCGTGGGATAGGACACTCTCGGGCTGCTCTATTGAATGGAGATATCGCCGGGTTTAAGGGTACAGAAACGACCTAATGGAAGAATGCATAAGCAACATGACCTAGCATGCGTGTCCCATGCAGGGAAAAATAAGGCATTTTGGTTAGTAGGAGGGATAAAACTGTGTTGCTTAGCTGCTCTTGATATAGAGAGAATATGAGTGGTCTAACTTCTGCTACCTCTACAACAGGCTTACATAGCCTAGGGATACAAATCAATCCTTGCTCAAAGAAATAGCTACTAGACTCGCTATGGACACAATACAACAGGGTCTGGCCCTTCCAGAAGGCATAGAAAAATAATCAAAGGCCATCGACACAAGGCATGTAAAACACCCTATATGATTGGGAACCTTGGAAGGGTTTTGTAGCCCTTTAAGGTTAGTACCTCCAAGCGAAATAAATATCATTCATGCTATTCAGCGCATTTGTTATCATAGATGGGGAGTTACAAATAAAATTTGTTTTGGATACAACTTAGACACGTCTCCTAAAGATATTTTTGTGAGAATACTAATCCCCAGCACCACGTAGAGGTGCTTGTCCACGCTAAGATGAGTGACAGTGCCAAGCTATCTCACAACATTTCATTGCTATGCCTAACATTAGATGTAAGTGCTATTCAACGAGATTACAAAGACCTACATCGAGTGCCGTGGTTCTTGCCAATTTCAGCTCCACACATCTTCATGATAAAGACCAGCCTTTTTCATCTTCCTAGTGATCATGGTATCTGCATCCTCTCGACTCTGATCGCCAGCTTCCGCCAGTAAATCTACAAGTCTTGTTCTCACTTCTCTCGCCATAGAAGCCGAGCCACAAATATAGAAAGCTGCGTCTTGTTGAAGGATAAGAGGCATGATGTCGTCCTTTCTTTCCACAAGTGCGTCTTGAACATAGGTCTTCTTCTGCCCTGACAATCTCGAGAACGCCGGAACCATGACAAAGTTATCTCCCAATAGTTGCTCGTATTCGCGCCACTCATCACGATAGAGGTAGTCAGAAGTATCGTCACGGCAGCCAAAGAAAAGTATCATCTTGCCCACAGACTTGCCCAGTTCCGTAAGGCGGTTTCGCTCTTGCATGAAACCTCTGAAGGGAGCTATGCCTGTGCCCGCCGCAACCATGATGATTGGCGTCGCTGGATTGGAAGGCAACTTGAATGTTGAACGCTTAATATGCATATAAACTTTTCCACTTTTCAGCTTGTCGCGTGGACCATTGAGGTCGTATATGGGAGCTTCCTTCGCGATAGTCGGTTGCTCCTCGCTACTGAGCTTGCGCTGGTGAGCCAGAAGAAAATTGGTTGCCAGGCCGAAGAACGTCTGATCTTCTCTGGATACTTTCTCGCTCAGAAGGGAACGGTTGTTGACCACAAAGGTGATTGACGGTTGTCGCGGCTGCTTCAGTGGCGAGCTGGAGATGGAGTACCTTCGTGGCTGGATGCGGTTGAAGTTTTCAACCAAAAGAGAGAAAGGCACTCCCGTCCATGCAACTTTCGGCTCAATCATTTCCATTATCTTCCCCACAGATAGATAGCGAGAGGTCACTTCGTTACGGAAAGCTTCCTTGGACTTGGCTAACCTTAAGAGAGAATCTGTTGCTGCCTGTGTTGGCGCGAATTGTGAGAGGCTCATAAGGAAATCGCGCGATACCAGGCCTCCAATTTCGAGGTAGTATTTCAGCAGTACTTCTCGAGTTGTCGGAGAAGGAAGACTGCAATTGCTGACTGCGCCATCTTTGGCGGCTATTGTGATAGGTTGCTTTCGGCTTAACTCGTCGTCAAGTCCTAAGACACGTAGTAACAGGTTCACCTCGTTGTTCGCGTTGATGGGCCACACAGACAAATGATCTCCTGTTTGGTATCGCAAGCTTGGAACAGCAGATAGATCGAACTCCATGTGCATGCAAACACGGTCTTGTAGTGACGACAACTTCTTGCTCTGAACAATAGGAGCAGGGTAAGGATTGGTAGCGTCGTATGCCACTCTGTCCTTCAACCCGACGAGGACTTTCTCACTATGCTCTCCCAGATAGACGAGGTTGGCATCGACGCCAGTCTCGATAATATCAATACTCGGTTCGTAGGTAAGTGGGCGTTCGTGTATCGTGACGATTTCTTTGAGGATTTCAATAACGTCCTCCTTCCATTCCATGAAGGTTTCCTCGGTCGTCCCGACGCTTTCATCTGCGAGTCCAAGTGGACCAACTCGCTGCGCTCCCAGGTCCAACAGAATTTCGTCGACGACCTTAAGGATAGAAAAATATCAGCGAAAGAATAATCAATGGAGAATGATGGCGAATTACCTTTATTACTCGATTGTAATATTTGTAGTTCATGTTACCCATGCCCATCGCACAGTATCGAAGTGTGTCCAGTCTCATTCCTTTCTTATGCATCTTCTTGATACCACTGACGAAACTCACGGCGTTATCTGGTGGATCGCCTTCACCATACGTTGATAGGAGAAACACTGCGAGCTTGTCACCGGTAAGGGAAGCTAGGTGTTCGGGGTCGTAGTCATCCAAGTCTGCAACCATAGTTTTGAGAGCATAGCGGGCGCGCCATTCACGAGAAAGTCTTTCCGCAAATCGTTCAGAGACTCCCGATTGCGAACCCCAGAAAATGGCTATGTCGGCATCCTGTCAAGTGTATCAGAAATAATTCGTATTATAGCCGGCGATTACGCTTACTATATCTTTCAGCCTCTGCCCGATGTCTCGCGTTCGCTTCGGTTGCACTTTTAGATCACCAGACTTCTGTGGCGCAACATACATGACATATGTGTGCGGATCTGGTTTGAACCAGAGCTTTCCACTCCCAGAGTGGAAGATCAATGCTATTGCGAGACATAGCAGCACGAACCAGTCACCGGGTCGTAGCTGTAGGGAGAATTTTGTTAACCTTGAAAGAAGGTAGTTGGAAACAGCGAGTCCCGATGATGATGTCTCCATGGTGCTGGACTAGACACAGTAACGCCGTTATGCTGTAATGAATAAAGCTATACCTCCCATCTTCGTGCCGGTAGCGCTTTTAATAGACCGCATCCCTTGCTCGTTATGTTTGTGACCAATCAATCCCACGGGGATTCTTTCCGATCTGAATGGTACCTACTTCCATCACCTCCACTAAATGGATTTGTGAAGATAATACACCGTCGTCTGCCCTAACTGAATTGTTGAAAATGTATCCTGCAAGCTCCAATGCAGTTCGGCAGCATGACAACGTGGGGTAAAGAAAATGGACAAGGGAAACGAGACCCGAAGGCCATGCGTTCGATAGTTTTTTCCTTTTTCAGGAGATGCCGCATTCCGGCGGATGGTCCTAGCGGCCCCAACGCGATGGTTAAACTTGTTAAACGCTTATTCACAATTCCCTAGTTAACTAGCTTTACGAAATTCTCCAACATTTCTTATTACGAAGTGTTTACTGTGCCATGCGGTCAGACCAAAAGCCCTTCCAATCCGAAGGCATGACTTCGTGGCGATTTTCCTCTATCGTCGAGTCCTTCGAGGTCTCCACTTGCTTTTCGTGGGAGCCCCAGACTATTGGCCTTGTCGAACTTCATCTGATGCCCTTGCTTTGCCATCCGGGGTCAAAAACCCGGGGTCAAAACCCGGGGTGTGGATAGGGAGCTGAATCCGTGTGTCGGCAATTGATTCTCCCTAGATTGAACCGCTATAAGGTCCTTATCTTGAGCTGGATCCCCTTACAATATCCTCAACTCGATGATCCCATTCTTTCAAGGCAACTGATTTATCTGCTGGTTGCTGTGCAAGGATCCATCTACTTGGACAGTGTCCGTTCATCTTATCCATATCTTTCCATTCCATCTAGGAGTGACACCATGTTTGAGTTCATATCAGGAAGACTCCTGGTGATTCTCATTACCTTTACATGTTCAACTAGTTTCATGCTCTTTGGCTATGACCAGGGAGTCTTATCTGGCATCATTGGCGCCGACAATCAGTTCGGTGAAGACTTCGACCATCCCGATGCCAACACTCAGGGACTCATCGTCTCGGTGTACCAGTTGGGCAATGTGGCAGGATCTATTGCCATATTCTTCTTAGGAGACTACTTGGGAAGAAAGAAGTCTCTCGTCTATGCCACCATTATCATGCTCATCGGTGCCATCTTGCAAACGGGTGCCGTAAATCGCCCCATGATGTACGCTGCCAGAATCATCACCGGAATTGTAAGTGCAAAATCTTCAAACCGTGATTGACTTTGAGACTAATAAGAATTACAGGGTAACGGTGCCAATACGTCGACTGTGCCTGTCTGGCAGGCCGAGACAAGTACGGCCAAAGAACGGGGAACCCTGGTCGCGGTCGACAGCTGTTTGATCATCTTTGGCATATTGATTGCCTACTGGATGGACTATGGGTTTGCTCTGGTCTCTGGGCCCGCTCAATGGCGATTTCCCATAGGCTTTCAGATGGTTTTCATTGTCATTTTATTGTTCTTTGCGATGATCCTTCCTGAGAGTCCTCGATGGCTGCACAAGAAGGGACGGCACTCAGAGGGTGACGCAATCATCGCTCGTCTGGTTGGCAAGAATGTTCCGGAGAGCGACCCTCGCGTTGTTGAATTATCCACAGAGATTGTCAAATCCATTCAACTAGAGTCTGCCGGCGGTCCTTTTAAGATGAAAGAACTGTTCCAGGGTGGCAAAATGCAAAACTTCCGCCGCATGTGCATCTGCTTCGCCGTCGACGCTTTCCAGCAGCTTGGAGGAATCTGTGTCATCACTTACTATTTGCCCAAAGTGCTTTCTGGATCGGTCGGCATGTCGCGACATATGTCCCTTCTAATGTCTGGAATCATCACGACTGAGTACTTTATTGCTTCGGTCATTCAAATCTTTCTGGTCAAGCACTTCCGTCGTCGTACCCTGATGTTCTTGTCCAGCGCAGGAGAGATTATAACTATGGCGATTCTCGCCGGATGCGTCTGGGACGGTCAGCGTGCAGCAGGTATCGTGGCGGTTATTATGATTTTCGGATACAACACTTTCTACGCTTTTGGATGGCTCACTGTGCCTTTTATCTACCCTGCAGAAATTACCACGTTGCGACTGCGTGCCAAGGGTGCGGCCATCGCCTCAGTGGGCGCATGGATAATCGAGTTTATGGTCGTCCAAATTACCCCGTACTGCGTACAAAATATTGGATACAAAACGTGAGTTGCTACCCATACACTGAGGTTGCTTAGAGCTAGATGTTTATTTACACGGTTCTTTCCAGGTACATTGTCTTCGCAGTCCTGAATGCCGGTGTCATCGTTCCGGTGACCTACTGCTTCTTCCCGGAAACTGCAGGCATGCGTCTCGAGGACATCGACCATATCTTCGAGGCGGGTGGTATAACTGGTGGTGTTCTGTCGAAGAGTGGCCGCGCTATTGACCGGCGAATCGATATCGAAGGGACATACCATGACGACGCTGGAATGAAGGTCTCGGGACCTGGCTCAGAGCCTCAGGTCGCATCTGAGATCTACGAGCATTCAGAGAAGACGTAGATTAAGTTTACTTTTTGTACCTGTAATGCAAGAGCTGCAGATAGGTTCAGGATGATCGGAATCCATGGGCATGCAGTTTTATGTATTCAGTCAGAGTTCTGGCAAATGTCTCGGTTATTTGTTTAACCAGTCATTTCCGATATACGCAATACCTATTCCTTTGATTTTAATGATAACATTCTTGATTCTCATTTCCTCATTGTTTAACACATTATCATTGAAAACTGGGTGGCGCGTCTGCGAATTAGACGGTTCGCATAACAGTATGAAATTAGTGGCAGGCAGAGCCCGGATCAAAAGTTAATACCGTCCAAATGGTAGGAGGCAGCGTCGTGAAAACCGGGCATGAATGTTCCTGGATCAACGGATTGCAGATTACCTGTATTAGGAGACACCGAGTTGAGGTGTGGGTTTCCTCAGATGCTAATTGCAAGAGTATTCCCCGCAGTTTACGCAACCCCGCGGCGGAGATGGCCCCGAACGCGGGGATCAATCTAAGGGTTGTTTGGTATGTATGTATATTACTGTAGCAATGCACGGCCCATATGGGAAATTCCACGCGATTTCCCTGGCTAAGTGGATTCTCGCTTATTTGAGATTCGTGCCGGCCGGAGTAACAACTCGAGTCATTTTGGGTAAATCGCCTCGTTCGCCTTCTTCGTCCATCCTGCAGATGCTTAAATCGTCGTTTTTTACACTCCACACTTGTATGCACATGTCAATTTACGTTGCCAATGCCAACTACGGAGTGTTACAGATTATGCCTAAACGAGGACGGACTGGATGGTGAGCCACATGGCGCGGCGTAATGTCGTCTATACTTCACCGGCTAATGCTTTTGTCCTTTTTTTCAGCTTGACTTGTCGCCGACGGCATCTGAAATGCGATGAGGAGAAGCCGGTATGCGGACGGTGCAGACGGACTGCCAGGGAGTGCATTCCAGACGACTTGTTAACCTTCCGGGATTCTCAAAAAGTCGCTGCGAGAGCTCAGCTCAGAAGCAATGGCAGCGCAACCGCTGCATTACCGCGCGACGACGCCGATAACTTCCAGGACGAGCCAGAAAACGACCGCATCTTCGCCGAAGACCATCAGTGGCTGGCGACGCCATCAAAGCGTAAGGACCACTATTGTGTATTGCCAGGCATTTTGTGATCTGCTTACTTACAACACTATATTTAGTCTCCTTTGTAGATGAAACCTCAATAGTGACTGCCGAATATCGCCACCAGCACACGCTCTCTGATGTGAGAAGCCTGTCTGGATGCCCTCCCCACCGAGATCATTTGTCTCCAGTCTCCACTCCAGTAGCTCAACAGTCATTGTCAACGCAAGTCAGCAGTTCCCATCCTGCTGCAGTCCAGCATAATACTACTAGTCCTGGCGCAAACAATGCTAGCTTCCCCAGACGAGACGGCTCCTTCTCTGTCCCCGGGCTAGGTCTGGGAGGACTTGGCCTTCCTACAACGGCCGCATCGTCCCCGTGTTACCTGCATATGACCTCTCCCCACCAGACAAGTTCCAGCGCTCCACTACATGGCAGCGACCAAGTCCACGTGGCAAATCAGTCCGGTCGTCTTTCCCATGTCTCGCCGGAAATGCTCAGTAGCCCCGAAGCACTGCATCGTAAAGTGGGTCTACTACTGTATGAGGATCGCATGTTATTGCCTTTCAAGGTGCCGCAAGAGGCATTACTCTTTCATCACTATATGGAAGCTTTGGCTGCCTTCGTAGGTGTTTGTGATACGCGGTGATCCTAATTGGACTCCCTCCGCACTAGTGCTTGGCTGACGGCCATTCTCACTGCAGCTAGATATCACCGACATACAGCGCCACTTCGCTGTCGACGTGCCAGAATTGGCACTCAGCTGCCCCGTCCTGCTCAATGCTCTAATGGCCTTCTCCGCTCGCCATCTGAGCCGAACTACGGATTTTGACTCGGCCGTAGCCGATCATTACCATCACGAATGTGTCTCTCTGATTATCCCGATGCTGGATCAGAAATATCTGGTGGCAGACGAGACCCTCTTTGCCGCAGCAGTCATCCTCCGAGCGTTCGAGGAGACCAATGGTGCGTTAACCCTGCCAGAGAATTCATTACGTGATTAGTGCATTGACGCAACTTACCTTAGAGTCGCAAATGGGCACCGAGCCCGAACACCACCTCACTGGAACATCTGTCTTCGCAAATGCCCAGTTGGAATTCCGCACCTGGGGTGGCTTGGGTCACGCGGCTTTTTGGTTGTTTGTGCGACAAGACATCTATATGTCTGTATTGATCCAAAGACCTCTCAAAGTGGATCTTGCCGGATGGGAAGATCGTCTGTCCTTCGATCTAGGATTCAATGCCACCACGGACTGCACGTGGGCCAATCGGATGACTTGGATTGTGGCCGAAATTGTCAGTTTTTGCTTTGGCGATCGTTTAAGCTACGTCAACTGGGAGGCTGCACGCGCCAAAACAGAGCGCTGGAACCTTACCCGACCCCCGTCATTTGATCCCATTTTGTACATCGAACGCGATGAAGACGCGGGAAAATATTTCCCAGAAATTCGACTAGGGCACCCCTGGCACGGTAAGTGACAAACACTGGGCACAGATATCAAGACGAGTCAATCGTACTGATCCGCCTTGAATATAGTAACAGGAAATCAGTACTACTACATCGCAAAGCTGTTTCTCGCCATTTACAACCCAGTCGTACCTCGAATCGGTTTGGGTTACCAGCGCCATCGCAAAAGTATCTCAGATGAAGTACTTCGAAACGCTGAAGCCGTGTGTGGCATTGCGTCTGCCACTTCTCTCGTTGCGGCACGCTTGACTGCTCGCACGGCGATTATTGCCTGTGGGCCGTGGTTCCATGACCGTCCCCGGGCAGAACAAGAACTATTGTTGCAGTTGCTTAAAAGGACTGAAATGGAGAGCGCTTTGCCCACGGAATCGCTGATTCAGGGGTTGATGGTAGAATGGGGGTGGTAATCATGTGTGCCCGGATAATTCAAATGTGAATTGAAGGTACTGGGCAAGTGATTTATCCGATTGCTCGATTGTATATATAACGTTATAAATGACCTCGTGATGTTTTTACACGATGAAATGAATGAACATTGGAATATTTACATAGCGAAAACGTTTCACGAAAATGAATGGCAATAATTAGTTGCATGGCACAACGCACTGACACACAAACACACTTCATAGACAGCTTGATATATATAAAACCTTCAGAGTGAGATGTTCTTGAACATCCATGTTATTCCTTTCACTTATCCTCAAGACAGGACGAGTTGTAATGACCCTAGCCCTAATTCGTTCCCAACTTCCACGTAACGGTCGTAAATGGACAATTATTCGAATGCCGATTTCAATCATGACCAGCAGCACTTTCAGGCGTGAATCTCCGACGAATTCGCATCATCATGGGTCCCGGATGCGCGTTGACCGTGTCTTTAGTCTCAAGTTCAAAGCCGGGACTTTCAAATTCGAACTCATACCGACGCATCAGTGTACCGACCACCACCAACAGTTCCATATAAGAGACATTTCGGCCAACTAGAAATACTTGTCAGTAAAATATTGATAGTCATAGTAAGAAGGAGTGGACATACTGCATCCCCGACCACCAGCCGAGAAAGGAATGAAGACTTGTTGTAGATTAGCCGCGTCGTCTGCAAGCCAGCGTTCAGGCTTATAAGTATATGGGTCCTCAAAGAGTTCAGGGTCATGATGCAAAGAGTATGTAGGTACTGAAACCGTCGTGTTACCCGCGATCCATTCATTATCTACCATCATCCCCTCAGGAGGCGTGACACGAGGCAGGCCACCTCGCAGTGGTGGACGCATGCGCATGGCTTCGTCGACACAGGCGCGCAGGTAAGGCAGATTCTTGACACTGTCGTAGGCGACAACACCATCTTCGCCATCCAACTCTGCGTCGAGCTCCTTACGCAGCTTCTCAGCAGCGGCAGGCCATTTCGTGAGCAAGAAAATCGTACCGACAAGGACGATGGTAGTCGTGTCAGAGCCCGCATTCAAAAGCAAACCGCATTCGGCCACCATCTCGCCGAGCTCGAGGCCTAAAGGCTCGTGGTCCTTGTTCCAGACCAGGGAATGAAAAAAATCGTTCAATACAACGCCCTTCTCCATTTCGAGCCTGGTACGGACCATGTGCAGAACAATGCACGTGAAGTCTGCTCCACCTTTCCAGCCAGGATGCCACCAAGTGAGCCTTTTGAGCAAGCCGAAGCGGGATGGAATCCATCCCATCGTCGAACCGATCCGCAGCGAGTTACGGAGAGCGTTGGCTGGTTTGGTCTTATATACGGCTCCATCAAACTTCTGGGCGACCATCATGTCATCGCCACGCTCCACACAACCCAGACTCTGACTGAATACCAGATGCCCTGTCAAATCAAAAAGGAGCATATTGATGTACCAACGCACGTTAATTAGCTCCTGGGTGGCGGCTGCTTTGTCGAAACGATCAAGGAGTTTTTGCACGTCGTCGACTACCAGATGTTCCATGTCAGCAATGCGCTTCTGCGAGAACGCAGCTGCAAGGCGTTTGCGTTTCTCGCCATGAGCCTTGCGGTCCGTAACATCCAAGCTGCTTTCATGAGTGCCGGTGAAGGAGATGTAGAATTTGTCCTTCTGGGCGGGTGTTCCGTGGCCATAAATGTCTTTCAGAGCCTGCCTGCCAATGAATGACACATGGTTGGGGCCAACCCTTACGATTTTGCCTAGACGTTGGTGCGCTTCATGTGTAGCCATCGGTCGTCGGAAATTATATGCGTGATACATCATCCAGAGGTTCGTAAACCCAGCGATGCCGGGTGCTGGGAAGCGGCGCAGCTTCTTCGGATCCCGAAAGTAGCTAAATACAGGCCATATGAGAACGGCGCCGACCAGGGCAACGATACCAAGTTCCCACAACCCGAGAGGAAGAGCCATTCCGTTCATTTTTCAAGGGATAGACGAAATAAGTGCGGGAAAAGACACTGCTCAAACAGGTCGACTGGGCGAATACAGTGAATGAAATGTTGTCTCTATGGATGAATTGACCTTCTTCGCAAGCATTCGACAGACTGCACCTGTTATATTGAGGCAACTGGCCCTATGGACCCAAAGGTCATTGCCTGGCTCGACCAACCCGGCTTGGGAGGGCGACTTTCTGGGGTCCCCATTGGTAACTCCGCTCTGATGCAGCATCAGGTTAGTTGTTACAACGCCGATCAAATTTGCCGAACGGTCATTGCAGCATCACGAGTCTGGGGAATATATGAACAACACATGATTCCAGGTTGGTCAATCCTCATCGCTAGAACAGGAAAAGCGGGACGACGCATGACATCGCGAGAGTCCAGCTGATTTTGGACTGATTTCGTATATTCTTCGACTCATTGGGATATTTCCGCCGAAGGAACGAAACTCTGTGTGATACCAGAGGGGAATCAACGCAGAAGCCATACGCTCTTTTCGTATCTTTTTTGGGGAAATGTATTTATCCCATTTTATGTCTTGTGCAAGTTTTTGATCCTTGAGGGTTATGATCGTAGAGTTTACAATCGCTTAATTATTCCCTTTTGGTCTCCGATTTTTCACAGTCGATGAATAACAGATATTAGTCTCGTCACGTTGACTTGATACTTCGCGGGGTCATCAATTCAATATGTCTAAGTAGGTTTTCAACCCGGAGTCCAATGGGTGGGACCATTCTAAAGTCATTTGCGGGGATCAGGCTGTAAACTCCAGGTTCTAGAGATAGAACTGGTGTGGAATTCGAGTGCGCGCAAGTGCTCCATGCTGTCTATGTACTTAATTTTTCCTCTGTATCCCCGCGGATCATCCTCACTGACGCCCACATATTTCGTTCCCATAGCCCAGAAAAAAAAATGTTCAGTACAGTCAGAGCTGTTAGGAGACCAGCAACAGATATTCTATCTTGCATCTCGCGAACCACCAGTGTCAGAGGTCATGCGACAATCAGTGATCTCCCCGACTCAATGCTTGCATGCCAGATCCTTGAATACAACAAACCACATCAGATCCGAAGAATCCCAACGCCTCAGAACCTCGCTCCTCATGAACTTCTCCTTAAAGTTGCAGTTTCTTCACTCTGCCATTCTGATCTAGAGTACCAAAATGGTGCGCTTGATTGCGCTCTTCCTGTGACAGCCTCCCATGAAGGCACTGGCGTCGTAGTTGCCAAAGGTGATGCCGTAACTCGTTTCGATATCGGTGACCGGATAATGGCGGGACAGACTTTCGACCGCTGCGGCAAATGTGACGACTGCAAGGGACCGGAGAACTATCAACACTACTGCGAGCATCAGGGCCCTATGATGAGTACGGAGCGGAACGGCGCGTTTCAAGAATACCTTGTCGTCGATGCGAAACAAGCCTGTCGGATTCCTGACGAGATGTCGTTTCTTACAGCTGCTCCGCTTGCTTGCGCTGGCATTACTATCTGGAGGGCGATTCTGCAGACGCAGCTCAAAGCCGGGCAATGGCTTGGTATTGTTGGCTCCGGTGGTGGATTGGGCCATTTGGGAATTCAATTCGCCAAGGCCAGGGGGCTGAAAGTGATTGGAACTGATGCTAGAGAGGATGGTTTGGCACTTTCACGGGAAGTTGGAGCAGATCTTGTTCTTGATGCCAGGATGGGCAAAGAGGAAGTGCTGCGTCGCGTTTTCGCAGCAACTGGTGGAAAAGGCGTAGATGCTACCATCACAACAAGTGATGCTAAAGCAGCTGTCGCAACGGGTTGTGGTATGACTAGAAGGCATGGCACGATGGTTTATGTTCCGGTGGTAGGCATTCCAGACCGGGTGTTACCTCTTGCTGGACGAGTTGGGCCTAGCTAATCTGTCTATTTTCATTTAGGGACATGAAGTTTGCATTCCCTTCCAGGAACTGATCTTTCGCGATATTCGAATCAAGGGGTCTTTCCTCTGTTCTCCCAAGGAAGCGGAGGAGATGTTGGATGTAGTGGTCAAGCATGACATTCAAGTGAAGTCCAGTGTTTTCCACGGCATCCAGGAGATTCCAAAGGTCGTTGACATGCTTCGACATGGAAAATATCAGGGAAAAGGGGTGATTGTGATTGATGAGAATGCAGTAGATAACAAGAAGACTCCATTATTACGGTAATAACGTTAATCTATAATAAATACATTGATCGTGCTGCAAGTGTGTTTCCAAACGTAGGCTGGTACAACACATTATAATACAACTTAACATTCCTACGGAAAGATCACGGATGAAAACTGGAATTCGTGCAAACTCAGTGGGTCAACTTAACCTGCTAGCAAGTTGTGAAACTAAGTCATGTTGATTAAACTTACATTAGAGCAATCCCCCGAAGTGTTTGATAAGTCTGGAAGGTTAACACTGAAAAAATCCCACTTAATCCCCAAACTTTTTCTGATCAGCTGATTTGACTGAGAGACTCTAGGCGCCGTACCTGAAAGTCTGAGCGTTTTGGTCGCGTCAAAGCCCTCGGCAACTTTGAATGGCACTCGCCATATTAGGAAATCTTCCGCGAAGGGTTGAAAAATGTAAAGCATCGGCATCTATACGCAAATGAGGGGTAGCTCTTCTCTACTTGCTGTCTTCCTCTTTGGTTGCAACTGAAGAAAATAAGCACCACGATTGTTTGATTTTATCGACAACATGCGGCGAAGCCGTTTCAAGGTTTGCGTCGGTAACACTGAGCACCTCCAGTTCGGATGTGAAAGAACATTTAGTCCTCCGCAACCCCTCCCAGATGTCTTCGCCGAGACTCGAGTATTAAATAAGAATTGACCTGGTCCCACCGATAGTTCTGATTGTATCTCTCCAAGTCACTGCATTGCGACAATTGCAAATATGAACGGAACAACACACACTAACGGCACAAGCACGCATGTGCTGTCTGACGAGTCCATCCCGCCCTCGGAATACCAAGAACGAATAGAGAATGTGCGAAATGGACTTCGATCAGCCGGTCTTGTCGGTCTCATCTCATTTGGAGACTGCTGGCGCGGCGCCAACATCTGCTACTTCACCGAATTTCGACCTTTGGATGGTGTGTCCGATATCGCGAACGCGATCTTCTTTCTCGGCGTAGATGAAAAACAGCCGGTTCTATTCGTATCGAAGCAATGTGTCCACTATGCCACCGAAGTCACCTCCTTTCCGGTCTCCAGCTTCGACGAGATGAAGCCACGACTCGAAGCGTTCGCCGCTCGTGTTCACACGGGCACACTGGGACTGGCGGGCGCGTTTTATTTCCCTGAGGATCTCAGTCGCAGAGTGAGAGAATCAATCGGCAATCTCATTCTGAAGGAGACACAGGTTCTTGCCGAGATCAAGGCAATCAAGAGCAAACGCGAAGTAGCCCTGATTCGCAAGGCATCCGCATTGACCGACATGGCCATGGTGGCTATCCGTGACACTCTGGCAGACGGAAATCCTCACACAGAGCGAGAACTAGCTCTGATCGCCGACCGCGCCATGCTAGCAGGAGGAGCAGAACGCACCGGCTACGACTCGATGGTTCAAGCCGGGCCTCGGTCAGCATTCAACCTGGCCCGTCCAACAGACCGCATCGTGCAACCTGGCGACCTCGTCATGACAGATATCGGCGCCCGTTATCGCGGCTACGTCGCCGACGGCGGAAGAGGCTTCACGTACGGCAACGCAAGCGCCGAAAAGATCGCCATCGTCAAAGCTGCGGCGTCGGCGGTTGAGGCCGGTCTTGCAGCTGCTCGACCGGGCATTACCGCTTCAGATCTCAATAAAGCAATTCAGCAAGCGTTACTTAAGTCTGGATACGAGCAGTATTCCAGCGAAGCACGCGGCCATGGGACAGGCCATGGAACGGGGATGGATCCTGAAGAGGAACAACCGTGGATTGGACCGGGTAACAAAACAATACTCCGCGAGAATATGGTGTTCACATTAAAGGCAACTATTACGGTGCCCGGGGTGGGAGGCCTTCGGACCGAACGCATAGTTCGACTGACTGAGGATGGGTGCGAACCGTTGGATGTGTTTCCAATGGAGTTGTATTGGTAGTAGTTGTGCCCTATTATCGTGCATGGATAGTATCATAGATAAAATATGAGCTACTACGTCGGACGCTTAGATGAGACAGACCGTTGCTATTATCCTCGCGAGATAAGATGCAGCTGAAGTGGAGTACTCGTATTCATGGCAATGATAGATTTCCCTACCCGCTTGCTTAGCATATCACTAATATACTCGCTGTGCTTCCGCGACGTATTTTTCCAGGGCAGATATTGATCTTAGATGCAAGGCCTGACGTGGTTACAAGTATAGGAGGTCTTCCATAGGTATTAGATAGTCCTAGAGATCAGTTATCAACCAAGAAGTCATTTTGCTCTTTTAAATCAACTTACCGTTGTAGGCTCTCGAACCAGCCTTACACCAATCCCTGCTTAAAGTATTGGGACCGAGTTAAACCGACAACTTACAGTCTCCATTGTTAGTTTACGCTAAACCTGCCTTATATTATAATAAGAATTTTTATACTTATCATTAGGCTCGCTATTAAGGGCAGTTGGACTGCTCTTGCTATGATATCCTATGCTTTATGATATAGGACGTAGTTAAACCAACACTTATAATATGATGTTCCATTTATTGAGAGCTTTCAGTAGCATAAAATTGCAATATCAAAAGAGTGATGACTATACAGTGCAGGGTGAGTGAGGGTTTGCTGCTTTGATGACTGGTAATTTACCTAGTACAGAGCGGCCAGCGTACAATTCTCCATTGAGAATATATGTCTATTAAAAGCGCCAGCTAATTCATGGATGAATGCCAATTGGCGCAAGAGCATACGTGAGACTTTACATGCGAGTCAAATTGGCAGCTGKCTGTCGTGTGTACTTAACAGCCTACAACTGGATATGTATTGATATATATGTCTCCCTCTTTTGCCCAGATGTTCTAGGGTCTCTCGAAGATACCTAAGTACTCTGGTCGCAAAGCCACGACTGTCCAAGTCAGACAAAAACAGATCATTTGTCAGGAGAAAGAGCCCATGGGATCTTGGAACGTTACAATCTTTGGGACGATCTCTGACTGTACGTGATGTACATTTGATGTTTGCTACTTTCGTTGAGGAGTGTCCTTGTTGTGGACGCGACAGGGAACAAAGAAAAAATGTCGGTTAAAACCGTTAGTTTTCCTGAAAAAAAAAAAAGAAAAATCAGGTGACCTATGAGTCGATGGAGAAAGGAGACTTTTTTTATCTTCTGCATTCTAATCTTCTCGTCGTTCTTTTCCGCTGATACTGAGTATTATCGTTCTACGCACGTATTGACTTCGCAATTCCAACTCCTCGAGAGGGCTGCTTTGGTGAAAACGATGCATACAGACCTAGCAACCAACAATAGTTATCATTTTTTTGGTGACTTATGGTTGGAGAATCCAGAAGAACACCTCAGAGCGGAGGAATTGGAGAGGCTCAAAATTCTGGAGCCTCTCATTCGTCAATTAGAATTTCGACGTGAAGATGGTAATCCTCCTTCCTGTTTTCAAGAGCTCACTGCTTAGAGTCCACACTTATAGGGGCCCATTTTGACTTGCAGGAGGAGTTCAGAAGTTTCGTGGACAAAGAAGTCGCCATATGGAGAGGACTGGGAGTGGAGAGATCCCCAAAGTTCTTACTTCATCCTAGTGGTGATATGGACTCTACAGTTGCATGTCACTTGCATAACCCGACCTTCTATGTCAAGGACCCTGACTCGCAGGAAACGGATAATGACTCAAATCCTTCGATACGACAACTGCACCAAGCAGGTTTTTCCTCGAAGAATTGTCTCCTTTTTGACGATATCTGTCGACGAGACCGGACCGAAGATGTCGAAGCGTTTTACAATGAGAACCTGATCCGTACACACCGAGAGTTCACGTTTTCAGTGCGAAAAGCTATGAGCGCAAAAGTGGAGGTATGCTTTGGCAAAAGAGTTTCTGAAAGGATGAAGGCATACTTGAATCTCGTTTCTCTTAAGCTATGGGGCGAGTACAAAGGAGTGGAGCTTTTCCTAGAGATAGAGAAAAGCGCCGCCGTAAGATTGGTTCTGTTCGTTTACCATCCGCAATTCTTTTTTTATCATGGACAGACCTCAGAAAGTGCTCTCCGATTCAGAAAAAAATTTGGTAGAAGACAGGATCTGCATCTGTCTGTTGCAGGCAAGTTAGGTGGGATCCAGATAACGCCAAATTTCTACGAAAGCAGGCATATACCTCATCACTACGGGCAATTCGACAATGCCAGTAATCATCTGGTCAAGCGGCTGGAGAAAGAAGCAGACTATCAGCTTCGCGTGGCATTTCCGGAGCAACACAAGAAGATTGAGGCAGGCATTAAGTCCCTCGTCGAGAAAGTCAAGATCGATAGGCCAATAACCGCTGTGCCAGCTTCCGGATTGACTACGTATCAATTGCTTTCGGGGGACAATCAAGAGGTGAGATGATAAGACTTACATAGTTATCATGTTTTGGGTGGCACTTACAGCTAGCTAACGGCAAACTAGTATCTGCGGCGGGAGAGGATGTTCAAACATATGACAGCGAGCCTCATCAGTGCGATTCAGCAGAGCTTCGATGGAATCCTTTCTTTACGAACTACCGCCGACGAAAAGTGCTTGCCATCACTATTGTCTGACTGGATTGAGGTCGATGAGATCGATCAGATACCCCGAAATCTGCTTTTGTGGATTCAGAGTCAAGATGGTTTAAAAATTGACCGAAATCCCATCTCCTCGACAGATGACTTACTTCTCGCATATCAGCTGTTGTCGCCACTCAAGCAAGAATCTAGACAGCTGAGTCTGATCGAGATGTCCATCAAGGTGGCGACATGGTACCTCTCGAAGGCAAAGAAACACAGATGGAACAGCGTTCAAAGTCTCATCTTCCCAGCTGTCTCACCATATAATATTATGCGCCGAAAGTGTTTCAGGTGTGGGGAGCGAGTCCTAGACGACCCTTTGGCTTGTTTCGCCGTTGCAGATGCCACAAAATATGTTACTTGGTATCGCAGTGGGGGCTGCGGCCGTCCAGAATGTCAAGTCCTTGGAAATGCCGAACTCGTCCCGGCGAGTGCTTTCCAGGAATATCGGATGGCAAGACAAGAAACGTTGCAGTGTCTGAGATCGGCTGATTGGAAAGACTATCTGTTGATTAGTCCGCTGGAGACATTAGGCTATCTTCCACAAACTGTCGAAACTTGCTGCTCTAAATGTCAGGAGAGGTGGCTCGACATGCGGCCGCGTTGGACGACTGAGAAGTCCAGCCGATATGTGAAACGAGTGCGAAAATGCACAAAGTGCAGCGAACAGTCTTCTTTTGCCCCGAAGGATCCCACTGTCACAAGCATGGCACAGAGTTACTGCTCGAAGAGGTGGGGGCAATTAAAGAAAGCTGGAGTAGATCCAGCCGCCTATCAATACAGACTAGAACTTCTGTGGTCAGAGGCTCCGAAAAAGACAAAGAGTGGACCATACAATGCCATACCAAGTGATTGTGMCCAGCCACAAAAACGCAGGAGGATATTCAATTCGAAAAGTAGGGCCAACCGTGACCGGAAGGAGAATGGGGCAGGTAGTTAACATTGTACTTAAAGGGACCAATACAGAAAATTCTCGAGACTGATTCAAAATTTATCCTTGCAAAAATTCATAGCGTTTTCTCAAAGCCGTAGGGGATTTGATAAGAGTGATATCTGGCATTTTACTACAATTTCATTTTGAATAGATTTCTTTCGTATTTGAAATATTGGCAAAATAAAGTTAGAATTCATTCTGGAATGCGATACGGCGATGAGCTGATGAAGATTTCGTTTGTGCGGTACAGGTACTATAGAGACTGGGAAGATGCATAGCTAGGGTAAATATGTTCAATGTGCAGTAGTCACACTGTAGACTGCCCAGGTATGGTAAGAATATTATTTCCTTGAGAGCCCTGATCGATGGGCAACGTTCTTCATACTGACTTTTTTCCTGATCGCGACAATCTTGTATCTTTTCCCAATCCTGCCTGAAATCAAATTCTAGAGATACTTATCCATAATAGAATATACTATATGATAATACGAAGCTAGATCCTATAATATTCCATTGCTATAGCCTAAGCCTAATATATGTGTTATTCAACTAGAATACAAAAAGTGAGAAGAGAAAACAGGAGTAAGTGCGTGATCGATCAGCAGTGTAGGCAAATGGACGAGATACGGGTTGCATAGATTCCCACCTTCTAGTGTCGGTTGTGGTTTCAGGCTACTAACCTAGAGCGACAGTTCTCGAATGCCCACGACTGGTGGAACAGGAGTATTTATTAATTCGCACTCAATGGTTGAAACGTAGCTAAACCAACACTTTCCAATGAAGCCGTCAAATGAGAAACGATCCATCGGAGACTTATTTTAGCCCTCAATGATAGATTACAAATCACCAATGATGTCAATCCAACATGTCAAATTCCGCTTTCTGTAAAAACAACTCACCACAATGTCTATAAAAGCCCAGGTTTGAAACCTCATGTATGAGACAGAACGAGAAAAGAATAGATACGAATTCGCTAGTCCATATATCTTTATCCTCTTTGCCTCAAGGTCTCAACAACATGCCATCCACTCAGTCGCAACAAACCATAGTCGTCGTTGGCGCCACGGGAATCCAAGGCTCTGGCATCGTTCGGGCATTACTGAGCGACGAATATGGTGGTCTTTGATTTGTCCGAGCGCTTACCCAAGATCCCAACTCAGAAAAAGCACAGAAGCTTTTGTCCCAATACCAAACTACTGACAAGCGTCTGAACTTGGTCAGCGGCAATGTTTATGATAAAACAAGCTTACGGGCCGCCTTTGAGGGTGCACACGGCGTCTTCGCCATGACCAGTGAACGGCACCCTGGTAAACGTATTACCGAGGAGGAAGAGATGAAACACGAGATCGATGCAGGGCGTAACATCATTTTCGCTGCAAAGGAGTGCGGTATCAAGCATTTCGTGTTTAGCAGCTTACCTGATACTATCAAAGCCAGCAACGGCCAGTTTAAACGGATCTATCACATGAACAACAAGCATTCTATCGAGCAATTAGCAAGAAAGGAGCTTGATGGCTTTACCGCCTTGATTCCTGGTGAGTACGCCGTAGTGGAGGTCTCTACAATTTGGAAAATATTCATAGGGTTAATGACGTGTTCGTCATTTAAAGGGTTTTTTTATAATAATTTGGCCTGGTCACAGTATTGCCGGGTTCGTGGTTTGTGTCCCTCTCTTATTCTCCAAGTTTCATCGACACCATGATTGATGAATTCGTTCCCCAGAAGATGGTGTGGTACAATTCTGTATGCCCCTACCCGGGAATAAATTGGTCCAATGGACAGATCCTGCACACGACTTAGGAGCCTTTTCCGCAAGTAAGAGCTCACCACCACATTCAACAGCTGTATTCCCCTGGCAAGCCTGGGCTGACAATTACTTGAAGAGATATTTGGTTTAGGTGTTGAAAATACAAAAGGGAAAACTTATCTCGCTTTGGGTCCTGGGATCTCTCCCGAAGGCATGGCCGAAGTTTTCACGCGCGTGACTGGAATTCCGGCTGTTCATTCTCCGATCTCGTTTGAGGAGTTTGGTAATTTGAGCTCTGCGCTCGTTGGCCCGGCATTCAAGGAAGATGCCATTGAAATGATGCAATGGGCTGCTATAGCTCCAGATGACAAGATCTGCTATGGCGCCCTTGAGCCTGAGGCTGAAAAGTCTAGCGAGGAGCTAGCTCTTACTGCTAGCTCTTTTGAAGACTGGCTGAGGCGTAGTCGATGGACTGGTCCTTAGGTGTACTTTTCTCAGATATAGAGCTCTGAACTAGTTATTTCAATTAACCTGGGGATTAGAAAAGGCTTAATGACCGCCTCGAATCGATCAAGGGATTGTTTATCTTGTTTTCAGGCTCATGTGGTAGGCCCCTGCGTCATCAGGTAATCGCGGTGTGTATGAGGTTTCGCACTGTAACTAGTATTTACCCTGCACCCCAACGTCCTTTTGGTAAAAGAATCAATCCGACAAAATCTTAGGATTTGTCAGATTGCCGGGTTTACTCCGGCTAACCCTGAATGTATGTTACAAGTATAAGAAAAGCAGAAGTGACTCGCAAGATTGTATGTATTCCGTCTGTTTTCCGAGTATATCAGGTTCCAAAGCCGGGTTTTTATCTAGACCTTCAGGTGGGATGATTGATAAGTTATCATGAAGGTAAATATTGGGCTGAAATCTGGAGACCCAAATATCCTCCATATATGCCCTAAAGTAGGCTATAGCGATTGATGCAGTCGATCTCTCTGTCTTTTTGGGATATCCGGAGTATGGCATGAGATAGAATTAAGAGCGGGAATAAGAGGCTTGTCCGAGCGTGGCCTGTGCTCTGAACTCTAAAGTAATGATATTATGATTGTGTGAATTTAAATATGTTTTACTGGTTGTGTAGGATCAACTGATGCATTCATTGACTTGGCGTTGGGGGTTACATGTGGTTAGGGCTTCGTGCTCCTGCGAACTGTTAACCCCTTTATCTCCAGCGACGGACTTAGTGATTTAGCTTCAAGCGGTACGTTCGTATGGCAGGGTAGCAGAGATCAAGGAAATAAAACAGATTGCAGAGAAATGAGATTGTGTCGGGTAGGAGTACGGAGATTGGTAAGGATAACTACTCCTTACCAGAGAAGTATTCGCAATTCGGCATTTTTATGATTCATCTTGCGAATATTATCAAAGCTCCCCACAAGTAAACAACTTAGATTGGAATAACGACCTTGGTCATAAATCGTCGCTTTGTGGGATTATCAGACCTATCATATCATTTTTCGTTGTCATGTACTGTGAGTGTATGACAGCAACAGAACATAGGAATAGGACAATATGTCGACAGAGAACGAACAGAATAGGAAAACACCAGATTCTTTCCGGCTTCATTACAAGTCCATATCGAGAATATTTCATTAAACATAGATTGCCAAAGTTACTGATGTCATTTGTATGAGATTCTGAGTATATAAGTGATCAAGATTACCAGATACTTATGTGTTGGAGGTGTGCACGAATAGACTTAGTTCCATAGGCATATTGCTTAGTGCTAAGTCTTAGTAATTTGCTCTTTCTAGTCAGAATCTGCCAACGATCTGACACCATCGTAATATTACATGCTAGGTAAAGCCCCAAGCTAGGGAATCCTTTCTGGGTAAATGTGACTATTGGTAGGGGATTGTCGTTTCCCTTTACCTATTGGTTGTGGCGTTCTGATTCTGACAAGATTGCAGAATGAGTTATCAAAACTGCGGAATCATGCGCAGACCAACAAGAGACTCCAAAGCTTCTATGATTGACTCATTTGTGTCAACAAATCCAAAATAACCAAGCTTCCTTAGTTTGGTTACGCTGCTCCGGAAAAACGTCAGAGAATGAGACATAAAATGAAAGGGCCTGGTCTGGGAAGTGCGCTACTCACCTGTACACAGCAGGATAGGGAATCAAAAGAAGCACATCAATAAATCCAAAAATTCGATCAGGGTCTCTTAGTTCCTTGTCTCGTAGGTCACTGTCTTTCGCAATCTTCCTCCAAGCCTCTGCAACCTCAGGTTGCTTCGCCCATTCAGTTAAGGTGAATTTGACCTGAGCCTTGCTTGGCGGCCCGTATCCACGGGGCGGAGGGTCATAAGACGCAAATGGTACGTCGTGGTACTGCGCACTGGCAGTCTCACTCAAGTCCGGCCCAGTCCAGGGTAATCCGAACCGATCGGCGAGCTGGGGCCAGAATCTTTCCCAGGTAAACGGAGCGCCATCAATTGCGTTGAAGCTCTGATTCTCAGCCTTTCCAGTCAAAACTGCCCACTCAGCCAGGTAGCAGTTTGTTGCAGCACTGGACAGATTTTGCACGTTCGTCCAGGATGTAAACCCGGCTGGAAACTCCAGAGGCTTCTTTAGGTATTTCTGGACAGTAGCATAGATTCCCAATGCAAAGCAAAGATCCATGGATGCATCAGTGACTGCTCCCGGAATGAAGGCAGGACGAGTTGTGTTCCATCCAATATTGTGTTTTTGCGCAAAATCCTTCAAATAATCTTCTTGAACATAGTAGAAGTTTTGTTCTAAAAGTACTCGTGGGTCTGATTCTTCTAAAGGAAGCTTTGCAGGGCCTAGATGGAGGCCATAGTACTTTGCACCCAATTGTAAAAGGATGCGCTTCGGAATCGAATTGTTCAACGCTTGGGCTTCCAAGAAATTCACCAGCAGTTGTTCTGTTGAACGAATGTTAAATAAAGCTGTTTGCAGACGACTATGGACTTTGCAAATAGAAACTTACTGTTGACACGAACGAGTTCCTCTACAGCGCTCCAGATACTTCCGCCCTCTTTTGGTGGCGGCTGAATGTATGCAAAGAAGAAAATATAGTCAGCTTTCACCTCGTGCAGTCTAAGCTGCTCGGCAATCTTCTCGGGAGAATCCAAGAAGTCCACAGAAATATGCTTGACGTGCGCTGGCCAATTCTTAGTCGGAGGTCTCCGGGAGAGAGCATAAATAGTTGTCCAGCGTTCGGGTGACTCGCATAGAACTTGAAGCTGCGACCATAAGAGTCTGAAATTAACAATAGCGCAATAGTTTGGGGACTTATTGGAACGGCTCACCATATAGTCACCAGATATGCCATTAGCACCAGCTACGATGGCAGTGAGGCCCTTTAGCTCCGCTGGGAATACTGGGAGGCCATGATAGATGGACTTAGATTGAATGGTAAGAGACATGCTTAGAGAGCCCGTAATAGCCGGATATACTCAATTGAAATTGATTTAATTTTTCACGGCTACAAAAAAAGTATCGTCCATGGGCGGACATGTTTCCCATAAATATTTCCATGGATGTAGAGGAAGAAAGGCCCTCGACATCAAGTATAACGTCAATTGATAGTCTTCAAGCTACTACATCGGGGAAATTTTGGGCTACTGGACCCTCCAATAAATCCGATTGGCCGCGAGTATCCACCGGAGTCAAGGAACTTTAATGATACATAGTTTGATAATCTTATGATCGAAAAACGCGGGGGTGACTATACAAGAGTGTGGGGTAGTGACTGGAAGTCTGTGCTCTCTTGTCTCTACGAAGTCATGCTTTGCCTTTTAGTTTCGCCTTCTGCATTTCACGGGGCGGCCAAACTCTGTGATCCCTCCGGTTCACGCAGGAATCGTCCCTGGATTTCATATCCGTCACAGTCTCAGGGCTCTGATTGCCCATTCCAATCGACAGTTCTCGTCACAGTAGCCCTCAACTCGCCCGAGCCGCCTGGCGTCTTGTTGGCCGCATCCCACAGAGTGGCCTCGCCCCATACATTTATCACAAGTCTCAAGGGCTAGACTTCCTATCTGCGCGTATTTGTCTGCTCTCAATAGAGCCGAGGTGTTTTTCGGCAACATCCCAAAGTTCAGATATGTCGATGCGTCTTTGAAAGCAATAAGGAGGTTTCTTTGTATGTCAACGTTACAGTCATCTTCATCATAAAACCTTTTGGATAACTTGAAATCAAGACTTTACGATGATTTTATTGCAGCGAATTGTTTCTTTGCCTTGTAACGGTGCATAGATATCAAGATCAAATGTATGGCTAGCATAGAAAGGTAAAAGAACGTGAGCTTAAGACCAGAGAACAGATACAGTGGAGTAAGCCCGTGGTTATGCGTGAGTAAGAATTGCTCCCAGGCGTGCCTCCTGACGCACGTCTACAGCCTTATAGACGGTGTATAGATGGGCAAGACGTCTTTATAATAGCATTACTGTAGTCAAGGTGACTAAAGTGATGGCAAATATGCCGCAGCGCACAAGCTGTAGCTGTAACAAGTATACGCAGTTCTGATAAAGCTAATTGTGAGCTCAATACAAAGCTGGATACAAGTTAGTCTCGTCAGTTGAACTCGGAATTTCATTCAAGCAGGTCAAATCACAAAAGATAAAGCCAAAATTGATTTTTCCTTTTCTTCTGATTCAATTTCTGGGACTGCTTTCGCCTTTATGAATAAGCTGCTGGCCAATTCTGATCTACATAGGTCTATATCATTGATGTGACGAAACCAATCTCATGTATTCGGACTAACTAGCACGACATACAGAAGTGTGTGTCTACCGAGAATATCAAGCATGGAGAGAGCAAGCAGAAGAAAAACAGATATCCGTAATCACGGGTGAAGATATATGCTCTTTGTGCGAGGCCTAAGCCATTTCAGGCACTGCTGAGATTATTCTCCGCATCGTCAGGGGCTTATCTCCTCTAGGTGTATGCAACTGTCACATTCAAGTCAAAGTAGTCGTGCCTTTAACCAAACTTTCAATGCCCTAACTTGTTCAGTCTCATGTGTATCACCAAACAGTGGCCAGATGATAGGGGCAATATGACATTCCTTTTCTCCAATTATAAAAGTGGTTTCCGCATTTGATTTCTTAGAATTCGTAAGTCTCCTTTCGTGTTGACAATCAAGGACTTCCTCGTACCTGAAAATTAGAGACCCAAGCTTTAATTGGATCCACAAGAATTTCGTCTTCTCCAGCGAGGACTAGTGTGTGTTGAACTTTTGCTTTCTCCCACCATTCTTCCGGGGCACGAACCGCTTCGATGTAATAATTTGTTGGGTTCACATCAAGATAAATCCTAGACCACAGCGCTGTAGCATCAGTTGCTTCAATGTCCTTGTGCTTATTGCGCCGCACGCTTGGCCAATTATGATCAAAGGAAATCCAAGGTGAGATAAGGGCAATTGCTTTGAGGGGTTCTTGTACTGTCAATCTAGGCACACCTGTGGCCGGATGCGTCATATGAGACAAGATTGCCAAACAGAGGTTTGCGCCTGCGGAGTCACCTGCAAGTATGACTTCTGATGGATGTCGCCCGAGATCGTGTATAATGTATTTCAAGGTTTCCACAGCTTCACAAAATTGTGTCGGATAAGTGGCGTGAGGCGTCAATGTGTAGGTGGAATAAAACCAAGCAAGTTCGATCCCATTTTGTTCCAGACTTCTCTGTAGTTCCAAACAAAGATCTATATGTGGTTTTGTTCCGTCCATCGCAAACCCTCCTCCTATCGAAATTCGTTAGAATATAGGTATTTTCAATCACATATCAATACTACTTACCATGGAAAAATATCCCAACGTATTTAGCACGTGGGCTTCCGATCCAAAAACCCTTCACCCCCTGGTCGGTTGAAACAAAATTTGGCTCAAGCTGGCTGCTTTTACAGTGCTTCAGGTATAATTGATCTGAAGACTCAAAAAGATACCTAGTAAATATCAGCCTCAATGACTTGACGGCGTTATCTTTCAGGAATAAATATACTGCAGCTGAAGGGGGGTAAATCTGGTCATTAGCTGCTTGAATCAGTCACTCTTTCCGCATTTTGGTCAAATTTTAGGTATTCCTGACCTTCTTAACCGCTCCTTGTATAATGTGGTGATAATAGGTATCTGCGCCAGATTTACCACGAAAAGCGCCCGAAATCGTAGAATAAACGACCGCCAAAGCTAGGTACCATCGTCAACTAAAGATAGATGCAGATTTACCCCCCAGATTTCCTCCTGACGGGGATTCCATACCCATGGAGCAGATACCAAGCACCGCATCCAACTTTTGCAATAGCGTCAAGCTGTTCCTCGGTTGACGGGAGGCCATATTTGCTGGACACTGTCAGTTTTGGTATCGTCGACTATGTGGAAAAGAGCAATACTTGTGCTTTTAATCCATCGAGCTATTCGCCGTTTATGAAAGTGGCGTCTTCCATTTTTTCGAGAGGTGTATATCCGTTATAGCTGAGGATTAGATTAGGTAAGGTTACTTCAAACGTGAAATCATCATCCGCCGGAGCGAACCCGCCGGAACGAAAACTTTGGCTGAGCAAACCATCAGAAAGGTAGTTTGAAATCTGCGGGGTTATCGTTCGCTCCCACTCCAGGTTCCGTACAATCTAGTCCTGGTTCAGTAGTATGTCAAGTGACTTGCTCATTCGATTCCCACTACTTAGTTTTCTCTATGTGCCAATTTCTTTGACCAAGCGTACAGACCTTATACTGAGTCTGATGATGATCCCTCTTATCATCTATCATCAATTCATCGGCCAGTCGCAACTTTAGCGCCTCAATATCCCATCTCGATTGCTTCCAGAAACCAACAATGGTTATTATTTCTTATTAATTCTAAACTGAACTGTATATGTTAATATATCACTAGAATAACCATCCTTAATCTTGCCAATTCCACTATATAACGAAGATCTCGGCAACCGAAACCGTGAATTTATGAATTATCGCCTTTCACGACCGCCAAAACGAATCATGAGAAGATAGTGTCAGCTATAGAAAGACTGCAGACTACCAAATATATCATCTAACTGTTCAGAACTTAGAGCCGAATGAGGGTCCAGTGGCAACAGCGCACTCGGTAACATGCTCTGATCTGTTAGCTCATTCCTTGCTGCTCCTGTGTTAAGTGTATGGTGGTAAGATTGAAGTAGCTCCGGTATATCCATGCTAAACTCTCGGTGAACGAGCCCGTGATCCTGTTGATATATTGTAGTGTTGGCCTGCGAAACTTCTTTTGAACCTTCCAGAGGGCCGACTCGAGGGTCCTTGGTTGCCGACATCTCAGATTCTAAGAGCGGCTCCGCCTCATCCCAATCATACCCAGTCATCGAGTTATCCAAAGCTGCTAGTGTTTCTCGCTGGACGGATTTTTTCAATAGCTCTGTAAGTAACTTGTCAGTTTGTCTTGCAATGCGGTTATGCTGGGCCATGGCTCGGCTAGCACGTATAATCCTCACAACACCAGCTTTTGCTTCCTGGGCATTATTGGTGAATGGCTGACTGGTAGGAATGATGCACAAAATCACACCTGCCACGAAGAGGTAGTGAAAGACTATAGAAACCACAAAATGCTTCTCAAACCTGTGAACGGGAAAGGATGATAGACGAAGAGCTGCACAGATAACAGCATCCAATGATTTTTGCATCGAATCAATCACAGACCCGGAGAAACGTATTGGCTTCACTTGACATTTTAGTAGAGGCCTATGGGTGAGGATGACGGCACCATCATATAGCAATTGCAGCATGGCGGCTTGGAGAAGAATTATTTCCGCATGCTCTTGGGTATCTGCAGGCCTATCCTGCAGCAAGTAGTCCAGCCGCGCCCATCGGTCTTCCAAGCTCCAATCCTCAAAATTGTACAGAGATGGAAGTTCTTGACGCCACTGAGCTAGAGAAGCCTCTGTGTCTTTTATCGCCTGTGAAATTGCTATAAAATCATCATTTGTGTTCGGCTGACTTGGGCGGAGAAGCCGGAAGCGATTCAAGACTTGTCGGATAATATAATAAAGCCTGAATTTCATCTGATGGAATGTCACTTTCGAGGTAATATTGCTGCATTCACTAAACCCCAGTAGGTCTAGTATCGCAGGAGGGATGGTCAGATCATCGGTGTGCTCAAGCTCATGTAGATCTGCAAATGCTGCATCGACGGAGGCCGGTCTTCCGTAGATCATTGTAACGAAACTGTCACCAACCGTAATATGGTTCCAACATCGGTAGCGGATTTGGGCCGCATTCCGGTCTTGACTAGCCGGAGCTTTGGTATGCAACGCGAGAGCGTAAGCTGCTCTTACAGCCATTCCTGATGTGCTCCAAGCCAGACCTGGCGAACTGTGGAACATGTGGAAACAAGAGAGCAGAATGCAGACCTGTATCGCCTCAATGCGCGGGTTGGCTAGGAGGTCCATCAGATGAAAACGCACCTCACTAACCAAGTCTAGTAGTAATTGGCGATGGTTGATGTGATGAATGCGAAAAGTGTTGTGTCCATGCCAAGTACTATCCTGCAAAACTGATTGGAGGCCTAGGGCCGCAACAATTAGAACAGTGACTACATCGGGTAGATCCCTCCGCTGCCAACTCGGTTGACAGTACACCCTGTAAGTCTTGTTCCAGAACGAGGGTTCGTGGAAAAGAAGGATGTACCAGTGGAAGCGGTGGAAGTATGCCTCGATCAAGAGAGGTATAATCGGCTCAGGTGGCAATTCCAGATCTTTCAAGCGCCAAGGAGTACTACTGTCCAAAGTCATAGATTCTATATCACCAGGGATTGAGCCACGAGTCAGAGAACGACCGATGTCTTCTTCTTCCTCACCAAATACACTGCGGGCAAATTCCAAGCTGGACATGTTGACCCCAAAGTGCTGGTTCTCTGTTGGTGCCATCCCGTTGTCCTGTACCGGACTGAGAGTTGTCCCGACTAGGATCTGTCTTTTATGGCCATCGTACGTAGGCTGATGTGGGATAACATCGGTGATAGATCGCAGAGGCCTTGTAGCACGGTTGCTTAGTCCTTCATAATTCGTACGATTTCGGCGCCTTGTAGTCCTACCTTGAAGTAGGGTCCGGCTCGTTTCGCATTCGCTATTGGAATGTACGCAAAGGGTGCATGGCCTATGTTTGTCACACTAGATAGCGTAAGTGACCAGGGCATGCATAGAGGAACCTTTACAATCTCGGCATGATGTACAACATTACCTTCAATTTTTGTCGCCGGCAGCGGTCACAGGCTCGAGACACCCGAGGTCGGGAAGCCATAGGTACTTCTGTCACCAGTTGCAAATGATATAAAGGAGCTATTACAAGACGAATTTCTAAAGGAAAAGGAAACAAGAGTAGCGTGAGTGCGAGATAGAGATAGAGTTAGCGAGACAGTGACGAAAGACGAAAGCAGCAAAAGAAACGACATATTATCAAGCAACTTCTCCGCACCCCACATTAATCTGTTAATAATTTTGTTTTGCGGGGCCGGGCAGCACCAGAAGCTTCGGCAAGTTGACTCCGTACGAATCAGTATTTTACAAACTTACTTCCTCGTACATCCGGTCCGGCGGAGGATATAGCCCGCGCCTACTGTGTGTGCACGGATCAAGATCAACGCTTGATGTCAAGGCGCCACACCAGCACTTTACGTATTTTGCTTATTTCTGGGTGTTTACGCTCTTTATTCGTTGATTAGGATATTGTTATTTGGCGTAACGTAATTAGTAAGCGAGTTGGCTACTTTTATCCAGATCTGCGCTTTATATTGATTTTATACGTGACGGTCGTGCGTCTTGCGTGCCATGCTCAGTCCTTTGTAATGCCATGACGGGGACCCGTGAGCCCTAAGCCCTAAGAGCTATCTGCGACGGGCCATCCCTTTGTCATGCCTTCCCAACTAGGCACCTCCATGAAGGCCTACGTGGTATTAAGAGCCGTAGCGAGCTCTCGCACGGAGCCGTCCTCCTTCTTTTCTTTTTGTATGCTTAGTTTACGTCGATAAAGCTGCCCCAGAGTTTAGGAATGAGGAAGTGTCACAGTTTTTGCTACGATATCCTACGCTTTATGATACGGGACGTAGCTGAGCCAACATCAATACCCTAGACGTTTATAGCTTTAGGGGTTAATTATTAGAATAAGATATTTTTATGCTTATAAGTTTAAAGTAGGCTTGCCATTAAGTGCAGTTGGACTGCCCTTGCTACGATATCCTACGCTTTGTGATACGGAACGTAGCTAAACCAACACTTAGAATATGGTATTCCTTTTATTGAGAGCTTTTAGTAGCATAAGATTGCAATATCAAAAGCGTGATGACTATGCAGTGTAGGGTGAGTCGGGTTTTTCTGCTTTGTTAACCGGTAATTTACCCAGTAGTAAGTACAGAGCGGCCAGCTACAATGTTCGTTGGTTTTCCTGAAAAAAGAAAAATCAGGTGACCTATAAGTCGATGTGGAAAGAAGACTTATGACTTCTGCATTCTCATCTTCTCTTCGCCTTTTTCCGCTGACACTAGGTCTTATCGTTCTACGCACGCATTGACGTCGGATTGAAAGGCATGTTTTGGTGTGCTGAGCATGATTCTTAGATGGAAAATTTGAGTATCTAATTTCTTTTTAATTTGTTTCCTCTGTTCTGATACTTTTAAATCTAGAATACAGTCATATTTATACGCTTCAAAGTTATATCCCTGATCTCTATTTAGAAATGAAGCTTGAATATATAGGATTCCAAATGCGGAAGGTCGGTCCATTCATACAGCTGAAACCCACGGCAGGTCATACGGGCAATTGATGGGGATCAAGGTAGTACATGAGCACAACTTCTGTAGATTGCTCCGAATGAATAGGATAATGAAGATCTTCGATATTAATACTATGATGTAGGAGAATTTGAATATGTAAAAAATGGATTGTAAGTGTCCCACTAATGCATTCCCATTTCGCTGCCATTCAGATACATCACAAGAGCTCTAACGGCTTTGACTAGATCTTCCCTCGTGGAACACGACGCAAACACAAAACGGTCAGGGCGGAGGATTGTGTATTTGTGTCCTTTCAACTCTTTCCTCATTCGATAAGGATCAAAGTATTTTGGTTCTGGCCGTCCCTTGCACAGCTCGGATTTGGCGAACTCTTCGCCAGTGGCGATGCTGTATGTTGGGTAACAGGGTTCGTTTTTGGCGTAGGATGTTAATGTTTGGGGGTCGGCCTCGGTTATGCATGTAATGTCACTTTCGTAAATATGGCCCTGAGATATTGTCTCGATGTCAAAGGCATCTTTGCCCGCGAGAATCATGTCATTGGGGGCTTTTAGATAGACAAGAAGCTGGAATAACCCTTTCTTTCCTTTGAAGATCACGTCGTCGGTAAAATATACATTGTTGTCCGAATTAAGTGATTTGCAATAAACCTGCGGCACACACAACCCTCCATTCAAGGACGGTATAAATGGCATTCCATTGGAGTACTGATATCGGAATAGTCCCTCGTGACGCTGGCCCAGACGCAGCTTGTCACGCCACGATGGAATCAGTTGCATGAACCACAGTGACCAGTTGCGGATGAATATCTTGATTGGATTACTTTCAGTCACGAATTCGCCGTTTGTGATCGTGGAAGCCAGTGACTTTTCAAGTTGTTGTTTACGCTCGAGGTACCATGCTGTAAAGAACTTTTCGTGAGGTAGTGTTAAGCCTTGAGTCGATGCTTTACAGAGCACGGCCAAGCGCCAGGCGAGGGAAGAAGCGTCGCGGAATCCAGAAGCGATTCCCTGTCCGCCAACTAGTATCACCATCGTTAGCAGAGACCTTCATGAGATTGATTTGATGCGATTACTCACAAGGTGGAAATACATGGGCGGCGTCCCCGCAGAGAACCACCCGACCTTCGGACCATCTATTGCAACTCCTTGCCGAGAACATAAATGGCCTCGATCGCAAGACGTTGATGCAATCCTCTGGATACTGCACATCACTTGGAAGACTGTCGATCATCTGGTAAGCAACAAGCAAAAGATACATTGACCGCCAGATAATAGAAAAGTCTACGTACCCATAACGACTACCAGGATGCGTGATGTAAGGGAAAATGATCTTTCTCATCATGTGCGGTTTCGCCATCTCCGTTCCATCCTCATCCTTGAGAACGACAAATTCGAATCGCCAAAGTCGATCGGCTAAAGGTCCAAATCGTCCACAAACAGCAGGTCGTTTTGGGTTACACAGAAATCGGAAGTGTACCGGAAAGAAAAGATCATATACTTGCTCTGGAGTGTATCCTAGGGACCATAAGGGGAAGTCCGGATGGGACTCTTTGTTGGGAATCGAAATGTGCCAGTTGAGAGCAACCCAGGTTTCTTCGTAAAAAGAGCTATTGGAAGAATCTGTTAGTAAGATACAGCTTTTAATCATTAATGAACATACTTGTGCGCCCGCTCCATCTGAATACCCTTAGGCTCAAGATATCTCTTGCGAGTGTACCCCGTCTTACCATCTGCACCGACGAAAAATTTTGATCGTATATGATGAGTCTTGCCTTCTGCATCGGTATATTCGCAATACGTCCATTCTTCAGATTCGGATAGGTGGGTCACGCTACACCCAGATCGCAGCGCACACAGTCCATTCGCTGCCATTTTGTCACGAAGGTATCTTTCCAAGACTGGCTGCTTGTGACAGATGAATCCAACGTGACCTGTGCCACCCTCCGTCTATTCATACCGAGAGTTATACAGTGTTCATGTGACTGTGTTCATGGAAGAAGTGTATCCTTACGGTACCGTAGTCCATCTCCAAAAATGCCTTCCTGCTTAAATCCGGTTTTGTGCCATCCACGAATTTGAATATGTTCATGCCTTCCGTTTTGTGACTCGGTCAATACCTTTCCATCATATGATAATAGCAATATACTCACATGTTCCAATTTCCGTGTAGATGCCATCATAGATTCCCAATCCTTGCAAAAACCGAATTCCATCTTCATCTAGGGCAATGCCTCGCGGATCTGTAGTGATATCGGCCTCTTTCTCCAGCACGACGTTTTTGATGGACATTTGACCGAGATAAGCAGATAGCATGGCACCAGTTGGGCCACATCCGCAGATTACTACATCCGTGGTTTCGTATTCATCTGACTCTGTCATGATGAAAGTGTAGTGAAACTGAACAGAGACACAGGAATGTCGAAATGATGTCTGGATTTATTCCTTTGTCTGTCGCAAATGAAAAACAACAATTTTCTAGAGGTCATGGTCATGCTGAATAATATGTGAACACAAAGCGGCACTAGAAAGGGGGAAATATGTAGTGACCAGTCAATCACTGACGAGAATAATGCTGTCTGTTCCAGATACGGGGCCGAGAATCAGTCGACGTATCAATTTCGTGTTGAGCGGGGAAGTAAAACCCCGTAACACAGAGTCGTAGCTCCATTTGCAATTCTTAGCTGTTCATACATGCTGTACAGGTCCGTGTGGTCGAGCTGATGTTGACGTCCCGCAGGAATGCGGGACATCTTGTATACCGTAAATCCGACGAAGATCAAATCGTCCCGGAACACCCCCGCAAAATATCCCATTAATTTTGGGGAAGTCTAGTCTGAATCGGTACAATGCAATCATGCTCGATATATAAGTGCTACAACGAATATCTTGGAGATTTGCCGTCTACCACGCAATCGATATAAATCTTTTGGTGATCCATTATGGTATGAAATTCTGGCTTTTTGTCTGCGTAACCATACTTATGTCCGATAGGCGGCGAAGAAAGTCCATTCAAATCGCGGAGCATCTGTACCGGACTCCATCGCAGTCGGCGATGGGAAAGAAGTTCTAGCGGAGTGGCAGAAGCGCTGTGGTATCAAGAAAGAGGATCAGATTCGTCTTGTCAAATTGAGCCACATGAGGTATCAGCACCCGGATCTCGAAAAGATCACTGATTTTTTACTTGGTTAATCACCTTGCTCTAGGATTATTAGTATTACTGGCTCACTAAGTTTATAATCCGCAGATTTTGGAATGGAAGTAGCTCAGCGGACAGAGAACCAAATTTGGTTTCGCGGATACGGCAGTGATCAATACGTTTATTATGCCCGGAAGGGCCCAAAGCAATTTCTTGGAGCTTCATTTCAGGTAGAGACCTATCAAGATCTAGAAAAGTGAGTACAAGTCTACGGTCTGATTGGATTTATTACTAAGATACATTCAGAGCTGCTCAACTTCCAACGGCTGGAGAAATCCAAGAGATGAAGGATGCTCCAGGGGGCGGATACATTCTTACCTTATTTGACCCTGAAAACATTCCTGTCAATCTCATGTTCGACCAGTCACCTGCAAAGCCAAACGGATATCCCGAGAAACTCATAATCAACCACGAAAACGATAAACCACGAGTTCTCAAGTTCCAGCGTTTCGATCCCGGTCCGGCTGCTGTACACAAGGTATTCAAGTCGAGTCCGAAGTCTATCTATCTATCGCTAATTTTCTATGTAGCTGGGTCACTTTGGGTTATGTGTCCAAAAGTTCCAGGAAATGGTCGACTTCTACACCACCAACTTCAACATCGCCCCTACCGACTTTCTCTACGTCGAAAAGGAAGGCGAGAAACAAAACGTCGCTATGTTCGCTCACATTGATCGTGGCCAGGACCTGGTCGACCATCACAGCTTCTTCCTCAGCGGCAACCCGACCACACATGTTCATCACTGTTCCTTTGAAGTTCATGACTATGACACACAACATCTGGGTCACCAATGGCTCGCAAAGCAAGGCTACGAGTCTGTCTGGGGCGTGGGAAGGCACATTCTTGGCTCACAAATCTTTGATTACTGGTGGGATACTACGGGAAATATGATTGAGCATTATGCGGATGGGGATCTGGTTAACGAGAATACACCTATTGGGTATGGGCCGGCAGGGCATGAGTCGTTAGCGGTTTGGGGTCCAGAAGTGCCTGCTACGTTTTTGAATTAGCTTGTCATGCCATTAATTCATCTAGCAATTCAATCCTTGTTATTCATTGACGGTTTCCCCAAAGTTATTTACTACTGTTACTGTTTAGATAAGGAGTGTGCGTCAAATTTCTCTCCATTACAACATTTGCCTTCATTGACAATTCGATCTACCTGGCAGTTCAGCCAAATCCACACTCGTAAGACTATGATCAGATTCATGATCTCCCGGAAATCCGGCATTCAACTTATGAAGACAACCGTCCCTCTACCTGCAAGACATTAGCAGAGACATTGAGCCGAGAGCTGTAGTCAAGGAAAGTCATACCTTCGACCGTCATCGTTCAGATCACACTCCTCCACATCGTAGACTGCGTAATGAGGTGCGCGGTTCCCTCCCTGGTCAACAGACGAAGTGAGGTTTTGGATGAAAGCGTCATGGTCCTTATCCAAAGAAGTCTCCTTTACGATGACGGAACTTTTATCTTCGGAGATTTTGTAAATGACAAAGGTAAGCTTATCTGGTCCTTTCGTAAAGGCGAACTCGTTGAATGCAGTTATGCATTCGTTCGGGAAACTGACACTGATTTCTAGTCAAATAAATGCCTAGCCTTCAATTCTGCTATTAGAACTCACCCTGATGGAAGCTCACGCTCGCTAGAATAAGAAGTGGTCAATTGTTTTGTCTCATATGGTTGATGGTAAAATGACTAAAATATTGACTGGGACGAACACTATTATAAAAGCAGTAATAAGAACGTCCGAAAAATTATGTTAAATAAAGTCATACTCGCTCTACACATCATTGTTTTCATTGTTGTGAGTTATATTCTTGGAGGTCGGATGCCCGAGTCCGTCGGAGGGGAGCCACTGAGAGTACCATTACCTCATAATCTATATGGAGCTATAGGAAAATTGAATCTACAAATTCTCATAGCGAACCTTATTCACTAAAGTCCCGATCTGATCAATCTTGACTGAAATCTCATCACCATCCCTGAGCACGACTCTCGGTTGACGGAAATAGCCAATCCCTGCAGGGGTACCAGTCAAGAAAATCGTGCCTGCCTCCAAAGTAGTCCCCTGTGAAAGATAGGAGATTTGCTTTTTGATGTTGAAGATCATATTGCTCGTATGGCCATCTTGAACTGTGGTTCCGTTGTGAATGGCTTTGATACCGAGTGTCTGGGGGTCATTGATGACGGAGGGAGCGACGAGAACAGGACCTAGCAGCTCACCTCTTAGTATCCATACACAATCAATGAAGAAGTCATCAGGAACTAACCGATTGGACAACTTCCATCAAGACCCTTAGAAAAAGACCACTGGGCCGTAAGCAACTGCAATGTGCGGGCTGATACATCATTCGACGCGGTGTAGCCTAGCACATAATCCAAGGCATCCTCTTCGCTTATGTTCTTTCCTGTCTTGCCAATGACCATGCAAAGCTCGGCTTCGTAATCGCTCGTATCGTCCTGTGCGCATTTCGGGATGTTGATTGCGGCGGGATAAGGTCCGCTGAGGGCCGTTCTGGGCTTTGTGAAGAGGATTGGGACTTTGGGGATGGGTAGGCTTGCTTCCTATCGCACAAGTAAGTAACAAATTAGTGTGTGTTGTTAATGTCATGGGTTACCTGGGCGTGGTCCGTATAATTCAATCCTAAGCATCGAATGTAGCTACATTGATCTCTAGAAACTGGAGAGAGAAGCTACACAAATGTCAGTTGAGTTATTCAGTAACTTTCAGTTATCGGGCAATTACTTGTTTGACGTGGAGGATTTCCTTGGTTACTTTGCCGTCGAAAATTGTTCCGTCGATCAAATACACTGGTATATCCTTGCCTTCTGCGCTGTCTAGACCAACATCTCGAGTAGTATCAACAAGCTGGCCGAGATGCTCCTGGCTATCTTCGACAGCGATGAAGCGGACTAGATGTGTCCACGAAGGCATGATGGCCGTATTGGCAATAAAAGTTGATGTTCAAGTTTTGAAAGGAGGCTCGTTAGCTGACAATGTATTATAGCCGGACTTGCACAATACTTATGCCGATTCCTACCCTTCGTCGTGGCTACTTTTCCCCTCCAGAATATTCTTTTGGTGATGGCCCATATCCGTGTTCACTCGTAAATCCGGTGATTTGATCGAAGCTTAATAAAGCGGGACAGTTCAAGCATTGCGGGACGCTATCAACGGCGGGACGTGTTCTACGGTGGCCCTAAGCGGACAGCATCTTCCATTTGGTGTAACAGTCGAGACAAAATTTATGTATCTGGCTGGTCTGGTGATATAAATTTGTTTTTTTCTTTTGCGCCCCAATATGACATAGATCGATATCAAGTACGTGTGCTGTTTGGAATTTTCTTTACTTAGAGAGCTTCTGCCGATACTGAGGACACAACAGGCAGCTAGGCGAGATTTGTTTTAAAACATTCTTAGAGCTACGTCCAATGCGATTAGAAGCAGGAACTAGGATCATCAAGAGACAACAGTACGAAGAAGACATCTCATTCATGGTTAGCATTGTACACATGGGTTTCGGACCATGGAGTTTTAATATGCCCGTGCCATTTTACAACCAAAACCTGTTCATAATAAACATATTAGATTGAAATGACTGTGCAATGGCTTCCTTTATACAATGTGGTTCGTTAATAGTTGGGTCTGACCGTTTGCTCCAACTGGACATGTGGGGCCCCGCACTTTCCTCAAGCTCATCCCCGGCTTCAACCTCAACTCTTCTCTTATCTTGCCAATGATCTAGCAAGACGATATCAGGATCAATCGAATATGGTCAATAGACGAGGTTCTAGAAAGGAGCGAATCTGTCCTTGGTGCTCGCAATCGTTCACCAAGGATGAGCATCTCGCGAGGCATATTCGGAGCCATACGAAGGAGAAACCATTTTCTTGCACGACGTGTAGGAAGTCTTTCACGCGACAGTCGGTATCTATCCTCTATTGGTGCTCAGATTTTTACTGAGAATAAACAGTGACTCCCTTTTACGACACGCAAGATCGCATCTAGAAGAAGAACAGCGAGCGCGTCATTCGCACCATTCGGCTGAGGAGGATTTGTCATCTCAAGCGGCGGACACCCTCTCAGACCTACTCAATCCTAATGTTGATACAGATAATTCAAGAATTTTCCAGTCAAATGCTGCAATAACAACACCGTCATTCACTCAATCATCGCCATCAACTCAGGGCCATCAAGGTGTTCATCCTATGCCTTATGAATATGACTCGACGCTGGACGTGGGAGGGTTGACCAGCTGGTCTGCACCAAGTTCCGCACAGCCGATAAATAACAACGATCAGTTCCCACTTCTGACCGGTAACCTGGACAGATCTGAAGCGACTCACATCAGCATGGCAACCTCTTGGATGTTTAGTCCCAGTCATCAATTCCCTGGGTGGCTGGTCGATGAGGATTTCGATCTCAGTGCTTTGTGTGCAACCATACCACCTTCTGGGACATCACTTCCAATGGATTTGTCCGGTCAGGGGTTCTTCGCTAGTGACAGACTTCAGATGAACGACAGCAGTGACAGAAACATAATTATCGCAGCCTCCTCGGATGTTATCAGTGAGTCGAAAGAAGAGAGGGTTAAAAGGTCTTGGTTTACGTATCTGGGTACAGAGCGGAGTGGCCAGATTACTCCGGACGGGATAAACCAACCCACCAGTGTGGATGAGCGATACAGGGAGGATTTATCTCGTGAACTTCAGCAGCGACGGATAACCTACGAGCCACTTCCGTCTATTGATTTTTTGGTAGCAACCGCTCAGAGTGAATCAGAAAGGTCTTGCAGCTGACTATTATAGAACTTGTGCATTCAAATGTACTTTACGCGATTTCACCCGATCTTTCCCATTGTGCATGCACCAACATTTCGACCATCTGCGAAGCGGTCTTTGCTGTTGATTTCAATATGCTCGGTGGGGAGTCTGTTCTTGGGATCGCCATATGCCGTGACTCAAGGTAACAGACTGTTTGAGCGATTAAACAAAGCTATTCTTGCATCGGTATGCTGAACCCATGTTTTGTCATTCAATATACGCTAATGGTATCGTTTACAGTGGGAGATGTACTTTGTGCGAGGCGCGCCAGAAGCGCTTGCGATGACTCAAGCTGCTTTGTTGGGGCAGACATTTGCCCTGCTTTCAGGAGTAAGTTCCTAGCCATTAGGGGTACCATCTGCGAGCTGAATGATCCTATGACAGAATCCAAGACACATTGTGTTATTTCAAACATTTCACGGGACTCTCATAGCAGTGAGTTCAAACAACCGATATGTCTTACGAGATACTTATCAGGGATAGTGGGCTCGAAGACAGAATATGTTCAATCAAGACCTGGCGACTATATACCCTAGTGGCATGCAAACAGATGCTGAAGCTTCATGGAGGCGATGGATCTATGACGAGGAGAAAAGACGGTATGTCTGGGGAAGAATAATTATAATTACAAGCGTGTGTTGATATCCTTATAGGGTTGCAGTTGGTCTTCGCATCCATGATTCAGAAGCCGCAGAATTATTTATGACCGAGCCATTTCTACGGTGTTCAGCGGCCGCATCGGCAATTGCCTCGAACGAGCTGTGGAGTGCACCAACTTCCAGTGCTTGGGTGCACGCTTTAGATGAGCGCAGGCATCAACAGATGGTCAACTCAGGATACAGCCCACCACTATCTACCGACCAAACAGATGGAGATGCATTGGCTACGTACCCAGCCTTTGCACTCTATGCTTTTCTAGAAGGAAAGACAAGTCAAATCATGGAGCGGTTGTCATCACAAGAATCACTAAACAAAATCTCGCAGGAGGTCACGCCAACACTGATTACTATCTACAACAGTCGCCTTCATCAAAATTCCCAGTCAGATGACTTCAGTCTAAAGGCAATGTGGCATTCAATGTTCATGATCCTGTATTGCAACATGAATAAACTTGAGTGCGCCGTTGGGCGGGAAGGATACGAAAAGGCGCAAGAGCACCTCGAGTACGCCACTACATGGGCATCTTCTATGGACGGCCATCGATGCGCCATTCATGCAGCTTTGATTCTCCGACATCTACAACGCATACCAATCGGACAAGAACCGGGTATACATGTACCGCGATTACTTTGTCACTCTGCACTGATTTGGTACGCTTATACACGATTTGGCCGAGATGACAGCTCTATGTTTACCAACGATGGACTGAACTTCTCAGAGCTGCAAAGTACTGGCATCGACGCAGCAAGAGTATTGTTCGCCGCTAATGGATTCAAAAAGAGTCGACCCACCACCTCGGAGTCGAGTACATTGTTCCATTTGATTGATCTTTTAGCACGACTTGGTCATTGGGGGATAAGTCAAAAAATAGCATCGCTATTTTCTGTTTTGGTCCATAATGACGATGTCTGAGACTGGCCAGGATTTCGGTGTACCATTTACCCCGTGATTTTCCAATCCGGGGATGACCACGGTTTCCCGCCGACAGAATGGGGCGTCCCGCGGCGGGACACAATGGCTGGGAACGATCCTATTTCAAAGGTTTCCCAATTTCAGTATGCMCCATCGACACTTTGCGAGCCATTAGCATCTACTTGCTATTAAAAATGCCCCTCGAAGAACGTATTGATACTCATGCGCACCTCCTGCCGCCGTTCTATAGACAAGCGTGCATAGATGCCGGTTATGAGAAACCAGATGGCATGCCGGAGCTGCCGGTAAGGATTCACATCCCTTCGACATACTCGATACTCTCTAGCTAACATACCTAGGAATGGGACATTGAAACTCACCTCAGTTTGATGCAAAAAGTAAACATCAGCAAGTCCATCTTATCAATCAGCTCACCCGGCACACACCTCATTCATGGAAACCACAAAGTCGCGCGTGAACTCACCCGTTTGTGTAACGAGTACATGTTGGATTTGGTCTCCCAGTATCCATCAAAACTGGGTTTCTGGGCATCTTTACCTCTTCCGGATGTTGAGGGAAGTTTAGAGGAAATTGCATACGCGTTCGACAAACTGAATGCCAACGGCATCACGCTCGAGACAAATCACCATGGCGTATATCTCGGCGACCCAAAATTTGCGTCTATATTCGAAGAACTGAATAAAAGACACGCTAAAGTGTTTATCCACCCTACCACCCCATGTGTCCTTCAGGGAGACCACGATCATCCAAAATCAGTAGCAGCGACTCCATTAACCCAGTTCCCTAACCCGGTTTTTGAATTTTTGTTCGACACCGCCCGCGCAGTCATAAACCTTTTCACGTCAGGAACAATTTCGCGCTGTCCAAACATCATATTCATAATCCCGCATGCCGGTGGCGCAGTGCTGCCTCTAGTCGAACGTTTTACTTCATTTGGGCGCCTTATCGGCGCAGACCAAAGCCTCACCGCACAGATGATCAAAGATGCATTCTCGCGACAGTTCTATTTTGATCTTGCGGGCTTCCCGTTCCCGGATCAGATTAAGGAGTTGCTATTATATGTCAAAATGGATAGATTATTGTATGGAAGCGACTATCCGTTTACGCCTGAAATGGCTGTTCTGGGATTGGCGAATGTGATGACGACGGAAATGCGAAAGATGTGGGAAGATGAAAAAGAACGAGAGATGATATTGTCGGGGAATGCGAGGAGGTTGTTATCTTCTTAGCTATGACTTAACGCGTTAATTCAAGCCGAGTCTAACTCTAGTAACCCTAGTATTCCTAGTTGGCTGTCAACCTCGGGATCCGCTTGAAACCGACGGGACACTTGACAGGGATATCCGAGCGCTCAGCCACTACTGTACGTACTACGTATCGTTTTGACCCTTGACAAAAGACAAATTTAATGTTTCACTTAGAGTGGGTATTGAGCACAATCAGTTGAATTCACAACGTCGATCCCGTCACCTTGAAAAGTGATTGGAAGTGTGCTTTGTATACCATGCATAAGTCGGACAGTGTGGTGTGCCGCGATAGGATCTCGGACAGAGGCCAGCACCAAATCCTCATACTAGGCTCGTAGTACTGATAGTAGTACATGCTTTACATAAATTGGACAACTCAGTGCGGGGTTTGAGCTACTAGATGAATAGCTTCGTTGATCCGGTTGAATCGATTGAACCTATTATTCCTTGGAGATTCATTGGTCGGTGGCATGAATTTACCAAAGAAGTTGATATCCTCCGAGCCTAGGTATACCTCGACGACGACGTCATACTGCCTATCCCAGAGACGAAAGCTGTTTCACGACGCAAGCATGTGGACCGGAAGTCCACGGAAGACCAAAAGAGTCAAGACAAGCGAGTCATTTAAGATCTTCGACGGAGAAATACAAAAGGAGAAGGGAAGTGACAAGTGAGGTGGACATGGAAAAGGAATCCGAAGCCGACTGCAACAGTGAACGGTCATCGCGGCAGGAGCAGCGCTGCATGGATGAAATGAAAATTTTAGGTGTGGCGGCAGGACCGAGTGGCTATTGGCTGTGTACCTATTCATAGCAGCAGATGCCGCAGTTCATATTGGTGGCTTGATATAGCATGTCAATCATAATACCAGATTGAGTGCATGGGATGGAACAGTCAGATAGAGAAAAGAAACAACTTTATCAAAACATTTTAAGATCCTCCCGGACTATGGTAGAGGTAGACCAAAAGGAACACATCACGAATGTCAAAGGAGAGTTTTGATTGGGCCAGGGCTGGTGTCGCCACGTGATTGGACGGCTGCTGCCTCAGGCACGATGACGCAGCCTCCTGCAGCAGATCGACTGCCAAGAAACGCCAAGACGGTCCGTCGTCGGGCTTTTTCTTTCTTTTTTCTCCTTGATCTCACCTCTCAATAGATGGCATTGACTGACTGACTGACTGACAGTTGAAGGCTTGAAGATCCCACAGAAAGAGAGATCAGATTGACGTGTTCCGATGGTTCGCTTCTGGCCAGGCCTGTAGATGTTCCAGGACCGCTGAATCAGTGGATACTGGACACACCCTAAAACTCTGCTCGGTGCCACTGGCCACTGAGGACTATCTCTTCAAACCTATCAGTGATGGCGTTCACTAGCAGTGGAGATGTGGGCTCAAGATGATCTGGACTCCGGCTGTGGCATTGACGTTGCCTCCGCAGATTTACAGATGTGAGCTCTTTTCTTTCCTCTGCTTCCTGCATCTTTTTAATTTCTTTTTATTCTGTACATATCTCTTTATTTTACTATTTCTTTTGTTACATACGAGGATTATTCGGCGACCAGCATCTCGAGGCGGAGGGGTCTTTACAATTCTACCATACACTCACTACATCACACTCGTTTGTTTTAACCACACTCTTGCTGTACACGATAGCAAGAGAACAAATACTATCACGCTGGTCATTGACCAGATTCCACCGCCACAATGTCCACCCCAATACACGAGATCGACGAACCGAGGTATTCGACCAGTACCACTCGTTTCCCCGAAATCGACGAAGAAGAAGACGAATACCGTGGCAGAGACAATCTAAGGCTGGATACATTGAATGTGACCTCGTCAAATGCAAGAACCGATCCATCACCATCGGCTGTCCGTGAGCAGGCTCTACGGCTAGACGACGACCTGGCTGTATTGCAAGCGGAGCGAGTAGTTTCAAACTCACAACGAAGTGAAGAACACAACAGTGAAGGAACCTCACTACGTCAAATCCGTTCGCGAACTGAGCCTGTAGATGAGTTTGATATTGCTACAAATCCGCTGCACGAAACTGCGGCGATTTACAATGCGCCGGAGGATCCTCATACCAGTATAGCGAAAATCTTGAAAAGGATTCATAGCTCGAGTTTTCTTGTTCGCTATTTCTTTTACATCACGCCTTTGACGCTGATTTTGTTGATTCCGCTTCTACTGGGTGCGTTGGTTTTCAAGTCGGCCAATGTTGGAGGCGTGAGATTGTTGTGGTTTTCCGTCTGGTTGGAAATCTTTTGGTTGACGCTTTGGGCAGGAAGAGTATGTTCCTCCCTAGTATCACTATCTCATCATACTAACGAGTCAGATTACTGCAAAATGTTTTCCTCCCGTGTTCAGCATCGGGTCGTCTATCTTTACCAACAACTCCAAGAAATATCGCGATCTTGCCAGAGAGTTGGAACTGCCTTTCACGCTCTTTTTCTGGTGGCTAGGAGTAGAGATATCCTTTTTGCCGACCATGATTAACCATCATGTCGATGGCAGCACATCGGTCAGGGAATGGGAGAGCACGATGAACAAGGTTATCATCTCAATATTCGTCGGCGCCATTCTTAACTTGATCGAAAAGATCATCATCCAGTTGATTGCCATCAGCTTCCATACTCGTACATATGCTGATCGAATCGAAATCAACAAGTTTCAAATTTCAAATTTGACGAAACTTTATGCTTACTCTAGGGAGATGATTTCTGAAAAGGACGAGGATTTCGAAGAGCATGGTAGCGGAACACAATCTGGTACCAAAACGCCTTTGAACGTTGCCGGTACGGCTTTGAAAGTTGGCAAAAAGACCTTGAACAAGGTCGGAGATATGGCAGGAGCCGTTGCGGGCGATTTCACCGGCAAGAAAATCAATAAGAGCAGCCACCCGCATCAAGTGGTACTCACTCTACTTAGTACCAACACAGGCGGCCAGGTATTGGCACGGAGACTGTACCGTACATTTGTCCGAACTGGTTTCGACACCATCTTCTCTGGAGACTTGAAATCTGCTTTTGACAATAACGAGGAAGCGGAAGCTGCTTTCACCATGTTCGACAAGGATATGAATGGCGATATCTCTATGGAAGAGCTGGAATCTGTCTGTGTTGAGATTGGTCGTGAAAGAAAATCAATTACTGCTTCTTTGAAGGATTTGGACTCCGTAGTGTCGAAACTTGACGGTGTGCTCTTCTTTGTCGTCTGTGTCGTCACGCTTTTGGTCTTTTTGTCGCTGATTTCGACATCCGCTGCTGGTGTGTTGACATCGGCCGGTTCCTCCATTCTGGCTCTATCCTGGTTATTCTCCGCTACTGCTCAGGAATTTCTGCAGTCCGTCATATTTGTCTTTGTCAAGCATCCCTTTGATGTCGGTGACAGAGTGACTATCTACGGTAACACAGGTGACGCCATGAAAGGTGATGACTACTTTGTTAAGGAAATATCTCTCCTGTACACCGAGTTCAAGAAGATGCAGGGCCACGTCGTACAAGCGCCAAACAGCTACCTTAACACTTTATTCATCCTGAACCAGCGCCGTTCCGGTGGTCTTGCCGAAGCCGTGCCTGTCATCATCAAATACGGAACTTCCATCGAACAAATGGAAGCGCTACGACAGCGTCTGCTCGAGTTTGTACGCACGGAAAAACGTGAGTACCAATCAAACATTATCACGGAATTGCGAGAAGTCACCGAGGCTTTCTCACTTACTCTCAACGTCGTCTTCTTCTACAAGTCCAACTGGCAAAACGAAGGTCTTCGTCTGCAAAGACGTAACAAATTTATCTGCATGTTGATGTTATCTATGCAAGAAATCGGCATTGAAGGGCCTCGTATGAATCTCCAGGGCGCTCATGTGGACTACCCCTTCCACGTCAACCACCACGGACAACCGCCTAGCTACGCCGCATCCACCAGACCTGGTCCAAGCCAACAGCAATCAACCGAAACCATCCTCGAAGAACGAGATCCAAACCTCCCCGAAAACTCTGCCTACACATCCAGTACCGCCGCTCCCATCCGTCCTCAACACTCTATCCTCCGCAAAGGTTCCATGGCAGCCGCCGCCCGCGCACGCGGGGAATCCCTGAGCCGTCCCGGTCGCCACGTCGATTTCTCGCTCGGGACAAGCGCGTTGTCTGCTAACGATCTCATGGGAGACGTCTTTGAAGACCGAAATCCCTCGCGGCTCGGAGAAGTCGTTCGCAACGCCAATCGTGAGGCGATGGAGCGCCGGATCCGAGAGGATGCTGCGATTTCGCGTGAGAGTCTTTCTTCTTCGTCGCGGGCTGCTGCTGCGTCTGCGTCTGCGGCTGCGGACCATCAGTCGAGAGCATCGATGGAGTCGAGGAACTCGTTTGGTGCTGGACGGCCGAGCCAGTCATCTTCTATGGGTAGGAGTGGATTCTTAGCAAGACTCGGTTCGCATCACAGTCGTGTAAGAAGTACGGATAGTGATGATTTGATGGAGCAGGGGTTGAAGAATCAGTAGCCCCCTTTTTTTATTTCGTGTTTCGATGTTCTCGAGGCGTTGTGGCTCTCATGATGACGTTACTGCATTTACTCATCATCTGTTTATAGTTCGTTTCAAATTGGCGCGTTCTCATAGACATAGATTTTCTCTCAAAGCATTCTGTTCATACTGTATCTTCTGCAACACTTGATAATTCTCAATATATCTAAATCAATATCCATCTTTTTTTTCTAAATCTTTCATATTTATACGGACTGTCAATAGGGGAATTGGCGCGGAATGAACATCATGTCCTTCGAAAGGGGTATTGGAAACAAATTCCGAACCATCAATTTTATGGGTCAACTGGTATTAGTCACGATTCGAATTTCGAAACAAATACAGTCTTGTTATTACCTATAATCTGAATCGATATCTGATGATATCACTACCAGACTATATTTTCGGTTTTCTTTGAAAAATATGCAATAAGTTCACCAAAAATAAAGAGTGGCTGATCATCACCGCTGACTACTATTCATATTTCTTTAGTAGGCATTTTTAGCAGCATAATTCATATACTTCACTAGCATAGAAGCATGGTAGTAGTAGTATTGATACCTGCTAACTTAAAGCTAGCTACTGACTAAGGACGTTATCTAGAGTAAGTATTCCTACCCGGAGGCATGTATTAAAAAGGATATAGGCCTGCCACATCCGGACTATACCTGGATAAGGCGATAGGTTCAAAGATTGCGAACGAAAAATGCGCTCAGAGACGAGTAAAATTTTGTAAGTATTTATAGTCGTGACTTTCGACTCAGGCAAATTCTGATCTTGCCCGAATACGACGGCGCTCGGTAAGAGATGAGTACGAAAATAGAATAGGAAAGCCTTGGCGCGTCAGGGAAAATCAAGTAGGCAGGGATATCTTTTCCATGTCAACTATTCAACGCTAAGCCCTAGTTGCCCTACATCCATAATGGAGAATTCAAAGAACAATCAGGGTTTTCCCTACGATTAGTGATTTTCACTTAATCAGATATATTTAGAAGAATTATTCAAAGTCTAATTACGAACTCAATGGTGACCATGCTCTGACGGCAATGTCTTATTATGCAAATCCTCTTCATAGACCGGCCCATATAAGGGATGACTGACTAGGTTCCCATTTTTGAACGTCCCCATGTCCTTTGCAGGGATGCCCCGTTCGCGAACCCAACTGTCAAAATGCGTCCAGTCAACACAAACCTCATCTGTGCTGATTACAGGCCAAGGGGCCTTGCGTGTATCGAGCCATTTATAGGTCTCAAAGCCTGTTCCAACGTGGCATTGTACGAACTGTCCCGTCATAATTTAGCAACTGGCTTCTAGGGGTGTTACATATATAGGTACAGAACATACTTGTCGCAGGTTATCGACACAGTGGTCTGTGTGATTCTTTATCCATTCTGGCCCGCTCGGGTCTTCGCCGTAGAAATCAGGATGGGCGTAACGATAGATGTTGTATAAGCAGTGAAGCATGTGGTAACTCTAATAGATAATGTCAGTGAGAATTCAACGTCAGATTTAGCAAGTAGTAAGTTTCTTACAATAGGCACAGCAATATAGTCCCCGGATCCATCATTCACCTGAATAGATGATATGTTTGCTTTTTTCATCTCAGCTTCTGGCACCCGCAATGTGTGTGCTAAAGTGGATATATTAGTCCCTCTGTATCTAAGAAGAGAGATTAGGATTTTTTACCTCCATTCATCAGGTACGTCCACTCCTTCTCAATATCTTCAATAGGCGCGCCTTTGAATGGGTTGACGCTCTTGAAGTCGTAATCCACCTCTCGAACCTCATAGCGGTATGCATCATGCATGACACTGTCTGTCAAAGAGGAATACTATATTAGATTACCAAACAGCGTATAAATTTTTTCTCATGACTGTGTGCGACGTACATTTCAAATCATATGGATTTTTCGATTTGCGAAAAGCATTTGGGAACGAAAAACTTCCGATAGCGCCTAATAGAAGCGTGTATACTACCAAAATGGCAATTTGAATGATGACCAATTTTGTGATACTGAGCTTTCCTGCCGAAGCTGGATATTGTTCGATCAAGCTATTTTTATATATGGGACTACTCGAGTCCTCGATGTTATTGCTGCTGTTCTCGTCTTGTGATGCTTCTTCTTGAGTGAGCAAGCTATATCTTTCTCGCAGACTGGCAAACATGGCGACTGCGAGCGCTACATTGGTGAAAGAAAAAAGCTTAGAAATGATGCAAGAGAAGTGGAAGCTATCGTACAATGATGACTAGTTAAGCTACTGGTAGTGAATGCTACTGCGGGGGTCAATGCTTAACCATGTTCGGTAGGTGCTAAGGTGCAGAAATGATAACACTCCCAGCCTACTTACCATCTACGAGTCTATTACCCAGTTTGTGCTAGTCTCCATGATGATATTGTCCTTGCTACGCATGCCTGGATGCCCGCACCCACACAAATGCCTATCAAGCATGGCCACGACATCTGCAAGACCCCGCATGCATTAACCTCGTGGGAACCCTACGAACAAGCTTTTTCAAATTCTCTAGGCATGTCTGCAAGACGTCAAAATCCTCATTGTAAATACCTCATTCCAATTTAGGTAAGGATTTTGTGTGATAAAGCTAAATCCGTAGGCGATGCGGAACACCGGTGCACCAGTTTTCAGCCTGTTTGTTCTAAATTCAGAACGACTGGCGCTGGAACCTACCACATGCAATTTAGACCGCAATCAAAAACAGTCGGTGATCGAACGGACAATCCTATTTCGGTTACGAGCAATTTAGAAGAAGAGTAGTCATGTACGAGCATATAGATTGTAGCGCTAAAGAAGTGGGATAATATTCTTCAGCTCCTGCAAATTGAGTACATGGCAGGTGATTGTTTCCTGGATAGTTCTACAGGCTAACTTGGAACTAATGCCGAGTGGAAATCCTGCTTGCTGCTTCCAGGTAATCAGGTTGGCAGAGCTATGCCTCAAGTAGACTATAATATATGAAAATACGACGTGAGGGGAATTTGTGCATCACGTCTTATCTTTACCAATCAGTGGGCTTTGGAAGCTGTTAATACTCCCGTCTATCCATGAAATGCCGCTTCTCACGAATGCATAAATATACTGACAAGGTAGCTTTGGATTTGACATTCCCTGTCATCCTCGAAATTAGCCAATATATTCTCTGGTTAAGAAATTCCAGGTACTAGTTATAACCCATCCACTACAACAACATGAAGACAAGTATTGTTCTGTCTGCCCTAGTGGGCCTGGGCTTAGCTCTACCAACACCTGGTGAGTGACTATAACACGGAGACTGGAGGAAATACATATCTAAATCAGCATCTTGTAGAACAGAAGCGCGGCGAGGATGACACTGCTGTTGGCGCCAGCATTTTCTGGGGTCGCAGCGAGGACGACACCGCAATTGGTGCTGACATTGTCTGGACACGCAGTGAAGACGACACCGCAATTGGTGCTGACATTGTCTGGA